GAGGCCACGAGCAGATTGTGAAGCTGCTGCTCGACAAGGACGCCGACGTCAACGCGCAGGGTGGAGAATACAGCAACGCACTCCACGCAGCTTCAGAAGAAGGCCACGAGCAGATTGTGAAGCAGCTGCTCAAGAAGGGGGCGAAATCGTATGTATATCGGCAATAGTGGGAAGAAGTAGATAAATGCGAATGATTTAAATATGCTTATAAATGGTGTGACTGTAGCGAAAGTGATTTGTGGCAAGCTCGCCCCTGTTTACGGGGAGGATGGCTGACCCGCTCTAGCTATGCTATGAGGTGGCAATTCTGTCTAGCAGATAGTCGTAGGGAGTCAAGTTAATTTACTAAAAGCGTAACTAAGTTGGATTTCAAGACTGTGGGGCTAAAGACGACCCGCTTGCGAAGACTTTGCACAGCTACATACCTAACAACCACTGAAACACAAGATGTAAATTACATGTGATAATTACGTGGGATGGTGGGGTTGTTTTATACTAGTTGAATTAGTGGCGAAGGCACTAACTTACCTGGCAACCTTCCATGAATTTTGTGCGCCTTATTATACATAAGGCTAAAGATGACTTTCAAGCCTTACAGGCAGGCCCTAAGGCTTATATAAGACTCTATTATAAATGCTAAGAGCTAGTAAGAGCTTAATAGTAGTGCTATAAGGGTAGAATGCTCGTTTGACATAAAAGAAGGCTCTCTGTAAAGTAGGCGCAACAGCGACTATGCAAACGTAATTTGTAAGTGTAAGGGCCTTATGAGGTTTGGGATTAGCTCTAGCACACGACTTATATAGAATTATAGGAAAGATTGACGTGTACACAGATTTAGGGTTGCTTAAAGTTAAAGTACCCCTTATATTTTCCGGCACGGCGCTTTCAGCTATGTGGGGAGGGATGTTACTTCAAACATGCTCACACTTTCGTGGTGTTTCCCTACGTGATCTGATCACCATGTCTGATATCAACATGTGTGAATCCCCAAATGCGGATGTCTTACCCATCACGGGAAGGTGTCACAACTACACTAAGTAATTTTCCTCGCAACCTGGGGCCCTGCTAAAGTGTCATGCATCACTATGAAATCCAATCGGTAGAGAATAGATGTTTTAAATATCTTGCGAGGAAGGAGAGGAGGATTTGAAAGCTGGGGGCTGCAGTAGCGATGTTGGGAGCTGGAGATGTTGGAGTGTGGTCAGGTGGAGGTGTCACGGAATGTAGGCGTCCATTGTTCCTTCAGGCAATTCATCTCGCCGTTAAGCCATCGTGAATTATTCCCGGGCATCATTAGAGATTAATAGATCTTTTGGTCAGCTTCCCACAAACGAAGACATGATTAGAAAAACTATCAGTTTTGTTCTCTGTGCATAATGCTGAAAGAATTTAAACCCACCTACCATCATGCTCACAGAAGCATGCTAAAATCAAATGCGAAGTTCAAGAAATTCATATGTGTTAACAGCAACCGCCTGCTCCGGCAAATTAAATCGCTGAAACGTGATGCTTAAGGTGTTTCAAGGCTGATCCTCAAAATTCGGCTTATGCGATGGCAATGATTGGATCTCGGCGCGCGTCTTCGCGTGATATTAAACGCTGATGTAGCTGAAACATGGACGGTGGGTTTTAAGGGAAAAAGGGAAAGCGTGGATAATGGATGTATGCCCCGGAAGTTCGGGGCATGATTGCAGGTGCGTGCTCATGGAGGTGATGATGAGGATGGAGAAGGACACGCGGTAAGTGGGGAAGGATTTTACGAGGTTGCATGCCAGTTAGAGAGAGATGGGGATGGATCAGGCGAGACGAGGCGAAGCTGAGTTGCGCATCCCAGAGACCCTCCCTACTCCACAGATCTGAGAAGTGCAGATTTTAGATAGTGTAGCGTTGAGCTGGTCGTGATGTGAAGGCGCAGGAAAGCAGCCAAAAATACCTGACAGCCGCGGCCCTCAACAATGGCGTTAAAACGGCGCCAAAGTTGAGCCAATCCTACACACCATGCCCCTGACACGACGACAAGGGAGCGCCCGTGCGTCATTCGGCGGCGACGTGCTTCGGTTCCAACGGATCAACGCGACCTGATCAAACTGGACAGGACGGGGCTAATCCTTTTCTTTATCTCTAACTCACCACGCTCGCTCACACAAAGCCCGCTTCCTAACTAACCTTTGCTCTCCACCTTTGTTTCCAACCTTTGTTTCTTGTCTTGTAGAGTTTTAGCTCTTTGTAATAAGTTGGAAAGGCCAAGCGCGCTGCTGTTTATTGAGTAGACACAGCGTCGCACATTCGGGGGACACACATTCGCTGATCGTACATGGAGATTTCACCATAACCATCAGTACATGTACTGACCACCTTCGACGACCCCTCTATCGAGAAATCCCTCCCTATTCGAGCACACATACCGCATTCGTTACTATGGCTGCCACCCCGGCAGGAGCGATGCTCCCCCGGGCCACGGAGGAGAATTTAGAAGACAAGTTCTTGAAGTTGATAAGCGATCCCTTTGGAGCTCAGGCAGGTCCTCTCCCCCACCTCAGCAAACACTCCACTAATCTGAAATAGCTTGCGCAAGACTCTATCATTGCAGCTGTGACGACCTCGTTCGTCATCTTCGGTGCCATTTTCCTCGCCTTCGTCCTCCTCCAACCCTACAACCAAACTGTATACGCTCCACGCCTAAAGCACGCCGATGAAAAACACAAGCCCCCATCTCTCCCCAAGAAGCCATTGGGCTGGTGGAATGCCGTCTTCCGCACAAACGAGGACTTCTACGTTGAGAAAATCGGTATGGATGCAGCAATCTTCCTGCGTTTTGCCAAGATGTGCCGCAATATCTTCTGCGTGCTGTCGGTTGTCGGCTGTGCTATCTTGATCCCTGTGAATATAACACAGTCGACGAAATTCTCCAAGGACGGCGGATTCAAGAAGTCTGCCATCATTATCTCCATGACGCCGAAGGATCTTTTCGGTCACATCTGGTGGGCCTTTGTGGCTGTCGCGTGGGTGTTCGACGTCATCATTTGCGGCTTCTTGTGGTGGAATTATCGCGCCGTTCATAGGCTCAGGAGGAGATATTTGGATACTCCAGAGTATCAGACCAGTCTGCACTCGAGAACGTTGATGGTAAGGAAAGAATTTATTTCAGCAAGTCTATTTCTGCTAGCTGCATGTGACGTGCACGAAAATCTCTTCAATATCTTCGCATCAGCGTGGTATAGATGAGAGCGTTGCATCCTATTCTCCAAGTATGCTAACCAGAGCTAGATTACAGACATTCCCCGGAGTCTTCGAAGCGATCAGGGCCTCGTGGACATCACCGATAAGTTGCGAACTACCCCTGAAGTCCCCCGCGCGTCAATTGGCAGGAATGTCAAGGATATTCCAGATCTTATCGAAGAGCATGAGGAAGCCGTTATTGAACTTGAAAAAGTCTTGGCAAAGTACCTCAAGAACCCCAACCAACTCCCCGCAGACCGACCACTGTGCAAGCCATCCAAAAAGGACCCTGAATACACCAACAAGAATGAAAAAGTTGACGCTATTACCTATCTCACAGCTCGAATTGAGCGCTTGGAATCCCAGATTAAAGGAGTTCGGGAGACGGTGGATAAACGAGATGCAATGCCGTACGGATTTGCAAGCTATGAGACCCTCGAATCAGCACATAGCGTTGCATTTGCCGCGAAGAACAAGCATCCGAAAGGGACTTCCGTCCAGTTGGCTCCCCGACCAAATGACTTGATCTGGAAGAACTTGCCAATAGACGCAAAGGCCCGCCGATGGAGGCGATTCATCAACAATCTCTGGATTACTCTACTCACCGTCCTGTACTTCATTCCCAACGCCCTCATTGCTGTCTTTTTAGCCCAGCTCAACAATCTCGCATTCATTTGGCCACAATTCGGGGACCAGATGCAGAAAAACCCCAAGTTTTGGGCTATCGTTCAAGGTATCGCAGCACCTGCACTTACCTCCCTCTTCTACTACTTCCTTCCTATCATCTTCCGACGTCTCTCGGTCCAGGCAGGTGACTTTACCAAGACCGCGAGGGAGCGACACGTCATCCACCAGCTTTACGCCTTCTTCGTTTTCAACAATCTTTTCGTCTTCTCTCTCTTCGCTGCCGCTTTCGCCTTTGTCTCAGCAATGATAAAAGCAACGCGAGACCAGGGCAAATCCTTCAAGGACGCGGTTGACGACTATCATCCATTCGTGCAGATCATGATTTCTTTGTGCACTGTTTCGCCATTCTGGGTTACGTGGCTGCTTCAACGCAACTTGGGTGCTGCTATCGACTTGTCTCAGGTGGTCAATCTTGCGTGGGGGTCTTTCTCTCGCAAATTTCTCAATCCAACGCCTCGTGAGCTTATCAAGAGAACTGCTCCGCCGCCATTCGACTATGCGAGCTACTACAACTACTTCTTGTTCTATTCGACGGTGGCTCTCTGCTTTGCAGCACTTCAACCCATCTGTTTGGTCGTCACAGCGGTATACTTTGTCCTCGATGCGTGGATGAAGAAGTATCTGCTACTGTAAGTCTCAATTTCCCCTATATGTCGGGTTCCAAGGTCTTCTAGAATCCCCAGGCCTTCATCCCTTCTCTCTACACAGCATTCTAACTCTCTCTAGGTACGTCTTCTGCACAAAGACCGAATCAGGAGGTCTCTACTGGCGCGTCCTCTTCAACCGCTTCCTTGTCGGCGCCTTGATGTCCAACTGCTTGATAGCCCTCATGGTTGGTGCCCGTGGCGATCAGCCTATCGCCATGCTCTGCGCCATGGCTCCTCTCCCTATCCTCCTCCTCGGTTTCAAATACTACTGCAAGATCACATTCGACAACTCCATGCGCTACTACGTCAAAGGCGAAAGCATCAAGGGCTCCGAAGCACCCGCTCCCATTGACAAGGAATCCCGCCGTCGCGACCGCGTCGCAGTGCGCTTCGGCCACCCGGCACTTTACCAAAAACTAACCGTCCCAATGGTGCACGAAAAGAGCAAACACCTCCTCGCTGAAGTGTACCGAGGTCGGCTAGACGGAGATCTCGGCGCCACCGCTGGCTACAGCGACGTCTATTCCATGAAGCGTATGAGCAAAGAAACCCCCGGGAAAACGGCTGCAGCACCCGCCCCCTTCGAATTCGTCTCCGAATCCAACATGGACTTCGAGAACTTCAAAGACCGCCCTGAATTCAGCGCTGAGCACGGCGGCGACGGATCTGTCTATGGCGCACACATCTCCCGTCCCGGAACCCCTGCTTCGACAGTGGGTGGAGGTTCTGAGCGCGGGCGATCGAGTTCTCGAGACTCGGAAAGAACGGTCGGTGATGATGGGACGGGTGTGGGCGTAACGTATCCAGCGGGATATCATTCTACGCCGTCCGGGTTGCGGGAGTATAGTCCAAGTCCAGATCATAGGGTTGGGTTTGGACGCGTGGAGAGTAATACGAGTGGGGCGAGGGATGAGACCAATTTACTATATGGGGCTGCGCCGATGGGTGCCCAGACGCCGAATTTGGGGCAGGCCCAGGGAGAGAGTCCGTATACGCTTGATGACAGTGGTAGGCAGGATTACTTTAAGGGCGTAAGGTAGGTGAGCAGTGGTGAAGGAGGGTTGAGTGTATATTGAGACGAATTTCGTTTGTTTGGGCTTGATGTGGAGGGTGGTGGAGATGATTTTCTTCACAGTATTGGCATGTAAATGGCGTTTTTTGAAGAGTTTGGAATGCTGGTGTGTTGCCAGCGAGTAAAAATATCGAGCTTTGGGCTTAGTGGGAGGTGGGCGAGGTGATTTTAGATACCATTGTCAGCTACTGCATGCTAGATAGCACGAGCTGATTTGAATGCTCGACGGAGCCGGGATGAGCGCATAGAGCTGCTCCAATTTCATTTTGTCGACTTTATGTTCACCTGACTTCTCTGTGCCCTTTTGATTGATCATTTCTTGTCTTCATTCTGTCTTGCTTTTCTCGGCACTTTCCAATGAGTGTTATGTGTCTCCTCCCTCAGTACACCTTTCTCCTCCTAACTCTATATAAACCCCTTCACTCTGATCCCTTCATATTGTTCTTTTCTCTCCTCACAACACTCCCCTATTCCCCGGTTTCCAAAAACAGTCGTACCATAGTTCATGGAGTATGGTTCCGGTTATCGGGTTTACTCCCATCCCTTTTAAATATTCCGGTCGAGTTTGTTATGCGCTTTCATCCGCTTGGCCCTAAGAAATGTTGATCAAAACTTGCATAGTTGACGGCTGATGCCTCGCCCAAAGATGTATGGATTTCCTCAGTCGCATCCAAATTCGTAACCGGGTGGAGTAATGGGTATGGGTCGAATGAAGAGATGTCATCATTGGCAGCCTGGAATGTTATCCGATCCAATTCGTCGGCATCAGAGAAGCCAGGGCGGCCAACACCTTCCGGGTGGAGTAATACGTATGAGTCGAATAAAGAGATGTAATCATTGGCAGCCTGGAATGTTATCTGATCCAATTCGTTGGCATCAGAGAAGCCAGGGCGGTCAACACCTTCGTCGTCGTTATCACGTGAAGGTGCATCATCCTCCACAACTTCCTCAATCTCTCGTATCCATCTCTCCTTCAAGAGATCCATAGAAGGCCCCACTCCACCTCCTTTTCCTCCTCTTTTTAAGCTTTCATCTTTTTGTGCTTCACGACCGCGTTTTCTAGGATTGAAATGAGCTCGACGAAGACTGATCAACATTAGTTTTCTGTTTTGTAAAATAGAGCCTTTGACTCACTGAGCAGCGGCGTTATAATATGCTCCGTACTTCTTTCCACGAAGACACGATTTACAATTTGCGAGAAACGTCTTGTCTTCAGAATCATCCACGCAAATGTAAAATTTCCGATTGCGAGTGTGCTTTCTCATCATATGTCTCTGCAATTCATGGTGCCCTCGAAATCCTACGGGATTTTCATTACAGTGTGGACATAGCAGTCGTAGGGATCGCTGTGGTTTCTGTCCTTCTCGAATTAAACTGCTAGATAGCGCCCTCACCGGTGGCTGCGAAGTCTTTGAAGGTAGTGTATTGCCAAATGTAGGACCTTCTGCTGTGTCCGAATGCGCTGTAGATCCAAAAGGGGAAGTCATCGGCAATGGAATGGGAGGTAGGAGATCAGTTGCTGCGTCAGGGTCCGGCACAAATGCCCTTCCATAATCTGAAGATAGTACATTCCTAGACATAGGAGCAATTGCTGTGTTGGGATGGGGTGGGCCCTGAAGGTAAGGTTGAAGGGATGGGTAGACTCCTAGGTCTGGTATGATATCTGTGTTACCTGGATATCCCTGGCTATTTGAAGAGGGATTATCGCTTGGAGTCGTCTTAGGTGCAGTTGCGATCTCTGGAGAATCATTTGATTCGGGATCTGGATTCTTTGCTTCAATTCCATTTCCATTGGGTTGAGAAGAACTCTCGGACTCAGAAGCTTCTTCATCAACGTCCAGTGGCAGAGCAAGAAGTGAAACCTTCTCTAGATGCTTTGCAACACTATCCAAGAGAGCGTTTTCTCCCTTTTCAACCTTTTTATCGCCGCAGAGAGGACATGTATTTGTCTGCAGAAAGCCAGCCTCGCGATGCTCGAGAAGAATGTGATCCATCCATCGACGTTTGTCGAGGAAGATTTTATTACGAGAAAAGCAAGTTTTGAAGATGCAGACATAGGGCGCGAGATCTTGGATTAAATGTTTTCTTGTAGACATTAGCATTACATTATAGACGCAGAGCCAAGGATTTACCTGTATTCGTGGTTGCGCAACGCCCGAATGTACCGTCCACATGCTGCACAGTCGAACAATTCACCTCTTTTCGCTTCATCCGGAAGCACGGGATATTTTGAACGCCCACCCTCAATTAGGCTGGAAAGTCTTGAGCTGAGTGCCGTAGTCGCCACTGAAGGGGTATACGAAGGCATAGGGGGTAGAGATTGTCCATAGGATGAAGGCTGATGTGCCGACCCGTATCCCGAATCGTCGAACGAAGAGCCTGCTCGTCTGGAGACCACATCAGAGACATTGATAGCTATTGCGTCTTCGTTTTTAACCCTCAGTCTCGAGAGCCTTTGATATCGTTCTAGATTCAACATTCCTAGATGGTCAGCGAGCTCCTTGGACACATTGCAGAAGCGCTCGCGAATGCAACTTGAGAAGAATTGATGTGGAGCAGCATGCTCCATTTCTGTAGCCGGCCTTTCAATTTGGTCGTGCACCGAATCTAGGACAGGTGATGCAAGAGATGCATTGAGATCATTTAGCCGTTGGATACCGTCACGGATATTTTGCAAAAGTTCGTCTATAGAGAGAGGTTTAGCGATTGCTGGTTTTGATGGGGTTTCCTGACTATGTGATTCGGCTTCACTCTCCGTGTCGCTATCTGTATCAACAAAGGTAGACTGCTCCAACAGCTGGAGGACATTCTGACGTAGACCTTTGCAGTCTTCATCCGCGAGAAGGTCTTGCCGAATCTTAGCATTGCAAAATTCACAAAAGAGGCGGAGAACTTGACTTTACCTTCGAACAAAGTACTGAGTAGTGCCTTCAGCACTGAGATGACCACTGTCATAAGATGCTTCGACTTCTGTAGAGTAGCATCCAAGTCACCATCTTCAACAGCGTGATCGTCGGCCCAGATGGTAAGAAGCTGTCGTACGCGCAGCAATGACCGCTTTTGAGATTTGGTAAGAGTGTTCTGAAGCTGTCTGATTGCATACGCTAGCAGGGACAAGCAGGCTCGTACAAGACGAGCCGCAAGCCCTTCATCCTCCACGTCTATATTCACCGAAGCAGCGCGTGGCCTCGCTTCCTTGGAATCGGTGTTAGAGGCTTCTTCGCCCATGCTGACATTAATTTTCGACAAAGACCGGAGCGAGTGAAATCGTAACGATGCCAATATTTATATACGAGGGTTGTCTGGAGGATGGGACACCCAAAGTCATACGACCATGGCCAGGCGAGGAGATCCACGAGGCTTGGAAAGAGTGGTGGCTGAGCCTGTTTGCCTGCATCGATGGGATTGGTGTTTGTTGCTTCGGACCACATCCACCGAGGCGCAGCAACGCCTTGCACCGCCGCGACACTAAATAATAAGGCAGGAAGAGGGGTTTGCTTACATTTCCCAACACACTTGTTCTTGACACTCAAGTCATCTCTGTACCGAGGCCTCACGCAAAATCAAGATGGCAGATATCGCTCTCGGCGCGATTGGGCTCCTTCCAATCCTCATTCGTACAATCTCATCGTTCCAGACCATTCATAATGGTATAAAGATCGCTAATAAGTGCATCGAGCATCTCGACATCATAGCGATTGACTGGAAGATCCAGCGGGGACGATTTCTGAATGAATGTGTCCTGTTATTGATGGAAAGCGGAGAGGAAGAGCTAGTTGGACGGGCAATGGTGGCAGATTTACTCCATACAAGCTGGACAAATAGCGCACTAGCCACGTCATTTTCAACATGTCTTGGAGACAGCTATGAATTGTGTATTGAGATCATGAAGAGGTTCGATACGATTTCGAAGAAGTTGAAGAAAATCTTAACTGGGTTCGAAACCGTTCGTAGCAAGAAGATCAAGGTGAGTTTTAACAGAACCTGTCTACCCGCCGACAGTAATCTCGAGAAGCACGACTTGCTCGCGTCCCCAAAGTCTTCACTAGCGATCAGATCTGCTGACAAAACATTTAGGGCGAATCGTACAAGATCACTTACCGCAGATTATACCAAAGTATCCGTTTTGCTTTCGATAAAGAAGAGCTTGAAAAGCAAATCCGGCTTCTCAGGCACAAGAATGGAGATCTCGAGTCTCTTCGAGCCCAGATCAAGAGCTTTCATTGCCAGTCGTTACCTCGTGGTCTTACAAGCTATCATAAGCCGATGCCGCCTTACTTTTGCGAAGTTCAGCGTATATCTACGGAAGCACATCGTGCCCTGATTGCGAGTTTCAGCTGTTCTGATACCAGCCATGATGAACACACTGCTCTGATCGCTTTGGATGTTGATTATGGGAATGAGACACGCCTTGAAATGGCGATTAGCTACATGAGTAGCTCTGGAATGTATGATAACCCATATCTAAATTGGACGTTTGCTCACTAGAGATAGTGCTCCAAGCATGGATCCTCCAGTCAAATTTCTTCTCCGGTCAGAATCTATCGAGGAATCGCAGGAATCTCTCCGTACGGTTAACTCGAAAAGGCAAAGCAATCATTCTTTGAAATGTCATTTATCAATTGCTCCAGCAGAAGAACCTCACAGCCAGCCAAGAGAGCATGCGGAAGAACCGAGGAAGAAAAGGAGAAAGGTTACCTTTGCCAGGCTTCCGGAACGACACCAAAAGACACTGCAAGAGGCTGTGTCGAAGATCGAGGAGCCAGATACCACTCTAAATCTCGCGGCTTTGTCAAGTGTCTGTCAGTTTTTACGCCAGAAATGCAATCGAAGCGGAAAAGCCAAGGCCAAAGCCTTATCCACACACTTTGCACTCTTGCGCCTCTCGGAAGAGGCGCAGTATGTGTTCTACCTATCCTCACATGGCTACATTAGCCCGAACTTGGTGAACCAGGGACCATTCACGCCGGTGCCATTGACTGACTATCTAGACAACCATTTCCAAGGCGAGGTTTCGGTTGTTCAACAATACAAGCTTGCATTGAAGTTGGCACAAGCAGTTTTGCAGTTCCAGTCAACTCCATGGTTCGAAGAGGAATGGGACATGCGACAGTTACTTGTGCTACCAGAAGCAGATGATGCGGCGGACGATCTACGAGTCTATATCAATTCGAAGCTCACAAAAACAAAGTCTAATCCTTCACAGATTGAACCCATTACAAGTCTTAATAGGCAAAAGGCCCATAGACCGGCTAACAATGTTAAAGTGCCACTATCAACGGCACAGCGTAGAGGCGTGGATAACATTACGCTTTTCTGTCTCGGAGTTGCTTTGCTTGAAATCGCGCACTGGAAACCAATTAGTAGTCTTCGAGAAGACTATGATGACGATAGCATCGACACAGCGAGACGAATGGCCAACGGCAATTCGCTGCTTGGAAAATGGTACGATGAAACTATCCGCAAATGCCTGCGATGCGACTTCGCAGTTGGAGCAGACTTGAGACGACTCGAGCTTCAAAAAGCTGTCTACGGAGAAGTTATATGTCCATTGGAAGACCTTATTGAAAGGCTGGACAATTTGAGCCTGTAACTCATAGTATTATCCATTATGAGAATGTCAGGTATTGTTACAACAGCCAGATTACCCGGAAGACGCGCCATATATCGAGGTAGAAGCGGAATCTTCTAAAGTTAGTGTACCTGTTCGCTCAAGGCGTATCGTCGTAGCTCTTGGTTCCAAAGGCTGATATTTATGATATTGCCACGAACGGCTGTGAATTTCTGTATTCCAATCGGTGCAAATACCTCTACAGCTGTTTGGCCTATGATATCGGATGAGTGCTTCTGTCCAAAGTCATCTCACGTCTGCTTTTAAGGACGGACCGGAGGGCGCTTCATTTCGATATGAAACGAGTCATTGCGTCTAGGAGAAGGGGTAGAATGTAAGACGAGAAAAGGTAATATGTAAAAGTAGGAATAAGGAGGCAGCAACACTGGCAGTCGAGAGTGTTAATAGAATTTGTTGCTATCGGAATTGCAGATTTATATGGTCTAGAAGAATATGGACTTGGATACCCTGATTGTCTCTAAATTAACTCGATGTGCATATATCCGATTGGTCACGATACCACAGAGCGCTACGAAACTGGGTTGGTGTGCTCAGCGGGAGCAATCTTGGAGGTTTAGACGAATGGAGAAAGGGTGACAACGTCCTGTGGAAACTCACCATAGTATGAGATGTCGAAATGTCAATCTGTCGTTAGTTACAAAAGGAACGTTTGGTGGTGTGGAGCACGAGAGACGTGGCGGAGCGAAGGGCAAAGTCGACACTAGAATGGGTACACAGGGTTTTGCTTTTGACAGGTCTTTAAATACGACCACCCCTTGACCATTGAGATTCGATTGATATGGTGTTGTAGTATTCATCCAATAGCAGAGACCAGATAGCCCGGTGACATCTAAGTCTTGTACCCAGGAATACGCGGCACAATCGGGCTGTCATTGCAGAGGTCCTAGCAACCAGGCATAGGAACCTCTCCACTGGCTAAAAGGTCAGCATGGTACATTCAGAGAAAACAAGTGTAGTAGTAGTTGTCGGAACAAATCTGATCGATCCAAGGACAAATAGATGGAGTGGCACTTGGAGTGGGTAGTTATAGCAGTCGGATCTGGTAAGATAAGCGAAACCGGCATAGACGTGCATCCTCTGATGTCATGCATCCACCCATTGCCGCTGGATCGATCAATTATCAATGGCTCCAAGGTCAAAGCAAGGGAATATAGCCTCCAATACCGTAGGAATACGCGATACAGTTTTGCTTAGTGCTACACAAAACCTACAAATCTTGACATTGCTCCACTGAGGCATCGAATGCGTTGATAGGCCAGCCATCGCCAGTACGTATGGTGTAACCACAAGTCGTGCCATAGCTTCGGCAGCATTCTGAATCAACTCCGGGGTAATACGAAGGTTAGATGGGGAGCGCTGCGATCGATGTATCAACGAGGGTAGTAGCGATCGTGGTCGAGGTGAAGAAGTCGCTCGAAGAATCACCAGTTGATGAGGAAGTGGTACTGGTATATGATTCAGTGTCGAAGAGATACAGGCAGGTAGGTAGAGGTGCTGGTCAGGATGACACTGGAAATTGAGAATGGATGGAGGTAGAAGTAGAAGATGAAACGGTGGACCAAGATGCTGAACTTTAAGTTGGTCGGGTGTATTCGTTGAAGAAAGACTGCTCAAACTGCAAACACCAAATAGAGATTAGCATCCTTTGTCACAGAATCTTCTGAGTCCCCACAGTAACATATTTCGAGCAGCAACTGCCGCCCTCTGCGCCCTAGCAGGTAATGTTGGAGCTCATATAGATCGACGAGCAAGTGTGGTTTATCCCTCGTTCTCGGTTTCTTTAAGTGCGAGCAGTGTGCTAATTAGGAATGACGTATTACCCCCAGTGTGTCCAACCGTTAGTTACGGAGCCTTTTGGAGGCTGTATAGTACAGTTACGGAAGAGGAGGCTGTTACTAACTAACTGTACGGAGGAGATGACGTCAGTGTACGGTTAGGATACAGTAACTGAAGTATATTGAAGTATTATGAAGTAATTGCGCTGAAGCTAAAGACTATACCCAATTAGGAAGTTGTGATACCCCTTGTGAGATCTACTGTTGTTGATCTCACTGTTTTAATGTACTCTGTAAGCTCAGTCAGCTCACTAGTAACAGCGTTGTTACGTAACTAATTCTTCTGCAGTTGAAGAGCCTCTATTGTCGACCGCGTCGTTGATTGGGATAGGAATTGGGACATCATAATGGGCAAAAGAATAACGTAGATGGCATAGTTGCTGAATTTGTTAGAAGATTGCTAACAAAACAGGCAATAACGGCATTCTCCGCATTAATCTCCGAACACGAGCCCCCTGGCCCTCAGCAACCTGCCTTCAACCGCCCAAAACCACCAAAAATCCTATATAACTACCGTAAACGGTTAGTACAACAGCCTCATGTATAGTACAGTATACTGAGTAGATGCCCTGTACGTACGTACGTGACCAAAATCAGTGTACTGCAGTACTGTACTATTAGGTGTACTAACGGTTGGACACACTGATTACCCCGTAGACATTAGTACTGTAGATCACAAACAGCCTTGTGGAAAATATATGCTTTCTATCGATCATATGGAGAGACAAAACAGGTCGTTACAATAGCCTACTACCATTCACTGATGAGATTCAACGAATTCGGATGATTGGTGTCATAGCCAGCCTGCCCTGCCACATCATCCAGGCCACGACCCACAAGACCTCCAGCGTCTAGAATCTTCTTGACAATATCTTGCAGTCGGTCCTGATCTACAGCATTCTCTGTCCAAATTGTATTACAGTTCTCCCATAGTCTACAGTTGAATGCTCTCAAATGTGCTGATCCACCGCGGTGTGCGTAATTCAGATCCTCAATACTAAAGTACTTCATGGCGTCGGCCCGCAAAAGATGGTCGAAGATCTCAACCCAGGCATGGTCTAGGAGCTGGACATAGCCAAGCTTCATAGCAATAATGTTAGAGGACTCTCCGTCGGCCGCGCTGAGAAGTTTTTTGAGGGTGTCGAAGTGAACCATAGCACGGTAAATGTAAATATTTCTTAGACCTGTCCCCGAGGGTTTCCAATCTAGCTCGTCGAGGTTGAGATAGTGTGTAGCGTGGAGACCCAAGGACTCTAGGTTGGAGCATCGGCCGACCAATATGCAAATATCGGGCATGTAATCATAGTTCAGGTATTTCTCCTGGAGGTTCGAGGGGGGAAACCCTTCGTCTCCATCATATCCGTTCTCGTCCTCAGCCCATAGCAAGTAGCTATTATCGCCTCCTGCTCCGGTTGCGTCGACATACTCGAGATATAGATGTCGTAGGCGTCTAGTGGCCTCATCCGACATTGCTTTGTTCAGAACGGCAAAATCGTAAGTGCATGGAAGCGCGAGACGAAGCTCTGTCAGGAACGGGAAGTTATGACCATATGAGGGAGAGAACAGGGAGCACAGAGAGTTCCGAAGCTCATTTACCGCAACAAGATCTAACTGGGGTGCTGATCCATCACCAGAGCCGCCGTAATCGCTCCCCCAGGATTCGGTCAAATTGAGCCACAAGCATTCCAATCGCTCCAATTTCTCCAGGGCAGATGGAAGCACCTTGAGGAAGGCAAGCAAGGACTCCCTATCGGCAGGGTGGGATTCTGGGCAGTCTGGCTCTAGCCATTGGATGCGCTCCCTGTGCCAAGAGTCATACGTTGAAAACTCGAGACGCAGGCGCCGAAGGACTTGCGGAAGTAATTGTCCTTGTAGAATGAAGTTATTGATATTGTTGACGGAGTTGGGCATTATGATTCTCCTGTCCAAATTCCCCGGTTGTGCCATTTCCTCGTTCGTGAACATGCCAGTATAGTCAAAGGCGCGGAGTATGAGGAACTCGTTCTGGAACCAAACGCGAGTGATGGCACGATTGAACGCTCTCGAGACTAGGCGAAGCTTTAGATAGTACAGCTGAAGATAGCCCCTGAAGTCGCGCCGAACTCCTTTGAGATATTCAAACCCGTGCATCTCATAGTCATTAATGACTCTGTTCGTGACAGGGCCGGAATACTGATCATTAACTTCTAAAGGCTCTGGCAGATGAGAAAAAATCTGCGCATGTCAGCGTCAGTGAAATACCGGGCACAGGACAAGCACACCTCATCGTACAATTCGGCGGGGAGCTTCTCAAAGCCTGATGGTGAGCGAGGCGAGGTCGAAGCCATGTTCACGAGCTGCAAATGGAGTTTGCACCGTTCGATACGACGAAGTTATGCCCACAGTACGAGGGTTTGTATAGATTAGGCGTTTAGCGGCACGGTCCACCGACGAGTCCAAGCTGGTGTAAGCACCGCTTAGTTTTCGCACGAGTGGATGTACTCTAGGCGCACTTCAATCCTCTTGCGCCTGCTATCGTCGTATTTTATCTACAAACATGGTTTGCCTGATCTTGGCTCGTGGTGATTCGCTTCGAGGAGCAAACGTCCTTGGTCCAAATTCGAACGCGAACCCGACACTCTCACCAAGAGATTTCGGTTCTAAAGGGAAGAAGGATCCCTTGTCAGCGACAAACTTCTATACCGCTACGCAGGCAGCGGCCAATCTCCAAGTGCCGATGGTGAGACGAGTCTGGGAGTAGGAGCCAACGAGAGGCAGGCACCATGCGGCGTAGGGCGGGCAGCAAATGTGCCGACCATTCCAAACCATCACTTCTAGATGAATGTGGATCTGGAGCAGATGGCAGGCAGCGTCCTGATTCCCGGCTTTGCGTTCGAAAAGCATCTGGTGCCTCCTCTACGCCCTTGCGCTCCATAGCGTAGCGTGGACGCACAGACTGACAGACTGGCACTATCACCGACCGTCATCGCCCATCGTGAGGCAGCCATTTAATAATCAAGTTCTTGCGATACCATGTGGTCGTCGGTCGTGCACAGGTCGCGAAATCATGCTGGAACTCCTGCTCAACGATAGAGCTCCACTCGGTCTCATTTCCGTGACCCAAAAAGTGTCCCAACTACCACGAATGCCCTATCGATTGACTGAAGACCTTGGCGAGAACTAGGAACGGATACAGCGGTCGGGACTTTAGCATCTGAAATCGCTGATCTGTAAATGGCCAAGGACGCCAAGGCTAGCCTCACCTGCGTACAGTGCTTAAGAGATCATAAGCCGAAGTAGGGTGAACAAATCAGGTGGGCGGAATCGAGGGCTCCAGTCTTTGCGACAGCATTCTCCGCACAAGGACGCAAAAGTATCCCGACTTCTTGGAAGTTTCGTTGACATCACCGAGGCCGTTGACGCTTTCAACTCTTATCTCCGAGGGTGTCAACTGCGGTGATGAAGAGCGAGCTCGGTATGTATAAGCGAGGGACTGCATTAAACCAGAAGACGGAATCCCCAGACAGAGATTACCACTTCAGGATCTCTTGGGTTCCAAACATACCATGTTACCAAAACATGTGTGAAGATGCGAAACGACCAATGCCGAGGCAGAATGCGCAGAGTATAAAAGGGGCAAATGCTAGACCACATGGTAGACTCCCCCGGCTTCTTTGTGGGCCCAAGATTGCTGGAGGCTTTGGTCTCTTCTCTTGGATATCGCAGCGAGACAACACTCAAACGACGTCGTCAATGGGACAGGTGTCTCAACATTATGGATATCAATAACATATCCGCCACAACCAGTACTCATATATGGGAAGTCCATGGCGAGAATTCTCCACGTCAAGAGATCTGAGCAGCATTGAATTCACCATGGGGAGTCTGGCCTAAGCGAACTTCCCCCAGTTACCTCCCAGTGCGGCCTTCCACGATCCTAAAGCTATGCTCCTGTTTCAATGACTCGGGATTTAGATCAGAAAATAAGCCTCTACTTAATGATGCGTCGGGAAACTCAGTCTGCGATCCTGCGGTTCGACAATGCGCAGAAGTTAAAATTTATGAGTCTGAAATGAAACCGCTGCCATTTCCTCTAATAGAAATAAGCGCTCCAAGCTGAAAGGGTAGTATTATTGAACGGTAAAGACTGACATCCTGACTGGAAAGTTGGAAATCCATTTCAACCCATATATTTCGAGTTTCAACAGCTGTAGCGACATCTGCGGACAAAGAATTCGTTAATTATGGGAACTTCTCTAGTGATAAAAATATTTTCGGACATTGTCTTATGCTGTCTGATAGTTTTACGGGGACTTGGAACCAACATTTCTTAAATATGTACGAGGATTTGCCGGAGAGAAAGACTTCCCAAAGGAGTGAATAAAGAAAGCTTATTTTTAAATCATGGTGCCCAGACGTGGGAGCTAGAGCTGACCAAAATGGAACGTACGAAAACATGACCACTTTTCGTTGGATCTGAGATGGATATAAACACTTTTCACAGTTCATACTCCTCCCACTCCTCACGATACGCTACCCTGAATTACTAAAAAAGCCCATGGAAGAATACGATGGATTATGTCGTTGGGCTGCGGAATCCTCGACCTGCATAAAAAATCAGTTCAAAAAGTCCATGGGTTCCGCTCACAGGAAATGTCTCCAGTATCACTCGTTTACTTCTAACAAAAAACTCGAATGAGAGACTGAAGCACGCGGCAAGCACACTGAAAGATCTAGAACATATCGACTAAAACTTGCTTCCACCAAAAGATATGTCGGGTTTTGAAATTAAACATTCCTCCCCACCAGGAAGATATCAGCAAAGGTGGACCGGGATGTAAATAACAAAACTATGAGTCGATGGCTCTTGTTCGCCGGAAGAATTATGAAGCCAAACATATGAGTGGAGCCGGTCACCATGTTGCAGCAATTAAAAAAAAAGCCAGGGGCAGGGGCGTGCAGGGCCCGGCCCATCCAGCTTCTCGAAAAATACGAGAATCATCTTGCATGTCGGCAGTGCACTTCGCGGGCTTCGTCGTCCTGTATCACCATTCTCCAGTTTAGGTATAAAAACCCGCTTTTTCTTGAGAACCACCCTCTCTCTTCAAACGATTCGGCTCTGTGTTGTCCGGGACTCGACATGCGTTAACTCTCGAAGTTATGTGGGGAATCTGGAATGCGTTTAGCAACATGGAATGTCCATGTATGAAGGGTCAATGGACGATGTCCGATCCATAGTTCCCACATTCCAGAAAAATGGCTCTTCCAAATTGAGACAAACTCCTGGAGTAAAAATCGAAAGTTCCCGTGTCATGGGCTCTCGGAATCCGTCTGTGGCTTTGAAAATTACCTAGTAGGATTGCCTATGAAGGATTGTGTTGTGCTAGTGGTTTTAAAATCTGTTTTCGTACTCTCGTGTGCTCCGGTTTAGAGACTTCGGACGATGTTGAGAGATGGAAAGATCATCAAAATCATGCTTGCGAGAGAGCTTATGGACCCCTACTGCGGAGGTGGGTGAATAATGAACTAAGATTTACTGATGAAGAGTAAGGTCTTGGCCATAAAGCAATATTAATCTCTAAAATATTGATAAATGTACTGCGAAAGAAGACCTGAGGGCGGAGGACAAGTCTCTAAATCCATGGAAAAAGGCGGTGACAAGATCCTGTGAAATATTTCAGGACCTAGCCAACTCGCCGACTTCCCCTGGAATACGAACACCTTAATGGCTCCTATTTTCGTTCTTACCGCGAGCTCGAACGATCTTTGCACAGTTTATCTCTTCCTTGCTTTACTCGTTGGAGGACCCAGAGGCCCCCTTCCTGCTTAGTCATCCACAATTCATTCCTATAACTATATGACTATTGTTCGTTGTATTCCTCAAGAGTCTTGCATATTCGCCACTCTTTATTCTCAAGAGTCCTGGAAAATGGACACAAGTTCCGGTATGAGCTAATGAGAATTTGAGTTGGAGGGATGGAATGTTGTAATTTTGAATGATGATGATTTTCATCACATATACTTCATGCTCCCTATGCCATATGCCCAGAACCGCTGGTAATGATATACCTAAAGATTTGATGTAAAGATTTGCTAGAGAAGTATGCCATGTGTGAAATATGCTCTTCCCACTCCTCCAAAATTCCTAGAATATATATCTCGAACTTGTGCCAAAATTTCTAGAATAGGTACCATATGCTTTAATTCAACTCAAACTGACTTGCAGCCATCTAGAAGACAATACAATATACAAGGCCTTGTGTTTGAACTGGTGGCCAGGGCCCTTATATCAATTCCTAAGTTCGAAAGCACCTCATTACCCTAGTATTTAAGCCTTAAATGGAGTGTTTCTTTCCATCAGATGGTGTCTATTCAAAACCTATGCCGCTAAAACTCCTCGTTGTCTTAGAAATCATATTCACAGTGGCGTAAGCTTTGAGATTACAAATTTGATACTCGACTTTCACATATGTAATTACCGTAAGTTGTGCAGATACCTTTGGTGCGTGGGTGAGTTGAAGAGTCCAGTCTAAATCGGCGGTGGTCATTATCAACAGTTCGCGGAATATCATCAAGGCGTTGGGAATGCCTTGATATAACTTTGTTGTTCCTGTTGTCAAGAGTAACGCGCAGGCCACAATCTCGAATCTTTCACCTTTCATCAGCGACCTACCGTACCAAGCTATCTCTTTCACTCACCTCGCCTTACCTCTCCCGCTCAACCATCTCTACCTCTACTTTTCCGTCTCTATGATATCCTCTAAATACGTCTATATATACCCAAGAGTCCTGAATATTTAATCACTAACGAAACGTAGATAGTAAGCTTACAACTTATCTCCACAACTGTGTGTCTCTCCACAAATGCGCGCAAGTTCAAGCCATAGAGCTGCCATGTCTCTCATCTCTTATCCCGCAAAATGTGTGTCTCTCCACAAAAATGTGTGCAAGAGTTCAAGCTGGCTTAATACGCTCAAGCTGGATCCCTAGAGATTCAGTGGCAAAAGGTCCGTGTGAAGGAGCTTTTCCACAGGCGCCCGTTCCCTGTCTTTTTGTACCTTTTTTAAGTTTTTTGTTTGTGTTAGAATGCAGGTTTAAAGATTTTATGAGGAGTTAATATAGTGGGCTGTGAAGATGAGAGATTGAGAGGTGCATTAGAGATTACGGAGGAGTTTATTAGTTGAGCAGTGTCTAAGAAGATGGAAGGTTGAGTACATGGACGGAGAGATGATTTCGACACAATTAGTAGAGAAGTGTGCAAGAGAGACAACGGAAAATTGGAGGAAGAAACTTGCCAATCAGCCATCAACACTACCTTCTCAGACCTTCACTCAACTGCGCAAGCATCTCACACCCAACCTCTCGAATCCAACTCTCCCTAAAAAAACCCCTCCACTCGCCCCTTCCACTCATTCTCTCCACTCGCCCTCTTCAACTCTTCTCTTCAAATCCCTCGCAAACCCCGCATACATCTCATTGACACTACTATGCATCGGCCAACCAGGTTTAAACATCACCGACAGCCAGCCCGTATGATCCTCCCCATGAATAAACGTAGTACCTCCAGGAGTGACCTTGCTTTCCTGAAATCCGTAGTAATGCTCACCTCCGACCGCGCCGAGCCGTGAGCATCCAATCCAACGGAATTCGGTAGGGTTGTTATGCTAGATGGGGAGTTAGTCACGAATTCTCCGATCACTGCGATGGAAAAGAGAATTGAGGGGAGGCGGAAGACGGGAGGGGCACGTACAATGATAGTAGGGACTAAGTTCATCCCGGGGAAGCCAGCACGCAGTGTATCTCCTTTTACGAGCGAGGAGGCGGGTTTACCTGCGGGAATTGTTTCGATGTAGCGCACGAAACTGGTGTGCCATTCTTTGTAGCGAGGGAAATCTAAGAACTACGGAGCAGGCGTGTGAGACGAGAATCGCATACGTCGAAGTCACTTGGGCCGGATTGTGCCGGAAACGCAAACGGAAATGAGCTTACCACTGCTCGGACATCCTCAGGCGGGGCTGCGATCTCAATTTCGATGTGGACCATGATTGAATGCTAGTTTAGGGTTCGAGAAAGACGTGCATGAGAAAGAACTGAGAGATGGGAGGTGTTTATGTTGGCGAACGGCCTGGTTAATTCCGGACGGACAAAATTCAGACTGTGAAAGCCATTGATATAGCGCGACAGGATTATGTGCCTGTCAGCCCTGTCATCCTTTGGCTTCGATGTTTCGGGACTCGTTGAATCGCTAAATGTCTATCGTGTATGGAGGATAAGATGGATCTCGCACTTAGCGCCCCAAATGGCTAGTTCCGAGATTCAACCCTCAGCACTTAAAATCCTAAGAATACAAGGTAGAGAAGCCACAGATACATGGAAAATTTTATGAACGGCTTCTGGGCTGTAGGGATTAGACTCCTAAGTCTCCGCTGCTCTTATATCTATATCACTGCACCATGTAAGTAAAGCGTTACCACAAATCCCTCAGGGACAAGATAACATTACTCACTTTATTTGGAACAGAGATAAATACGGTCATTCCAGAACAGCCTCAAAAGCTCGCATGTCTAACACACGGATCTACTGTGTATACTACAATTATGTTGTTTTGGGGTTCTTGGGTGTTTTTGGTTTTCGTTTTCCAATATCCCACCCCCAACCACGAAGCGTCCTGACCACCTTCGGCGTCAATGCTGCAGTTAACGGTACCCGAACGAAGATGAAAGACTTATGGATCACAAATGCGAGCGCGAGCTGCGTCCAAATTGCTAAAACGCCTGAATTAGCAGGATGATTACAGTCAAGGGGAGCATGCAGGCTTACTAGCGTCGCCCTTTGCCTCGGTTGCATCCTTTCTTACCTCTTCAGCAGCAACCTCGGCTTGCGCGGTACCGTCTTTCTCAAATAAATTAGGAAATGGTATGCGGATGATATCCTTCGCTGCCCCCAATACTACATGTTCCCAATGCGCTATCCTTTCTGTTCCGAGCGATTTTACAGCGAGGAAGCAAAATGGAAAGTCCAGCACCAACAGTGCAAAATATACACCCAGAGAAGCATACCCATATTCTCTCGACAGTTTCCGTAGACGCTGGGAGAGGGAGGGAGCGGGCTGTGGGCTACCTAGATTGGGAGTTGGGTTTGGAGAGGGCTTGGTACTGTTGTATCGGTGGGGAGCCCTTCGAAAACGGGCGAAGAAGGATGGGAGGTTCTGGTTCTGGGTAACAGTGCACTGTTGGATCTTTGGTTGTGATATTGATTGCCGCAGACATGAGGAGGAGAATCGTTGTGATGGCCGCGTCAGATTGGCAATGGCCGATGTGAAGGGGGGCCAAATTAGTCTCTCAGTCCCGAAAGACCGAACAGGGATGCGGGACACAACGCGAAGAAGCTTCATTGGCAATGCTCCTCGAGTGAGTTAATGTACAGAAAGAACTCGAAACTAGCTAGAAGGTTGTAAGAGGCATTGTTTACGCATCCATCGTCATCTTTACGTCCTACCAAGCCTTTGTCCGACCTCCGGCTGCCATTTCTTACCGCCTTCTTATTTTGATTAGCGGCGGAGGTGAATTGCTTAATGCCGACTTTATCTAATCCCCCTCGCAACGTCGCTGTCCCCCCCTTCACCTTACTTAAACCATGGCATGACCGATTTATCGTCGTACACCGAGGCAAAGAAGACAGAAATACTTGAGGCCAACAGATACAGGTCCAATGTCTTTGCTGTCTGCTCTTCCAAGACCTTAGACTTCGTATGGTTTGCCCTTTTGGCCTTGGACGCACATTCCCCAACTTGCTGTACTCATCTAGGAATGCAGAGTAGCTTGCCGAACTAAATCTTCTAATTATGCTTAAACTACCTCGTCGCAAAGATAAGTTGTGGATGGTAAGTACTCCCCTGCAGATTGGATACAGGTTTTCCTTGCGCAAGTGGCTAGCGTTGGGTTGACAAACTCGCTGAATGAACCTAGCTCACAAATCCCTCCCTAGCCCTTGGGCTTCAACATATACTATCACATTCTTCAAGACTATCACAACATCCATAAATTTACTAATTCCCAACACCAAATCTACAGGGCTCAAAGACGCTATGCCCAAAAGACTCCTCGCAAGTAACTATACAAGGAGTAGTTCAAGTAGAAGAAGGAAATGCCTCCAATAATTCATTCTCCTATTTCGAGGTCGTCACAACGCCTTCATACTCTCTGCTCGCGATGTAGTCGAGAGTGCGCTGGAAATGCCGCCGCGGGTTCTCAAGAGAGGAGGCATTCTCGTTAGATTGGAGGTTTGAGTGGATGAGCTCGATGAGGCCGTTCAGGTATTTTGTTGTCACCTTTGTGTGTTAAACACTTCATTAGATAGTAGAATGGGAATATGGCTTACAGCATCGTTCTCTTGGTCGAAGTAATATACGTATCGGTTCAGAATCTCAACGAAGAGCTCGACAGATACTGCAGCGTCCATACAAGCATCAGCGACACGGAGCGCGCGCTGCAGACACTCAAGTACTCGCTTCCCGTCGCGGTAGAGCTATAGGAATCAGTCAAGCACCCAAACATAGCAAGTCAGCAGACGTACATTCTTCGGATCCTCCTCGCCCAACGCTCTTATCTCCGTTGCCCACCATAGATGGCTCGCAAGGTAGACAGCACGACATTGGTCAGGTTTCTTCAGCAATTTGCTGCCATGTAGAGCACACTTTGTAATTAGAGTGTCGTAGTTCTCCTTCCCGAAATTCCGAGTCGTATGTAAGGCACTAGCAACAACACACACAGCCTGGAACTGTGCCCTCGAATCGCTAATGGCCTCTTCATATATAGTGAATGCCTGAGCGAAGAACTCGTAGGCAACTTCTTCGAAGCCCGTTTGATCAGCGATTTGACCGCAACCGATGAAAAGCCTAAGAGACAGGTCCGCAGAACCTGCAACACGGGTATACAGTGTCGAAATTGCGCTATGCATGAACTTGTACAGCGCGGAGGATTGTGAAGACCAGTTGTCCTCGAAATGCTCACGAGCTTTGTAGCGCCGCGCGAGTTTGAGAGACGCAGTGATGAGTGCAGGTGTAGTGTACTTGACGCGCTCGTTGCCATCTACGAAGGCTTTTCGGGCCGTCTGGAGGAGCTACGAAATATGTCAGTCAAACTTCTAAATTCGCCAGGAATAAAACGTACTTTGAATTGAGTGTCGTTGTCCGTGCCATGAATGAGATGTACTATTCGAGCAAGCCACCCTTGCTCTTCTATCGTTTCGTCCGTCTCCATTGCCTTCCTCTGAATCGGGCCCCCGGGATAACTGGTCGCTTGCTGGATCCCCTCTCGAATTAGGACCTTGAGGATTTCTAGCACGCTTTCCAGGTTCTCCACAGAAGTGATTGGAGTCTGGTTCCGAAGCAGACTTCGAGCGACCTCACCGGCTACCGCCCGACGAGTAGGATAAGGCTGGGAGTGCAAAAGAGGAATAAAGCTTGGCAATGCCAACGCAGTGAAAAGAGAGATGTAGGTTTTGATAGGGGCAAGGAGAAGACTCAAAATCTGGCTCTGGCATGCTTGCGAATGCAGGTCAGCGCTGTTGGCGTATTCTGATACCTTTTCGTTTGCGAAGGAGAGAACTTGGTCGACATAGTCAAGTCGCTCGGGATAGACGTTTCTGCCGGGATTAGCTAAGTTATGGTTAACTAGAGACTAGGGTTAACTTACAGGGCAAGATTTGTTAGCGAGACCAACAATCCAATAGTGTCTTGGATTGTTAACCGTTGCATCTTTACGAGGGTCACAACCTGTTCGTGGAATATCTCGAACAATTTCACGTTCTTAGGTATTCCACGTGATTTTTCGATCTCACCGTCTAACTCTTTGGTTTCAGTCTCGTTTTCGGGTTCCACCACTACCGTCGTAGAGGATGTTGTCGACGCCTCCTCCGCGCCGGCATGGGGCTCTTCGAGGCTGTTGCCATTCGGTTGTGCTGTTTTTGATACCAGTTCTTCGGCTTTCCTCTCTTTAGCTATCCTCAATTGCTCCATCAGCTTCTCAATTGATTCTTCTTCATTCTTCTTGCGTTGTTCGGGGGTTTCTGTCTCCGACTCCCTCTGTGCATACGCAGCCAATCGGTCCATCAATCCAACGACAATAGCCTTGACGTTTACATGCGGGTTTAATCGAGCGGTTGCGGAGAGAAATTGATCGAGGGTGTGAAGGTGAAATTCGTCAGGGAAGACCTGAGTCACCACTACACTCAAGATTAGCCAATTGCCTTGGAACCGATGTGTTGACAGTACCTTCTAGCAGATATTCTTGCGCCAAGACATCCCTACACTGGACGATCTGCTCCAGCAAGGGATTCAGGATTTTCTTGTAGTTCTCCAGATCCACCAGTTGGCTCAGTCTAACCAGATTGCTACCTACGAGGAGTTGCAGTTCTTGGCGCTCCTTCGTCCTCTGTTCCCGCTCTCTCGAATGTCCCTGATGCTGTAGTCGAACCCACAACTTGTTCATTTCCACGAAATTCGTGAGAATAAAGCTAATAGAGTCTTGGAGATTTCCTTCGGGGCCATCGCCATCGCCCGTGGGGAGGCAGTCCCGTGCTTGACCAGCAAGGTAATACCGGAGGAATAGACCTCGAATAGGATGTTGCACCCCGCGGCTCATCTCCATCATATCCTTCATGATCTCCTTTACCGGCGCATCTTCAATGGCCATGTAAACGGTGCCCACTGTGACCATGAGATACAGGCGGGGTATAATATTTCCTGCATACTGAACAAGCTCGTACAGATCGGCGAGGTGGTTCACGGGGTGGTTATCGCGGAGGTAGACGGCGAGATGGCGGAGAGCGTCGAAGACGGCCATGTACAGCTCGTAGTACTGCTTAGGCCCAAGGCTACTAGTTCGCAACTCCGACACCAATGTAGAGCTATGCACACAATTTGTCATCATCTCTAAACACTTCGCGGAAGCTGGTGGCGTACCTGCACTTGAGCGCATCCATCAACTTCCCGGGTGTCTCCAGGCATCGCCGCATGAGCATCGTCTGCTGGCGCACGACGGCCAGGGCATCTTCAAGCAGACGAGCCTGGTCTTCTACCGGAGGCGGCGACGCCATTGCAGGTGGTGAACGAGTGGATTCCGGGGTGGGTTGAGCTGGAGGATGGGGGTAGAGTTGCTGCGAGACCCGCATGCTGCAAGCTTGCCGTCTTGACGTGCGCTTACCTAGCTTAGCTGTGGCTGAGTGTGGCGCACCTGCCCGACGACTGGACCAATCTCGCTGGCCATACCATAGCTCGAGCAACGGTATTTATACTCTTTTCTGAAAATAATTATTAAACATTTGTCTCATTTTCTATCATCTATCGTACATAACCAATGCTGCTATATTTCGAGCAGCCCTTAAACATTACGCGCCGTCCCAATGCAGTTCATTCTAAATCATTTACCTTACCGTGATTGCCCATTACTCATGCATCATCCAATATACACGTAATATGTAAACTCCCTATACCTATACAAAAAGAATTCCTATGCAGGATGTTCCACGTTTCAGTTTATGTCCGAGAAATTTATGTCCATTTGGACCCGAACACCAACTTCATTTACAGTATCCAGGCTCGTCGTCGACCGGGGATTTGGGTGTGATTGTAGGATGAGGCAGATGAAGCGTCCAGGGTAGGTAGAAGAACGGAAGGCGTTGAAAGGGCGGTTATCGTTGGTGTCCTAATTTGAGTAGATGTCGAGTTCAGGACAGTGGTCACCACAGTCTCAAATGTCTTCACTGGATAGCTTGTGTGCCACAACCCATTGTCGTAGTACTCGGTAGGGACGGCTTTGGTGGCAGTGATGACGACTGTAACAATGCTAGGTTCTCCAGTCTCAGTGGGGTTCCCGGAAGAAGTAGGGGGCGGCAGAGGGGGGCTCTCTGGAGTCGAGGCCATAGCAAATGAGATAGTGGGGATGCTCGAAGGGCCAGACGATATCGTCTCCGGGGCTTCAGAGGTTGGGTCCGGGGTCAGATGGAAGGGTTCACCCCACGTCGAGAAAGAGCTACTCGAAGATTGTGATGTGGTAGAAGCGGGTTGGGTCGAGACGACGACCGTAGTGACCTTGTCCGTTACCGTCGGGGCAACGTCTGTGACCCTCACTGTTTTTGTCTTAGTCGTTTCTTCGATGACAGTTGTCGCTTCTTGGGCAGCGGTGGATCCTCCGTCAACGTTGACGATTGAGTAAGACTTCGCGCGGGGGACGAGATGGTTTTGGGGTTTCGAGGGGCCATCGAGGGGTAAGGCATGCGACAATGTTGAGAGGTAGAGAGCCAGAACCGAAGACACAAGATTGAACAGCATATCGAAGTGTATTCAGGGTGGTTCGCGATCTACAAGCGTGTTGAGAACGTTCCTTTGATTAGGATGCTGTGAGTTTGACCGAGAAGGGTGAAGGAACATGAAGGGAAAGACAGGGGAAATTCATATATGGAAAACATGACGGCAATGGGTTGGACAAGAATTGTGATGGCAGGAAATTCGATGGCTGGAGTTTCACCATCTGGAGGTTGGGCGTTGGTCTGTGCGTCGGGAGATCGACGCCAGGGTTTTTTAGCGAAACGCCTCATGGCAGACCATTCCCTTTCCTCCCTACAGTACCCAATTCGAAAACTGATTAAATTCAGCCCTCCACTTTCGTACCCGCAATGACCTTTGCCTTTGGAACAAATATTATAGAGGAAGGAGGTAATGTGGAAGCAGAGTTACGATGGCTGCAGACCCGGCCACTGCCCTTCCTAAGCCTTCACCTTACCTATTCTTTCATTTTCATTTCAACATCACCATGCACTAAATCAGCCTCATGACGGTTGCCAATACAAATATTTGACTGGTTCTAGGGATATTGGTCTTTTTTTTCACTATCAATTCGTTACTCTTTATTACTTACTCTCTATCGTCTACAACACTCCCGTCGGGCCTCCTGCCGTGCATGTCGCAACTGGTCGCCCCTGGTTCAAAATGCTATTCTCATTCGGTGGAATGAACTGTGCACAACGACCAAATTGATCACATTCGCCATCATCATTCCTACAAGGATCTCAATTCTGGTCCTTCAGAAGGTTGAGGGTAGACAATGAGCTCATAACTTACCCAACTGTGCAGGCTACCCCCGCATTCCCAAAGGTCTGAGATCCTTTGCCGCTAGCGAAATTACTGAATGCATCGTCTCGGAGCGCAACTTTGACAGGAGTATCTGGTATCGGTCCTAGTAAATCTGTTGGTAAATTGGACGACTGAAAGTACACGGGCCATATGCATACCAGCTAAAGCATAGCCCATTGCGAGAGCAAAGGCAAAAGCAGTAGCCTTGAGGCAAAGCATTATCGGTTGCTGTGTTGATTGAAGAAATAAAACTTGTAAGTTATTTTGGATATATGTGCCGATTATGAATTACCGACCGGCGGATAAGAAGAGGGTTTCAAAAAGAAGGCTGGTAGTTTGAGAAAGAATACTATCGATTCTGAGCATAAGAGCCTCGACGAGCTTGCTACTTATACTTCCATTCGATCACCTATGTTGTCGAAGTGTGCAAGGAATCGTCTCGTTCTCTCCATCATGCACTAACGCCAAGAGCCTGATGAGACTCCCTCGAACATCACCTCACACTGTTAGGCAACAAAGTAGGTAAAAGAAACTAGGCTACGTCCTACCTGAGGTCGGCTTGGCGACGAAGAAAAAAAGGCCGACTTTAAAGCCTGAGGGGTTTCGGCCTCGAATCAGTCGCAGCACACCGGATGCGGGAGTCGAAAGTCCTTGGCACAATGGTCTTACAGGAGGTGACAGGTGAGAGTATTGGGATGCGGTTTCGAAGCTAGGAGGTACCCTTGAAGGCTGGAGAAAATTTGGCGAGGTGATTTGAAACTCGCAAGCTAATCCCTGGTAGCCCCACTGCTTCATCATCCCGTTCTGACCTTGTCTAAACGAGATCATCTTGAGATGGTTTTACAAGAGGTCATTCGATTTTCCAGGGTATGATGCCTTATTTCTGTTTGAATGCGGGCCACTTGGTCACTTGTCTCCCTGCTTTTCTGACAATCACCAGGTCAAACCAATACCAGTATAGTCCTCAATATAGCAGATAGAAACACAAGACCAAGGGATCGAGATAACTTACCAAACCCAAATTCATTGTGAAAACTAATTTTCAGTCTTTCCAATAAGAGTTAGCTCCCCATTGTAGTTCTGGAACGCGGATGTGAACTTGGATGGGATGAGGCTCGCGTCACCCCATGTCCATGCAGAGATATCGGGGATTCCCTATTTAGCATTAATTTCAGTGCTTACTATTTAAGTCTTTATATAAAATAACTTGCATTCTTGGGTAGAGCGAATGCAGACAAGTTTAATACGAGTCTGTCCCAGAGATCATCGCTCAGTTCCAATCACTCACGCTGGCTGCATCAAATTCCAATAATCTTCTTCAAAGAACTCATCAGATCCTTCGGATCCTTAATTGCTGTCCTAAAATCCTGGGCTGCGTCATGGGCTGCTAACGAGCAATATCTAGCGACATGAGCGAGAGCAAATGTGCCACATTGGTTCATCCACCTTAGTACCTCATTGACATTTGTACCTCAATTGCCTAAGCATCAAAGCAACACTGGAGGTTTAATTATTTACCGAGTAGGAGAGAGATTTTCATTTCGAGATGGTAAGGAAGTGTGGATGCTGACTGAAGAGGAGTACTACTTAATACACCGAGAGGGTCTATGGCAAGCGTGCCAGTGTCTAACAACAAACATTGAAAGGGAGAGTTTGAACTGTTTTAACTCCATCCCAGAGTTGGGGAGAGCGTTCAGAAGAATTGGACGTTTTCGTGTAATTGAGGAAGTCAGAGATGTAACAACTGGCCTTTGCTTTGCTAAAAAGACCTTCCGGTTAGACGCAGGCCGATTAGACGAAGCTAAACAGATTCTCCGTCACGAGGCTCAAACTATTCGGGGCCTGGCACCACACCCTCACGTCATCCGAATTCACACGACCTATATTGTTGAGAAGAAGTTAGCTGTCATTCTACAGCCTGCTGTTAGTCAAGGAGCCCTTGCTACATTTCTGTCAATCTTTAGAAACGTGGGCGAGGTGCACCCAAGAGCATGAAAATGCGTTCATTATACGAAGAGCGTTTGGATGCCTACCCCGTTGCATGGACTACATGCATAGCGATGCGCTTAGCCACATGCTATTCATCAGAAACAAGGATGCCAAACCTCGTAACATTCTTTTTCACCAAGATTTTACAGATTTCGGTTTATCAAACCACTGTACTCACCGGCATACTACTACTAGCGTCAGGCCAGCGCAGTTCACGGCAAAATACTGCGCTCCCGAGGCCGCGGACCTTAATAACAGGAACAGGAAATCGGACATCTTCTCGCTGGGTTGCGAGTTCCTAGATATGTTCGCTTCTCTCTACTCAAACGTTGTGTCAGACACCCTTCTTCTTTGGGGTTCCTCTCATCCATACCACCGCAATATCATTTCTGCCTGCTATCGTAAGGGACATGCTACATAGAGACCAGACAGAGTGAGCTTCTGCCTAAGATCCAGTACGTGAGCTTAGAAAAGACCAAGGCGTGTTCTAGTGTTCTAAGTGCAGATATGAGTGGTTCGTTCCGATACGGAGCCTAGCGATGACCGATAAACACTTCGATTACAGAGTTTGAGCAAAGTTTGAGCATCCAGATGCCATTTACATACCACATGAGCAACACAACCCAATTTTGACCTTACCCAACAATCCTAACACTAGATGTTACAATTCCTCTCTGCGTCGGAAATTCACAACAGAAAAAGAGAGGACAATACGGAAGTTCTCAGACAGGGCTATTTTCAAGAGCACGATATTATTCCCATAGAACTAGACTCCTTTTACTCCGGGCCGGGACCTGATACTTTCGGCTAACGTTTCTTCAATTCATGCCTTAGTCGCGGGAATTCGTCCTCACCAATTTACCGCTACGATGCACTCAAGATGGGAACATTTTGTCACATGTATTTTGGTGAGTCAGGCACACTAACGAGTGAAGATAGCTTGCTGGATAGTCTGAAGCAAGCTGCTGATGTGTTTGACCCTCAGATGCCTTCCGAGGACTACATTGACCGGTCCGCCATACTTCTGATAATCTCGGATACCCATCCTTCGGGTTATAGAGCTAAAGACTTATCTTCCCATTATCAAAAATGCTTCATATGTTTAGATTGTCCAAAGCGTACCTTGAGTCAGCAATACGATAGAATGAGGCATGATTTGTCGAACCACTAGTGCCCATATTGGGATTGCGCTAGAAGGTGTTTCTCACCCGGAGAGGATTGGAGCAGCATATGAAGCTGCATCTTCAGTATCTGTGTGGCTCCTGAGAAACCCAGGGGAACTTGCACTGTATTTCCTTTGGATTGGCGCATTGGAGCGCCACTTCAATGCCTGTCACGGCTCCAACACGTTTGTATGGCGCCTAATTCCCGATGCCAGTATCCACTGCGTTCTCCGTTAGAGGAACTTCAATTTGACAAATTCTTCGATTCAGTAGATGACCTCTTTAGTCATGTCGCTGCCGTTCACACTAGTTATTAGAATTAGAAAGCAAACCTTCGCACATGTCTAGCAGTCTGTAGTTGTACTAGCTCACATCTGCATTAGACAGATTCCTCCAAAATTGGCGGATTAGACTTAATTCGAACGTAAGGTCCACTCATCTCCATTCATATTATGAACTGGTTTTGTTCCTGAAACAAAGGATATTGATGGCCACGGTTAGTTAGCTAGCCTAAGATAAGAGGGTAACCCGAGACAGATGGAAAGGTGGACACCGGACACCGGTTTTTTTGACGCCCTTTCAAATGCCCCACCTTTTAATTCTGCTCCATCAACCAGTTGATGGCAGGGGCTTCGGTTTTGAAATCGGCCTGAAACTTTGAATTCGAAGGCACTTTCGCGGAGACGAATCTTCGGCCTTCTCAGCCCCCTTATGCTGGGTTTGTAGCCTACAATCCCACTCTTGACAAATCACAAACTCTCACCCATGGCCTTGACCATCCACATTATCAAACGTAAACATTACATTATACTTAATATCCAACCAAAACCGCTGCACCAGCTCCAAACAGGGCGCCCATTCTCACAGCCCCAGTCATCATTGGTATTGCCGCACCAGTCGAACTACTACCCACCCCTGTGCTAGCAGGCCCTGGGCCTTTAGATGTGGGATTCACGGTTGTAGTCGGTGTGGGTTGTCCAGATGTGAATGGGACGTCGGATACAGAAGAGGCACCAGTGAACCCAGGGGCACCAGATGTGGCGGATAGAGTTGGGCGTGCAGACGTTGCGTTCGGGTTGAGAACGCTGAGTGGAATTAGCATTTACACAAAAAATGGGGAGTGAGTAGTGCTTACTTGTCGATAACGTGAACTACACCGTTTGCGACGAGTACATTTGGCGTGATAACCTTCGCAGAGTTCACGAAAACAGTGCCGTTAGCATCAATAGTGATGGTGATATTACCTCCCTGAACTGTCTGGATGCTCGTACCGTTCATCAAACTAGCCGAGTAGGCAACAGTACCGTTAACAACGTGGTAGGTTAAAATATCGGCGAGGTCGGACACGGAGAGATTTGCGAGTGCAGAGCCGATAGATTGGAATGCACCATTTGTTGGCGCGAAGATAGTTAGATCGGGGGTTTCGTTGATAATAGAGGTGAGGTTTGTGGCATTCAGTGCACCACGAATGGAGGTTAGGTTTGCGGTGGAGGCAGTTTCAGAGACAGAGATAGGGAGCGTGAGGACGGAGTCGACGACATGGATTATGCCACCGGTGAAATTGATATTCTAATCAGCATTGTGTTAGCGCGTGTTTTTCAAATTTAAACCAAAGAGGCTTCATAAAGGCATAATGGAAGAGAAAAAATGGAAACATACAGCCTGCGTAACAGTCGAATTTTGCAACAACCCGGAATAAAACACAGTCTCATTCCCAATCATAACAGCTTCGACCCTCTGTCCACCCGTAACACTACTATAACTCTCATTCATCAACAGCGTGGGGATAAACATGCTCATATTTGTGATCATACTGGCGGGATATGTTCCATTGAGGACGTGATATTGCAGCAACGCGCTCACCAACCCGGAGTCAGAAGCGAGTGCTCCGCCTGCAGAGGAACTGAGAAGCGCAGAGAAGGCGTCATTGTTGGGCGCGAGAATGGTGATATTTTGGGTTTGGCCAAGGGCTTGGATGAGGCCTGGGCTGGCGTTTAAGAAGGTAGTGAGGTTCGAGAGTTGGGAGTTTCCGGAGAGTGTGGCGTTGAGGGTTTGGTTTGTTGATTGTGTGAAAGCATAGTTAGCTAGAAAGAGGAGGGGCAGGAGTGTGAGCTGCATGGTGAGGGAATGATAATAGACTAAGGTGTATATGAGGGAATGGAGAGCTTAGTTTTAGAGAATGAAAGGACCCTAAAGGAATTGACTGTAGACAGATAACGGAAGAAGAGGGGAAACAGAGCATTTATGTATGGGAACAGATGCTACATCCCACTGTCCCTAAGCCCACTACTTATGAGGTCAATGGTCAAGAAAGACAAAGCCACCCAAAGCCTACTAGTTCCTCGGCATCCCAGATCCATTGTGGCAATCCAGTGGCCATGTTTCCAACATGTATCCTCGGCATTCCAGCTCTCTCCCCAGCCAATGACTCCCACACGATTTTCCCCATCGTATGCATCCCTATCGTCACAACACGCCAAGACCCTCACGCCAGGCCAAAATTGCTCGATGACTTACGCAACCGCTTGGGACTGGGTAGATGTCGAGATTTGAAATGTTGCAGTACCTCAAAGCGGTTAGCACCGTCGCATACATAGCGGGAAACATCGAATGCTTCCCGCCCTCATCTCGTGTCCCCCTCTTAATTGAGGCTGTGAAGACAGGTGATGATTCATCGTATCATGGGATGGATATTGAATTAATCTCTTCGGAAACGAAAACTTGATACGCATCGAAAAGCTTTGATAATATCCTTGAGGCATGCGACAAACCGAGGCCAAAATTCATTGCCAAAGGCTTAACAGCATGCCCATCGCCCAGTTGAAGCAAGAGGTGAAGTCCAAAAGAAAATGCCAAAGATCCCGGTTGATCCGAGCCCGGGCCTTCGAATCGTAGCTACCCCAAAAAATCACTCGCCTTACTAGTCTTGGCATACGCACTTGATCTAGCGAGAAGGGAAATGCTAAGACCGGCCACGATGTCATTCGGCACAAGAGCATTTTGCATACGTGGCGAAGCATCGCGATGGAGAAATGGGATATTCGATGAGCGGATCGAGGTTTCAAATTGGAGGAAATTTGACCATTGGTGTGTGGCTGTGAAAACCTGTTTCCAGGGCTCTGTGAGGGATGCTATTGGGCGCTGGGGGTGCAGAGGAAATGTACAAGGGTTCGAAGAAGTGGGATACGAGAGAGAAACATGTCTCCATTGATGCTTTGCCGGGGTTAGATGCCCCCCCTGTCATCACGTGCTCATTTCGAATCCAAGCACCGTAGTGCCAAATTCGAATCTTGCCCTAATAATACAACCATTGAACAGCCTAACTCAATCCTATCCCAAACTCCACGCTCAATCCCTTTATTCAAATCCCTGAACCAAGGAACTAACAACATCAAAGAGACGCTTTCCTAAATCAGTTCATCATTATCCATCCTCAAATCTGGTTCAAACGTTTGCTGCGTATGCGCGTTCAGAATCCTCGTAGTAAAGCTTTTCGCAGTTCTCGCCGCACTCTTGCGAACTTCTTGGTTTCCAAGAAGGGTGTCCCATGTCCAGAGAATGAAACTCCAAAGAGGTTGGCAAAAAGGTCGTAACAGCTTCCGGTATAATACAGTAGGGATTACATAAGGGAAACACGGGGCGTCCCAGTCAACACCGAATCCGTGCATGGATGTTGCGTAGAATTTATGGCAGTATTGGTCGCTATGATGCCGTTAGTCTGCAAGAATGATGGCGATTGAGTACAGTGTTCATACCAAGCTAAAGACTCCAAAATATACCAGATCATGAGTGCAACAAGTGCGATACTCAACCACGTGAGGCTAGGTTTCCGTCGATCGTAGAACAGTGCACTGGCCGTATTCCACATCGCAACGAAAGGGTTATTCTGGTGACCTTCTTCAGCACACGGACACTCCCGATAGACGACTCTTACTGCATCGCTGCCTTCTTCAACATGTTCTACTCGGTTCTCTACCCTTTTCATGCCCCGACTAGCATCTCGGATACTCGTACGTGCAGCCCGTAACCGCTCATTCATTCGATGCAGGTGAAGGAGTTCCTGCTGCCGCTGTCGTTCGGCTTCGTTTCGTGGCACGCCTGTGGGGATTCCTAGTCCTAGAAGGGTGTCTTCGTCTAATTCTAAGGCCTCAGAGTTATCGGCGCCTTCTCCCATCAAGTCTTCTAATGAATCAATGGTGGAATCTCCATATTGGTCATTAGATTGACGGCTTCCTCCATTTGCCTTTGCTTCCTCCACAATTGCCTCCAACGCTGAGCGTGGGAGGGTGGGTCGGATCCTATCCATGGGCTCTTCTGTAGGTTCTTTTAGTTGGGGTGGGTTTTGCTTTTCTGGAAATCTCTTGCTTGGACTCGTTTTCTTCGGAGACCGTGAAGGAGACCTTGACGTATCTTGGGACCGATGTGTTGTACGAGGAGCAGGGGTATCTACCCAAGCACCTGTCACGACAGGTGTTTTGGCATTTAATGGTAGTTGATCGACTGGCATAGGTGTGTCATCGATGTCGTTCGTTTGATTTTCTGGATTTGATTCCGGTACGACATCTGGGAATTGGGGCTCTTCCGCTCGACTAGTACCTTCGGGCTGAACTTCAGGGGCCGTTGCAACGGTTTCATTCGTGGTATTGTCTTGCGTAGCATTATCTGTAACCGGAGCATTGTCAGTGGGGCCCGGTGTCTCGGTAACTGTTCTTTGTGACCCATCGCTCGATTGCCTTGCCGGGGCTGCCTGAGACCGTGAGGCACCGATTCTACCAGGACTAGGTGTGCTACTTGACACCCTGGCGAGCCGGCGTAGTAGCTCGTGTGAATCTTCTCTGCGGTGGTTAGGTCTTTGCGGGTTTGTCTGGGCATTCGCGTGGATGCCTCGGTCCACAATGCCGACTGTCTCCGCGCTTTTGTAGACGATAATCGGTGAATTGGGGGCTTGCTCTCCTCCCTCTACAGTGAAGGACACTGATTTGGACAAGCTCTTAGTGGAGTTCGTCCTCTTGCGCAGATGTACTTCAGATGAGCCTTGCGCTTGCGCTTGATCTGACGTCGAGATACCATTCGTGAGGTTATCCATTGAGGGCTTTGATCTCGGACGGCGCGTTTCTTCCGGCGAACTCTCCCTTATCCTGTCAAGGCGACTCGTTGTGACGGCCTGCTCTTTGAGACTCTCAATCTCCCTTTGTCGAATGTCGTCGAGGGCCGTATTTCGAGGGAGGTAAGGAGTAGAGGCGATTAATGACGCCTCATTGAGGTCAAGTGTGAAATCCCAGTCCGGTACTGTATCGAAAGCCGTGTTTCGCCGGCGAGTTGAGGATGGCGTGCCCTGAAGGGAACTCTTGTGCGAAAGGGGGCTATCTTCTACAGACGGGAGCGGCCTGTCTACATCTGCAATGCCTATCGCGGAGTTTGCGCGCGGGGGAGTCAAATCTTGCTGAGTCCCAGGCTTCTGTTCATCGTCCGACGCGATAGTTCTCATCCAATCTCTCCTCACTCTTCCTTTACGTCCCCACTCTGAAGGTACTCGTATCGCTGGATCCGATCCACTACTACTCCCAACACTCGGCGGACTTGCAAACATGACCTGCGCGCTGGGTCGCATGTCCACACCATTCGCGCCATTATTCCTCTCCAAATTTTCCAGCGTGAGTCCCACATGCGGACGCACCCTCGCCTTCCTGAACGGCTGCACATTCCCCCGCAACGCGTCATTCAACCGGCGCTCATCCCGCGCATTCTGCACCATCAGCCTCCCAAAGTCGTCCGTATCGTCGTTCTCAAGCGAGGTGAGATTAGAGACAGTAGACTCTGAGCCTTGGGTGTTGTCATCGTGCGCCCGCTCGTCCATGGTATAGCGCCCATCGAGATTGGCGCCGACTTTGGTGATGTATTTAGCGGCGACGATGTTCGGCGAAAGCGGGGAGAGGGGTTGGAGAGGGCGGCGCGCACTCATGGGATGGCAATTGAGTTATTTAGGGGTGCATGGCCTTTGGTTTTCAAGTGCGCCGCTGTATATGTAATAGTCTGGGTGAATGAATTGACACTTTGCTTTGTTGTCGTCGTGGGCGCGTCGGAGAGGTTGGGTGTAAAGTGGCACGTGCGTCACCATCGTTTGCTGAGTGATCTGCACCAGGGTTACGAAACAAAGTGACATTCACAGTTCACCAGCCAATTAGATACTTCTCCCTCCCATTCCAGTATTGGACAACCACTAACCCTCAAGTGTGGTCGTTGTTCAGCCCAAGGGAGATGTCAAAACAAATCATTTCAAAGCATTACATATTTCATTATTTCTGTGTGATTTGGTCTCACGCCTCTTGATCATCAATCGCCTCCAGTCTCGCCTGAACCATTCCGGGATCAGGTCGTCCCTGCTCATCTGTCCACGACCGCAAGACTTCTTCCCGCATGATACGCCGCGGAGCTCTCTTCCCAGTAAACAATTCGAACTGTGCGAAACCTTGCTCAGGTAGAAGATCCAATCCATCCAAACAGATCCATGATCGATGGGCCTCTCCTCGCACCTGTCGCATCAAGGGAGTATTCAGGGTTCTGTAGGCTAACTCAATAACAACACCTCCGGTGGGGCTCTGCATCCATTGCGTGGGCAGAGTGAAGTTTGGGGCTGGACTATCACCAACTGGGTGGGTAGGGATGCAGGAGAGAATCATGGTCGGATATCGGAGCTCTGTGGGCCATGGATCGTCTCGAGACTGAAGAATTCGAAATAAAGGCCGAGACCCTTGCCTAGTGATTGGAGGCAGTACCGGAGAGCTTAATGGAGAAGAGACTAAACGGTTGAAATGGGCGACAAGCTTTTCGGCGTTCGCACGAGTTCGATTGAAGATGACAATGTTCATGACTCCCAATTGTAACATTGCATATACAGCAGCTCGGCCCATACCCCCCGATCCGATGATAAGACCACAGGAATTCGGTCTCACCGCGTTGGCAGGAGACAGCCCTCGGCGTATGCAGGCCCGGATGCCTATCCAGTCAGTATTTTCTCCATAGAGGGCCTTGATCGGCCCAGCTTGATTTCGCTCGTGGAATAAGTCCAGTTCTTCAGGGATACTCCCGTCTTCATTCAAATGACGCACGGGGATAAGTGTGTTCACTGCCCCAATTGCACGTGCATGTCGACTTATGGAATGCGTCAACGATATCACCTCGATTTTGAAAGGCAATGACACGGCAGTGCCGCCAAAGTGAGGGTTCTGGACCAAATCTTGCAAACTGTTCAAAGTCGGGGTCTGAAGTCTCTTAAAGTGATGTGGCATCCCACACGCTTTATACGCAGCATTATGCATCGCCGGCGACAAGCTATAACCAGCGCTAGCACCAATGATATAGAACTCCATCGGATCGTATGTAAAGGATGCATACAAAGCATGTGTAGCTTCTCGAGAAGTTATCCATGAAGTCTCTGGGTTCGCTTCGGCCCGCTCTGCGAAATGAGGGCTTTCTCTCAGAGTTTCCGGTATAACGCTAGTGAGAACTTGGTTGAAACAAGCGGAACGACGCCCAGACCGACCAGTGTTGAAACATATCAACGGAATAGTTGAAGCAAGTTGATATATCTTGTTTCTGAAGCTTTGAATTGCAGCATTGTCATCCATAAAGTTTGCAGGCCGAGTAAACCGGACAGCGTTGCACCCTAGAAGTTTTGCTTTCTCATAATTCTCAACCCAAAAGGGATCATACCAGTCTATTGCGGCGTGGAGATGACCGATGATTTTCGTTGAGCCCCGACATTGGATGATGTCAAGTATTGAATCTTGGTCCAAGGAGAGATCGATGGTGGCATATTCTGGAGCCAATCGTAATCCATGCCGCACATATTCGAGGTATGTTGATCGAGATTCCGCACTTGCCGCCGAGCCAGTAGGCATAACGTGATAGATGATGGGAACAACAGTGCTTCTCCGAACTCTTGATATAGTTCGACTGATTTCCTCCACTCTTTCAAACGTTGGACCCGCCAATTGGGACTGTTGGTCCAGGGCTAGATTGCTGTGCTCGATTACGATCTCGAACGCATCCGAACCAAGTTCCAGATCTTCAATATCAGCTTCTTCGGAAAGTAGCACCGCAAGAGGAGTTTGCACCGCACAGGTGTACTTCCTACGCTCGGTTCCAACATCCGAAAGCGGATAGCCTGGTTCGAGTGGTAGAGTATTGTCTTGAACATTACTATGTGAATTCTCCTGTGCTAGAACTAAGGAGAGAAATTTGAGAAACGTCCGCTCCGCTCGTTTCAAAGTGAGGAACGGAGGCAAGGAAGACTGGTTTGCTGGTGCAACGGAATGAGAAGCTTGAGTTTCCGACATGTTGTAGAATTCATAGTTCGAACAACGTCGGAAAATGGGCCCACTGAAGGTAAGAAGATCCTGAAGCTTTGACTGCTCCCAAATCTTGAGATGGTCATGTATGCTGGGCAGATCCCGAACGATGTGAATAACGGGGTGCGTCTTGGAGTATTCAGTGAGAAGCGCCTGACCGCTCCGTTCCAACGAGCTCCCATTGCATACAATGATTGCTCCCTTGTCATGGGTCTGAAGTGCAGTGCGTAGAAGTTCTTCCTGGCGTAGATTGTGATTGGGAGCCCCAAACTGTCTCCGATATTTTGCGGTGGAGAAGCCGGTTGCTTCCTGGAACAGGCTTTCGACATCCACTACTCGCCGTCGGCACGCGACAGAGGCCATAACTGCCAATGTAGACTTTCCCGTTCCACGAATACCAATGAGGACAATAGACGCATTTGGCTCAAAGGTGCGTGAGCATTCTCTTGGCGTAGGGGCAGGCGTAGGAGTCGTTCGAGGGGTGGATCGGTTACTTGAATTCAAAGCATCTAGAATACAGTTAATACCTGGAGTTACTGGGGACTTGCACAGCTCCGAAAGAGTGGTTCTTGGCTTACAGGTCTCGTCAGCCCCTCCATTCTGTCTTTGGAGCCCGAGACTCGAAGGGGACGATCTCTGCTCTCGCGCTGGAGAAGATGGAGAGCAGGCCCATCCACTACACCGATTGCTATCATCATTCATTGAAGCGAAGCTCCTTTTCGTCCCAAAAGCCGCAGAAGCCATATTGAACCTTCTCCTATCACAGAGTTGACTTTGTCCACCGAGGGGAGCTTTCCAGTGCACACGAAGGCTTTTCTAAGGGGCGCTAGGGAGTTTTGGACAATGGCATCTAGACGACTATGAGGATGCATGCGGCGGGTCGAATGCCTCGGATCGCAACGAAGCCATGGTGGGCAGAGCACGAGAAAGTACGATGGTTGGAGGTGGGCAGGTGAGTTATGATTGGAAGGTGTAAATCTTTATCCGGAGCGGCTTGGCATCAACAGGCTTCCCCAGACTCTGGCACCTGCAAGCTCGCTTCTCCACCTTCCAGTTACTGCACCTTTTCAGCTTCATCCCATTACCAACTGTAGGACACTGCGAACGTTCTGCGAACGTTTTCTACCTAGGCAGCAATGATGTTGAATAAAGTGCTCATTGGCTGTTGTGAGTGCCCCGCTACCACTCGACTAAGAACTCGATTGACAAAGTTTTAGGAAGCTCGATGCAATCGCTAGCGATCCTTTATCACGGTATTCCCCTTCCAAGAACGGGCTCTTTCCTCCATTCCCCAGTCTGGAGACCAATTCAAATCATCTTAAACCCAAGGTGTATTGTGCTATGAGCTGAATGTTCTGCACGTGACTCGAAGCAAAAAGGCGAAACTTCAACCCGACATGCTTTCAACACCGGCTCCTCAAGCTCCAAGACTCGTGTGTTGATCCGGGAGTGTTGGGTCGATTTGAATCGCATAAACGAGATTACAACTCGCTGAATCAATGCCTTCCGAGAAGCAGGCAAGCAAGCGGAAACCAGGGCCGGCCGCGAGTGGCAATGAGAAACCTCCCGGAAAACGATCCCGCGTCTCAAGAGCATGCGACCAGTGCCGTATTGCACGAGAGAAGTGTGATGGGGTTCAGCCTACATGCTTTACTTGTTCTACCTCAACCCGAGCCTGCACTTACACGACAAACCCAAAGAAGCGGGGCATCCAGCCCGGCTATATCAGAACGTTAGAGCTTGGCCTAACATGGTTATTCAACAACGTCCCCAATGCCGAAGTGTCTCTCAACAAGAAACTGACTCAAGAAGGCGCAGCTTCTGTGTTGTTAGGAAGGGATTCGAATGATGCGAATCAACTATATAAGAGCTGGAGAAGAAGTCAGTTCTGTAAAGATGTCGACAAGCTGCTCTCTGGCCAGGAGACTCTTAGGCAAGACGAGAGCAATTCTCCAGAGAGTGGCGATGACGACAACGACGCTCAGGAAATGGCACACACAAGTCATTCCGATCCCTCTTTTGGGCACCATGATTCTATTTCGATACCACACATTCCGCTAGAGACCATGCCGCTCAAGGCTCACAAAAGTGATGACGTACAAGCCACTCTTCTCCCTTCAAATAGATGGCGTCTCTTCGATGTCTACTTCGCACACACTCATTGCTGGTTTCCCATCTCGGAGAAACATGACCTTCTCAAGATATCATACTCATATCCTGACCAAGGATTGGCCCTCTCCTCTAGTATGCCCTCCTCTGGGGACCATGCTGAATTATGGAGCATCTTAGCTTTTGCTTCTCTCCAGGATATGTCGAGCACAGGCATTTCAGAAACCGAGCCTCATTCCGCCCCTGAGAGACTGTACGATGTTGCACGTTCTCTAGTTCCTCACGAAACAGGCGCCTTCGAGCTAGGCCATGTGAAAGCATTCCTGATTCTCGCTCTAGTGAACATCAGCCAGTCCCTTCCTACCGCAGCGTGGCTCCTGGTTGGTCACGCTGCGCGTATCCTAGCTGGAATACAACACCGAGGATCACAATGCGCATCTCTTCCCAGGTTTAAACATGTTCTTGCCGGGTGCTTCCTTCTCGATACCGTTTTAGCCGTGCAACTTCAGCGACGCTCATATTTTCAATTGTCAGATATTGAGCGGATAGGAAAAGTTGATCAGGATGGTTTGGAGGAGTGGCAGCCCTGGGTTGGCTGTCTCGAATCCGGCCCATCAAGGTACCGTTCGACTATGCGCGCCCCTGTCCTCAGTCTGAGTTCCTTCAACTATCTGGTAGAGGTTGCCGGTATTATGGCTTTGTCAACCCCGATTGGGAATTCAAATCCTTCGCCACACGAGGTTATTCATAGGCTTGAGCTCTGGAAGGCGTCATTACCTGCAACCTTCGATCATATACGAAACCCAACTGCCGCCATTCCACAAACACCACCAGCAATGCTCCTACAGCTAGTATATCACTGCGCCTCCTTAAGTCTTCTTTCTTCCCAAAGTTCAGCGATGCGGATCTTGGAATTGCTCGAGCAATCTCGGGACGTGCTAGGATTAATTGCATTGCCACCACTCGTACAGAGCTTACTCGAGATAATCGTCAGGACTAGAGGGTTTGATATATCAGATCAGGGGTCAAGGATGCGCTTCCAGAAGTTTCGGAATGAATACATCCAGATTTGGTCTCGAGAATGGCGAAGCACTCCAACGAGAACGTATCACGGCTCTCCCATTAGCTTTCACGGCATGGCTGAACCTACGAGCGCTCATTCACGGCACTCATTCGAATCATCCCGCGTGCAAATTCCTACTCCTGAATCCATCCAGATTCAATTTAACCCTCCGCTTATTCCACCTAGCATCCCCAATACCAAAATTACCCGACCGCCCACGAGCTCCACGCTTCTCGACGACCTTCTACCCGACATGAATTCAGCGACCGTGCCTAACCGCCCACATTCTTTGAACATCTCAGGCTCGCAACCGCATTTGCAAGATCTCACTATTCCTGATTTTGATGGCGCCTTCGGTGCTCCGATCCTTGATCATCAGAATTCAGTAGCGTCTCGGGACTTAGAAAACTTCTTTGACGAATTAGCATCCCTCGATGGCGCAGAGCGCTTAGACAACCAACCCCAATTTATGCAAAACTTAGGGTTTGCGCCAGACGCGAACATTGCAGACTTAGGATTCGGCCAACTCAATTCGTTTCTTTCACGGTACATTCTTCCGAACGGCGAAGATCACGCATCTTTGGACCAAGCGCATATATTTGACGGGAGCTGAAATTTTAAGTCGACAAGGGCGTCATTCAAGTATCGCAAGCTATTGTGTTTCCCGGAGTCTAACCTTTGATTCAACGTGGGCCTTGATATTTGCACAACCTGTTCTAGGACTGCCTCGGTTCATCTTCTATGACGATATCTACAGGTTTACTAACCTCCATGGCCTTCTTGATTGCCTCACACACGGCTAAGGCTCGCAAACCATCGATACCAGAGCAGCTAGGCTCTTCTTGTCCCTTGATGACCTTTACAAAGTGGCTCATCTGCAGCTCAAATGGAATCCCCATTCCTGGAACTTCCAAGTTTTCGCGATCTAACTTCTCAGTCCAGCTTCTTGTAGAGCTTGGATACTTCCACATGGTCATATCCGGAACACTCAGGCTTCCCTCTGACCCGAAGATTCTGTAGAAATCTTGTCCAACTTCAGGTATCATCGGATTCTCCCCGGTTCCGCTTTCGAAGCTATGTGGAGAGACCACTGCATCGGAGAGTAGGAACGTTCCGACAATGCCACTAGCGAATTTCAACGTTATAGCCGCACCTTCATCCGCTAGATAACCCCGTTGAGACACTGTCTTCTCTGCATAAACGCGGACGATCGGACCGAACAAGTGATGGAGGATATCTATCTCATGGATGAGGTTTATAAACACCACTCCAGCTGAATCAAGTCGGCGCCACTCCGTGGGCGGATCGAAATATTCTGTCGGCTTGTACATCGTCCAAAGGCCATTGATTGCTATTATTCGACCCAGCGAGGGAAGGAGTTTCTTTGTGGTGACCACATAGCGATTGAAGCGTCGATGGTGGCCAATCATGAGTTTTAATTTCCGGGCTTTGGCGCATTTTATCTACGGAGAATTAGACATACTTGGATGGGATCTCTCTGATATGATTTACCAGTTCTTGGCCACTGCCAATATCAACTGATATTGGCTTCTCACACAGCACATGTAGCCCTCCCTCTAGTAACTCCTTTGATAATGAGACATGTGTGTGGTTGGGCGTGCACACCATTGCCGCATCTGGTTTGGCCGGTGAAGCAAGCATCTCCTCTACCGATCTGTACCAGGGACATTTCAGCCTGTCTGCCACCGCTTCTACGACAGGATTAGGATCGACAATGCATGCCAGTTCAGCATCAGGATCTTTGAGCACGGCTTCTGCATGCCTTGGGCCGATCAAACCAGTCCCAACAATAGCGATTCTAACAGGTTTGGAATTTGACATCATGAAATTGGGTATTGAAGAGCGATGTCATTCACGAACGTTTCGAGTCGAGCTTCTCTTCCAGCCTCCGTTGGTATGTAACATATTGAAGAATTTATGTTGTCCAATCTCAGATCCTTCTGCAAAACATTTCTCCCCACAAAATCTCGGGAAGCCACAAATCTCCACACCCCAGGATCTCCAGAGCTTTACCTTGCAATTTTAAATCAAGGGATTCTAGAATCCACACTGCAGGACTCTCGACCGAGGCAATTCGCGAACGAGGATGAATGCTCTTCCGAGTGGCCAAAGCGTTTTTCCCCACCAACGTCATCCACAAGGCCTTAGCCACCATCAGCGAAAAGACCAACCGCACCCAGCATCAAGATGACGGCCTCACCCGGCCAGAAACGGATGGTAGGGGAAGATAGGAATGCCCGATGCTTTCTTCCGTCTCGTAACCACGAGACCCACAAATCACCATGGTTGGCGAATAAGGAAAGGGGCATGGTTTCGCATGTTTCTCCTATCAATGCACCTTTCGCATGTAAGATGGATAGTACACTATCAGTCCCTTTCCCAGAGTACTTCGAGGAAGCTACTTTCGAATGAATCATCTCAAACCTTCATCTCAAACTTCATTTCTTCATCACAAGCCTCACCACCCCTTACCATCCTCCTATCCAATCCACAAACTCCCATCATGCCATGCCGCCCAGGAATATCCTCCATGTCTCTAGGTCGGTGTTATTCTGGCCATCCGCTCTCGCACAAACTCGCCATGGCCTCAAAATACGGCCTTCAAGGCATTGAAATCTTCTACGAAGACCTTACGGACCAAGCAAAATCGCAAAAACCTACGAATCTGTTCCCTGCTGCCCGCTACGTTCGTTCGCTCTGCTCCTCACTCAACCTCGAAATAATATGTCTCCAGCCATTCATGCACTACGAGGGCCTTCTTGATCGAGCCAGACACAACGAAAGGATCGAAGAAGTAAAGCTCTGGATTGAGATCGCGAAGGTGCTAGGGACGGACACGATCCAAGTCCCTTCATCTTTCCTTTCCAAAAACCAAATATCCCCAGACACCAACCTGATGGTCTCCGACCTCCGTGAACTCGCAGACCTGGGCCTCCAACACACCCCTACTATCAAGTTCGCCTATGAAAGTCTCTGCTGGGGGACCTACGTCGACAAGTGGGAACAATGCTGGTCCATAGTAACCCTTGTCGACCGCCCAAACTTTGGTATCTGTCTCGACAGCTTCAACATCCTGGGTCGGATATATGCAGACCCAGCTTCCCCATCTGGCGTGAATCCCAACGCTACCCAGGAGGTAAAGGACTCGATGAAAAGATTAACGCAGCAGCTTAAATCGCATAAAGATAAAATCTTCTTTATCCAGATCGTGGACGCGGAAAGGCTTCAAGAACCGCTTGTGCAGGGCCATAGGTTCTACAAGGAAGAGCAGCCAGCGAGGATGAGCTGGAGTCGAAACTGCCGGCTTTTTTATGGAGAGAGGGACCAGGGGGGCTATCTCCCAGTCCGCGAGGTCGCAGAGGCGATTATTAAAGATATAGGATATGATGGGTGGGTTAGCATGGAGTTGTTCAATCGCGCAATGGAACGGACGGATGAGGGCGTGGTTGAGGAATTAGCATCGAGAGCGGCGAAGGGATGGGGGAGGCTCGTTGCGGACCTCGATTTGGAAGTGGCGGTGTCGCTACCAGTGAAGAGGGCGGGAAACGTGGAAAAAGTGGGGGTGCAGCAGAATTTTGATGCTGTGGAGGTTGCGAGATTGTAATGGACATACATATGAGGGGTTTTGGCTTTTGAAGCGTTGGAGTGGGATACCATATATAGCATACATACATCAGGGGCGTTGTGAACCATCATATTGTTAAGAATAGACACTTAATCTAGTAGTGATGCGTACTTCGCCTTGAGCATATTTCCGTCAACACACTTACACATATATAACACTCTGTACGAGTGTAAAGGCGATATACGCTCCGAACTTTTCTTTCAACAGGGCTTGTACCTGTGGGTAGGGCGCCGAGTGAATGCCCTTAGGAGGATATTAACTTAATCTCTGTCTACCGTCGTTGTAGATAAACGGCTTTTCAAGGAGAGGAGAACAAAGTAAAGGATACTATGAGAAAGACAGAATGATCTATCATCGAATAAGGTTTATATGTCATCTAAAAGCCTTACATAGCAATAGCAATATGATATTTCAATTCCTCCCTCCACACTAGTCATTGACCAATTTTCAATCGCGCGGTACACACATCGTCAGTTCTCCGCCCCAATAGCTAAACTTGAACATTTTCAACCCTCTCTTCATTCTTCGTCTTCTCATAACTCAGCCCTGCGCCCTCAGCATCATGTCTGAACTCCTCTTCCTGATCCTGCAACTCCTGCATCACAATTCCATGAGCGTTCCTCACTGGCTTGATTTCAAATAGTCTATTCATATGCTCCAACGGAATAGACTTTGTCTCCGGGATCAGGAAGTAGACGAAGGGGATGGAGAGGATCATGAGCGAGGCGAAGAAGAAGTAGACGCCGTAGCCCATTTTAAGGAACATTTGTGGTGTAAAGCGAGAGATGATGAAATTCCAAAACCAGTTGTTTGCTGCGGCGGAGGCTTGACCGAGGGATCTATGACTCGTTAGTGAACTTGTGACTTGGCAGATTGTGGGTGGAGGTAGGCTTACCGAGTGTTCTGGCTGAACATTTCTGAGTTGATGACCCATGGCGTTCCGTTCCATGAAGGGGTATAAAAGAACGTCCATAAGTAGAAGAAGAAAATAGCTGCAATGCCACCAGAGGAGAGTTTTGAGTTCTTCTGATTAGCAGAAGGGTTTGATAGCTTGATGTAAGCACCAATGAACCACATACAGAGGGATCCTCCTGCAGCACCAAGCATGAGCAGATTGCGGCGGCCGAGGCGGTCAATGAGGTAAAGAAGCCAGAAGATTGTGACGACGGTCTTTACGACCCCGAAAATACCGGTAGTTAGAAAACCAGTGTTGGTTCCTTGGATACCAATAGATTTGAATACAGTTGGGGAGTAGTAATTTATTGCATTGATTCCAGATCCATTTTGCCATAGGAAGAGCATGCCACCGAGGAAGAAGCGCCAGAGGACCTTTCGTTGCTTAAGCGCAGCAAAGGGTTTCCAGAAGCCTGGGCCAATGTGGATTCGGTCATGCTCGATTTGAGCGTCGATGGCCGCGACTTCCTCAACAATGTAGAGGTCATCGGCCGGTAAGTTACGAATCCAGCAGAGGTTTTTCAGGGCTTGCTCACGTCGACCCTTGGTGAGAAGCCATCGGGGTGATTCCTTAATCCAAAAAGCACCCAGGAGAAGTATTCCAGCTGGGATGAGTTGCACGGCAAAAGGAATGATCCATTGCTTGTGAGAAGGGGTCATTGTTTCCTGAAGGCCATAGTTAATCCAGCTGAGGCTCATATTAGCATCAACACCACGGCCAAAGGGAATAGAGTGATGACTAACAATCCAACGAGACCACCGATCTGCCAACCAAGTTCGTAGATGCCAACCAATCGACCTCGAACAGCAGGAGGCGCCATTTCCGAGATGTAAATGGGGACCATGTTTGAGGCACCACCCACACCAAGGCCAGCCAGAACTCGACCTCCAATGATGAGACCCAATCCACGCTCTCGGTTTGCACCTAGCATCATTCCCGCGCCAAGAATGAAGACCAGCACCCAAATGGTAAGACTCCTCCTCCGGCCGAGGAAGTAGCTAGAGACATACGCACCGAAAGATCCAAAGAATGCTCCAGCTTGGTAGACGGAGACAATGTTCGCTTTGACGAGTGCCAGATCATTAGGGCTATATGATGCAAACTGGAACTCTTCGGTGAATGATGGAAGGGCTAATGTCGTGCCTATGAAGGCGGAATCGTAGCCGATCATACATGATGCGAAGGATGCGAGAGCTGCGCAAGTGTAGACGCGCCAGTTGTAGACGGCCTTTGGCGTTGGCCTGTCCTCGACGAAGGCGAGGATACCCATTTTTGGGATGATTTCCAAGGTCAACACTCTTTACTAGGACCCGATTTTTTGGATAGAATAAAGAATTGGAAGAGAAGAGTAAGAGGAAAATGGGAAGGTGACTCTAGACTCCGCAATGAACAGACCAGGGTAGCGACCAACGTATCACCTAAATATCTATCCCCGTCCGGCCTCGCGTCCTTGATCATAGAGTAGAAGCAAGCCACACCACGTGGGGATGAATCCTTACGGTGGTGTTTTCGTCTCCTCACATCTCATCAGCACGTCCAGACCTGTGGCCCTTCCTCGGCGCTGGAAGAAAAGTTTTCCAAACAACAGACACTTTCCCGTTCGCGACACATCACCGTCAGGTGGGGAAGGCTCTCCATGTCAAATTCCCCGGATTTGGGGAGCACTCCGGCTCCTTGGCGATCATTTGTCCGTGATGGACGACCGATCGTTGGATGACGGCAGTTCGATAGTTGGGTGTGGTTAAGAGTTTTTCCAGGTGGCGGGCTACAGGCTTGGCTATTCATTTCACCCACCGGATCGATGCATGCATGACTCGGGTCAACATTTTCTCGAACCCCCCGGATGAACCTTCTTTCGTATGCGAATTGATCGATTTTGTGGAAGGTTAGCGTTGTTATCCAAGCCAAGCCTCAACGTTCTCGAACCTCGGTGGAAGATTAGGTGTTTTCGTAGAGTATACGCATGTTTAAAGAAATCGATTCGGCCTCCCAAATCGGCAACTTTTAAATACGGCATCTAGATCAAATCCTTTAACTCTTGTAATTTTTTTGGGAATCATAATGTCGACAGATACAATTGTCCCCCAAACATCCCATGTTGAGAGACATGGCTACCTTTTTGGGCACCCAATCGCACATTCCATGTCTCCCCTGCTCCACCAAACCGTATATGACGGATTAGGGCTGAAATGGTCCCAATTTCCCCTAGACTCTCTTGACATGGATCTTTTCCTGAGGCTAAGGGAAGATCCAAAGTTCTACGGTAGGTAATTTTGCCCTCACTCTACAACTCATTTGCTAAGTAAACTGTATAGGTGCATCAATAACAATGCCGCACAAACTCGCAATTCTAAAGCACTTAGACGGCCTTACTCCCGAGGGCGCTGCAGTCGGCGCCGTTAACACTATGTTCCTTCGAGAAGACTGCAGTACTGGGAAGCGGCTCTACATAGGCACGAATACAGACGTTATTGGCATTCGGGACTCTTTTTACGAGAACATTTCGGATCCGGATGCGTGCTTTCACCGACGACCTGGGCTGGTAATCGGAGGCGGTGGCGCAGCTCGAAGCGCAGTATACGCATTACGAACAATGATGAAAGCAAGCAAGATTTACCTTGTAAACCGGAACCGAAGCGAAGTCAAAGCCGTTATCGACGAATGTACGGCACGAGGTTATGGAGATTCCTTAGTTGATGTGTCAACTGTAGCACAAGCTCAGCAGCTAGAAGGCCCAGGAGCTATTGTTGCTTGTGTGCCGAATTTCACTCCTAAGACTGAAGACGAGAAAGAGGCGAGAAAAGTATTTGAATGTCTTCTAGGTAAAGACCATAAAGGGGCGATTTTAGAAATGTGTTACCATCCTTCGCCGTGGACTGAGATTGCGGAGATTAGCCAGAGGATGGGGTGGAGGGTTATCATGGGAACAGAGGCGATGATATATCAGGGGTTGGAGCAGGTGAGCATCGATCAAGCTCCTTGATAAGTAAAAGAGACTCACCAATGATAGGACAAGTATTGGACAGGAAGGGGCATCCATGAAATGCCTGTGAAGAAGTGTCATCAGGTAATAGCAGCAAAACTCAGTGAGGCAAGGTTGTAGAGGATGATTAGAGGATTGAAAAAAAATGTGGCAATTAAAAGTAGGAAGAAGGAATAGAATTGAACCAAGGAATGTCTGATGACATGTATGAGTATGTATATATACTTGCTAGACGTGAGACGGCTGGTAGGTTAGAATAAAATACCCGAAATCACGCTCCGGGCCTGGAGTAATCCAATTTGCGCACTCGTCTCCACACTTCTCGTACGGTTCTCTCCTGACTTTCCCGACCCGTTTCTGTCGAAGATGGCCCTGCGGGACTGTATGAACCAATGAGTTAGTCTGCCTTTGTACCGAATGTTAGATCCGAAGGGCCAACTCACCGGATAGCTAAGTAAAGTCTACTTCCAAGCCGAACTTCTTCAATGGGGGCCGTGACATGATCCTCAGGTGGATTTGCGTTGGTGATTAAACCTCCGGCTTCCTGAAGGATAGCAATGCCTGCGGCGACGTCCCTACCATGCTGTCAATCTCAATACCCTAAATATTTCAGTTGAAGATTTTACTAACCATTCCCAACAGCCGCCTTCCCACCAAATATCAAACGCCCCCATAGCAACATACGCCAGATCAAGAGTCGCACTCCCCAAGCTCCTCACCCCATGCACCATCCCACCTCTTCCCTGCCTCCCTCCAATTTCGGCAGCCATATTAACAAAACTCTCTACTTTTCGATGCAAATTACCATCTGGTTGATCCCTCCTATCCTTCCCCCATTCGCACGAGAATACGCATCCACTAGGAGCATTCACTGGCAATGGCGGGACAGGATTTTGGACAAGTGGCAAAGGTTGATGCTCGTTTAGCCATGCACCTCGGCCATAGCAGGAGGAAAACAGCTGGTTGAGGAATGGGGCGTGGATTACGCCAATCAGGGGCTTGGAGTTGTGAATGAAGGCTATTGAGACGCAGAACATGGGAAACAGGTGGATATAGTTGACCGTACCTAAAGGAATCTCAGTTCGCACCCGTGTTTACAGAAAGGAAGCAGGTGGCTATGTCATACCATCAAGAGGATCAATACACCATGTAGGGCTGTCATCTATAAGATAGTCGCGTGATGAACCCTTGGAATACGACTCCTCGCCCACAAATCTAGAGTAGTGTTAGTACATCTCCTAAGAGGAGAGGCAGAGCCATTTAGTGGATACATTGCAGAAACACTGACTTATGCGAAGGATACTTCTTCATAACTTCACCTTTGATAAATGCTTCAACATCTACGCTCTCTCAGCTTTCGCATTCTCTCTTCCTTTAGATTCAAACCTCCAAAATTCAGACTTCTCAATGCAATAAGTGCAACCGACCTTCATCCGTTTGCGTAACCAAATCCACCGCATTCTCTTTCTGCACATGCCCCTTTTCCTCCGGCCCTCCACCTCCCATTCTCAACTTCGCACCATCAAGTAGCATCTTCCCGGCTTGTTTGCCAAGTTCGACGGCAAATGCATAGATCTCGTCCAAATAATCCCGTGAGAGCTCCATGATGCCGTGAATAGGTGCATGTTGAAGTCATACTGGATTACCAGTCGCAAACTGGCTATGGTTTGGAGACGAAGATGGATGACTGAGCCGCTAAAGTGCCGTGGCAAGCCGCGCACGTGAAACGGAGATTGGTCGGAAATAAGATTGGTATTTAGATGGCATTGTATTGGTGCTTGATTTAACGTCACGACTAGAATCTGGACGGACTGTGCCGGATAGGAGAGGGTAACAGAATGGATGATGCCGTGGAAATCCGCACCTGAAGGCCTCCGAGGATGAATGGGCAAAGTCAAAAACGCCCGGCAAAATGCTCTTCCTCCGGTCTCGCTGGCTTCTCGTCCGAGGAAACCAACATGAAGCTTGGCGAGTATGTTCGGAATACGTTCCGACGGCCCTGTAGTAGTTCTACGTCTGCAAAGGGAGGAAACACACACTGAACCTCAAGCGATCTCCATTACCCCTACCATACACCTACAAATCAACAATCAAACTCATCATGGCAAAATCCATCCTCCTCATCAACGGCCCGAACCTCAACCTCCTCGGAACCCGGGAACCCACCCTCTACGGCAGCACCACACTCCCACAAGTCATCGCCTCCGCCTCGCAGCAATGCGCCTCCTTTTCCATCTCCTTCGCATCACTCCAATCCAACCACGAAGGTATCCTAATCGACCGAATCCACGAATCCCGCGGAAAAGTCGACGCCATCATCATCAACCCCGGAGCATTAACACACACGAGCGTGGCGCTGCGGGATGCGTTACTAGGGGTTGAGATACCGTTTGTGGAGGTGCATATTAGTAATATACATAAGAGAGAGGCATTTCGACATCATAGTTATTTGAGTGATAAGGCGGAGGCGGTTATTTGTGGGTTGGGGGTTTATGGGTATGAGGCTGCGATTGGGTATGCGGTGAGGTATATTAAGCCGAGAGAGAAGCCACAGTTGTAGAGTAGAGCGGCGACGGTTGGGATGGGAGTGTTGGATGATGAGGATCCAGGTACAGGCTGTGGGTGAGATGATAGCGGATGTTTATTCCATATCCTGTGTCTGGATATTTGGGTATATGGTGTTGGTCTCAGTCAGGACCAGCCTCTTCCATTCCCGGCATCCCACCCAATCCTCCAATCTCGTTGATGAAGGTGTCAAAATCAATACCTTGATCTTCAAACAGTTTCTTCGCCTTTTCTGCAGTGGCCACCTGTCTCTCTTGCGTGAAGCCTCCCGATGCACTGCTCTCGAATTGCACCAATTCCACCCATTTAAAGAAAAGATCCTCCTTTCCCATGGCTGTAAGGCGGTCCTTGAACAACATGATTTTCTGTCGAGCCTCAGTCTCAGAGCCCTCATCCAACTTCCAGCAGTCCCACACGGCCCACTGCCCTGATTCTTGAGGTCCGACCCACACGAAAACGACTTTGCGGAGCAGCTCGGAGGAGAGCTCGTTCTTATCAAGCAAACTGGTGGCAGTGGTCATTCCAGCAAAATCCAGATCCCAGCCCTTATCCATAAGCAGGTATCCCGTCTTCTCTCTCAGTCTCCTCCCATCCAATGCTGGCAATATCCTCGTCTTGAAGAATGGACTATCGCCTCCAGCCTTCCCAGTCGCACCCTCGGCCTCCCCGAGCAAGTCCTTTGCCGTCCACCCCCTACTCTCTCTAACATATACTTCCTCATCTCTAAACCCAACATTGAACCTCCACGTTACCGGATTCCCCGGCGATTCAAAAAAGAAAGTCCATGGCCAAGGTCCCACAATCCGAAACAACATCCAATCGAAGAAAAACACCAGTCCTCTCCAAGCCACTGTCTTTAATATATCTGCCCAATGAGTGGTTGCGAAGTATATAGTAGTATCATTTGGGTTTCCGAGAAACGACAGCAGTAGTTCCCAATAGAAGGGGAATTGGACGTAAGCGCGCCATAGCAAGACTGCGACGATGGTGACATTTAGACCGACGGGTACGAGGAATATGCGACGTTTGAACCACGACGGATGGTAGTCGAGGTGTATTATGTAGACCGAGTCTTTAGAGAGTGTGGAGAGAAGAGGTAGGAGCTCAGTAGGGGCGGGGGTAAACGGTGAGGGGACAGACGGTGAGGGGAGGGCCTTTTGGGCCCGTTTTGTGGGTTTTGGCATAATCCAATGCCTTATGACGGAGATTTAGAGATAGGAATATAAATTTGGCGCATTGGAGCAAAGCACTAGTTGTTGAGTTGCAATCTGGAAGCTTTCATCGGCTTTTTAGTTAGGCGCCGGGGGGAACTTTATCCGCTTTCCGCAAGGCTTGGTCCCTACCCGAAGGGGCAGGTTACAATAACCGTCGATCACTGAGGAGTGTTACCCCTCAGGCCTGAAGTGTTAGAGTGCTACCCGTCCCAAACACAGAAGATATCATCAAAGCTCATCTTGGAGCTGCTTCTGCTCTTCTACTACCCATCATGAATACAGCATCTCCGCTAATATTTATTCCACCCTAATTCGACAGTTACCTAGTCAAATTCAATGTCCCCAACGTCCCCAAGCCTTTCTCCCATCCGATCCATCATCCTTCTAATCCACATCCTCCATTGGAATCGGCAAACCCTCAACAATCCGCATATCCCCCCTGCCCAACTTCTCCATGGCTTTTTTTGCCTCCTCGTCCCTCAACTCGCTCGTTTCTTCATCCGTCATGAGCACGAAATCATATGTTAGGAGCTTTGCGCCTTCTTTAATATCGTATTTCTTCGCTTGTTCGGGGGTTACGATGCCGAGGTCAACCATGAGGGATTCCTTAACGCCAAAGACTGCGTCGCTAGTTTCATAGGGGTCGTTACGGAGGTATAGGGCGCTGGTCATAAATATTAGCATGCCTTTATCGGCAATGTTGTAAATGAAGTTTGTGGGAACAGATGTTTAAAGGCAGGGGGGAAAAGAGGAAAATAGCGAAGAGGCTGAGTTGCACGTACGTGATAAGATGATCAAACCCCCCCTTCTCAAACATGAAATGCATATGACTCGGTCTCCACGGATGTCGTCCCAATATCCCCAACATCTTCCCAACTGGGCCATCATGCGGAATACTGTACGGCACGGGCACGATCGCCTTGAACCAAAAGACTCCTTCTTCATTACTTCTCAGCACCGCCCTGCCATCTGGTTTCTCTCCGCTATAATCTTCGTACTGCACATCATACGAGCCCTTCGAGTCTGTTTCCCAAATGTCGATTTTGACGTCAGAAATAGGCGCGCCGGATGTTGTGTGCACGGTGCAGAGACAGAGGAGGGGTGTGCCATCGGGATCGCCCGAGATGGACTGGCCTAGGGCCTGGGTTTGGGCGTCGTGCGTGTGGTAGGGACCTAGGACGGTGCCTTCGGTTGAGGAGGGCTTTTTGGGATGGTCGATAGAGTCGACGAGGAGGGAAAGGCCTAATGTATCAGACAGGAGGATGAATTCCTGCAATTACAGAGGACAATTAGCTTCGGTCCTAGAAAATCCTCTGATGGCGCCGCCAATTGCAGATCCAAGATGAGTCAATACTACCCAAAAGGATAGAAGTAAATGCATACAACTCACCTGTCGAACATCCGTACACTTCTTCCCAACCGCCGTCAAAAACTCAATACCCGCCATCCACTCCTTCGTACTCAACCTCGTCTCTCGTGCAAAATCATGCATATGGCTGACTAGCCTCTCCAAAATATATTTCAACCTCGGATCCGGTGTTTGCGAGTTTATGAGATTGACATTTTCGGTGATGTTGTCGATTGTGAGGTCCTTCAGGGGGGGTATAGAGACTTCAGCAGGATCCATAGTGGGCGGGTAGGTAATTGGAGGGGATTGAGGTAAGTCGTGCAGGGCGTGTCAGGAGGAGAAAGATCAATTGAGGGGAGAAGAGAGAACAGCGAAGAGGAAGACAGAGAGACGGGTATAAGAAGTGGAGCTCTGGGGAACGAAAGCAAGGTAAGCTCTCAACTATCTGCTCAATAAGAAATTAGAAATGATGCAAGCAAGAACGGCTTCATTCCGCGACCATATTGCGGGAATGCCACGCACCAGCAAGTCCTAGCTAGGAGGGAGGGGTAAGTTGTGTAGCTGTGGTAATTGCATCTCGGCCGACGATGATTACACACACTTTCGCACCTCATAGGTCCAATTTTTTGAAATCACGGTATGTACGGTCCTTCAATAGCTAAATTTTAGGAATTATCTCCGCTCGTGTCGCGCAGGATAGATCTATCGAGTTAACGTCGGAGGGGTGGCTCGGTAGCTGCGATGTGGGGCAAATTAAACGTTAACCGCGAGTAGGGTGTGGCGGTTGAAGCTGACAATGAGGCTGGCCATGTTGTGGATGAAAGTGCGTAGCTTTATATATCAGTAACGCATAAGCAGCTCTCGAATTAGATGAGATCGTGAGCGGATGTCGGATCACGTGCTTAAGCACCTCTATATTGGTAGGCACATATATGGAGCTCTCGAAGTCAACACCTGAGCCGTTAGTTCTAATCTGTACAAGCAACTGAGCCATATCCACCTAATAGGCCCCAACATATTCCGCCATCCGCAACACAACCCCTTCCACCCAACCCTCACGCTCTTAAAAACGCCTTAACCTTCTCCCCCCAAACAACCTGCCTCTTATAAACCGTCATACCCGGCACACTCCCCAGACCCAAACCATCAATAGCGCTTGCCAACTCCTCCCCACACCCTTCATCTTTCAACTCCTGCATCCCATACTGATACGTCTTGAACGCAAATACCAACGCCTTAGTCCGCGGCAAACGATGCAGCGTTTGGCGCTCGCATCGCAGCACCGTGTTTGCGATATTGACTTCGTCCCCCTCGCCAGCTTCCTCATTCTCACGTTGGCGTTGGCGTTCAGCCAACTGCTCCTGCGTCAGATGCGTACCCTCCAGAACATGCAACTCCCTTGTCGTCGTAATACTCCAATTTACCCTCTTCACAATCTTTCCAATTGGTAAACCCGCAAAAAAACGATCCATGCTTTTCTCTAACTTGTCGCCGTAGCCCGGGACGGGACTGTGGATGTCTGCGAGTTTCATGTTGAGTTTTTTGGCTGTGTTGAATCCAGATGGGAAACAGGTTATGAAGCCTTCGAGTTTATATTTCCCGGAGTCGGCACCGGTCGCCGTGGGGAGGAGGAACAGGAAGTCGTCATCAATGTGGGAGCCGATGAGTTTGAGAGCCTGCTCGGCTGAAGACTGGGTCAAGGGTATGATTTCATCAGTCGCAAGGTTCTGTAGCCCGGATGGTTTGATTGATTCCGGCGAGAGAGTGAGCTTGAACATCGTGGGGAATCGCCGAGGGAGGTACGTGCCCATGATCCATTCGTAAAACTCGGTGACCGCTGGCGTGATGATAGGATTTGCGGCCAGTACGTCGGAAGGTCGGTCGCGGATGAGTTGGCGGCGGAGAGAGATGCGGGAGTGATAGGTGCTGTCTATTACGACGAGGTCTGAGAGCGTGGTGTTTTCGAGGGCTAGGTTTGGGAGGTTAATAGCAGAAATAGCTAGTAGGGGAGTGGAAGGAAATACCCATCGTCAGGTGATATTTGGGCTTAAATGGTCGAATTTTGATAGGTTCTGTTGTTTCGGGATTGAAGTTGGGTAGAGGCTCGATTTGGGTGTATACATCTTCCGATAAGGTTGCGTTCTTGTTTGGAGGTGCAGTGGGTAGTGTTGTCTACAGAAATGTTAATTTGCAAAGAGTGGTACCGTAAAGTCCCAAGTTATTTTAAGACAGACAGTACCTGGAAACGATCCTTCTGTCTTATCTTCCTGTATGCATACCACACCAATCCGAGAACGAGAACAACCCATGAGTGAGACACCCGAACATCTAATTGAATCATGTTTTCAAATTGTCTGCATTTACTCGAGTCAAAAGAGTGTAGGTACACGACAACGCCAAAGAAAAGTTTAAATATTCATTCAAGTCCACAGGGCGCGATTGATAATTGACCAGTGCGGTCGATACGCTGTACCTGGGAAAACTTTCCTATTACAGAAAAGTGTCGCTTAGACGCGGGCAGAGATTAGATTAGATCACATTAACGACGAATAGACAACTTGAACTTAAACATCATGCTAAGACCGAAAAACATTCTAAAAGCGTAAGCAGAGAAAATCCAGGTATGAAATAAGTTTCGAGCGATGTGTAAAAAGCCATTGCTTTCAGTATGACAGACATGGTGTGTGTCTCATCCTTTGTCTTTCCGATATTTGTGTCGCTCCTAAGAAATCGAACAATGTACACAGCTTGGCCTGGTGTGCGGTTCGCGGGCTTACGGTATCTTGAGACGTCATACGGAGAGAGCGAAGGTCAGTAGGTAATCCGTAGGCTCGCAGTATGCGATCGAGTGTTGAAGCTGGCACACATGTTAGTAAGCGCGGTACCGCCGTGAAGAACCAGGTAGCATACGGTCCATAACCTTGACTTCCTCAACAGTCCTAGGAACCCTGAATTCGGTGGGGAATTTCGCATCGCTGCACATCTTCGGCTGCAGCTGGCAGTATCGCCCTGCGTGGGTAATATGACCATTGACGAATTGGACCATCAAGTTGGTTCTGCAGAGGTCAAAGCTGCTCCAAATATCTGCCGGAAGCACCTCACCTCCGCACCAGATCGTCAATCTGCTGCTGATCATGCTTCATCATCATGTCCGAATCAAGTCTAGGTGGTGGAAACGGTCCGCCAGGCTGTGATCGACTCCGGTACGGTCCCACGCCCATCGCCCCGAAGTAGTCAGGCCCATCCAAGCTCATCCTGTAGTTATCGAAGGGAGCACTCATATTCCGAGGATCTCGAGGATCCATGTCGTATGGCGAATTTGGTAGAGATCGACGGAGATCGTCCATTGGCATCGACGGTGGTAACGGAATACTAGTCAAGGTAAACGGATGAATGAGCGGTAGGTTCACAAAAGAGGTTGGAAGGCCCCAAAGTAGAACAAGGCGATGGTTGTCCATGATAAATATGGACAGATGGCTCACTCAGCAGATAATTAGGGGTCGAGCAAACTTCGGCCAGAGGGGAAAGAGCAAGAAACGAAGACGAATGCGGAATGAGCTGCAGCGACGTGCATAGGAAATGAATGTTTCTGTTGCAAGACATGGCCCCGGGGCCAGAGATGGTCAGGGGTAGGGGTGCGGGCTCTGCACTACAGAGAGGACAATGATGATTCCCGCAAGATTCAAGATCGAGGACTAGAGCAACCTCACATGTAAAGCAAAAGAAAGAAATGGAGGCGGTGAGCTTGGAATTTGCGTTGCGACGCCTATGGAAGGACTTGAGTAGGACAGGCAAGCAAACATTTGTGCCAAGCCTGCTGGTTCATGATGGAGAGCAAAAGGGATGGAAGTGCCCATATCCAACGAGATTAAGGCAAAGAGGATACAAACCGTCGCATAGACCTGCTTCTTTTGGTATATCTCCGCTTGCATCTTATAGGAAGTGGGTTGGTTCAAGATCTAAAGCATCCAACCACCCACGACGGACATAAAAGTATGTGGAGAGACCACATTGTGCGAATCGGTAAGACTTGAAGTTCGCCGATTGCTACCGGGCGAACCAATGAGAGCCAGAACAAAGGCCACCCGCTCTGTTGTCTAATGCAGCTAGCAAAGTGCCCCAGCCGGTTAGCGCGTGTAGGCTGCAGGTACTGGCATATTGCAGAGGAAGCATCTGCAATCGCCCGAGTAGAAGTCGAAGGATGACGGCAAGACGGCTACCACCACCACATAGCCCGATCTAAAATACGTCGAGGAGCATGCAGTGGTGCAACAATACACCGAACAGCTTGAGGCTACGCCAATGGATGGACTAGCTTGTAGCATGGAGGGTGGAATGGCATAACGACTGCTCAGATGATGCCTTGGACCATTCGGTATTCTAGAAGGCCGATAGACATGCCCTTTGCGCCTCCTTTGTACTGCCACAACCCAAGAGCTCGATGCGGTGCTCGTGGGGCGTCGACTCTCGGGCGCCCAGCGCCGCGAAACACAAAAACAAACAACTCGCTCCTGGTCTACATGTCAAATACTTGATGAATCTTCATCGGTTTCCTCTTTAAGGTGCCTCCAGCGCCGATCCGCAGCTTCCGACTTGACGCCAGCAGTCGCGTGAGAGGCTGCCGCATTTGTACGGGCGAGACTGAATTTGCGACGATGACCACTGGGGCGCTCTGTGAGGCTGGGTGCGCGCGGTCGTGCCTTCCCCCGGGCTCGGCCTCCGACCAGGGGGATCTCGTGGGTTATGGAGCGGACGATGTAGAGCAGCAGGTCGTACAGTAGAAGAACTGCCCAGGGCCCAATCGTAATGATGCCGAGGAGGAGCTGGAGATTGCCGGTCAGCTGGCTTCAGAGTTGAAGCGGTGTACTGTGCAGGCTTCATACAAATAAACGCGTGAGCCACGTTTCCACGGCACTGAAGGTTTCGGGGAGGATTGAGAGGACACCCATGACAAGAAGAATTCGCCGTCCACGAGAGCGCCGAAAGAGGAAATCCAAGAGAGGCAGAGTGAAAGTCGTGAGCGAGCGAGGAATGGGGAATGGGGATGGTGACTGTCGCAGTGGGGAGGGGGGAAAGATCTGACTCGGTGAGGGGAGGAACGATAGGTGGTGTGAACTACCATTCCTTTTGACTACTGAGGAAATTGGCAGTCGCGACCTGTCGTTTGCAAGGGGGGGGCCTGGTAGGGCTGGCCCAAGCTCCTCACCCCCGCCACGAGAGGTTAAGCCGCATCTCACCCCGCGAGTGCTTGAGGGCCAGAGGCCTGAGCTCCCACCAGGCAGCCATCCCCCCCACTGCTTCAAGGTTGCTCAGCGACACGCTCTTCTTCCCTGTGATCAGTCCAATTGGCTTTCTTTTGCAGTCACACAGCGCTCCTTCGCACCACGCATCACTGACCGCTGCATCTGGGCATTGCTTCAATTGCGCCCCGCGCGCTGCTAATGCGTGCACCAGATTCTTCCTTCATGTGTTTATCTAAACGCCTGTCGCAAAATCGCAGAAGCTCTCCAGACATCTCTCGAGCCTTAAATTCGTGAATCTCTTCAGCGGCGTAGTTTGGCGGTTGATTCACTCCTGGCTGCATTTGCTGCAGCCTAACCCGCCCACAGTGATTCAGCTGGCCCAGCCCTCCTGTCCTCTGTCTTCACTGGCGGCCGTCATCCAGCCTGGGCGTTTCCTTTTCTTTCTTGTCTCAACCGTCCCTCTTTCTCCCATCTCCACCACCCCCAATCTAGACGGCTTCTCTCCTCCGTTAGGCTCTTCGAGATGTCCAGCCTCCTCGACTTCCTGTCGGCCTCCCCGCCGGGAAATGCTACCCTTATTGTCTCTCTCCCAGATGGAACCCTCCCCCACATTCCCGGACTCAATCTGAACATCATTGGCGATTCCTGCCCCGTGTTGTCACTCAACTTTGAACATGGCTTTAGCGGATGCTCTCAGGCGACTATCCACGCATCTTCTATTGAGGTTGTCGAGCGCTTCCTCCGGTTTATTTACACAGGCAGCTACATGACTGACTACGATATCGACACTGGCACCTGCTCACTTGCCGTCCACGCGGAGCTCTACAAGCTAGGTCGAGATTTCGATCTCCGTGGGCTTCAGGAAACCAGCAAAGCAACCTTCCTTTGCCAGTTAGACTTCTCATCCAGCATCCCCAAGATGCCTACCGATCTATGTAAGGCTGTCCGGTTCATCTATGAGCACCCTAAGGACCAGACCGGCCTTCTAGAGACTCTGTGGCACTATTGTTGCTCGAATTTCGTATATCATCGATTTTCCGAGGAGGATGATTTCCGCAACCTTGTCTGCGATGTGCCCGAGTTTTTCAGGGACCTTGTCCGCACGAGCTTCCAGCGGGGATTTGTTGATGACGGTTAAGTGTCCCCAGTTCCATCGATTCCAATACTGTTCTACTGACACATGCATGAAGGAGCGGCCGCCATCGTCCAATTCGGCGAGATTGCAGGTAAAGAACCCACCCCTCGAAACGACCCGGATTTCAGCAAGCAGGCGCTTGGCGACTTCTTAGTTGAAGTCTGGGCTGAGCCGGATGGCGATACCTCGGACTATCACGATGAGAAGGTGGCTAAAGCAACGAAGCGACGACAACTGTGCGCCGAGGCCGGCTTCACCTTGGTGCATAGGCCAAAGAAAGAGGCTGTCTTCGAGGATGTTAGTGCAGGCGAGGCTTCTGGCGCAGAAGGATTCATGGTGGTGTACCGTCCAAGGACCAATACCAACTTTACTGAAGAGCAGAGCGAAAGCGAATCCTCAAGTGCGGGGTACGAACCCAGCGCCTCCAGCGAGAGCCAGTTTTTGAAAACAGAGGATCTGGAGGACTCCTTCCTTACTATCAAACCAGAGTCGAGCGGAACTGCTAAAAGGAAGGCCAAAGTAGGCCCTACTCAAGACTTTGCTGCCAGCTCACCAACGAAGATGGCTCCCATCCCCACCACCGTTGCATCTACTCCCTGTTCTGTTACCAACCTCTCACCAGCCGAGATGATGGCTCGTCTCTCGCCAACAACCATTGCACCCTTGGGGGGATTTCAACCTCAGCCAAACTCCCTTGTTGGGTCCACCATCCCCTACGGATCGCTCTACGGCAGTGTGAACTGTGCACCTAACAGTACCTCTGGCTTCGGAGCTCAACCTACCTTCCCTGTGGAACCCACCTTCACCTACGGGTCCTCTAACGACAATAGGAACTATGCATCGAACAATACCTCTGGGTTCCAAGCTCAATCTACCATCCCTGCTACATTCATGTTCCCCCATGAGTCGTTGAACGGTCACGCGAATTACGCATCGCAGCTACCAGTACCTCCAAATCCCCTTATATCACCCCCCGAGTTCAGCGGAAGTCATGGTAATCAGGCCGCTGACGACGCCGACGACGAGGATGACGAGGGTGTCGACTCCGAGTGGGACTTGGTGTAGGCTTCGACCTACTTCCAGCTATTTTACATGTACCACAAAGCTGCACAAACTTTTGCATCTTTGAAGAAAAACAAAAGTTTCAGCTGTGTGATCGTTCGCCTTGGAATCATCCGGGATCCTGGATCTAGCGGTGGCGTTCGGGGGTTACAATGGATAATCCAACTGTGAATTGCACCGTACATGCTAGGATGTACAGGAAATGGTATAGTGCTTTATAATACAATGGGTATGGTGTTCACAAACCGGTTTCTGCAAGGTCACGTACCGGTGGTGGTGGTGGACGACGAATATGGAGCCACGTCTCGAACCAATCTCTAGAGTTTTCTTTCTTCTCGATGTTGCGAGGTGGGATGCAACAATGCAGATAGCCGTTCAATACCGGTTCAAAAGTCATGAAATGGGGTTATGTGACCTTTTTTTCCTCTGTTGCTCTGTCCATTCTCATTTTTCACGACGCCCATAACTTCAATGCACATCTAAAGGAGGATTTAGTTTAACATGTGATAAAACAGTAAGTTCAACTTTTTATGAGTGGGTGGTCCTCAAATGTCAAACACCAAATGGACTGCTTTAGGGCAGGTGGCTAGACCACAACTTCCCCATCCAGCTCCCTGTCTACCGCATCCAAGTCTTCCTAGGTGACATCGCACTCACACCCCTCTGAGCACTACGATTCTGCGATCCTCCGTTTCACCGCCTGCCTCTCTCATTCTTGCATTTGGGGTCGGCAGCCTAACTTTCCTTAGCTAAGTCACCGCTCCTATTCTTCCACCTCATCATCTCTTACCTACGGCCTCACCGAGCTTCTGTGAATGGCCGCTCATACCACACATGCTATGAACCGCTCCCAGGCCTACAAGACAAGACCACCAACACGGAGAGATCCCAGAAAGCGACAGGGTTTGGTCAGAACCGTTTCAAGTCTCTTCAAGGGCAAGGCATTAGGCAGTGAAGGACATTCTTACAACTCCTCGACTCCACCAAGGAAAGAGCACAAAGCTTCACTTTTAGGAATCAAGAAAAGAGCGATCTTCAAGCGGAATACAGAGCGACCATGTGCGCAATGCGCGAATGCCAAATCGCCCAGTTTCCCGGTACCGAATGCGAATCTGATCGATGATCCTCCTCTTCCTTACTCTCTTCTTGGGCTCCCACGGCGCGAGGAAGGCACATATACGAGCGGTGCAAATGGAACCCCTTCGTCATCTGTTGTGACGGAATTGGACGTCTGCTCTAGACCGCCATCGCCAAGGCCGCCATTGTCGTCAATGGATGAGTCCGACGCTCAAGAGATAGCAAATCGCATATGCAGAACTCTGAGTGAGTCGAGTGCCTTCCAAGACGAGAGTAGTAGTGTGAGAGCGGCAAGTGCCACAGCAACGGGAGGCTTTCACAGCTACACGCCCACGAGATCTCGCAGCTATACTGTGGCCTCAAGCAATGGCGAGGACATGCTCGTGTCTCAAAATCCAGCAGTCTTGCGTGAGCCCGATTCGATGTCCAACTCCGTATCTGAAAGCAACCCTTCCAGCCTCGCCTTAATTCGATCCCTATACCAACAAAATGCACAGGAACTGGAGCACGCCAGGCTGTCACAGCATTCAACAATTAAGAGCGATCACGTATATGCATTTCAGCTCCAAGAAGAGCTATATCAAGCGCAAGAACAAGAAAAAGGACAAGAACAAGAACAAGGAGGAAGAAGCGACCGGAAATCGGAGCAAGACCGTGGTACCCCTTGTCCAGATTGCCATACAAACGTGTTCTTGTCGACAATAGAAGAGGACCTTCGAGAACAGAAACCAGATTCCTTGCACAACTGGTATCCGCACTGCATGGAGACAAACAGTGAGGAGAAGGGACATGAATTCCTCGGGTGGCATCACGGTGGTGGATTGTCAACCCTGGTGGAGGATCACCGAGAAGCAGAAGATCAGTTCTCCCACTCGTGTATGGTGTGCCGCGAACATTTATCCTTGTTCGAGTTCCCAGCTCGTGCTCCAACTGAAGGCTGTGAACATCCGGTCGGAACTTGCTCGGCATGTCTTCGAAGATGGGTTACCAGCGTGCTGGAGACAAGAGGTTGGGAGGGTGTGACCTGCCCTGAGTGTCGGAAGCTACTTTCCCATGAGGATATCCGGCGGGTGGCGTGCTAGCTCAGTTAGGGTAAGAACACCAGGTAGAGGGGAGTCGCAACGAGCACTGCCAGTAAACAAGGCTTGCTTTCTTAAATTACGTTTCCTGCTCCAATCTCGAATCTCCTTCTACCATTCCATCACTACATTCACATCACGCACATTGTTCGCTGCAATAACACTTCTCAATAATTATCATCATCAGCACACCTTCACACCCACTATTAACTCCGCCGCGTTCACTTTCGACAACCTCATCACTCCAATCACGCTGCCAAACATTCACGAAGGGCTCATCATGGACCCAACCGGAGTTTCATCTTCAAGCTTCAGGTATCGTCACCCCCAAGCCAGCCCTATACATTACGCTCGCTTCCCTCCTCCCCCTCCTGCTGTCGTTATGGAGCCTGTCCGGCCTACTATCTATACCAATGGAGGTATCAATGTCCCTGCCTCGGTCATCAACCCGCAGTTGGTGTCAGCTCTTCCAGAACTCTTTGTGGATACTATCATACCCGACGATGTTTATATCTCCAGTTATGCGTATAACCGGGATTGCGAAGAAAGACAACAAGGAGAATTTAGAGTTCAAACCACAGCGGAATCAATGGCAGAACCAACGGAAACACCGAAGGACGAAACAACAGCAGAGCCCATAATAGTGTCCACCAGAGAGCATACCGGAGAACCTATCAAGGTATCTACAAGAGAAGTCTCGAGAGTATCCACGAAAGACACCACGAGCCCAGCAAAATGCGCGAGCCCACCACCGAAACCTACTAACACCGACCCTTTTGGATGGCAGTCGAGGAACAAAGCAAAACTCATCGGCGTCACCATTTGCCTCTTGATCTTAATATACCTGGGTTTCTACCTGTCTCTACATGCCCGCATCCGCTACAAGCACGGTGGCTGGCCAGCTGTCCGAGATGTGAGCATCTCACATCCGCACCCCGTCAACATACACTGGCTACACTTCTCACATCTCACTTCCCCCCATGATCTAGGCTAACTTGCCTTCCCTAGCTTTTCGACCCCCGCCGACCATTTAGTAGCACGTGCTAAGAACCCCTTCGAATACCCCGATGGCGGTATGACCATGGAAGAGAGTGAATCCAGGGAGGGTGTTCTCATTGCCATTTTTGTTGGCGGTGTTGTCGGGCTCATTTTTCTGGGTTACGGCGTGGTTTGGGCTTGGAGAAGGTACGATATCGGGAATAACGTCAAAAATGTAGGATCCCCAACCTCCTCCGCTGCAGTGGGCATCGCTCACTAATATTTAAGCGCCTCCTTTCCCCTTCCCTCAAATATTATCGGGGTGAAGGAAAGTTGACGTGTTGAAACAGTATTTCCGTCCCAAGCCTGCTGTGCGGCCTACTCGGACCAGTATACTACCTCCTCGCCCAACTATCCAGTAGCCAATGTATCAGCTCCCGGTATACCGATTTCAGATCCAGACCCACTGCCGTCATCAATAAACCTCAACACACCAACTGGATCCACGCCGGCATCAGCTTCTTGACCATCTGCGGAATGTGTCGTGCTAGTCACTCCAAAGCTTTACTTTCCGGTTTCCGTCGGTTTTTATTCGTCTTGTTTCCAGTTCCTGCGCTTGTTTATTTTTGTCTTCTCGGTAGGCCTTTTTGAGGGGATTCTGTTTGTTAAGTAAGTGTCATTGTCTTGGCTTCCAGTGGCTTTGCTTCTGACACATGTTCTCTATCTAGTGATTCCATCCCCGCTTCCCCGTCCCCATCCCTGTCCCAGTTATTGTGCCCTTCCAGCTCTTCACCCCCGTTCCCCACTCCCGTTCCCCACTCGCCCATATCTTCTCCTTCTAAGGTAGGCTCCCACATATCACCACGGCAAAAATCCTCGTCCATTGTTCGTTCACAAACCGTCATTGGACTCATCGCTCTCCGAGCGGAACCCGCATTCCAGCCAGCAATGAGGAACGGATCCTCTTTATTTTGAGATGGCTGTTGTGGGTTGGTGCAGCAGAGCCTTGATCTGGTTTTGGGCGAGAGGCCTTTGAGGAAGGTTGTGAGAGCTGGTGTTTTAAGAAATATGGATGTGGGTATGGGTATGCGTGGAGAAATATGGATGGACGTTTGATTCAATGTTTTCTTGGTGCTGAGCAGAGTAGGCAGGCAGCATTTGGACGTATTGGTATGGCAACGCTCTCATTGGAGGTACATACGTTACTTCACTTCATAGCTAGCTAGCATAATGCATGCATACATGCATTTACTTCCCTTCGTGGCTTGCAATCCCAGGATTCCTTAACTAATTATCGTAAAATCAGGCAAGCGGCACTTAGGATCCAATTTACTATGAACTACACTTACATGCCAGTTATCAAAGATTGAGAGCAATCGATAGGACTATGCTATCCAATCGACAGAGTTCGCAAAAGCTGATGATTGCATATTAATCAGTAATCGCCCGTCACCGTGGATTCTACCGCGAGATTTGCCTATCGAATTACCATATCTCTATTCTCTGTATCCGGTGTGGCGTATTGTTGAGCAATGGCCGGGCCGGATAGTTCTGAATCCCAGACCCTTAACTCTGGAGCCATCCAAAGTACGACGGCATGACAGATTAGGCATCTACTAGGAGTATACTGCGGCTATGGCCCCCACCTAGCAGTAATACCGTAGTTTTATCTATCAGCTCTGAGGCAAGTTATAAGCCTGGTGTAACAACTAAGGTTAGTAGTCCGACCGAGGCAGCCCTCCTGTCATCGTAGTGACCAGAATAAGTGGTACGATAGCTAGATGTTATGTCAATACAACCAAACTAGAAATAATTAAAATGGATGCATATAAATAGCCCAGGCAATATGGTCTTCAGCTCCCTTCTAGTCTGCATGAAACTGGCCAGAAAAGCAGGTAAAATCCCATTCCTTGAAGCTCGGATTGCACGAGGTTTTGGATTCACATTTGCTCCGATTTATCCAGCACCAGGGAGAAGATCGCAAGCTCGGCTGCTACCGAATGGAAACTCGATGATGATCATGTTCATCTCCGAATATGTACCTGGCACACTTTGCTTCCAAATATCTTAATTCTTCACTAGAAGATAATTTAAGCGCTGTAATTATATGTGGGCTAAATACATCCATGGAGGTTTATATGAAATTAGCTCTATTCTTAACTAAGAGATGCAGGGGCAGGGGTAGCGGGGTGGGGTTATGGCGTACTAGAATAAGTAATTTGCCGAGTGACGATCATGGGTAGTAGTCTGCTACAGAGGCAGAAAATCTCAGGGGTAAATGGCAGAGAAGATGGAAAAGATTCTACGTGCGTAGGAGTGTTTCTTTCAGAGCTGGAGGTTTGCTAAGTGAGAATCATGTTTGGTTTGTTAACATTTGTGGGGGCAAAGAAAGGGGGGAAGAGGAGAGGTGGAGTCTAAGCTGGGTAGAAGTATGGTATTGCTCTTTAGAATGGGTAATATGGTAGGTGAGGTGAGAATGAGGAACATTTTACGGTAGGTAGGGCAAGATAACTGTCGGAACACGGAGTAGTGGAGGGGGGGGGTTGGGGTCTAGGCGGGGTTGTGGTGGGCGACCTGGGACGGAAACAGGGCTTTGCTGCTGATGGATTACCGGAGAAACTGTAGTGTAGTTAGACATAAGTGGCCTTCAGGTGGCTAGGAAGGATGCTGATAACGAGAGACCGAGATCAAGATGCAAGATGGTGGAATTAAGAGATATTGGCGTATGGCATGGTGGGTTAGTGGCTAGGCGGTTTGGAATAAAGAGGTTTGGCATATATGCGTTGAGGGAGTGGCCGATTCATGACTGGCGGGCAGGCAGACAGGAACACAGATATTGTCTCCTAGAGATTGGGGAGGTTGAGGAATGTGCTTCATGGTTGGGGAACTGGCGGACAAGAGGGTGGTTTTGCATACCCTCAGCTAATGATAGACAAATGTTGTATAAAAGCCGCATGGAAACAATCAGATCGATGATGCAGCATCCGAACGCAAGCAATCTAGGGAGTGCGTTTACGCAAGTGCAGATTTGATAAATTGTCTAGGTAGGGTGTCACTCGCATTCTATGGAGGCAGTAATAACTACATACGTATGCACAGCCCTCTCCAAGCTTCTTTATCGGCGGTGGGGAGGAGAGGATATCTCTTCCATTGGAAAACAGTGGGTAGTGATGAAAAGGAGACTGGGGTTGAAGCCCTAGCCGTCGTACTAAATCACGATTCTTAGTCTTCGTCGATAATAATAGCATTCCGACGATCATTGATCTATCAAGTACGTTAGTCAGGTAGCAAGAAGTCGAGCCGCTATTTCGTAAAAATGTGGTAAAGGTATATCAGTGTCTGAAGGACCACATTAACCTATTCTGAGTTGCTGCCAGCCGCATATTTCGCTGTGGAGCGGAAGCCACCGTGGTGATTTCATTCCGTGAGCTGTCCTTTTGCGAATGCGAGACCTCGCGGATAGAGAGACATCAACCACTCTTGAAATCGTATGGTGGGAACTGAGATTAAAGCTTTTGGTTGAAGCACACACTCGCATCTTGCCGGTTGTCCGTCGGCCTTTCCTTATTCGATAGGGTTCGAACGCAGGCAGAATTCGGATTAATTGATGTCTCAGTGTATTGTAAGGATCCTCCCGATTATAATTCCTTCGAAGAAACTTGTCGACTCATTCACCAGTGAAAGTCGGCTGATATGAGACCTCAAGAACCCACTATGGGATGCGGGGAATCGTTGTTGGAGCGTTAGCAGCAGCAGGCCGTAAAAGTGAGGCTGGAGGAAAACTATAAATCGTGTTATGGCGAGGGCATGGGGCGAGTGTTATCCAGGCCCGCGCGCTCTAGTCGCAGAGCATGAAGAAATCTTACCCTTGGCGCTGGGCTGAAAAGTCGGTGGAGTGAAGGATCCCCTGTAAGAAAGAGGGGCAAAACGGGAGAGAAACAGCTTCAGGGAAATGAATGGTCACAATGACACTTAATATCGCCGACTTCGTGATGTTCGGCAATTTTTTCCTCGCCGAAGTCATGTTGGTGCAGGACGCAGAGAAGACACATGCTCATTCTGAATGCTGAAAGTCTCCCGCGTCAGGGCGTAAGTGGGACGATGACGGGATAGTTCAGCTTGAAAGAGCATATTAATGGATATCAGAGGCCGAGGAGCAAAAAGGAATTTCCTGGATTTGCTCATGTCTTGCGTAGAGGTTCAACAGGTGTTTGAACGAAAGCTTCCAACAAGGATTGCAATACCCATCCCAGCCGTCCTAGATCCTTCACGCAATATGTACTGTAGAAGCTCAGGGCGCTGAACAGAATTTGATGCCGGGAGTACAAAAAATACAATTACGGAATTTGCTTTGGCTTGCGCAACTGTAGCTACCAGCAATTGCGCCTGTGAGAGAAAGGGAAGCCTCAATTTCAGGAAATCGTACCACTGCTCTCTCAGGCGTTTCCTGTACGATAGCCCCACTAGAATTGAGGGGTCTTCCATTGACGGGCCGACTCGGATTGCCCAACGTCCACGTGTGTGCATGTACGCACTCCAATGCATCATAGATGGGCATAATTTTTGGTAGTCGTCATAACTGGGCTCTTATATTTGGGAATAGGCTGCGAGAAGGAGTAAGTGATGTAAGAACGGGTGGATAGACACCGAAGACGAGAAGAGACTCTGGAAGGCAGGGGATAATTTGAATATGCCCCAGACGGCACTTCTCGGTCGGCTGTATTACTTCTAGGAGGGTGACCCCTCACTTTTGCTCAAGTTGTGCGTGTTCCAGAATATGTTCGCATTGATGATTCCTCCTTGGCACTCCGTATATTGTGGGAGAGCGTCAGAATGTTTGTCGGCGCTGGACAAGGTTGCCTTAAGCGGTCCGATAGCCTACGCACAGGCCTTATTCCGCAACGGGTCGCGCCGGAAGGGAATACTGGTCCTCAGGAGACATAGGTCACACATGTTTCTGAGCTGTCAAGGCGAGGCCGGAGAGGGGAACCGTGTATGAAGTGGATGAAGATGGTTGCATTAAAGCGAAGGAGATGAGCGCAGGGGGTAATGGAAACAACACTATCGAGTGTAGCATTCCCCAGTGCAAATATACGGAATAACCTTAAGTAACGGAGAAATCCATGGGGGGAACGGAGCACCAGATGGTGTTGGTCTAGGATGTGTGGAAGAAGTGCTGTGAAGTGGCGTGATTTTGGAGACCAGTGCGGCTTTTGTGGAGGCATAAATTCAAATAAACTTTGAAGGGCAAGAGATCGACGCCCGGTGTGAAATTCTTACATGACAAATGCTAAGTGGTGAGAAGCGGCGACTTGGTCTGGAGGCATGCGATGGTATCCAGAGATCATATTTTACTGCCAGATAACCGAGAAACAAAGCCAGCAGTTATCGTGCTTCCGACTTCTGTGGGAGCAAAGAGCTGAGACACTGAGGATCAGTAATTCCTCTTGACATGTGAATCCAGCCATATAAAACGGAGGCGTGGCAAGCTCTGTCCGTAAATGATGGCACGAAAGGGGGGGTGGATGGAGTTTGCGGATATGGCTGAATCCGGTGCCGAAGGCTCGGGACATGAATGGCAAACCGTTGCCACGAAGCCAGGAGATCGGGAACACTAGGCACGTGCGCCCTATGACAGGGCAAATTGACGACGTCGCCGTTACCAGTGAAGAGCCAGCGGAGAGCAGCAGCCACCAATAACACAAATAAGAGTTGGTACCCTTGCTTCGAAGCTTGCATCCCCAAACGTGATGTTCCCGCTACGATCCTTCTAAAAGCGCAAACCATCGAATTATCTACCACCTACAGGAGACAATGTTGAAGTGAGGGAGGATTCATAGCGCACGATGTGGCGAGGCCGCTTGACTGCCAAGTTTGTGCCAAATTCGCTGGTGTTGGGAGCATAGCAAATTGTTTATGACGGTCCAGGGGCAGTGGCGCTAAGTAGTGCCCGAGCACAGCTCGGTCTAGGTTCCGGGGAAGATTTAGCGCGGGATAACGATCTACAGACGCATGTAGTTGAACTGTGCCTGGCGCTGCGTTTCGGCCAGATTAAGGTTGGGTAAAGGATGGATAAGGTTGGTGAAGGTATGCGGGGAATAGATGGCTGCTCCAGGCAAATGGAAAGAGCAAGCTTGAGCATGAAAAGGAGTCTTCAATACCTCTGAGCACATCTATTCCATGGAAATGCGGCATAACAACCACTAATCAGCACTTATACATGTACTACGCGAGTAGAATGTCTTGAGTGCGACGATCCTCCCAGCACTAGCAAGACGAGACGCAGCAGATCTGCGGGCAGCTACAACGGTAAAATACTCGGGCAAATAGCGGCGCGAGACATTAGACTCGTTAGAAGGCTGCGGCGTTGCGCAATTGCTCGCCGCTCGTGCAAAGGCCTCCTTCACAGAATTCAAAGTGGTTTCCAAGAACGGCTCGCCTGTTGCCCCCATCCAGGCGGCTGTATCGCCTAAATTGGAGTATGGCTTGTACATTCTGTTTGAGGAAAAGCGGGCGAAATGTCTTCCACCCAGACAGCTGCGACATGGTGATGTCTGGGAACGGAGAAGTCCAATAGGCGGTCATTTGAAAGCAGCCTTTGACAGAAAGACGCGCGCATCGTGGTGGAGATGAGGTTATTGAGCTGAGGTTATTGAGCTGGTTTTGCCTTCTGGACTAATCTGCATGGCGGCGGGAGATAGGCCACTGGTGTGGGAACCGTTGAATGGAAGATACCGATCTTATCATGCAAGTGCAGTCAAAGTTAGAGCAACTCTTTGTGCAGTATCTAGTCAGTCATTGAGACTACTACTGAAATGGTCTTCTCACAACACCAACTCTGAAAAGTCCCGGGTGACCCATCAGAAATGAATGCAGGAGCCTGACTACGTTGCCTTGGCATGTGAATACTGTCGAGGATGTGTGGCAGGGCATTGTGTTGCAATACCGTGATGTGAGGCTTGGACTGAGTCCGCTTCCCCAGTTGATACTTAGTGGAGATGCGATTTGACGAAGCTGATGGCGATGCACACAGCCCTGCTAAAAACAAAAGCACGTCATAGTGTTTAGGTGTCGAGTGTCTTGATCGCAGTCCGCACTGCAGATCACCAGTGCAGTGAGGGAGCACGGCCGGCCAGCTGAGACGCCAGTTATCGGTCCGACTGCAGATTATCGTTTTGCCGGCTTTGGTTTACGACATCCGCTTGGTGGGAAAGAGAACCTGGGTGACAAGCAGCCCAAAGCCCACCCTTGAGCGACGGCGTGCTCTCTTGAGGGTCTAGAACGTTGCTGAATGTGCCCTACCTGAGAAGTGCTGGTCGATCTGGGAGTCAATTGCCGCACGTCAGGTCGAGTTGTCCAGCCTGCAGCGTCGTGGACGGCATCGAAATCATACATCCTCAAAGCCCTCGCAAGCTGTTGCGAACACTTCCAAGCTGAGAGGTCCCGAATAAAGTGGAATAGGACGTCTTGGTGGAGCAAGAGAGCCACAGCACAGTGCTGGTGGTGACGCGCAGGAGTGGCAACAGGCTCGAGAATTCAAACGGGTAAGCCCTGTCCCAGTGCGCTTCCCAACCACTGATTCTGGTGAGATTTGATGTGACATCTGGGCAGTGCGGAGAGCGCCGAGCTGGCCTATTCCGGCAGTGCCGTCAGTCAAGCCGACTTCCCCGCGGTTGTTGGCTGTGGTACGCTAGACACTAGATCCGACCTGCTTCCGCCTCCTTCACTCGCGTTTAGGTGAGCGAGGCATTTCGAAATCCGTCCCAGTTCGCGGTCCTTGTCAGCACCTAGCAGTGTGAACGTCAGAGTTGGTCGACCCCCATGGTTGGCCCATCTGCAACGCTCTAGCGGTCGTTATTATAGAGAGTAAATCCCCGAGACGCAGGGCTGATCACATCCAGGGTCCCAGCGTATAGAATCTCCTCCTGCATCTATCTCGACCGCCCAATATATTCCTCTTCTTGATTGTTTTGCCCAGAGACATGCTCGCATTCATGTCTTCAGAATCATCAAATTCGTCTCCAGGTAAGCGCAACGCAAACCCGAGAAATTCACACAGCCACTGAAGTCCCTCTCAGGGGTGAGCTATTGGTACGGGAACAATCCCTCAACTGGATTAGCAGGTGCTCTGCCGCAGGACGGTTCAAACCCCCGAATGATGCGGCGGGCTTCGGAGGCGGTAATTGATTCGTACGTGGGACATAGGTAAGCCGAACGTCTTCTCCAGTTGTCCTTCTAAGGTTGCGTGCTACGGCGGTACTTTCGCCTTCCCTGGACCAACCTATCGTGACTTCTCAACGGCGGCCCTGGCTTAGGGACACTTCTTGCACGCCTACGCCATCACTTCTTCATATCAACATCGGGGTCCCAGAATGGCAGAGTCTGCTTTTCCACCTACGCTTTACCGTTGAACTTGGAGCCACTTGGCAAACTGTCAAGGCAGTCAGAGAGATGTATTCCTGACATCAGCGCCGAGCCTCAGGTCCTCTAGGGTATCCATCAGAAATTACCTTGCCAAAGTTGGGAACTTTCGTTACAGTTTTTTTTCATGGAGCGAGAATGGCCTAAGGGGAGACTCTCCATATAGCTGCCGAGTACCGGACAGTGGGTAAATTTCCGTGTGTTGCGGGATAAAGGACTCCGGGCTCGGCACTCGAAGTCTACTCCTAAAGAACTTTGTGACTAGACCTTTCTTCGAAAGCCCTGCGTGGCCAATTGCTGGATTACAATGGCCACCCGAGGAGCAAGACCCGAATGGGATCGAGGCGCCAGACATGGATGTCGGCTGGCGTACGTTGCAAGGGTTTCGGAGTCTGCTTGAAGCGGCATGATATAGAACTGACGAGGATACAGCCAGGATCCAATTGGATGGGATCAGAGAGACAGCCCCCTCTATATCGACACATCTTCAGTCCCAGCACTCGAAATTCGACCGCAGTCGTCGTCGTCGACGCCAATTCACAAGGCCCCTCTAGCCCCTAAGCAGGGCCTTGGGGGACATCTAGGAGGTTCAAGACCTCAACACCAGTCGCCAATCTCGGGGACATATGCGTTGCGTACTCCAAGAGGAAAGATAACCTCCATCGCTTGCGAAAGTTGCAGGAAACGCAAATCAAAGGTATATACCAAGTCATCCTGGAATCCTGGGGATTGTTCTCTGACAATAGTCGTCCAGTGCGACGGGGTTAGGCCGAAATGCAACACTTGTCAATCGAAGAACCTTTCGTGCTTTTATGATGTCGCCGAAGATGGCAAGACCACCACCCAGTTGCGGGCGCATGTCAGACGGCTGGCGAAGGAGCTGGATGATATGAAATCGATCGTATCGTTGTTGGCTATGGCGCCTGATCGGGCGACCGCTGTGAATTGGGCGAACGAGCTGGAGAAGAATGGGTTCGCACATCACTCAGCCGAAGAAATTAAAAAATCCCTTCAGGTGCGTGAGAACCTTATTCAAAAAGCAACTGCATCCTCACCTCGCCCAGGATTTCCACGAGCAACAGCGTCAGATACCGGAACAGGAATCCCTGAGTACACCTGGCAGTGAATCGTACCAACAGCCACCGCAAAGTCTGGCGCCATCATCCTATGACGGGTCATCACGAGACGACAGGTAAGATCCAGTGCCGAGTAGATGTCGCAGTAACTGACGGATCCAGAAGCCGAGAACAAAGCCAGCCGGCACTGAGCTTTCAACCCGAAACTGCAATAGACGCCGCATCGTCATTCAACTATCACAATGCGGCTTCAAGCGAGGTGGGAAAATTTAGCTTCGATTGTGCGTTTTACAGAAGGACAAAACGAGAAATGGTTGCAAATGGATGGGACGAAGTACAAATATTCGGCCGAAGCGAAATTGATGTCGACACTATCCTTTTGGGATTCATGGATCCCCAAGACGGACAGCCTGTACCCACCTGGTCCTCACGGACAGTGAACAAAATTCTCCCTGCGGCACCTGTCCCAATTCGACTAGCTTCGACATATCTTTTGACTAAAATGATGAGGGTATGTCTTCCTCTTCACTCCACTAAGTAGACTCGCTGCTAATCCAATCATTCCTTTAGTGGCTCATATGGCCGAGTGTCGAGAATATGAACGCGATGCCGGATTGGCTGATGCCGCTCGCAAGACAGGACTGTTCGCCGTATGATATCCTAGTAGATCTTCTTCCTTGGTGAGACCTTCCATCCAAGCTCTTGCCCTGGTCATTTTTCGCTGATGACTCCAGGCCACAATTGCGACAATATCTGTATCGACATCCTGGAGATTTTGTCGTAGGAGCCTTTATCGGCTTCGTTGGGTTAAATTGGCCATACGCGGATGATGCCTGCCATTACTGGGATATCGAGTCTGGGTGTACGCGGATGACCCCGCTGTTTGAGAATCACGTCAGTGATTTGAACAACTGGACATTAGATGCCAAAGCCTTGGAGATCATGCCCCAGCTTGAGGGCATAGTGCCCGTAAAAGTATGACCAAAAAGGGGTGATAACGGAGTCCGAGTGTGTCGTCTCTTTCCATGAACTGATTCTTGTACTTCTTGCTGGGGCCTATCGGAATGTTTTGTTCGTATAGCTGGCTTTGGCTCCGTAATGACCTGCATGGTGGCTGTCTTGAATGCTTTATTCAAATGTATAGTAAGAAACAAACGAAAATATGAGAGTGAAGAAGATCGAACTAACCGCCTACCTGCATGTTTTGTCACGAGAGAGCCGCGAGGTCGATATATATAACAAACCAGCCCCCTGGCCAACGGGAACAAACGACGAAGGGGCGCTAGGCCAAGCCGGAAGATTGTATCCTCGATCGATCAGGGAAGCCACACCTTTCCGCCAGTGCCGATGCAAAATCGGTCGACTTGCCCTCACACCCAAGACGATCCCGCTAAGAGCCTCACCACCACGCCGCAACCTCCACCATCGAATCTAAGGTTCCAATTCATATTCCATGCCTAGAATGCCATTGGACGCCTCATACTTCCTCCGATTTGAACGCCTTGTCTCATGCAACCCTCTTTATGAGAAAGATTTCCATCTACTTCAACATACAATCGGCTTCACGGCATCATGCAACACCTCTCATGCGCGCAAAGGTGCTTTTCATTCCAATTTGTAGGATCGGACCTAGTGCTACCTTGCTTTTGTCAATGAGGAACCAGTTGTGCTATTCTTTTGACCAGCTGGTGGACGCCATGCCTGCACCAGGCATCCACATCTGGCAACCACATCTAGCATCCCCTGCGCTCCTCTATGCTATCGTTGGAAGGCAAAGTTGTATCTCCGCACACGTGGCAGGTCATCCGAGCCGCCGCGACGCGATTTTTAAACCGGAATGAAATACCATTTTCTTGCAGCCTTTACCAGAGCGTTGGGATCTTTCTGAAGCTAGAAAGCATCTAGCGCCACACCATCGTTCCCATCCGCGGAACGATCCATCCGGAGGAAGCCTGGTACACTATACCTTGTTGCTTCTTTTAGAACTCAGGAGCGATACCTCGGCTCCAATCTCAGGGCTCACGCGAGACGCTGTAGAAGTCTTCCCGCAACTACGAGTGCTCCGCAATCAACACTATACCTCGCCGATCGGATCTGCAACTGCGCTGTAACACCCCCACAAAGAGCGAGGCTTATGAGTTTCTACCTTACATCTTCTCGAGTCATATTCGTGCAGTATTTACTTCTGGCCTCACAAAGCCGTACAACTGGGTTCCTGGCTCCTGTCGTTTGAGGTGTTTGTTTACGAGCTCAATCAGCAGCACACTTTTGCATGTTGTGCAGTTTGGAGAAGTCCATCACCTCCAAGGGTCTCAGCTTTAGTCACCGGAAGTAATGGGAAGTGTGCGAGTAAGTCCGTTCTCATTTACTTGCTACCATCCACCGTTCACCGACCCGAACAGCTGGAGACGGAGGGCGACTACTGAACGTACCTCAATCGCAAATGAAGGTTTACAACGAAAAGATTCAGATACTGAATCGTCTCACTAACCAAGCAGTGTCTTGACTAGATGCACTATCGGGATACCACATGATGGATGGCTTTTCCTGGAAGCCATCATATTTTCTTTTCTATGCCGTTCGTATTCTTGCGGGTTCAACCCTGTCATTTCCTAACCATCATTATCCGATTGCAGCAGCCATAACCTCAATCGTGAAACCTCCAATATCACCAATCATTCCTGAACCTTAATTTCAATGGTCAAATTCGAAATACTCATATTTTATACACTCATCACCATCATGAAAGCATATTGGAGTAAGTCTTCATTTCGCACCCTCAATGCCAAGATCATCCCTATTATTCACCTATTGTTCTCAACTTCTGAAAGATATTCATGTGCCTCAAAGGTACATGACTGTTCTTTTGGCTCATTTTACTTTCAACCATATCTTGCTCCATGAAGCGCACCTTAACGAATCCAAGGTTTCCAGCTTCGTTGACGCATGCCAAACTTATCGCCTGTTTTCATTCCATTTTGTTGTGGAAACTTAATCTGATATCGTCATAATGGCAACCTTTCGAAGACGCGAACTGTCCGCGGGGAAGAATACATCCTCATCCTATGATCGTCACTACGTCAAGACATCCCCAGACTATATACCGCTCCCTGTCAACCTCCTTGCCAAAGGACTCCTACGGCCCCGTTTAACTGGCAATACATAAGCCCTTCCTAGAGACGGACCCATCATTATCAAACAATCCGGCTTCCTCAACCCATCTACAAGGCGCCCTCGATTACCCCCTCAGCTCATTCCATTTGCCAGGTCTGTACTGGGCCGTATTTACCAGATCTCACAAGATTACTGTGGTCGACAGAGTCGGGATGCACAACCCCCACAAGCGCTCTCTTGGGATAATGGGCAAACCTGCTAGCCCACCTCCGACACCTGCAGACATGACGTAATTGCCGCATGCATACGGAATTGAGGGACTAGGGACACCAAGGCGCATTTCTTATGCCATTTCCCGTCTGCTTTAAGCAAATCTGCGATTGAATACCACGAAATTTAGGACTTAGATATGCATACCCAGGTTAGGTAGAAAGAGGAGACGTGGGAGGGCTGGGAAGAAGCTGGAGAGGTAGATACCGATTTACATTGATACTTCACCTTCCAGACCACTATTGCGGTTCCAGCTTCGTGGACCTCTTGCTTCGGGAAGACCACTATATGCGGGTGATAGTATTTAAGACTATCTTCGCACTGCCGTATCTTCAGGAAACTCTGACAAACGAATGTCCGGGACCCAGGCCCTCTTTGAAGATTACATTTATGAGTACCATGGCCGACAGGTATGTGCTGTGTGCATGCTTAAGTAAATTACCGCACAAGCATCATGATGGAGTCGAATTGGTTTCACAAAAGCTTCCATTGATTTCGGTTGATTGCTCTTCATGGAACAGGGACGGAAGAAAGAAGAAAGAGAGAAAAAGGGTCAGGTATCTCAGAAGGAAAGAGCAGATTGGAAAAAAGGGTAAAATAAACACAGAAAAGAAAGAAAGTGGAAGTGAACTAGTCGAAAATTAGGAGAAGGTACTGACTACCGATCCATCATAACCTTAACGGACTGGCATAAATGAACCCCTAGATGAGAGGAAAAGCCCACAACCGGATCTAGAACCAGGAGGACCTGCTCCAACACCAACGACCGCGCCTGCTTCGGTGTGCCATTCTATTCAGCACACCTAAAAAATATTGACACGTAACTGAATAATCAAACACACATATCCTTACGCCTACACGCCATCAATCCATCTAACCCTAAGCACCGCTACCCTCACCTCATCGTGTAACCCGCCGAATCCAAATCGCGCTCTCAGTCCCATTCGGATCCTCCCTCTCCCTCTTCTTCCACGCTCTATGCAGCCTCAACCCAACATCGTGTTCTTCACGCCGAATCTCTGCCAACTCATCTTCAAAGTCCTTCTTCCTCCTCTCCACGATGCGCATTCGTCGGAAGTCTGTGACGAGGGGATTCGAGGGGGCTTGGGCATTTAAGTCTTGAAGGAGGCGGTTTACGTTCGAGCGACGGAGACGGAGGTCGTCGAGTTGCGCTTCGAGAATGTCGACGTGGTCTGCGGCACTGATTTCCGTGGGTGGACGCGGAAGCGCCTTTTGCGTATTTGTGGAGAAGGTGGACAAGGGGCGCGGGGAGGGAGGATCGGAAGTCATGGTTCGGGGGCGTGCAGTGGATGAAGTTATGGGCTTGCGGGTTGGGAGTTTGTCGGAGGCTTGGACGGGGCGACGACGGTTTAGGATGGAGGATGCGAGTTCTTGGGCCGAGGTTGGGATCGGTGGCGGAGGGGATGGCGGTGGAGATTGCTGGTATGTGGTGCTGGTATTATACGTTGTCCAACTGAACCGACTGGCTAGTCCGTTGTCCTTACTCGATGTCGATCCTGGCGTCCCTTCAATCGACTTCCTCACAACTTTGGTGTTTGGAGGGGTAGAGTGCGGCTGCAAGGGTCCTTGCTTCGATCCGTGGTACTCATTCGCCGGATGCTGAGCGTTCGTTGGCGTGATTGGACTAGGATACACGTACGGATTCTTTTGCTGGGTAATTCCAGGGTGATTTGGACTGACGGGAGAAGCCAAACTCCTGGGTGGTGAATTCCTCCCGACTTTGAGAGGCACCACTGGTTTAATGGGGTCTTCATGCATGTCCGCTTCCGTATCCTCTTCTGCGACGGGTGTTGTGTCAGCCGCAACTGGAACTCGCTTGACTGTGGTTGGAACCGAAAGCGACACCCCAGCCTTATTTTTAGTTCCTCCGCTGGCACTTTTGACACCTGCATCTGGGGCATTCTTTCGTGCATACTGGAATGGCTCCTTTGTGGGCTGGTTTTTTAAAGGCGCAACAATTTCAACTCGTCCGCTGGCTCCCTTCCACGGTTCGCGAGGTTTGGGTAACGTTGTGTCTACGGGCGAGGGTGATTTCGTTCCGAAACGACTCGCGCGTTCTGAGAAAGAATTTGCGTTCTTTTTAGTCTGTTCCTGTGGGCCGCTAGAAACGGAGACTTGATACCCCATCGGTCGGCGTTCGGCACCAGGGGGTAGAGAACCCTTCACGTAGTTGGCAGGATTCACCTGTGCCGCTTTACCTTCAGGAGCAGGTTCACCAGAGTATTCATCCCAGCGTACTTTGCTGTTCGGTGCTACTTTTCCACCCCAGAACTTCTGCGTGCTTTGGCTTTCCTTGTCGCGGATGATGCTAGGTACCTTGCGCAGAACAGGAATGTTGCTGGCTCCGCCTGATGGTGCGCGTTTGCCGCGGCTTTCGTCAACGGGAGACACATCACGCATGGAGCGAAATCGTCGTGGTGGGTCTTGGTTACGGTGATAGCGTTCAGGCTCAGGAGAGCTAGGGGGTGATACGTCCACCAAACCGGAAGGAGGGCCAGCCGTGGGATTGTAGTCGTATCCCAGTCCTGGTGAGGGCTGCGAGTAGATCGAGGAGACAGTCGGGGCGTCCGACGCACGGTGGTTGCGAGAAGCTCGTGGTGCTGATAGAGTGTTGCTGTTTGTGGTAAGCAGAGAGAAGTGGAGGAGGCGAGGGAACCAACTTTGTCTGAGGTGGATAGCCTGAGGCACCACCTGAGGCATAGGGCTGATAATTGGCATTCTGGGCGGCATCGGAGACATTGGCCATGTGCCTGAGTTGATCCTCGTCGTAGGTGGTTTCGACAAGCACAGGATTGCCTATTTGCTTCTCTTTTTCCCGGCCGTGACCCTGGAACCGTTTCCACATAATTAACCCTACTGAAACGTACGTTAGCGAGGTTCACGTTGGCTTAGGAGAACAAGTATCAAACACAATACGACGAAGGAAAGTCAAAAAGTTGCTAGATCCCTAAAAGGGTTCCCCGGATGGTTCTGTGTCTTGTTCGGGCTGTTCTCGATGCAGGTTGCCAGCTATCCCCGGAAGTAGTGCGTTGGTGGTAGACCTTTGGGCAGGAGGCGGAGGGTTCTTTTCGGAAACGAATTTTGGAGTGTGTAAATTCAATCATGTTCTTAGATTCTCTGTGCCGTAATACACTGGGAGGGACTTTCGCTTCAGTTTTGACATCTTTCACTGTCTCTCGGAGCTTAGAATGTAGCTGAATGCAAGGACTAGTGAGACAAGCCGAAAACAAAAAGGAGAACTTCGATAATGGTGGCTGTCCCAGATCACCTGTCGAAGTGAATTATTGAGAACGGAAGACAAATAATGCTGAGGAGCATCAAGACAGATGTCACCCGCTGCCTGTCCTTTGGAAGATCTACGTAGATTCGCCTATGGTCCTGCAGTGAAGGAAGGGTTTCCAGGGTATTTGTTTATGTCGGAGAGAAGGCAGCAGTAGGAATGGGATCGGAGTAGACTATTTAGGAACGAGTGCAGGGACCAAAGAAGGGGCCAGAATCCGGCGATCGTTGGAGAGAGATGCCAGAGATGGAAACGAAATAGAGAATGTAGAAGAGGCTAGGAAGATACATACCAATTACAATATTAATCAAAAAGGACTATACAGATGCCTGCCTGATATGCTGCTACTTGGGTATCCAACAAAGAAGTGAAGGTTAGAAGGGAGCGACGGGCAACAACACGCAGGATCGCACCGAGGTGAAGGAAAGGAAGCAGTCGGATTCAGATCCTCGGGACGCGGGGGGCAAGGGACTGCGTTTTGAGGCGCAGCAACTTCTTTGTGCTACCTTAGTGTGGTCGACACCCCGTGGGAGAGTCGGAGAGCACCAGAGCGGCTGCGACGGTTCGACAGAGAAGAACAAATGTTTTTGTAGTTTCGAGGTCAGAACTTCGGTGGACGAATGGGGAGCTGTCTAGACGACCGAAATGATGTGTTTTGTTGCGTTTCAGGGACTTAGTCGGCGTTTCAGAATGATTTGCGAGGGCTTGTTGCTGGTCGAACGGCGTCAAGAACAGCGTTGTGCTCGCGAGAGCCTCGTGTTGGGTATTTATGGGGGCAAAGGGACCTTTCAAGGTGGATCTGGTGTTGTCTGGTGGAGTGATGTGTTAGGGTTGTGGGGAGGTTATGAGAGGACGCCGGGCATTGATATTGCATGAATGACACCCAGCGGATTTGGGACGGCTCTTATTTCACTTTTATCACTGGGCACTCTCCTTTACCGTCGTGTGCTCAGGGGCACGACTGCGAGACGACCAAATTCGGGCAAATGCAGGATGACTAACAGCGGGCGATGAAGATCACTGGACGTGAGCAGGTCGGGCTTCCGCGCTGCTTGTTGTTGGTTGACGTTGATGGTGTTTCTGTCAGCCCCTCGGACTTGGGTCCTCCTCCGCCCTCAAATCGCCGCCACCCCGCGCCACTAAGCACACTGCCAGCTGTCCAGTCCATCAAACCCCAACTCGAGCGCTGTTGCCAGCTGCTGCATATAATTCTCAACCTCAGCAATGGCAGATTGTGAGCGATCCCGACCTTTGTGGAGAGGCTACCAATTAATACCCTCCAGCGTCTTCTCCTCCCCCGGCTGCTGAGGCGTAAGCAGTGTCAAACGCCGCGTTCAGTAGGACTTGTACAGCTAACAGACGATTAGAGCTTCTGTCATCACTCCCATCAACCTGGTTCTCCTCTCCCTATTTGTTGTCCTGGTCTACTTCCGCCTCAAACCCGCAAAGCCGCAGACTCTCCCAAAAGCCCCGCCGCCCACCGTCTTCCGTACATTCACCCCACCGGAACTGTTCCCTTACAATGGCCTGAACGGCATGCCCGTGTACCTTGCGGTTCGCGGGCGGGTCTTCGATGTGACCGCTGGCAAGAATTTCTATGGTCCGGGTGGTCCCTATGCCAACTTTGCGGGGCGAGATGCCAGCCGTGGCCTTGCTTGCGGTAGCTTCGACGAGGACATGCTGACCGAAGATCTCGATGGGCCACTTGATACTCTGGAGGATTTGGGAGAGGAGCAGATAGAGGCCATGCGCGGCTGGGAAGAGAGGTTCTCGGAGAAGTACCTTGTTGTAGGCAAGTTAGTTGCCGTTGGTAGCGACGAAGCAAAAGCAGCAGCCGCGCAGAGGTGAACAGACAGCCTAATCAGCACCCAGCCGTCGAGAGTCTCGGCCATGTTAAACACGAATTGAGGTTTATGAATCCAAGCGATCGCAAGATATAGCCTCAGCCGTCGTGCGCACTTGGATGGTATAGTCCTTCGGATCGGAAAAGGAAGCAAATTTCCTCCTCCAAGTACTTCCCCTGCTCTTCTTCAATTTTCGAGGCCTTCTTGGAGTTCAAATATATGGGTGACCTGATCCAGGCCATGGAACTTAGGCATGATACAATCTCAATTGAACTGTCTCATACGACCGCGTATGCCCAGCGCATCTTCCGTCTATTATCGTTTGCCAACAAATCTCGCTTTCAGTTCGGTTTGCTAGAACTATATTCCTAGCACGAGCGCTCGTCACTGAATTCTTCCAGAATATGAGTGCTTAGTTGTGTTTACTGTGCGCTCATAAATTAGACGTTCTATCAGGCCAGTTTTTTTCTAAGGAACCCCTTCGAAGACAATTACGAAGATCTCGGTTATCCAACATCACATTTATAGTAGATCAACATGCAAATGTCTCATCCTTACGACTAGGAACAGAAGAGGTTGTCTATTGTTGGTTTTGCTCGTTGGGTTTTGCGGCCAGAGCTCATGCGTTGTGTTTCAGCCTCAATGCAGGGTGCCAATCATCCGTGACTCGCATCTACAGTCGTATAAGTCAGCCTGCATACAGAGAGGTTCTTTGCGACCGGGAGGTAAAGTCTATTATGATTGCTTAATCGGGACTAGCGCAACTGTCACCTCTTGGTCGTTATTGACAATCTCCCACCTCACTCACATCCATCTCTCCTACACCACCATCCAAATCTACATCAATTTCTGTTTATCCATCCACGCATTCTATTAAGAGGCGCATTCGAACTCATCATTATCTTCACAGATTCACAAACTTCAACAATGGCTCCATCCACTACTAAAGCGGGCGCTGCTAAGGCGAAGGCCGTCAACGGAGCTGGTGTTAAGAAATCTGCCGGTCCCAAGTCTGGCAAGAAGGTGAACGCGAGGAACGCAATGGCAAAGATGCAGGCCTACTGTGAGTTTTACCTTCCTCGAGGCCCCAAAAGACGCGTCTGAATCGCCTTCACCACGCGTCGGATGCCACCCCCCTCATTCGTCCACCATCGCGCTGAACATGCGCTAATTGCTGTAATCAGTCAAGGAACATCGCGCGGAATTCAAGGACTTGTCATTCAAAGACCAACAGAAGGAGCTCGGCAAGATGGTGAGTTTGATCCAACGTTTACGTGTTCTCTTGTTGCTGTCACGTGCTGTACCCTGGAAAACCTCTCTCGTTTGCTTTTTCACTAGAAATTTGTTCTTTCCTTAACCTTGACAATTTTTTCTGCTCCCTTCGCAGGGTTTTCAACTGTCTTTGACGGGCGCTGAAACTAACACATTCATGCAGTGGAAAACCGCACCCGAGAACCCAAAGACTCAGACTGCCTAATTAGCTCTGCCATGCATCACTTGCTGGTCCCTTTAGTAAGGGTTACGGACTCGTTCTCTATGCCTGAGCAACTGTCTGCAACCACTCCCCATACAATTGGTAGTGCGCCTCATCTAATCCAGCGCATTATGTCCACCAAGACTCATGTATCAAAATGATGGCTTGTCCCCTTCAATTCGTCTCTATTCCCAAAATTCTTCCCCATGATTATTATTGTATTTTTGGTCTGCCGGGTGTTTAGTGCTTGGGCGAGTCTGGCGGCATTTCCTTGGGCTGCACTATGCAATGGGTTCCGTTTTCTTCTCAGATAGGCGCTGGTGGACGGGAAGGAAGCAAGGCCGGATCCATGATCCATTGGAGGCATAAGCAGTTTTACGGGCAATATGGATGATTTCAACTTCTAGTGCCTTCGCATGTATTGCTTGTGTTGTTCCTGCAGTTGGCGATGCATGCAAAGCTTTCAGGCTAATTGGGTACAGATCGATGCATGATGTCGATGGCGTCGAGCAGTTCGATTCGCTCACAGGTCTACGGAAAGACTCCGTGTGGCGAGATGCGAGGCTCTCCAACCGCACCGGCCAACCTTGGATACCAGAGAGCACTCTTTCTCTGTCTTCCCACTGCGCCTCGCCTATTCCTGAGGCACAAGCCAACGAATCCTATCCCTCAGCAGCTTCATTCGCTTCCCCCTTGATATTCCGCTAGAACGTGCTCGTCTACCTTTTCTTCCACTTAAGTCGTTCCAGCTAACAACGTTCGTGTAAATAGACCCCTGTCAGGAACAACCTCCCATTCAACAGCTACATAGCATTGAACCGCACGACATTCTACTTTGAAAAGGAGCATCTCTGCACATGTATTAGCTACTGTTCAATCCTTCGCTCAACATTCCTCGCCTCCGGGCGTAAGAGCGGTGGGACGGGCCATTATTGCATCCAGAGATGCATGCGGAAGCACGTATGAGAGCCGATGCCGCCATGGTGAACTAAGGGTAAGCCGTTTCGCGAAGTTACCGATTCTGCGTCGCTAACACTATATCTTGGCCAACTGGTCCCAGTTTTGCTCATACCTTCTGCTCATGGCCTGCTGTGAGGGCCTAACCTATTATGTGCGAAATTTTGAGCAGGCTCGACATAATTTGATCCAAAAAACATGGTTGCATACTTAGAGCCTCTTCCTAGTGCTCACAATTGGTCAGAAGATCTCGCACAGCCCGAATATACCGTAGCTTACGCTTCCGTCATTCCTCGTGGCCAGGGCCCGCATGGTTGCACATGCCTCTGAGGCCGAACATCAAGATAATCCGACATGTTAATGAAGACAAGAGAATTCGTCCAGGGATTTCCACAAGATACTAGGTCCATAAGAAAGCAGACTAGAGAGGACAAACGCCTTAAATATGCAATAACAGAGCATCAGGGCTGTCATGAAGCCCGAACGACATAAATAAAAAGCTATACCTCTCATCGTTACATCTCGGTTTCGTTTTCTGGTCCCAGTACAGGCATGGCGTGAATTCGTCCTCCATACGGAAGGCTGTCATTTTCATGCATTGAACATTTTGCCTAGGGTTGAGGCTGTGGAGTTCGCAACGCTCTCACTCAGCCGAGTATGGAGTCACCAGTAAGATGAACCATGTCTGAAAGCAAGTTATAGGTGAGAGCACCCGAGGATAAGGAGATCTAGATTCCCATGAGTTAATGATCGTGACCATAATGTTTACCAAGGTCATACCTGCACGACGTTTCTAGCTAGCCAGCTTCTATCTTGCTCTCCCCAAGAAGGTCCGCCCCAAATCCGTCCAATACACCCATTGATGCCATGTCTGCCTAGTATGATTCACCGAGAATGCACGCGACGGGCTGGAGACGGGGATTCACGTGATCGCTTAGTCACTTCGCGGTCCAAATTCGGTTGACTTCACTTTTGACCAACGCACCTCCCCCACCTCCGTCCCACCTCCTCTGACTTCATCTCGTCGTCACCTCGCAATCTTGGCTCCACGATTATATCCTCCACACGCTCCGCTCCTGTCTCCTCTTGCGTCCCCGACTGCCTTCGCGTCGCTCCTTTCCTACCACGGGAGGCTGAGTGACCCGAAGTTGCAAAGGGCCGAGAGGGTACACAGTCAGTTCCAACACACGCTTTGACCCCCGCATCAAGAAGAAGACTGACGCGCTGTTCTTGAAACATCATCCCAGGAACCTCTCTACTCTTTCATATCACATCACCTCAGGTCGACAGCAAGAATGGCCTCTCAGCGATACAAGGCAAATAGCTTGCACCGCTCCCGCGAAACACCGATTGACAGCGCCCCTAGAAATGCCGCTCCCGCTCACTGGGAGCGAGGTTGCTCCGGCAGAGACACCTCCAGTCACGCCTCCAGCCGCCAGCAGCAAGACCGCAACCGTCCGCGAGACCGTGACCGCAGCCGATCACCCTACCGCGCTCCTCGCGGCTCCGAACCTGAGCGACCGCGCGACTCGCACAGCCATAAGCGGAAAGCCTCTCGATCACCATCTCCTTACCGCCGCCCTCGCGGAGAGGAGCATCGGAATGACGATGATGAGAGTAAGGACGGACGCCGACACGAAAAACACGCTGATGATCGGGGTGCGTCTCGCAAGTACAATGATGTGAATCGCCGTTCTCGAATCTCCTATGCGGATCTGGCAAACAATGACAGTAATAGCTCGTATGAGCACACTTCACAGGCCACCTCAGATAGGAACGGTGTCGATGACACCAAAAAGTAAGACTTGTTCCCCACTTACAATATATATGTACTGACTGCCGATATCAGAGCCGCCAATCGTTCTCAAACACAGTCGACCGACACTCGAGAGCCAGAGATAGAGGTTGCCCCTCCTGCGGACGAGGAATCCGAGATTGAGAAGCGAAGGCGGAGGCGAGAGCAACTCAAGGCCCGCTTTGGGTCACAGCCACAGTCTGCTCTCCTTCAGCAAGTTCTTGTTCACAATGCATCAGAAAGCAGTACTCCAAATATTGTCTCACCTGTTGACACGCCAGACAAGTTCACATTGTCACCCACCATGTCCCCCATGTCTCCAGATGTTCGGTCGCCGGATAGTCAGATGCAGGATTCGCCGGGTTCGCCGGATGTAATGGTCCTTGACCGAGAAGAGGTCGCCGGCGGATCCGATGGAATCAGCCCTACGGCGGATAGCCCGTCGGCTGCTGAGTACGATCCGACTCGAGACATGCAGGAAGATCAGGCCCGGGCCGCCCAACAAACGGGAAGGCCAGACCTCTTCACCGGTGCTTCGAACAATAACGGTCCTGGACAACAGGAACAACTGGCGCCACCGAAGAAGAAGACTAAGAAGGAGATTGATATGTTCGCCGACGACGATGAGTTCGAAGATAATGAGGACATCCAAGAGGAGACACATAAACCAACAGTTCTCGATGTACGTCTGCTTGACAATTGGGACGACGCGGAGGGCTACTACAAGGTCCACCACAACGAACTCGTTGGCCCAAGCAACCGCTACAATATTGTCCAAACTCTTGGCAAAGGAGTCTTCGCAAACGTTGTCCGCGCCTCCGACATGGCCTCAGTCGGAAATCAAGGAACGGTTGCGATCAAAATTGTTCGCAGGAACGACTTGATGAAGCAGGCCGGTTTCAAGGAAGTTGGGTTTCTAAAGCGCCTGAACGAGGCAGATCCGGAGAACAAGCGGCACCTTGTCCAATTCCTAGGCAACTTCGAGCACAAGTTCCATTTCTGCATGGTCTTCGAGGATATGAAGATGAATCTCAGAGACCTTCTGAAAACTGTTTCCGGCGGCGGTTTCGCTCTGAAAGCCGTCAAGTCGTACGCTCACCAGATGTTTACGGGTCTTAAACTTCTAAAGGATTGCCAGATTCTACACGCAGATCTCAAGCCCGACAATATCCTCGTCTCCCATGACGACAAGACGGTCAAGCTTTGCGATCTTGGTACTGCTATCGACATCCGCGACAACAACGAGCCAACGCAATACCTTGTCAGCCGCTTCTACCGCGCCCCAGAAGTCATTCTTGGGATGGAGAGGAACTACGGCATTGATATGTGGGCTATTGGATGCACCTTATTTGAATTATGGACGGGCAAGATTCTTTTCACTGGCAACAGCAACAACCAAATGATCAAATCGATGATGGAAAATCTAGGCTTCTTCACCGAAAAGTTCCTCAAGAAAGGCGACCCCAATATGGTTGGCCAGCACTTTTTGTTTCCTCCGCTCAAATTCGCCAGCAAAGAAGTTGATGAGTTTGGGCAACAACGCCTTCGCGCCCTCGACCCTTGGAAGAAACCTCCTAAAGACCTCCGAACCCGAGTGTTCAACGCAGCAAAAAACATCGTCAAAGACCGACCGATGGATTCCGAATTAAACGATTTCGTCGACCTCCTTCTTGCGTGCCTGAATCCGAACCCTGATAAGCGAATAAGTCCAGAACATGCACTAGACCACAAGTTCTGCAAAAAGGCGAGGCTGGCCCCGTCGAATCCGAATACCAAGCTCGGTAGCTCAGGAGGCACTTTCAAGCCCAAATCGGTCAAACCGTTGTCGGCGAGACCGACAGTGGTCAAACCGAATCCGGCAAAGTATGGGTTTTCCCTGAAAAAATAGGTGCTTTTTCCGGTAATTAATGGATGGAAAGCAGTAGATGGGAGGTGGGCTTTCATCTGTGCATATCTCTTCACTCACCGAGTTCATTGGTTGGTTGAGGACTTCTCTTCTACATGAAAGGCTTCTGGAGAGTAGTGTGTTTTCGGATCGACGGCGGAAGGCATCGTGTGGCCAGACGGCTTTTGCGTGATAGAGCTACGGCTCATTGTTATTTGGTGCTATGGTTACTAGACATGACAGACACTATGTGGTAGTGGGTGGTGTGATCATTTCCAGATCAGACGGATGCAGACAGTGTTTAGTGGTTAGTTAGCAAATGGTTTATCGTAGAGGTGGTGGATCGAATATACCCAGTGAAGACATGTTATATACACGGCTTGATTTTGTGATTCATCGGCAATGTGATTTGAGACTGATGATGCATGCTTGATCCTAACTGTTTATAGAGAGAGAGAGAGAGCCAGAGTCATAGATTAGTATAATAGATTAGTACATGCACCAATTATCGCATATGAGAGATGTCGCCAGCTCACAACAACAAAGTCATATACTTGGTGCTCGAGGAACGTAAGCCTGGTTCTTCAACAATTTAATGATAGACGGATACTGTCGCATTACACACTATTTATATATCCTATTGAAACCCTCCTCTATTTGCCAACGAAATCAACGCGAACCGAACCAAACATATTGGGTATCCCTTGAAGATAACAAACGACCGACTAGTTCATCCTTACTTTCTCCCCTTACACCTGATAATGCTTCAATAAAGAGAAGTGAGCGAGTGAGCGCTGCGCGGCCTTGAAATGAGACGAGAATAGACCGTAACAGAGTATATATCAAAACATCTCCCCGACACCAACAACCTTCCTCCCCCCTCTCCCAAAATGTCTGCATCCGAGCGACCCTCCACTAAATCCCTCGCGATCCCCAATAACGTCGTCGATGCTGGTAATCCATTCACTTCCTATCTTTCCATTCCCATCCCCCTCAGCGCCCCAGCCACTATCATCTTTGACCCCAAAACTGCGAGCCCGGTTTCTATCCGGTTTAATCTCGTACACAATTCCACTATCCAAAGTCCCTAGGAATCCATATACCGTCTTATTAATCCTCACCGCGCCTTTCGGATCTGTTACTCTGAAAACCATAAACGGAACTTTCCTACTCGCTAGAATTCTTGCTTGGGCAGCGAGACGGGATTGTGCGGGACTTGCAGCCGTTGTGATGGGGAAATCGAGATTGGGATGGGGTTTGCTGAAGCGGGGAGATGGGAACGGAGAGTCGATACGTGGGGAGCTCGAGTGCGGAGCTGGGGGTTGCGACGGATGTTTGGATATAGAGCTGGGGCGTGAGGAAGCATGGTATGAGGCTAGAGGATCGACAGCCGCGGCGATTTTGTTCCAGTTCCAACCGCCATTCTGAGTGTGGCTCTGGTTCTCGTTCTGATTTGGTGTGGAAATAATCGAGTTCCTCGGCGGACTCGTTAGAAGCGCAGTGTCGGATGGGAGCAGCGCCGTGGCACGCGGTTTGCACAGTGCCTGGACCAATCCTTGCGGATCATGTGGTATTCTCACTTTCTTGAGTTCGGGGAACAGGCCTGTTTTTATGCTCATCGCCAGTAGATTCGTCGCTAGGCAGCAAAGGGGTTCGGAGTCGGGGAATGGAAATCTGACCGTTGGTGCCTGTGGTGCAAATGGTGAGAGGAGGGTTGATGGTGGGCCGGCTTGGGATTTGATCTCCCAGTGGAGGTAATTCAGGGTAGGTGATTGGAGAAAAGGGATAGGTGCATCCTGTGGTAGATTGGGCGCTTTTTGCTGGGAGAATGTGAAGCGCTTGATGGCGGTTAGATGAGGGCTTAGAAAGTTAGATAGAGTCACTAGATTGGAAATTTCAAGGTCAATGAGTGTGAGGTTTTCGATGGTGGTCGGGATATTCGAGGTTGCAAAGCGTTGGAGGCCTTTGTCGTTGATGCCTGGAAGGTTTTCGAGACGGAGGGATTGAAGATTCAAGGGAAGGGCGTTGAGAGTCATGCTCGTGAATGAACTAGCTGGTAGATTCGATATCGATAAACAACGAAGCAAGGGAAATTGTCGGAAGGCTCCAATGACGGCGCGGAAAGTCAAGGGGGTGGAAGCGCATGATTGCTGATGAAGAACTAGCGTCGTGAGATTAGGGTGGTTGGAGTTAAGATCGAGGAAGCGTTCTGTCGGATCCAATGCAGCATGATAGTAAATGTTACTTGGGTCGTCTTCCTCGTCGGAATCTGATTCGATATCGTCCTCAGAAAGTATCCACATGCGCTCTTTCAGACTCTCCCTCGTAGAAAGTGCATGGGACAGCCGATCAAACGTGTGGGTGAATGGTGCATGAAACCCGTCCAGGCGCTCAAGATTTGGACACGCCATTACAACTGACGCGACCAAGTTTACAATTTCCTCTTTCTCGATGCCTGCGTTCTGATACAAGGTCTGGATGTCGGGCATATGGAGCTCCCGTACGCATCGCGCCAGTGCCTGGCGTTCGCGGAGAGTGCGTCGAAGAAGCTTAAGCCGGCTCGTGCCTTTGATTTTGAGTTTAGGCATTTTGGGGTGGTCTTCATTAGTTAAGACCCAGACTTTGCGGTACCTAAATTTCGGGGTCAGTTGACTTCATTGCTTTTCAACGCCTTCAGAGTCTACACCCAACGCGGGCCGAAGAAATAACTGGCACAACTTACAATTGCAATGTAGCCGCTCGATCCCAAGCCCGACTCGTCAACGAGAGGTTATATAGATCTTTCAAATAGCACGATGAACACGCCTGGTTCTGTCCAAAGTGCAGACACTCCAACTGCTCCAATATGCAATCATACACCTCTCGGGGAAGTTTCTTGAACACATGGGCGGGGAAAAGATACTCAGGCCTAGAGCGTCGCCATACTGGGTTCTTCTTGTTACGTTCCAATTCCCAAGGCGTCTTGGTAAGGCGGGGTATCTCAAAGCCGGCTCCAGAGACGCTGGTGCATGTGGTCACTGAGGAGGTCCGTGACCGGGCTGAATGGGTTGTGAGGAAGGTGAAATGGGAGGATGAAGCCGTAGAGACAGAGTTACGGGCTTCTATTTGATTGGTAGTACAGGGGCGTGGAGCATCACATCTGAGAGCAGTGTTAGAAATCCATTGATATGGTTATCTAATATCGACGTGCCCTCAACGGGCAGCGCTTGAAACAATTATCGATGATATTGGAAGAACAGACAACTCACATGTCAATAGCATGCTCAGCCGACAGAAAGTCTCTCTGAGGGGAAAGGAGTCGCAGCATGGTGAATGAAATCGCAATGCAGTACTCAACAGACTAAAGGGCGGACTCTAGGTGGAGGTATAGTGCTCTCCTGGTGGCGAAGAGGGGTGAATATGGGAAAGAAGGAAGGAATGAAGGAAGGAGCGAACCACGCTTTTGCGCCAGACAAATGCAGAACGGAAGACAGGCAGGAGGAGCAATAGCAAGACATAAAAGGCTTCATGGCATCCTACGCCGCGCCTTCCCCATGGGCGGCAAATCTATCAGAACCCTGGAAGCCTTCACACGCACGCCTCCCACGCACGCACGGCCCTCTCCCTCTACTCTCATCCTTCCCCTGTGAACCACCAGCCTGCCGATCACCCAGGGAATGACGAGTTCGTGCAAACGCTAAGATCGGCTCTAATCAGCCTGGTCCAAATCTGCGAGCAATCATGAATCGATTCCCTCAGCCACTGGGCGAATCGTGCTGGCAACACTAATCCTGTCATGGTAATTTTTGACAGGCGCCAGGCCTGCCCTCAGGAAATGAGCGGCTGGGCGGTGATCTTTGAGAGTGTTTGTCGCCGGCATGCATGAGCGAGAGGCGTCGCTGGTCAATACGCCACCGGCGTAGGTTTTGACGCCGTGGTGTGCGGGTCTCCGGAGGATTGAGGACACACTGATGGTTCCTGGTGGATAGCGGCAGAAGCAAAGAGACAGCTGATGAGGACTCAGGGCGGGCGCGGAAGAAACATTAGGGCTGGGTTGGTGGTGTTCTCGTCGTGCATCCACGCCGCAATTTCTACATGAGACAACATCAGACGTTGTGCAAGTCGCACGGCAGCCTTGCACGACTTCGGTTTCCATGGTTAATAGATCTAGCAAACGATGAACCACAGGTCACCCTCTCGGAGTTAAGATAGCGCTGATACTTCGGCCAGTTTCCTGGTCGGCGATCCATGGGACGATTCATCACGGGAGAGCTGACTTGACGGAAAGATGTTCCATGAGATGAGCGCCACGAATCTCTCTGCAACCTGACAGGTCAACTCGACAGCAACCATATCCCGACAAAGTCTGCACACATCCGCCTCAGCTTGCAAGTTAGACGCATTGTGCATGCCCACTGTGCTGCTTCCTTTCCTTATCCACCATGCTATACATGCCCACAACCTTGAACAAAAGTCCGTCCACTCATCTCAAAAGAAAATTCTCCTCAGCACATCCATCACCAGCCAAACCAATATTCCTTCTTCCTCCGGACAAATCGACAAATCCCACGCACGAGCCCCTGATCTCACTTCAAACCCTCCTGATCCTTCCCATTCCTCCCAGCCTGTCGGGTCCTCTAGCGCTCCAGCCCTTCCGCATCCATTCCCAAGGACCAAGGTAAGGTTCACCGCGCCAGTTTCGCAAGCGGCGAAGACACGCGGTGGCGAGTTCCGCCTCTGTCTGCTGTGTTCAGTGCCACGGATCCATGTGTCGGCATCCTGGAGAAAATGTGCCGTGAGCTGGGCTGGACCTTCTGGTCGCATGAGCAGACTCCAGGTACCAGGCGCCAGCATCCGCACACGGAGACGACGGATTGCTTGAATGTCCACCGACGTGATTTGCATCCACCAGCCAGCCCACTCATTTGACCTAGCGTGCGAAGGGAGTAAAAATAACATCCTTGATCAGTCGTACTAGGGGAAGCTGGAAGTCGTGCAAAGAGCCAGTCATATTCCGCCGAAGTATCTCCTCCCCCTACCCACCCACTAGAGCCGGCTCGAGCGCGCCGAAGAAGACTCTACCCACGAAGCTGAGATGGCTGGCAAAAGGGCCTTTTGGCAACCTGCCTTTTCGGGAAGGAATTTCCAGCGAGCAGGATTCATGTGTAGAAACCTGCACTAAAATGTCGTGAATTTTTAGCGTTGACGGGAGGCCGGATTGGGGCATTTGCCAAGACAGTGTGGAGAATGCTGGCGTGAGGTAAAAGAGAACCAAAGAATGGACTGGTGGGTGTGATGTGCAGGAGATCTTTTTTTTATGACGGCTGGGATCGCTGGTTGAGAAGGAGAAATGTTCTATGTGACTTTTGGTATCGGTTATCTATAGTAAACACTTAATCGTCTTGTTCTTCCATGAACGCCTGTCTGGAAGACTGTCAACTAGCCCAATCACACAGCTCCAGCCTTACTCGTTCAACTTGACAAGTCCACTCTTGTCCTCGCCCGGCCATACATCATATCCAAACGTATCTTTCATGTTCACGAACCTCGTGTGCCTTCCCTTGGCTACATTCTCAATAGCCTCAAAGTCCTCCTCGCTCAACTCTGGAACTTGCCAATTGCTCTCGATCCTCGAAGGCGTAGAGCTCTTAGGCAGGACAACATATCCCCTCCTCAGACCCCACGCAAGAAGCACTTGAGCAAGATCGTATCCGCTCCGCTCAGCAACCTTGTTTAACGTAGGATTCATCCGCACCTTCTCGCCCGTACTCGGAACCTGATTCTGGGATCCCAGCGGCGAGTACGCAGCGGGCATGATACCATTCTGAAAGCAGTACAACACAAGCTCGGCATTCGGCAAAAAGGGATGAATCTCAACCTGATTGACTGCCGGCTTGATTTCCGCAAAACCCAACAACTGCTGCAAACCCTGAATCGTCCAGTTGCTCACGCCAATTGCTCTCGCTTTACCCGACCTGTTAAGCTGCTCCATTGCCCGCCATGTGGGTTCTGGGTTGGACGTGAGGGCCTTTTTGATGACATATTTCCCATCTTGCCCGATTTTCGGCATGTTTTTCTCATTTTTCTCGACTGCAACCGGCCAGTGCACGAGCAACAGATCCACATACTCCAGTCCCAATTTCTGCAGTGAATCCTCACAGCTCCATTGCACTTCCTCTGGCTCATGGAGATGGTTCCAGACTTTCGTCGTGATAAACAGATCTTGCCTCTTCACGCTCGGGTTCGATTTGAGGAAGGCTTTGATTGCCTCGCCGACTTCTTCTTCGTTTCGGTAGAACCATGCGCAGTCGAGATGACGGTAGCCTGTTTGGAGGGCGTGTAGGACGGCGCGGTAGGTCGAGCCCTTTGCGCCTTCGTTGGCAAAGGTACCGAAGCCGATGGCGGGGATATTGATGCCGTTGTTGAGGGTGAAGGATTTAGTGTTGGCGCGGGGAGTGAAGGAGCCCATTTTGACTCAAATGATTGAGAGAATGAAAAGAAGAAACTTAGGTAAGTATAGCAGAGGTCAGCTTAGACAGATGTGACACAAGACCGAGTTTGCGCTCAACCCTCTGAATAAAAAGTGCGAAAGTTATATGAATAGGGAGCACCATCGAGACACCTTTTAAGATATACCTCATCCACCCCAAGCACGAAAATCCGCAAGAAAAAAAGCCACCTAAAACAGACTAGAAAATGCAAGAGAAACCGAAAAGAACGCTTTAACCTATCTGCTGGACCCGAGTACCCAACATACCCAGGTCTCCATAAATTAACCCTTAGGTACAGTTGCTTTCGCCAAAAGCGGCCCGCTAGCCAGCAACACCACGAAAACGTTCTTCACCGCATATCTCACCTTATGACGTGGGAAAGTGGATCCTCAGACCGGAAGAGCCCGCTTCCAATCCTGGTAGCGTTTCGCATTTGTAGGACAGTATCGAATATATTCTAGATTCTCTCAACGAGTGCAAGTTTTCTGCGTGTTTCTCAGATGCAAAGGCGCAGAGGAGAATTTGTGTCACGGCTGATTTCCAGGAACAAGCGAGACTCACAAGAAGTAGACGCAATCGGCAAACGGGCGTAGCAGACAGCGGAACCAAGCTCACAATTCTAATGTCATAGAAATAAGGTTACTGGCCGGCACAAAGCGAGCTTGTAATTCCTATCTAGAACCGAGCGTTTGGAGACGTGAGATTTTTTCATTTGAAAGAACTTCTTCCGGCAGGATTAAAAACAAGCATTGATAGCCGTTGTGGGTCTTAGGGCGTGTATCATTCCGCGACACTTATACCTACCTTTGATTACGACCTCGTGGCTTCGAATAGCTGCGGCGTAAGATCCTAGAGAAATCCTAATGATCAGCGCCGCGCACGTGTAATATAGATGATGCCGCTATAGACCCTAGTGTGGATCTTGCTCAGCTTGTCGAACTTCACGGCTGAGAGGTGTACGAAAAAACAGAGCAAGATTTGCAGGGAGGCTTTGAAATATTTGGAAGAATGATGGCATTGTGATGTAATTGGGAAATGTTTACCTGGTTGGTGGATGTATACCATCAAAGGAGACACTATTGATCTCATCATCATTCAACAACTATTTTCACCCCCCAGACCACAATCGACAGTAGTTAGCTATTCTAATACTCATCTTGCCTGACTTTGGTACCCAATCTCCTCTTTCACCGGTCAAGTCGCGAGACAGCAATCGACTCGCTCGTGTCGCAAGCCACAAGAGCAGTTTATCTGTTGGAAGCCGTGGAAGCACAATCAGCATCCAGATCGACGGGCATGCGCACAATGCCATCGAAGTGCCAGCCACGCGAAGCTTCATTTGGATGTACCATTGCATATGCACAGTTTGAGCTTGTCTCTATCGATAAAGAACTAGTGAAGTCCCATCTCATTTTTTACTTTGTTGCTTATTCCAAGATCGAAGCGCCAATCAAGGTTGTCATCGATTTATTACCTAGATGGAGGATGGCCTCCACGGCGGGGAGTCCCCTCTATTCAGCCTACTCTGGACATTCTTGCCGCCCAGATACAAGATCCACCTGGGGAGAAGGTTCGCGAAGTAGAGGACATGGCCTTTATTTTCGACATCGATGGTGTCTTAGTCCACGGTGACCGACTGATTCCAAAGGGTAAACGCGTGCTCGAGATGCTCAACGGAGATTAAAAGGCTTGGATAAATATTCCCCATAACTTCTTGGTCAACGGATCTAGAAAGCCCGAGTTGCCCCGAGTGCGGCACTATCCAAGATCTTGCATTCTCTCATCCCTACTGATCAGTTCATCCAATCGCACATGCCGATGCGGGCATCGGGGGAGTTCTACAAGATTGTTCTTTTAGTCGAGGTGACGTCTATAAATGCCGAGAAGTGGCGGAGAAGTATGGCTTCGAAGACATCTTCGCCCCATGAAATTGTTGCCTGGAATCCTACTATTGCTCCACCCTAAGTGTTCACGGATGAGGAACAAGCAGCCTTGAGACCTCGTGATTTCTCTAAGACTAATATTGACACCATTACGGTCTTCACTGAGAGCCGCGACGACGCTACCGACATGCAAATCATCATGGATCTATTGGGGGACGCGAAGGGCAGCTGGAGACTATAACTAAGGATCCTGTCTCTCAAAAGAATTTCCATATATTTCTCTCTGGGAGACCTCTTGTGCCCCACTGAACACCCAACTCCCCCTACGTCGCAAAGCACCTTCCGGATTGGCCTCGAAGCTGTGTACAAGGCTTTGACTGGCGAGGATCTCGGATTGTCTACGGAAAGCCTGAATTGGCCACCTACAGGTACGCCGACGAAGTCTTTGCCAGTTGGATGAAGCTAATCCATAACGACGAACGTCTTCCCAGTAATATTTATATGATGGGAGACAGCCATCTATCTGATATCATCGGAGGTGATATGTATGGCTGGAACACCTGCTTGGTGCGGACCGGTAATTATCAAGGCGAAGGTATCGACGAAAACACCGGTGCAAGCTTTGGTTTCCAACAACGTCCTCGAAGTAGACCAGACTGCGGTCAGGAAGAATGTAGGTATGAACTCCCGGTTTGAGTTTGACGAAAGGATCAGTTTCGTGCTGGACGGAAACGCTGTTTCCGCTATTGAGTGAAGGGCTATACTCTACTATTTGCATGGGTGGCGTTTGGTCCATAAACTTGACTAGGCAGATATCCAGGCTACGATTCTGAGTTCCCATGTTCATAAATAAAGAGTGTTTCCTGGTCCAAAGTTTTTTTTCCCCAAAGACGCTGATTGTGAGGTGTTTGTTTGGAAAAAAAAAGACACATTGATCCACCATTTGCCTCCTCGTACTTAAACTGTATGGTGCAGTAACTGTGCCTGTGATATTGAAAAGGACTATAATCCCTTGCTCAAGCCGGAAGTAGGCGATCTAACATTTCAAGATTTGCTTGCTCGTTCCCACGCTTTGCGGGATGCTTGCGGATTTTCACATCAAGCACCGCGTTCGGCTCCGGCATATCAAGAGTGGGCTCAGATACCAGTTCCGGGAAGTGCTCCTTCGCTTTTTCCAGGACCCATTGGGCATCGGAGTATTTCTGTTCAGCAAGTAATTGTCGCGCAACGCCTAAGTTAAGTTGAACAAGCCATTTTTGGCTCTGGATATCCCTCAAGAACTTTTCTGGATGCTGCAGAAAGGACAGACCTAGAGCTGCACTGGGCTCGGTGGGATGATGCAGCAGTAGTAATGATCGGATCAGGTCAGCAGAGCTAGTCCATAATTCGAGCTCTTGTAGGAACCCGTCATAGGATTCTGGTGTGGCGAGCCATCCTGGGTGTGAGAGGATATAGTCGACAAGAAAGGCGCCGGAAGGCCAAAGAGTAGCACGAGAAACCCGAAGCTCTGGCAAATGTTGCATCTCCACTGCCCGATGAAATGTTGCTATCGCCCTGTCGCTGCTTGCCTCACCACGCGCTTGAAACGCCACCATCCTTCGCAGCAGGTCTGCCCTAAAGGCGCGGATCTGAGTCTCTGGCAATCCAGTCTCACTCATTCTTTGCTGAGGGCTGCACGCAAACCACCGCCACAGGGGAGCTTCTTCCCCTTCTTTTAGGAGCAAAGGGATCAAGTTGCCCAGGAAAGACTTGCGCGGATATTCCAAGAACGCCTTCGAATTCTCCACGCTACTCGACCAAAGCCACTCTGCAATTTTAGCACCTGCATTACTCTGATGCTGCCCGTCAGTTGGGCGTTTGATCTCAGCTGTGGTGGCGTTGCTTTTGAGCATATTGAGAGTCATGGCAGCCTTCGGAATGTCGGCGCCTCCAGCAGCTACCTGGTCCAAGAACCAGCCCAGGGGATTCTCGAGTACTTGCTGTGCATCGAGTTTGGCAGGGTCGGAGGCCATCCGTCGGGGTCGGACAGAAAAGAGTGGGTTTGTTAGAATAGACTCGACATGTTGGTTTGCAGTGTTGCGAGAGGACTGCAAGGGTCGATGTGGGGCAGGATTTCGGCCATTGCTTAATGAATGCTTGCGTGGACGCGATTTTTGAGTGTCCTCAGCTAGAGCCACGGGGTGCTCACGGTCGAGGTGTGCTCTGAACGAGGATGTGAGGAGTGCGAGGAGCTGCTCGCTTTCGCGGGGTGACAGTGGAAGCTGAGGGTGGATCTTGGATGACAATAAGGAGAAGGCGCGTCGAGTGGCTATAGAATTCATGGCTGGAGAGCCAATGCGCGGGAGTGGTGAAGGATTGAGGTGGAGGGGCTTGGATGGACGTGGATGGACTGGGGAGGCACTGGCGAGGGAGCTTGGTGGTGGTGTGAAGCGCGAAACTTGGCGGGAGGGCAGGCCGAGGGCCACGTGACGTTGGCCCAACACGCCCGCGCTCAAGCTGGACAACGGCGGCAAAACCGCGAAGCAGCCGCCAGCCGCCCTTTCTCCTGCGTTTCCCCCAGCTCCCTCTCCCATGAACACCACCCGCACCTGAACCATCCAACCGCGCGACCGACGCTGCATCTTGCAAGCCCCGGAGCACTCAGAGCGCCAAGCGTTTGCTCTCCCTCTAGCTGCCCCGTCCTTGACCTCCTAACCTCGCCCGCTCCACCACACCGTCACCCACACTACCACTCCGCGCACTCTCACAAGTCCCCTCACCGACTTGCATACAAATACACATTCCGTCCTTCACATGTCTGACGTACAGTCTAGGCCCGCCCCGCGCGGCAGGAGCTCCGCTCGCGGTGGAAGAGGCGGACATGGGTCTCGAGGGCCGCGATCGAGCAAACAGACCAACGGCGACCATCAAGCATCAACTAACATCGACACATCTGCAGACCAAGGCGAGCTCCTCGAGCTGAAGCGGCGACACAGGGACCAATTGGCCACATTGAAAGAACTTTTCCCAGACTGGACCGATGTCGATCTCCTGCTGGCTATTGAAGAATCTGCCGGAGATCTCGAGGCCACAATTGGGAACATCAGTGAAGGTATGTCCCTGGCACTTGACTGCACCAGCGACCGCTTTTATTGTTCGGCCTGTCGAGATTCCTACATGGCGGCCATTGAGTGCATCTGCTGACGATTTTTCAACACAGGCAACGTCTCTCAGTTCTCCGAAGTCAAGAAGACAAAGGACCGATCCCGTTCCAAGGTGAAGGAAGCAGGCACTGCGCTGGCAGATGCTGTTCCGACCTCACGCGGGGGTCGCGGCCGTGGTGGCGACAGCGTTCGTGGCGGTCGCGGACGTGGAACCGAGCGTGGCCGTGGTGGTTTTCGCGGCGCTCGCGGAGGAACGACAAATGGCACGCGACCAGCTGCTACAATCCCGGTCGCCTCCAATGATGTGCCCGCATGGGATACTCCAGCCACGAATGAAGAAAAGGAGGCTGGCCATGCCGCGGCGGGAGAGCAACCTGCTGCGACGCAGACCCCCGAACCCGAGCCAACGAAGCCTGCGGCGGTGCCCCAACCGAAGAAGACATGGGCCAGCATGTTTGCGAAGCCCAAGCCAGCACCTGCCCCTCCAAAGCCTGCCGTTCAGCCCCCCATTCCTCACGAAGAACCCTCTCCCTCCCCAGCCGAGACTCCTGCACATGAAGTAGCTCAAGAAGCCACAGTAGAGGCAGAGGAACTGCCTATACCCCCAATTGTGGATGAGATTCCAGAGGAGCCCCCGGTTGTCGTCGAGGACCCAGCAGCTTTGACCCCAGACAAACCACAAGAAGACCTCAGCCCCCAGCTGGAGATTACTCCTTCTAGGGACGAGCTCACCAAGGACAATGTGGAGCATCTCCCAGATGTATCGCATTCGGCTCCGACGGAGACAGCTGCTAGCACTGTAGCTAGCTCGAGAGACATTGGTAGCATCGCTGGAGTGGCTACTCCTTTGAGCACATCTGCTCAGGCGCCAATTGGTCGTCCGGCTATTGGTGGATATGCAACGACCGCGCTCAAGGCCACGGGAGCACCCCACCGTAGCGCAAGCTTCCAGAGGAGGCTTATGGAACAACAAGAAGCCGTAGTCATGCCCGGCAACCACGCGGTCGATAGAGCAGCTGTCCAGTTTGGAAGCCTTGGCCTAAATGGAGATGTGGATGCTGATGCTCTGGACGTTGATGAGGATAGGGAGGAGGCCGAGACAAGGACCCAACCACCCCAACATTCCCCTGTCGCGCAACCGAGGGCTGCTCTGCCTCCGGCTCCTCGGCATGCTCCTCCACCTTCTGAGACTCAGCCTCAAGAAACAATGCCAACCCCGAAGCAAGCTCCAGGACTACCTCCAGTACCCCAGCAACAACCACCCCTTTCTCAGTCACCCTCCAATCCGCTTGGTGCGCAGGCCATGCAGAACCAAGGCTCACAGGGCAATCAGCAGTACGGCCAGTTCGGTCGCTATGGGCAGAGTGGCATGCAGTCCGAGCCATCGGCGCCCCCGCAGAAACCATATGACCCATTTGGTCAACAGGCCCCGCAGCCCACCCAGTTCGACTATGCAAACCAGCAGCAAAGTCAGAGTCAGACCCAGCAGCAGCAGCAGCAGCAACAACAACAACAACAGCAACAGCCTCCGCAGTCTCAGGCTGGAGCCCTCTCGTCGGCGCCGGATAGTTTCGCCTCGCAGTATTTCACCTCAGACCAACAGCGAGCGGCGTACCAGAACTACTATCAAAACTACAGTCAGCAAAACGCCTCAACTCAACAGGAAGCTGGCTCCACACAGCCACGCACAGGCAGTGCATTTGGCACCGGTCCCACTGACTCGACTTTCCCTCCGAGTCAGCAACAGCAGGTAAGAAATTTCACTTTCGACGAGCTTAGCAGGCCACCTCCAACGAGCAGGCCTGGCGATCGCCGTCACGAAAATAAATACGTTTCTACGACTATTAGAAGATCGGCTTCTGACAACCACCAACAGTCCCAGAGTCGTTATAACGAGGCTCAGAACAGCGGTCATACTACACCAAATCCAACTTTGGGTGGGCAGCATCCCAGTGGACCTGCTTCGCAGGCACAGCACATGCAACAGCCTCATGCTCAGCCTGGACATACCGGTGGATATCCGTACAACCACCCGTACTACGGCACCCCATACTATGCTAGCTACATGAACCAATTCGGTAACTACGGACAGGGAGGTTATGGCGGTTTTGGTGGTAACAAGGGCATGTACGGTCAGCCTCACCACTACGGCATGTCTCCCCAGACATCATTTGACCAGCATTCATCCTCGCCTGCTAACGCTGGTGGGTTTGGAGGATCTTCGATGCATGGTCGTGAGAGCGGACTCGGAGGCGGACTTGGCGAATACGGCAGGTCAGTATCAGGTGCCTCGCAAAACCAGCATAGCGCAACCTCTGGTGCTGGGTTTGGAGGCCTTCCGGATATGTTTGGGCGGTCCCAGGGAGGGTATCCGAACCAGAGTTCTACTTATGGCCAGCAACAGACCGCTCAACAAGGTGGTAACGAAGATTCGTTAAAGCCTTTTAGCGACTCGAAGAGTGGTGGACCCAGCCCATCTGCTCTCGGAGCCCAGCCTGGTCGACCTGGATCTGCCACCAACAATGCCCCTGGCCAGAGTGCGCAAGGGGGACTTCCTCCACAATCTCATCAACAAGGCTTCGGTGGCTATCCGAGCCATCTGAATCAACTGCAAGGCGGTCAGGGTAACCAGTACGGCGGGCTTGGAGGGCTCGGTCACCAGGGTGCTGGAAGCCATCAGCAGACAGGCGGCTATGGTGGTTACGGTGGATTTGGCGCTGGCGGATATGGCAGCTACAATCGCGGCGGATGGGGTACCAACTATGGGCAGCATTAAGCAAGCCATTTCACAAGTATCTTGTGAGAACATTCGGTCTGGGCCCACTGCCATTGCTATTATGGAAGAAACCAAGTCAGTAAACATGGCGAGGGGTTTCTTCTACTACCACTTTTCCGAATTGATGGCAGGCATACAATTTTGTTGCCTTGTATTATGACGAACGGGTCGTTTTCCACACTTTTCCCCTCTTACTCCTCTCTCTCTCTCTCTCACACACACGCACACACGCACACTTGCGTCCACTCTCTTCTCCAATACTTCAGGTTCTGTGTAATGCGAAATCAATGGGCAAGGGGAAGGGGATTCTGAAATCCAAAAAATGTTTTGCGTTTTGTCTTTGTGCAAATTTTGTTGCGATCAAGCAATCTCTCGGTGTCTAGGGTTCTCAGGGAGTCTACAAAGTTCGAAAGTTCGAGTCGAACGGGACGGGTCTTTACACTGTCAGTGTCCTCTCTGAATGGACAGTTATTTGAGGGGGAGAATGCGGCTTTGGGTTGCGATTTGGGCTCGTTTCAAAAGTCCGGGTTTGCTAGCGATTAGTATCGTGCAATTGAATCGAATGGAGTGTAGCCCAGTCACTCTCTTCTGGGCAGTGCATGTGGTCAAGGTCGTTGGTGTTGGTGCGTTTAAGCTTATCTTGTCAACGACTGTTAGCTTGGGTCTAACGGAGCTGTCCGTGTTCAGGTTGACTGATAATCGAAACAATAAACCTCACCGCTTCTTTTCGGTCACCTGTCTGTCTGGCTTCCGCAATTTGTTTCGTGAGCTTCTTAAGATGATGGTATGATTATGGAACCCATCTGTGACCTCCGAGTCTCCTCCGACAGATAATCACGCAGCTGCGGCTCTTTTGAATAGACGATCTCTCCGAGATTAATGATCCCGATACTAGGATCGGATTTCGCCTCTTCCATAATGCAGGTACGTACCTTTGGGAGATACTTTGATCAACACATCATTTGCTCGGAAGCTACATTCCCATGGTTTCTTGTCGATACACCAATGTCGCTAGCGCGTCATCTTCGCAACAGATATCCTACTTCCATGTTTTGTCAGTGCAAGACACTTGCGACATGTTTCTTTCTGTCGGAATTACTAACGGCTTCCCCCCTGCCCTAAACATAAATTCTTAGCCTTTTCACGTGGGATTACAGCAGCAACTACGGGCCGACTACATCACTTCCTCGAAACAAGTGGGTACCCGAGATATTTGCTCGTTTTAAGTATTAGGGCTTACGTCCAGCATACCTCAAACTTCCATCCCACCTTGAAATCCTCCAACCTACCCTAGGAAGATTCTCACCGCCCTGCTTTCCTTCTGTCAAAACGCGCCAGATTAGGCTTCTGTCTAGGATGCCAAGGTGGGAAGTGGGTAGTGGGTCCATGACGACCACCCGCACTACTGCACGTCGGCACCCACCTGCATCCACAATTTGGTCTATGCCTCGATGAAGTCTAGTCAATGCAAGAGCTGCATCACGGCCGACGGCATTGTCGGAGGAACCAATTTCTCTTTGGGATGGCTTATCAGCGACTACCTTGATGGTTGGGTCTTTGAAGACCTGAGTGGTGAAACATTTAAATATGGCGCCCACGCTGCTTCTTGCGCCTTTGCTTTTGGTCGTTTTTCACTGGCGCGGATTGGAGACACGTACAGTACAAATCTTGGTATACTGTGGGATTGTGGTCGCGTGGACTAAAGTTGATCACTTGGGCTGGCTGAAGTCGAGAAGTGTTAGGTTTGCTTATTTGGGACGAGCTGGAGAGAGGGTGTGTCCCCTCGACGGATTTCTGGAGTGACCCAACTCAACTTTTGCATTGCGGCACTGTTGGATTGGGATTTCTTTTCTTCCTTTTGTTTCTTTACATTTTCCTCTATTCAAAATTTCGATCGATCAAAACAACTCCACCAAAATCCACAACCTGTCTCATTTCTCCCAGAGAGCATTAGCCAACACCTCCAAACACATGGATACCAATACTTCTTCACCCCTCCTCCGCCTCCCGCTAGAAATTCGCCTCATCATCTACGAATATCTGCTCTTTCCTTCTGCCGTTCCATCATCCTCGCATTCAACATCGGTCACGAATCTCCTTCCAAATTACCACACGTACTACTCCTCAGACACCAATTATGATCCTTTTACACTGTCTGTACGAACCGTAGATCCCTACCTTACACCGCAGACTTCGCAAGGTTGGAGACGTCGAAGCACATATCACGTCCGGACCGGTAAGTTCCAATCCCCCTTCCCTGCACTGACTTCCTCACCACCAAACCCCCATTCCATATCCATATTACACCGTTCTCAAAAACTCTCCAAACTAACCTCACCACCAAGGACCATTCCTAACCACTACAACACCCACAACCTACCGCATCCTCTTCTCCCCCTATACTGCCCACCTGCGTCTTACTATCCCCTCGCTTCTCTCTCTAAACTCCCAAATCCACGCCGAAGCGTCCAAAGTGCTCTACTCAACCTACACCTTCGCCTTCAGCACTGCCATCGAAGCCGTGATTCCATTTCTCTCGGACCTAACCCCGATCGCGCGTTCCGCAGTGCGGAATCTCAGTATCACAAAAAAGGCGCTACCGTATGCCAAGGAATTCGATCGCGCGGAATGGAATGCAGCGTGTGGGTTTCTGGCGAAGGAGATGAGGATGGGGTTGGGGCTGAGGCATTTGATGCTTAACGTTGTGGCCGGGAATCCAAATACCCTGACCAATCCAGACGTGTCGGATGCTTCAGACACTCCCAGCACAGAGGCACAGGTGGAGGAAGAAGCAGACTCCGTAACACCACTCTCAGCGCAGGATTTCGCGCTCCTATCGCGCATGCGGCGGGAATGGGGGACTGCTTACTCTTTGGGGGTGGATTTGGAATGGGCCGAGGAAGTTATGGCGATACGCGGACTCCGCAAGTTGAGTGTGAAGGCATTGGTGGAGCATTGTCCGCCGCCGAAGAGTGAGGGCATGAAGTTCTGGGTTGCATTTTCGAAGAGCGTGGAGCGGGGATTTGCGGAATGGGTGCGCGGGGTTATGGTAGAAGGATAGGAGTTGGGGTAGATTGAGAGGTGGTTGAAGGAGGTCCAAAGGATCTACCGCTTTTAATGGGTTTGAGTTCAGTCAGATCGGGGCACGGTTCTTGCTAGGTAGCGGGCAGATGTGAAAATAAACAATCCATGTAAGCGGACGCATTGTGAGAATTTTTACGTCGAAGGAATGGTATTAGGGCAACCAGGTCCACGGGTGCAAGACTAGGGGTAATGATACATAATACTCAATCAGTCCTTTTCCGAAACATCAACCATCCATGCATGCTGTTTCTCAAACCATGTTATCCCGAATGTTCATCCAAACCTCAAGACCTTTTCATGAGAATCCGACCGACGGTAGCTCGCTTCTTCGGATATCCCGAGCCCTTTCCCTACAGATTACAATCAGTACATCATTACAACGAACCCAGATCCTAAAGCGAGAAGGGTATAAGAGCAAAGGAAGTGAAGTAGACGCAGCGGTTTCTCGCTCACTACTGCACCTCCTTCGCCTCTTCGAATTCCTCATCGCTATTCCCCTCACTCTTTCTGAAAGGCGGTTTTGCAGCACTCGCCTTCTCTGCATCAAAAATCCACACGCCACTTGTCAAATTGTCATTAATCTGCTCGCCAATTTTCGCAGCCATTTTCTGTAACAGCGGATACGTATCAGTGCGCGAGAAAAACCTGCGATCCCATTCGCGGCCCTCTTCCCGTTCTTTCTTACGAAGTTCGCGCTGGCTGTTTTCTATGATTGATTTCTCGTAAGATGTTGTGTCCATGTCGCCCTTGGCGATGGCATCGGCAACTTTCTTCCATGCACGTCGTGATTCCATTTCATCCTGGTCTTCGAGCTCGGCGACGGTCAAGGGTGTAACTTTTGTGATCTTGGGATCATACGTGTCGAGCACTTTCTTAGTTTTGGCGTCCTTGATGGTGAAGCCTTCGTTCCATTGGCCATCTACGAGATATATGGGTTCTTTCTCCTTGCCTTCTGGGTAGAGGGTGGCGGCGAAGGTGTTTTTCTTACCGGAAAGCCAGCCTCGTCCGCTGTAGTCGATTTTGGCAGTGTAGCCGGAGGAGGATTGGATGTAGGAGCAGCGGTTTAGCTCGACATAGGGGGATCCGGTGATGAGGCCTTCAATGTGGAGAGATGGGAGGGTGATGAAGTAATCTTCGTCGTATTCGTCGATGTGGAGGATTGCGTGACCGATTTGCTGTTCAGGATTAGCGATGCATATTGGAGGGAAGCTTACTAGGGGGAGCTACCTTGACGTTGATGGTACGTGAGAACGATGCTTTCTGCGCATTGTATCCCTGTAACCTTACGCCTGCTTTGCTGTTCCAGATGCAGTACGCTGTGACAGGAGGATGATGGCTGTACCAGTTAGCGCTCAGCTCTCCACTAAGTCAGCATCGAAAGCATACCTAACTTGCTCGCTCACAAGCTGTGTCGTTCCCGCCTCGTCTTCCCACTTCCCGAGAAACAACTCCCCCAAGAAGGGATTCAGGGGCTTCTTCTCACTACCTAGCTTCTCACTCCGACTCGCATACTGTTGTTTAAGAGTACTCAAGAACCACTTCAACACCAACACAGCACGCTTTGCATGGTCTTTTTCGGCAGCTGGCGCGACGAAGACGGAGGGGTGTTCCGCCCAATAGGAGGAGAATTCGACAAGGGAGGTAGTAGAGAGGATGAAGGGAGGCGCAGTCATAGACGACAGGTCGCCATTGAAGGATGCTATTGACTGTCGGGGCACGATTAGCGCGCTTTCTACCTAGGGAGGATACAAACAAACCTTCAAGAAACCCGACCATGAGGTCCTGGCCTGCGGAGGCACCGCCGAGCCTTCATCTTTCGGCGTGCTGGTCCCACTCGTGCTCGGCGTCTTCCCGTTTCCGTTCATGTTTAAATCGTAGAAATATCTCGCTGTGGAGCTGTGTGAAAGAAGGAGGCGGTGGAAGAGAATAGACGACAGTCGTGAAAAGGAGAGCGGGTTGTTGGGGGTGGGGGAATATTAAAGTAACACCAGCACCAGACGTAGGTCCAAAACGGTGGGTTGGGCGCGTGTGTGGCTAAGTTGCGACGTCATTCCACAAGCAATCAGGCCCCGTTCTAGCGTCTTGGGTCGAAGGTTGTTTCAGGGCGAGATTACCTCGCTTGTGGGGGGCATGATCAGGTGGACCTGCGGCCATCGAGCGCGACGACAGGAACGGCTCATTATCAAGAGCAAATAGGCAAGCCGCCAAGGTGTGGCGGTGGCACTCCTCAGTTCAACACCATAATCTTGGGTGCGAAGGGCATATTTTCATGAGCGATCGTTGATGATATTAGATATAGGCAGTCTAGGAGGGCTTCCTCCGGCTATATACATTCTTCTCCCTTCCATTATCAAGCCCTGTGTATGTTGAACGAGAACCGCTAAGAAGCATCATATGCTGCTTTTCTCATCACCAAACGCCAATCCTATGCAAGTTGATTCCGATACCACCACGTAGGCCAATGTAGAGTCGCGAAGGAGGATGATGCGGCGGGATGATTAAGAATCGAAATATTGAGCCTCGTTTCCAGATTGCGATCAGGTTGCCGCTTTCATAAACCCGAAAACCCTGAACCAAAGCAGCCTACTGCGCCTTCTTCGCCTTTGCCATCTTCCTTTCCCGCCTCTTCTTGGCGGCTTCTGGACCAGCCTCCGTGTCAAGGAAGTAGTCCCACCACCTGAAGCTGCTGGCATAGTTGCCGATGAAGCGCTCATGATGGATGTCGTGGTGCTCAGCGCCAGCCCAGAATGGGATGAAATGGTGCAGACTCCAGGGGAACTCGTAGCCGCTGTGGGCGTCGATGGCTTGGAATAGACGAAAAACGATCCACAGGTACATAGTCAAGATGTGCAGATCCTTGGTGATAGCGCACCAGGCAATGGGTACGCCGACAGTGCCGAGACCGAGAACCATGACTTCAATAGGAGAGGCGTATTCAGCGGCCAAACCAAAAGGCGCAGAATATTGGTGGTGGATCTTGTGGATGTTCTTATACAGCGGACCCCAGTGCATGGCGCGGTGTATCCAGTAGTGCCAGGCATCCTCCAAAACGAAGAAGACAGCGATTTGGAAAGCCATCTTGTACATGCTAGGGAACGGGACCACAGTGCTCATGCCGAAATATTGACACATGGGGTGGAAGAGCCAGATTTGCGGGAGTTCGACGGTGACGTGGGAAATGAAGACGAGGAAAGCGCATTGCCATTGCTCGTAGGCGGTGGGGATTTTTTGCTGCAAACAAGCCCAGTTAGCCCCTAATCCTGAGAAAGCTGGGTCGGCGGGTAAGTACCTGCTGCAGTTTGTACCGCCTGAACCACGGAATTGCGTCGATTATGATCCAGGGCAGTGACCGTCCAAAGTACACGATTTCGTGCATGGCGAAGGACATGATACCGGTGGCCAAGACATCGTTCTGCATGTACGTGTACCACGCGAGCCAAAGGCGTTCGAAGTAATTGAGAGAGACATTATACTTGGAAATCTCTTCAAACGAAGCCCAATACGAGTCCAGCGCCATTGGCGACAGGATGGACGTGGAATTCCTAAAAGGAGGGTTAGCAAGGCGGTGAGGAAAGACAGGGACAAAATCCGTACATCTTGGATCGCACGCGATGACAACAAGTCCACGCACTCAATTGGAACAAAGACGCTCTCGCAATAAAGGAATGACTGCAGGGACAAGATACTGGAAAGTCCAGGTACAGTGGAAAAGAAGAACAGGAACAAGGAGGCGGTTTATTATCTAGATTTGTTGAAGCGACGATCCGACAACCACACCACTTTGGGGACGAAGGAACAAGCCGTTCCGAGCACCTAGCGCCATCACGTGATGTTGCGCTAGCCCTTTAAAGTTGACAACCCACCCAATCAGTCTCTGCTATTCGGGTTCATTTCACTCACCGCCTTCGCTGTCGTGCTTGGAGCTTCCCGTGGCCAGATTTTTTGCCTGCCGGATTTCTTCCTGCCGACGAGTCTGATCGTACATGGTAAAAGTCTTTGTTTGCGTCACGTCACCGTGGTCTCAAATGACCGGTCTGCAAGGCCAGTGAATGTCCAAAAATCCCTCTTGCGGCACTTGGAACAACTAACCTTGTACCTTGTGGCAGTGCTGTCGTGGCAACAATGACGAGGCGACTAGGGGGAAAAAACTCCATGTCGGTTGCGAATGAGAAAAGAAAAGAGACGCCATCGGCATGAACAGAATCATCGCTGCTTTCGCTCTTGCGCTCGACGTTAATGATCCTGTAAGCCAATTCTCAAAGAAGCTAACTCAAGGATATAGAATTTTATGTTTTATACACATCCTCTCCTGTGTGTCTCAATCTGCTGCACTTTAGGCTTAGAGTGTACCTCCTTTTTTCTGCGGTATTGGCCAGCTAAGGAGTGAGGCTTCAGCATTTCTTCGCCCTCATTGGCATATTTGCTCAGCCTTACCTACTGCCAAGACCCATCCTTGTGGGAGGATGGAAGAACCTCGTCAGGTTTGCACCTTGATGTCAATTGTTCGCCTCTATTACTCGCCTCTATTTCTTCCTATAAATGCCTCCTTGTTGGGTCTTTCTCCAAAGTCTATACCTCTAACGACAGCGGGCAGTCCCAAAGTGCGCCATAGCTTACACAAGGCTAGAATGAATAGTTCTCCCGGCCGTAACGATCCACTTCGGCCTCTGGCACCGAAGCACGAGTTCGTTGAAGGCAAGCACATCGAGTTTAACGAAACCGATGAGCTTCCCTTGGATTCCAGAGGAGCCCTAGGCCGTGGAGGCGAGGGTGAAGTCGACATAGTTGTAATTAAGACATCGGCCACCTATGCGAGAAAATGCTGGAAGCGACTGAATCCCAAAACCCGAACAAGGCATCTGAAGGAAATTGAATTAATGAAGCGTCTCAAGCCCCATCCACACATAGTGCAAATATTCGGGACGTATTCCAAAGGCAACGAGCTAGCAATTATGATGTCTCCGGTAGCCGAGTCAGACTTGCAGAAAGCCCTGGAAGTGGGCGCCATTCCAGAGAAAACCCTGAAGCAGGCATTCGGATGCTTAGTCACCGGCCTTGCTTTCATTCATAAAGGCAAAATAATACACGGAGATATTAAGCCCAGTAACATTCTATTGTCTGGGTGCCGATTTCTTTGGACCGATTTTGGGTGTTCCAAAGATATCTCTGGATTGCAAGATACGATGACCGAGGCCACAATGCGGGGGACTCGAGGTTATTGGGCTCCAGAAGTCTTTCGACTCGAGCAACGGGGACGGTCCGCAGATGTTTTCTCCCTGGGATGTGTTTTAATGGAGGTATGGAGTGTCTTGAAAGGGCATGCTTACATGAAGGACAACCCAGCTTCGTTCCTTTCTCTTAGCCCATACTTTCTCCGTCTTGAAGGCTCTCAAAGTCTTCAGTCGTGGGTTGAGGCTATGGAAAAAGCACATGATGAGCCTGTGGACAATCTGTGGTTAAGCTCTTGTATCAAAATGCTTCGGGTAGATCCAAAACAACGGCCTAAATTAGCGGAATTCCTGAATGGATTAGGTCGAAGCAGCCAACGAGAAAGTTTCATGCATGCACTCTTCTGTGTATCTTGCGCGGAAGAGAGAAAGAAGATTAAGTCTATCTCAAGCAATCCAACAGTTGCCGAACCAGTAGAGTCTCGAGCAGAAGCAAGCTCAGGTGAGGATACATCATCGAAGGGGTCTGGAAACGAAGCTTCATCGGAGGACCTAACCGCTCCAATTGATTCCTCTAAGATACCTTCAACTAATAAAAAGGTCGACACCGTGAGTGAACTTCTTTCTCACCTAATTCACAGTAAAACATTACTTAAGATTTCTCCTTAACTATGAATGCTTATTCGCCTTACAGACAACACCAGTTGGTTCTGTCCAGCTCTCACCAGCATTCTGTTCACGTCCTCCGAGCGTTGCCGACAGCATTCCATTTTACCCAAAATTGGCATGGCCTAATCTTCACATCTTTGACTCCACTCCCCAGTGGGGATCGCCATTGCGGAGAAGGGAATCCCTGCTCAAACTTCAGTCGTATCCATTAGCTTCACCTCTGACTGAGAAGACAGTATCTAGTGGCAAGCGTCTAGATACCGAAAATTTCGCTCCTACCGTTATAGACCCTGCTTCATCGGGTCTCCTGGCCACGATCCCCGCAAAAGCGCAGACAAGGTCGACTCATCAGCTTGATAATAGTATCCCCCAAGATGGAGCTCCAGGTAGCTTCGAGGAAACAACGTTGCTGCACGACTCAGGACTTCTGCAAATCCACCAGCCTCCTGCTAAATTCCACCACCCGGGTGTGGCTTCTAACCCCCATGTTGACGAACATCTAGTACCCTTGGAATCGGCTGGCAACCGCCCGTCTACTCCGCCTCCTCCACCCACCCCAACCTCTCGCACACCTTCTATAAACTCATATCTGTCAATGGAAGGCCATTCTCTATCAAAAGGTCTAGAGCATGAAACCAACAATCACCGCGCAAAATTTCCTCTGCCGATCCTACCACCATATCCCCTTCCTCTACCACCATCGCCATCGTCATTAGCAGATAGCCCATACACTCCTGTAAGAACACTCAAAGTTTCAGCCTTCTGTCTTACCAATTTCTGAGCAGCCATTATGTGAACCAAACCACCTCCCTTTCCAGATGTATTCCGTCCCCCCTCCTCTTCCTGGACTAGCTTTAACGGAAGAGGTTCTGCAAAAGTCTCATTCTATGAGTGTGCCAACATTCACTCATACCCCCCTCTATGCCCCTCCTCCTCCTCTTCTTCCTCCTCCTCCTCCTCCTCCTCCTCCACATGTTCACTCGTCATCAGCGCAAGTGCTGATCGATGAAGTCCGACCAACATACACACCTAATTATACATACTCACCTCCGCCCCCATCTCCGCATCCCGCAAACTGTCCGCCATCACATCAGATACCATACATTACCAATAGCCTCCAAACATATGATTATCCTGTCAATCCGGACTCGCCTCCTCCACCTCCCGCAAGCCCTCCGCCATCACATCAGATACCATACACCACCAATGGCCCCCAGTTATATGAATATCTAGTCAATCCGGCCCCTCCACCTCCACCTCCACCTCCCTTTAGTATGTCAATCCAAAGCCAGGAGAAATCGAACAAGCCAAACCAGAGAGGACACTTCAAGAATGCCGTGTCATTCGCTAGTGGAAAAGATGGACTGCCAGCCCTTGTATCACAATATTCTAATCGACACCAAGCTGATCCTCCGCCACCTCCACCATCGCTACATGCTAGCCAAATCCAGACTAATCCTCCACCGCCAATAAAACCTTCACACACTCTACTTATTCCCCCACCTGGACCAACGAACAATAAACCCAACGACGGCGATATCGCTCTGGGCCCTCTACCGGCCCCATATCCACCACCTCCTGGTTATGAATGGTGCCAAGACGCACCCCGACCTGGGCTGACTCCCCGTATATGGCTGCAGCTTGCGAGAACTACAGCTATCAAATGTCGGCTTTGAGTGGGCTTTCAGTGCTGTAGAATCTAATATCACTTATATTTCTTATATTCTTAACAAGAAAACTGTTCATTTCATTATGGTATGTTAATTACAAAATATAACTATTGTCATTATTTTATTTTTTTCAAGCCGCTATTCCTTTCTTTGCCCAACTTGTTTCAAGGAACCAGTTCCGTATATTTCTCTAGCCAATTTCATATTTCCCATTTACGTGATACATTAAGCAGGACGCATCCGGCCAGTAGGAAGAAACGACAGGTGGACACAACTCTCTAATACCGCGCCCTCCACCCACCTACCTATATCCGAGGTATAACATGTCACCAAGAACATTATGCGGAGCGAGATTCCCAAAAAGGAAGGAATATACATCTTTCAGCGTATATAAGAGAAGGGCTACAGTGCGCATGTTGCGCGAAGCCTAGCTCCTCTGGAGGAACCGAGATAGTCCACTACGAGAGTGCAGGTCAAGGACAGGCCAAGCCAGCAAACATACATGCATCCATGATCTGATTCTCAAAACAACTCCAATCTCCAATGCAACCACCCATTTTACCATTTATGCGGCCCAAAAATTTCGCCAGCAGGTACCGTTTTGTAAGGGCAAGCCTGCCAATCGCAGCCCTGAATATCTTTAGTACACCTGCCCATCCTAATATCCCATTCATCGGCAGGTCATCACTCACCTGTTTATACACCTCCGTCCCCCACCACTTAAACCCGTTCATCCATCCGGGGAACACAATCCCAAAAAAAATCACCACCACTCCGACTGCCAACCCGCTATCCAAAGCCGCGCTCAACGTCATGTTATATTTCTTCCACCATGCCATCTTGCGCTTCCGGATCTCGTAGTTGAAAATGTAGCACACAATAGCCCAAACTGAGAAATTGAGGCCAGTGGCGGGAGGTATCCAGCTTAAGGACCCGAACACAACAGCAAGATTGACCTTCCGCAGAATTGATTTGCGGTTATTTCGAGCGAGGGACCAGAGGATGATGGGAGCTACAGCGCCGACAAGAAACGCCCACACTAGGGGGCGGTAAAGTGTACCGGGACCAAAGAAACGGCGGGGGCCAACAACGCCCCAGAGAATACTTCCGTTAAAATGGACGCGAGCTATAGGGCATGTGAAGCCGTTGATTGCTTGGGGTGTACATATGCCGGGGATGAAGGCGAGCATCCAATTCAAGACACCAATCTGTGTAAGACTAGAAATGATGGTTGCGGACAGCTGAAGGTTGAAAAGAATTCGTGGTGGTATTTTCATATAGTGGCCAAGTTTGAGATCCGACGAGAATTTAAGACCTTGGGTTGAGGTAATGTAGCCATAGGTTGTGAAGACCATATTTGCGACTGGACGGCCTGGAAAAGCAACGCCGCAGATTAGTTGGCAAATAAGGTACAGACTACTCTGCTGGTTTGTGATCGCCATTACAATACCAATTGGAATGAATAAGGTAGCGCCTATGCTTAGTGCGAGCAACAGGCCGTACCACGGCAGGTGAATAGGGTAGCTGGACTGTTAGCAATTGCAGGGAGCTGGGCATGGTGCACGTACTATTCGACTACGAATATGCCAATCGCAGTCATGCTTACACCAGTCATGATATACCAGAAAATTGGCACATCGTCATATCGCCGCATTAGCCGGTTATGGACGTCCTCTACATTGAGTAGATCCTCAAGTTCGGGTTCTGATGCTGTTATGCTTGTCCTGCGCAACCTCGCCGAAGTAGCGAAGCCATTTCTTTCAGGGCCACTTGACAGTGGCTCATAGGCTGCGCTTGGCCTTCTTCGAACCTCTGCCCAAGAGCGACGCCATTGCCTCCAAATGTCCTTGCCGTGCCAAAGCGCAGTGTGTGAGATCAAAGCTGTAAGAGCAGCAAACTGAAGCGCATAGCTCAAGACGTAGGTGATAGGGAGAAATACTCGGCTGTAGTTCTGATATGCCTCCTTATCAAACATGAAGTTGTCTGTCAAGATCTTGCTGACATCATACGGCTTCCCTCTATTGTCGAAGACTGCTGCAGAGAGGATAGGCATATATGAGGAGAACATAACGTTCGCATAATCTAATTCTTGTTAATTTTTCATGCATACGTGCCGTCAGTGGGGAACATACACATCAATGGAGCCATAATCCACATGACCAAGACGAGCCCACCAACGATGTTTAGGGCAGCCCAAAATGGTGTGACGAGAGGGGAGCCAATGTAAGCAATTTGCGCCCAATCGAAAGTTAAGGGGAATAATCCAAGCCCAGATGCTATCCCAAACTGCAACAGTTAGCCCCACAGACTTACACGCGGAGTATGTACCTACAAGATTCGCAACGACGACATTCCTCGGCGCGAACCATGTGATGACGCTAAAATAACTCAAAGCAGGCATAAGTAGTCCGGGTAGAAAGTAAAAGGCAGCCGACCCGCTGAACACAAGGACAAAGAATCTGGAACGAGATACAGTCCAGCCATCGGCGGGTTTATTCTGGTCTTTGTGTAGCGCAGTGAACATGGCTGTAGAGACGAGGGTGCTCGGCCAAATCATGCCACTCGGTCGAACTAGAAATTGTCGAGTGAGGCCAGCGAGTGCATAGCCCAGAATCTGAGTCGAAAGAGTAAGGAGGATCTGGTAGGTGACTCCGAGATCCTGATGATAGAATTTAGTTTGTTCCACAATGACCTATACGACTATTTAGCCCTCATGACATCTAAGTTGAGAACTGTGAAGCGAACATCTGTAGCGAAAGCAAATCCAAAGGATACATTACTGCTGATATATACACAGCAATGTTCCTTTTCGTTCCAATGTCCCTGCGCGAACCAAAGCCGAAGTCGTCGTTTCCAGGGGTCTTTTGGTTGGAACCTTTGGGACGCACGGGCTGAATTGGGTCGGCCTTCATTCTCATATATGGTACGATCTGAAAGAGATGGGTTGCGTTGGATAGATCCATGTAGAAAAGTTTCGTCGGGGTCACCATTTCGTTTAAGAACTTGGTCCCAGAGGAGACCAAGGGGATGAACAAGCAAAAGAGCAATAATGGGGGTAATGCTAACGCTCGGGTATCTCAACGAAAAGAACAAATTTGTGGAAGAGCCTAATATTGCGAAAAAGATTGAGAGCGTCCACATTCGAGGTGTGTTGATTGACAGTGAGATGTCGTCAGTGGCGGCGACGGAAGCACGCACTTGAGCGTAAGGAGAGTTATCGGACGGTTGGCCATCTATCTTCACATCGTGCAAGCCATCGCTTTCTGAGGTTTCTTCGTCATCTTCGTCGTCGTGGTCCTCCTCCAGATGGCTACTGCTTGAGGACGACTGCAGACTTTCGAAGATGCGCGGCACGCCAGCTGCCGGCGCAACACTCCCGGAGGTGAACCGTGGTTCCAAGCTAGATTCTTCTTGCCTTTCAATAGTTTCATCGGGTGTCCTGCTACTGCTCCCGTCCTTCATGCCACGTCGACGGGTCCGCGATGTTGTGTATGTAGGCTCACTCCGGATTGAGTCATCTTGGCTGCGATTAAAGGATGCTCGAGAATGCCCCACCGCCGGCTCGCTGTGTCTAAGTTTGCTCTTCCCTTTTCTTTTGCTTCGTGACAGGATCCGATTAGTCACATGATTGTCGTCGGTATCAGAATCACCTGGACTGGAGCTTAATGAAAGGATTGGAAGACCGCCATACGACCCAGTGCCCTGTGCTGGTGATGAACGCACTAGTAGCGGGGCGCGGGACATCTCTTTCTTGTCTGGAGGAGCGGAAGAGAGCTCTGTTCGGTTCTCTGTCTGATTCTGATCGCAGCCGTCATGAGGTGTCGCTTCGGGTGTGGCTATGTTCCTTGCTTTTTCGGGAAGAACATTGAGTTCGTAGCTGCCTTCGGAAGGGGCCAAAGCCGCGGGATTTGCGTCACTAACACGTGCGCTTGAGGAAAGAACACAGAGGTTCAACTCTGGCCGCGAAGGGCGGGCTTCAGACCCCATATGTACGACGTGGCGGCATGGGTGCCAACAATAGTTGTCCAAAGAGGTCCAGTGAAGTGCGATGTCTGCTGGCCTGGTGACTTATCAGATCAGATAACGGTTAGATCCGTGGTCCCAGGCTACATCGCCAAGGCCATCACGCTGCATGCATGGCCCGAGATCGGACGATGCAGGGCGGGAAACACCTGCACATTATCCAACACTTGTTTGTTCAATATTCCACTGTTCAACGTGATACCTAGCTTTTGTCTCACCTCTACAGTATTCGTACAATATTTACAAACCGGTGCTTCATCCTATCTACAGGAATGTAGCCGTCCGATTAGCTCACATCCACATGAGCTTGGCGTTGGCTAGGATCGGCGGCGATACTAGCCACCATTTTGATGGCACCCTCTACATCATCCTTGTTGTACAGAAACAACCCTTGTAGGGCCGCCGTGCTCACCGTATCTACCAGACCAAGTTCTTTGACCTTCGCCATGAACCTCAGTTTTGCTTCACCGCCTTGATCAAACTCCGCGTAGAAGCGATCCCAGAGCTGTTCGATCTGGTATGCAGTTGCCTCACCCAACCGAATGGTCATGTCAACCCGACCGGGTCGAACAAGGGCCTCATCTAATCTTTCGACATGATTTGTTGTCAAAAATATGATGCGCTCTTCAGCGCTTGCCACCCCATCCAAGGCGTTCAGTAACCCTGAGAAGGTAACTGTTGCGCCGGCATACCCATCCTCGTCCGGTTTCCTGCGGTTGACAAATGCAGCATCGGCATCCTCCAGCAGAACAATAGTCCGACGTGGGACCTTAGTTAGCAGATGATTCAGCCGATCGTCTGTCAAACCTCGCTCGCTTACATTGAGGATGGCTATGTTAAAATCCAAGTGGCCTGCCAATGCTTGGATGAAGGAGCTCTTTCCTGTTCCAGGGGGCCCATATAACAGATAGCCTCGTCGATATGGTATCCCGCGATCCAGATACCAGGTCCGCGCAGCGATGAATGCCTGCACATCCTCGACAATTCTCTCTTTTACGCCGCGTTCCAAGACCACCGAGTCTATAGGTCGCTTCCTCTTAGGCTCGCCGAAAGGTATCCAGTCAGGGCCCATAGAGTTGAATATGACGGTCTTGCCTTCCTGCATCTGTTGAGCCAGCTGGTGTGCTTCGGCGAAAATCTCTTCAAACACATTACGATGCGCATATAGCGTTGTAAGGGTTATTGTCTCGAATGGGTCACCCTTTGTCATATCGAACGCCTTCTCTCGTTGCCGATTGACCCATATGAGAGCTCCGCCATAACGAACCATGTGTTGGCCGTGACCGGGGACGAAGGAGAAATGCGCCGCATGCGAGGGGCCATTCTTGGGCTGGTAGGTCCGTACTTGGAGGTGGTGCAGGCGTGGGTTGAATCGCTGAATCAAAGAGGAGAGAATGCCGCCCTTGACACTCGATTTCGCGCCCGGTGAGAGCTGGGCGCCCGCGAGCTGTGCCCTCTGGAATGTCGTCATCCATTGGAGCAGCCAGGGGTAGGCATCATCGTGCCGAGTTATTTCCAGATCCACCAACATGCGGCGACGCAGCAGCGCAGCACCATGTTGAAGACCCTTCTGCCCTATTCGCGCTGCGGCGGCAAGCGCTGCCAGGCCAAAGCCCTATGGTGACGGTGAGCAGTCTTCCAATTCAGCGCAAAGACCAGTGCATACGGCGGTAAAGAAGGGATTGCCGGTCAGCTGCGCAAAATATGAGCTGAAGCCATCGCCGCTCTCGACATTGGCCTGTTTTGCCAGCTGGTGAGGGCTATGCTGCGATGCGGCAGGCGCGTTGTTGGAGGCCATGAGCCTTCAAAGTACGATCGCCGCGGCAAATTCTGGCGTGGCTTCACAGGTGAAATAACGCTATACCAGATTGAGCGCCTGCGCCAAGCAGGCGTTTACGCAGGAGCTGCACGGAGAGCGTCTATTCCGTCACACAGGCCTCGTTTCGGCTGTAGAAGAGAGGGCATGCGGCGTGATCCTGCTGAGAAGCGCGTATTCACGTTGAAGTGTGCCCTCTTGCTCAACTCGTCAGGGAGGAAAGCGCGCTGCAGCTGCAGATGGCAAAATCCGGGGTCGAGCCTTCCCAATGCAATGGAAGCGCTAACTCAGATGCACTGCACAGAGCTTGGGAAGCTTGGGCCATCTGATAAAACACTCCACGGCCAGGCCAAGATTAGCCTCCCACAAGTCGCCCTCCACCTGCATCAATCACCTGTGCCCCAAAAAGGCTTCACTGCCCCAACTTCCTTTCCTTCGTCCCAGCCATCATGGCCACCGTCACCATTGGCAAATCCTATTTTGACGCCCTTCTGCGACGGTGAGTGTGACAATTTGCTGTGCACTGTGACATGGTAGCTGATCAAACAAACAGAGCCGAATTCGTACGTTGTTCACGGCAATTGGCCCGATTGCACGAATGCGGGACTGGAGTCGCTGACAAGAAGCATAGCACACGTCTGGATCCGAATTCCTTACTACTCCTAACCTCTCCAACAATGTCACCATCTCGAAAGCGGAACATGAATACTTGGTATGTCCCGAGAAACGCTTCCATGGAGCCTTGTACCGTTCAGCCAGGCCTTTAGCCGAGACAGAACCATATTCTACTATCCCCCATATATATCAAAGCTTGACCAATAGCTAACCATTTATTTCTCAACAGCTCCAAGCAGTGCGAGAGTACCGTCCGATTCCCCAAGCGTCCTACGCTGTCCCCCCGCTTCTATTACTGGAACCTAACTCCAAACCAGATCTACTCAAGAATGCACTGTTTCGAGGTGGATTGACTGCGGAAACCCTTGAGACCCTTCTATCTGGCGAAAATGGCATGAGCGAGGACCCTGCAGCATACAGCAACACTTGTGAAGAGGCGTTCAGGAGGCCTAAGCCCGTCGCGGTCACGATGACTGGAACACGCTCCAGCGATGCTTCCCCAGACTCGGAAAACACAGCCGTTGCCGATGGCCTTCAGCCCAGGACTCATTCTAACTCATACAATAGGGTCTACAGCTTTGGCCAACCCGATTCTTCTATCGACACACCCGACAAGGATGACGACTTTCAATCCTTAGTAAACCACCGTGTTCCCACTCACGACCAACGTACTGTGTTGATTACAAACCTGTCAGACCGCACGACTCACAAGGATTTGACCAATATCATCCGAGGGGGGAGACTTTTAGATATCTTTCTCCGCAATGATCGATCAGCGACTGTGTCGTTTGTTGAAGGTGCTCAAGACTTTCTGACTTATGCTAAGAAAAACGACATCTACTTGCACACAAAACGGGTATGTGTCACAGCTTGAGTTCAATCGAAAGACCAGTTGGTCTAACATAAGTCAGCTCGAATTCCGCTGGAACGACCGTCAGTTTCATGTACCATCGCATGTGTCCAACAAGATCGCGAATGGTGCAACACGGAATCTAGTTGTCCGAGGCGCCGCAGGGAAACACACCGCCACGCAGATCCGAGATCACTTAGATCATATCCATAACCTTGTTGTGGTCGACATTAGTTTCAGGAATGGCGATGCATTCATTTCTACGAACTCGATTCACAACGCTCTCTTTGCTAGGACTTGTATGATGTCTCGCACCATATATAAAGGCCTCCGTATTGATTGGTACCCGGACGAATGCGCCGCGCCACTGCCAAAACCGAGCCTGAGAGTTCATACCCCTGCTCAAGCCCCGAGCAGGCCGGCGCCAGTGACCAACCGATACACGCTTCTCGATTTTGAGGGGAACGATCTTGACTCTGACGAAGAAGACGAATCGTACCTTAGTAACGGAGTTCCTGTGAATAATTGGGCAGATGCTACGGCGGCATGACGAAGTCAATCATCAACCTTGTCCTCGCGTCCTTTCCTTTCATTCTTCGCCTAGCATTCAGCATGGACACATGTTGGCTACAACAATCACAAGCCTCGGGTCGCGAATATTACAAGAACACAGAGAAATTGAGGACTGATATGAGTCCCATGTCTTGTCCCAGGCCAGCTGGGGCAAGGCCCTTGGCGGGCTTGCAATGTCCAAGTAGATAGTGTAAGTTGGTTGTTCAGGGTGGTTCTTTCCAAGTGGTTTTCCTCTTAGTGGACCCTATACACTGTATTCATTCCAAGCGTCGGCGATCTTATCCGGTGGTAGTTCACGCACTCTTCTTCTACATATGTTCTGTGGTGGTCAGATTGGGGCTACCTATAGACTTCCTGCGCGTATCATACCCCTGGTTTCTGTAATGTCTTTCATCCTACAACTCTTTCCGTTTTCCATCATGTGTAGATACCCCATCATTCGGTCGCATTGGCAAATCAATGTGCACTTTTCCAAGGTTGGTATATCTTCGCGCCCTGAGCACGCGCATAACGCAAGTATTCGCCTCAATGGCTTGTAACGACCCCGGACCCCTCTAACAACCCAAAAATCCCCTCCGATTTCGTTTTTTATTTTCTCTCTATTCGCTGGATATCTTCCTATACGATTACAGGCAATACATCCGGGCAGTGAGGCCGGCCCTCGGCGGCATTAAGCGATTGTTAAGTCCGGGCCATCATAGGACCACAAGCCAATAGCCTCATGTCTATATGAGTTAATGAGAATCCCTTATCTATGAAGATCTCCTGGTATGTTCATTCACTTTCTATCCATGAATCTGATTTGACTTCATTCGCTGGCTTAGCTCCAAACATGCCATTCACCCTTGTTCTCCTTGTCGCGCGTAAGCCGGGTCTCTCCCTCTCAGCCTTCAAACATCACTGGGAAGCGAAACACCTACCTCTCCTCAAATCACTCGTGGGGCTCGATTTCCCTCTCTCGCATACTCGTCACTACCTTGATCGCGATCCCGAGCTTGCTATGACTCCAGCCAATATTCTCTTTGGCACTCAAGAAGACTTCAATTTCGATGCCATTGCAGTGTTTACGTTCATCGATAGGGCGCATTGGGAGAGGTTCTGGGAGAAAGTTTCGAGGAAGGAGGCAAAGCAATTGCTAACCGAAGACGACGAGAAGTTTCAAGACAAAGAGAAGTTGAAGGCGGTGTTCATTGGGGATACCAAGGCTACGGGACGGGATGGGGGCGCTGTGGGGTGGCGTTTTGTTGGCAGCGTTTAGGGAGATATCACTTCCTGACCGGGCGGCCTCGAATTTTGGAGCTCTGGGCCGTGCGATTGGTCGCTTGAAGAATTTGAAAGCTCGCATGTGCAGCAATGGCTGGGCGCTCATACATAACATATGTGAAGTCGTTTTGTCCAATGAGAAGTGCTATATTAACTCCGTGACCTAACCTAACCCCGATCACTAGAGCTGCAGATTTTGGATGTCTTGCCTCGCCTTCGATTTCAGGCTACTGTCACTTTCCAAATCAAGCCAATTTCAGTTTCCCGGTCCTAAAAAAATGGCGCCTATAGTAAAAGTTGCAGTAATCCAACTCTACCCCGAAGTCTGCCTCCCCCTCAGCCTTCCCACCCCTACATTCTATATCCTCGCCTCTTACACCACTCTACAGTGTGTGCTGACATTCCCTCTTTCGCCAGCCTTTACAGCCTGAACAAAACTTCGCAAAAGCCTGCACCTTCATTCGATCCGCAGCCTCACAAGGCGCTGACCTCGCCGTGCTGCCAGAATATCACCTCACGAATTGGCAGCCGAAAGAACCTTCTTTTGCCACTTTGTGCGAACAATGGGAAGTCTATTTAAAAGGGTATCAGGCGTTGGCGAAAGAGTGCGAGATTTGTATTGTTCCTGGGACGATTGTGGAGAGTCATCAAGGGGAGGGGGAGGGGGAGGGGGAGGGCGATAGATTGTTGAATGTAGCGTATTTTATTGATGGGGCTGGGGAGGTCAGGGGGAAGTATGTTAAGAAAAACCTTTGGTAGGTGTGGTTATTTTTTTTTTTTTTCCTTCGGCTTCTTGGATGTGTATACGTACTCATCTAAGCCTTTTCATTGGGCGTCTCTTTGTTCAAGTAACTTCTCTCCACCATGGCTTCCTTTAACCTTTTGCTAAGCACTGCCTACTCACTGTCGAAATCTTTAAGAGTCCCTTTCCATATTATGCCACTCTTTCAGCCTTCAAATACCAACAAGACACCCCTAACTCCTCGCTGACCTAAACAACTAGGGGTCCCGAACGCGACCATCTAACTGGGTCCGGGCGGGACGACCACCCCGTCTTCGACACACCCTTTGGCAAAGTCGGAATGCTAATATGCTGGGATTTGGCGTTTCCGGAAGCGTTCCGGGAACTGATAGCACAAGGCGCGAAAATTATCATTGTCCCGACGTTCTGGACACTAAAAGATTGCAACGAGGCGGGGTTAGCGCTGAACCCGAGTTCGGAAGTACTGTTCTTGGATAGTATTTTGACGGCGAGGGCGTTTGAGAATACATGTGGTAAGCCTCTGTTCACCTCTTCTCAGTTGTTCTTGGATTCAGGATGTTGTGGTGCTAATGGAAATTGTAGCGATTGTGTTTGCGAATGCTGGTGGCCCTCCTGGACACGGTTACGCTGGATTATCTCAGGTTACGGTGCCTTTTGTAGGAGCGTTGACTAGGCTCGGCAGCTGTGCGGAGGGAATGAGTGTTGTCGGTGTGGATATGCAGATCTTGGAAGATGCGGAAGAGAACTACAATGTAAGGGGTGATTTGGCGAGGGATGATTGGCATTATGATTATCGACACTCGACTAGAAAGGAAAGCTAGCAATAACAAAGGATAGCTTGAGGCTCCATTCAAACATCTACTTGCATGACTCTGATATGCCTATGCTGCAGCATTCAGCGTACTCCGAGTCTCAAACATGCTTTGCTCAATGGTCCTTTTCGGGTGTCTAGTCCTAGAAACCATCATGTCGTCAACTATGTTAGAAATATCTCGCTTTCTCTATGTTATCGTAATCATCGTTTCTCCAACCGCGACAGCTCTCATTTTCCCACTATCAAGAAATTGCTCTTTATCTGCTGCTAGTTTCGCTGCCTTGCCGGTTTCACAGATGGTTTTGTAGAATTCTTCAAAGGCCCTCTCATTCTTAAAAGTCATCTCTGCAATGTCATCGAAATCGAAGTCTCCAGGGCTTCCTCTCAAGTTAAGTGGCGGATGGATCGGATTAGCTAAGCTTCCAAACCCTTTCCGTCCCGTTCGAGCGAGATAGCGGGGTGTATGTTTGAGAGGGAATAGTGGGTCGGTGAGCGACTTAAGAAGCGGGATATGTTTATTCTCCCAATGTTCTTGAGCTGACCCGAAGTAAGAGGTAGCTTTCGCGTGACGAAGAGAATAACTGTATACGTCATGATACAAATACTACGGCACCGAGGAGAGTGAGGTATGGGGGACGACAAGATTAGACGCTCTCTAGACAGTACTTAAAAGTTCGACAGACAAGATATCAGACACTGGCAATTATGCAATATGGTAATTGCCATTCATAAATTAGAGAAGTGGATTGCAGATGCAGATATGCTTTCGGACAGCATACCACTGGCCTTTTGTTCGTGCCTGAGGCCATAGTGCGGTGAGGAACATTCTCCCCAACTTTGCTGTGCAACGCCGGAGCTCAACGTGGACTGTCGGCGGACTTTGTGTGGAGTAAATGAGCATTTGGGAAGGTGTTAGGGAAGTTGGAGCATGAATCAGGCATGAAGCAGAGCCGCGCAGTGGTAGTAGAGGTGAGGTCATTTGCAGCCCCTCGCAAGCCACGATTCCTTATCGATAAGTCGCGCCAAGCAAACCGGGCACAAAGCTGCATGGGGGGTTCGAAAATTGAAAGTGCGATAGTGGACAGCAAGCTCGAACACTCACTCTGTCCGCCCACCACCGCTACTGACTGCAAGATTCGAAAAGATGAGTCTGCGAGATCGTGTTCCACCATATCAGCATGGCGAGGCGCCCATCCGCCCCCCGGCGGACGAATCAGACGCCGAAGAGGAGGCCCTCGTGGCCGACTACCGGGAGCAAGTGCAATATGATACCATGGAGGACTTGGACAGGATGCCATCTATCGCAAGTAACCAGGACATACACGCGCAGTTACAGGCCGCTGCGACGCCACTGGAGTTCCAGGCTAGCCTCGAGGTGAAATTTGCGAGCTACGATAACTACTGCAATTTGTTCCACTACATCCTGAACTCAGACGGCCCTGTGGATCTGGAGGTTCCTAATGTAAGAGCAAGATGTGGCATGTACAATACGACGGCTAATGTGGAGCAGTACTTCTGGGCTTGGGATGTCATCGACGAATTCATCTACCAGTTCAACAGCTTCTGCAGCTATCGACAAAAAGTAGCACTGAAGGCTGAGAACAGCGAGGAGATACAACTTCTGCGTGAAAACCCGAACACGTGGGGCTGTTACAGCGTCCTCAACGTTCTCTACTCACTGATCCAGAGGTCGCAGATTAGCGAGCAGCTTGAGGCTATGAAGCGAATGGAGGACCCAAACGCGTATGCGGGGGAATACGGCTCACGGCCCTTGTATAAAATGCTGGGATACTTCTCCATCATCGGTCTGCTAAGAGTGCACTGTCTGCTTGGAGACTTCAGCTTGGCACTCAAGACCTTGGACAACATCGAACTCAACAAGAAAGCTATGTTCGCCCGTGTCATGGCCGCCCATTTCACGACCTACTACTACGTCGGCTTCTCGTACATGATGATGCGACGGTATGCGGACGCCATCCGCATGTTCAGCCACATCCTGATTTACGTTTCACGGACGAAGAACTTTCAGAAAAATGCACAGTATGACTCGATCACTAAGAAAAATGACCAGATGTATGCTCTGATTGCTATCTGCGTTGCCTTCCATCCCACGAGGCTGGATGACACCATCCACACTGCCCTGCGCGAGAAGTACGGCGAGCAGTTCAACAGGTTGCAGCGAGGTGGACCTGACTCCCTTCCTCTCTTTGAGGAGCTGTTCCGGTCTGCGTGTCCCAAGTTCATTAACCCTACCCCCCCAGACTTCGACAACCCAGAGGTCAATATCGACCCGGTTGAGCACCACCTCCGCATCTTCATGGATGAGGTCAAGACCAACATGTGGTCACCAACAGTGAAGAGCTATCTCAAGCTGTATACGACTATGGACTTGAAAAAACTTGCTGGTTTCTTGGAGGTAGACCCAGAGAAGCTAAGGTGTTGGCTCCTAGTCAACAAGCAGAGGAGCAGGCAAGTTAGATGGAGCGAAGGTGGATTGCTAGAGGGTGATATCACTAATAGCAGCGATCTCGACTATGCTATGGAAGGCGTAAGTTTATCACTAGTCGCAGTTTTGAGTTGATGATGCTAACACGGTCCCAGGATCTCATCCATGTTTCTGAGGCTAAGGTGGGCAGGAGATTGGTAGATTGGTATCTCCGCAACTTGGCTAGGACATACTAGATGGCAAATCAAGCCGGGAATAAATTCTTGATATCGAGCGTAGGGCCTCTCAGAGTCACGATAGAGCATTTGCGGGTAGGAGTTGGGGCAAGGTTTCTCGGGTGCGTGAAAAGCATTTGCTTCAGCAGATTTGACGATACTATCCTGTAGTAGAAGGAGAGGTTATAGCTAGGGATGTCATATTGACGGTGAGAAAACCAGTCAAGAGCCCGATGCCGCAAGCTTTGATCGTATTAGCATATGGGGAATAGCAACAAACCAGAATCCCAGTTTCGACCAATCGGAGCTTGTTATCAAAGAAAATCTTTGGATATTTGCGGAATGCTAAAGCGTGATTGGTGTAGAGAGAATTTGAATTCCCAGGCTTGTTGGAAGTGGAAATTAGCGTCTGATGTTGATGAGATCCTGGTGAAGGATGATGACGTGAGTGGACGACATGTCTTTGACCGGAGCCGGCCTGCACTCCCATTGACCACCTCGACGACAACGCACTCGCCCAAGCAAGGTCAACAAGGGCTGGACAAACCGCCGCGATTCCGGGCGAACAGTCATAAGTAACAAAACAATGGCAGCAGAGTGATCTCGACTGCCCCCTTCACGTCGGTTGCCGGTGCCTGCACTGATCGCTCCCCACCTCAGTGCATTCCACGTCAAACTCACCCAGTGCTCTTTCCTCGCAGCTTTGGATCGCGGTCGTGCGAGGCAGTCCTAGAAAGAACTATCATGGCGCCAGACCTCAACTCCGTGCCAGCTTCCCCTCGAAATGCCACGGCCACGTCCATGAGCATGCAGCAGACACCTTCTGGACAACACGCTGCAACACACTCTACTTCCCGACAGTCATCAACTCCCGCGTCTCGACGCGCTTCACAGATATATCCCATGAGCCCGCCGCCGCTTCCCCTTGCCTCGCCTGGTGGCAATATACCTCCCAGTGCTCAGCATGGCCATCCGTTCCCGCCGCTGAGCCCCAGCCTGGGGGGCCATATGTCGAGTGTTGATGCCCAGGGCGTGCCGATGCGTCATCCAAGGCCCTTGACAGCAGCGGAGTTGCATTTGGAGTTGGAGAAGGAACAAGAGGCTGTGGTATGTCTAGTTCTTTCCCCACCTACCCCTTATTTGATACTTCTGTATCAAATAGGAATTCTGTTTTTGCTTCACGCAAGAATGGCAGCTGATATATGGACAACAGGTTAACCGCCTAACTCGCGAACTCTCTGCCCTCCGCGCACACTCTGCGTCAGTGGCTTCCACTGCCTCGAGCGCAGCCTCAGGTGTGCTCCTCGACCCCGCAGATGCCGCCCATACAGGCTCCTTGACGGGCCCTACCCATCCCACCTCCGCCCGCCGTCACCGCAGCTCGTCCAGCGTGTCTCGCAGCAGCATAAGCAACCCATATGGTGGACCGGCTACCTTCTCCACTGGCATTCCGCTCACGCCTGCTACGGCTGGCATCCCACACTCACATCATCGATACTCGGTGTCTTCGCAACCAGCGACTGGTGATCCATCTAGTGCACAACAAGCAAGGAGCGCGAGTGTGGTAAGTACGCCTAGGTATGAGGAGGTTGCGCACTTTCGACAAGAGTTGGAGGAGGCGAAGAGGGAAAATGAAGTGCTCAGGAGAAGGATCAGGGAGTTGGAGAGGATGATTAGGCGAAGTGGAGACACGGGTACAGATGCACAAAGAGGAAGGCGAGGTCCTAGTGCGCAGGGTCAGGTGCAGGTTAATGGATCGAATGGGGAGGGGGCGGCTACTGGGATTCCACACGAGGGAGAGACTTCGTAGTTTGAAGAGAATGTGCCAGAGGAGTGGGTGGATTTGCACTCTAATGCCGAAATGGGAAGGATGCTTCCCAAGGTTCTTCTGTGGGAGAATCATCGTCCACATCTCACTCGATATGGGAGTAGAAAGGAGCATCCTTCTTTCTGGCCTATCACAATAACGACATAAACGGTAACGGGTTTCTTCGATAAAAGAAGGAAGGGCTTCAACTTTGACTATCCAATGCCTATGAAATGAAGCGAAACATTCCACGATACAAATTATTAAATCCTTTTCTCTTTCGTGTTCTCTAACCCCCTCCAAAACAACTTGTTTTTGGACTACAGAATCTCATTTGAGGAAGACCCTGATCGGCAGGGCCCATACCCGGGGCGGTGACATGCTCGTTTCCATGTATCGCGTGGATCTTGATTTTCCAATCGTCGCCAAGCCGAAGATCTTAGATTTACGGTCAGGGCGTCCACTTCAGCACTATCCTTGTATCTCTCGACTCTTCTTTTTCCCGAGACTGAATGGGCGTTTCCTGCTGCAGCCATCTCACTATTTCAGTCTCACCAAGTAGCCATAGTGCTACCAGAATACTCTGCGGATGAGCTTGAGGGATCTGATGATCGATGTTATACGGGAAGAGAGCTGTAAAAAGCAAAGACACGATGGAGAATGATGAAATTTCAACATATATTGCGTGGAATACGTGCTCGTATTCTTCTAGCATATGAGGATCACCATTGGGGAGTCGGTGGGTGGGGTATAAGGTTTGCGGGTGCGAGATTATGAAGCTGAACGTGTGCTATTTGATTGCTGGTCGATGGCAGGAAAGACTTTAGATATAGTTGACATATTTCTACCTTTCATCATCGCATTCACATCAGTCCATTTGAATCAACCCTTCAAAACGTCTCTTATTCCCGGAATGGGCTCCATCCTAACCCGCCTCTCAATCCCCCTCCTACGCCCCTCAAGTTCATCACGCTCACTCTCCTCCTCCTGTCCATCCCCCGGCCTTGACTTTGGTATGTACTTACACCTTCCACCCTCTTCCTTCTGCCGGACTTTCGGCCGCTAATATACCCAAGCATCATCAATAAGCCAACCCATATCCCACCCCGTATCCCAAGAAATAATCGACGCTACGGAACGAAGATTGATTGCCGAAAGTATGCTGTTTGCTGGAAATTGGCCTTTGATGGATGGCCAGGGTCCCTTGTCGGGATCGGAAGCAGAAGCAGAAGCGGGAGGGGAGGGTAAAAGAGGAGGGTAAAAGAGGAGAGGAAGTAGACAGTGGGGAAGAGGTGGAGGCGGAGGTGAGAGAAAGAAGGGGTATGTGGGGTGGGAATTGGAGGGGAGCATAGGAGTGCCGTTTTCGGGCTGCTTGTTAGAAAGGGATAGACTCAAGCATGCAGGAGGGATAGAGGTAGACAAACGGTGATAGATATAGAAGTTAAACAATATATACAGTATAGAAAAACGCCAAATCAACATTACACAGTCTCTTCAACAGTCATTATTCCATTCGTCTCCAAACCGCATGTCTCACCAACTCCAAAGTAGCCGCGCTCAACCAACCCTCCGTGTCCCAGTAATCTTCCTATTCTCCCTTAACCTCTTCGACTTCAACCCCTCCCGTCTTCTCTTCTTCCATGCTCGATTGTTCTCGCCTCTGTTCTCCCAGAACCATTTCTGGAACTCGCTTTCCTCTTTCTCGCCTTCGACTCCATTGGCCCCTTTCTTCTTGCCAAGAAGTGTTGAATTAGCGTCGACGTCGGGATCGCTATTCTCTTCATCCTCATTCTCTTGGTCCGAGTTAGCACCCTCATCCTCATCCTCTTCTTCTTCGGCAATAGCGTCTGGAACGCGAGAACTCGAAGCGTTAATCTTCGTGTTTGAGCTAAGCTGCTTTCCAGCCTCAAGATCATCATCCTCATCCTCCTCGTCATCATCAACTTCGTGACTACCCTTTCGCCACGGGAAGGAGAATCGCCGGCCAATAGCCGCGGTGTCTGGTGTCGGCGCTGCGCTTCGCAGACCTCTCCATTCTAAATCTTGCTTAGTGAATGGTGTGACTGGTGGGTTATTAGGGCCACCTCCATCGACACTCATAGTGTCTTTGTCGAAGAAGCTGAAGGAGGTGTTGATGGGTGCGAGGCCTTTGGCTGGAGTTGCAGTAAGGTTTGAGCCAGAGGTGGACGGGGGACTTAGTCTAGGTCGCTTGAAGAGGGCTTCGAGGGGGTGGATTTCTTTCTTGTCTTCGGGGGATGATGGTATGACGGTCATGGAGGGTACATCGGGAGCCAGAGCAGGGGAGGAGGCGGAGGATTCTGCGGAGGATACGTCATCATCGGAGGGTGAGGAGACATCAGAAGATTCTTGGACGTCTGAATCGGGTTCAGAAGAAGATAGCAGAGGCGTTGGCTTCTTCGTCTTGACGATCTTTTGCGCCTTTGATTTGGCTGTTGATGGTTCAGGATCGGGTGTCGCTGAAGGCTTCTTTTCCGTGGTAGGCCGTGGAGATTTGCTAGCCCTTGAAACCTCTTCCTTTGGAGGTGCGTCTACTAGCTCTAGTACTCTTCTGTTTCTTGCTTTTCCGGTCTCAGGCTCCACCACATTGCCGTCTTCGTCAACCCATCCCTTTCCATCTACATACTCGGTCGCAGGCTTCTTCATCGTGGATACTGCGACGCTCTTGAGAAAGCTAGGCTGCTTGGTACTTTTCTCGAATTCGTGCACCACGACCTCTTTAGACTTCTTCTTATCCTTCTTATCCTTCTTTTTCTCTTTCTTCTCCTTCCGAGCTACCTCAGTAGCCGCGACAGGTATCAACTTCGCCTTGAACAGCATTTCCGGTTCCTTTGTGTATTTGGAGGGCTTCTGTTCCTTCTTCTCTTTCTTGCTTTTCAGCGGCGGTTCCGTCCATCCTCTCTTGACTTTTCTCCCACCCTCCAATTCCGCGCCTTCCAACACACCCTGCTCCCTCTTTCTCTTCTCTTTCCTTGCACGCTTCGCCGCTCGAATTTCCTCTCCCCCTACCTCCTCCGCGCCGTCAGCAGCCTTGCGCTTCTCCGGCTTCGCATCCTCAATTCGGACTTTGGATCCTTTCAGCGTCGAGCCATTGAGCTTCTTCTTCAACTTCTGAGCTTCCATAGCGGGTAGCTCTAGATATCCGAATCCCTTCTCTGGAAATACTTCGACGGTATGGTAGGAGACGTTCTTTGCCAAAGGCAGAACGGGGGGCGCAAGATAGGCTTTGAGGAGGGTGGGAGTGAATGGCGTGATATGCAATCGGACAAGCTTATTCTCTTGACCTGGCGCCAACTGCGCAGCACTTAATCCAATATTTGTAGTCGAAGGGGGAGTTGAGTCTGAGGCTGTCGTAGCTCCAGGCAGCTTATTCTTACGCGCTGATGTGGCTGGCATCGAGTCTCCGACGTGTGCCTGTGTACCACACAACCTGGCTTCCTCAGGAGCAGGATGCGCAGAGTTTGGAAGACATTGAGTGCGGAGAGTGTATATATAGATAATCAACTAAGCAACAGTGGTTCTGGATAAGCGTGCGGGCGTGCGTGCGTGCGTGGATGTGAGAGAGGTGGTGGGGAAGGATGGAATGAGAGCTTAGCGCCGGCAGATTGGTCGAGGGATCGGCTGGTGGACCGTGTGGCTGGTTCACGATCACAGCGAAGAAGCTTCGAGGCTGATCAAGCCGACCACTTGGGACATCACGACGGGCAGAGATGAAGAGACAAACTTCTTGGTTGTTGGTGCTGGTGGCATTTGCCACTTTGCTCTCATCTACTCTCGCTGCTTGTAAGTTGCCCTCCTACGTCAGTCCCGGTTTCGTGCTTACTAGTGCATAGCACCCACGTCTTTCTGCAAATGTACATGCTTCGGCAACAGCACCATTGTTGCCCTTGATTCTCCCGTTTCTCAAAAGCCTTCCCCAGGATCGCCAGTGGACCGTGCCGCCAAGAAGACGTGTAGTGATTGCAACCGACAGTTCTGCTTGAGCTATCCGTTCTGCAAAAACGAGAAGGAGGAAAACGTCTTCACTACTTGCTTTCGTAAGTGGGGAAGTGCTGTGATGGAAGATGGCGCGCTGGGACAGAGAAATCGCTGACGCTTTGTAGAGAGGGACTCCGCAAAGGACCAGGCAGTGGTGTTCATATTCATCATTGCGACTGTGGGGCTGTTGAGCTATGCGGCAGTGAGACCTTGGATAGAGCAGTGGGCAGAGGTGAGGAGAGGTCATTTCTATCTTCCATGAATGATTTAGTGTGGAGGGGAAGGTGTCTACAGCATCCTATGGGTACTGACAATGACACAGAGATCGCGACAACGACGAAGCTATATTCCCGTGTCAGGTCAGGCAGATCAGTAACGAACCCTATACTGTCATGGTTGGCGCTTGGTTGTTGGCGTTTGGTGGGAATGCCGTTCATCAATTCGAATTTGGAAGATACCCAAAAATATCTATAGCCAAAAAGATGTTCCTCCTCAACTCCGTGATTTGTACATCTAATCTTAACACCGCGGTGTACAGGCTTGGAGATTAGTTATGATACAAAGAGCAGAACAGAGCCTGCTCCTGGGTCCTTAGTCATGTCGCTTTCAACGTCTTATTCGTCCTTAGATCCACCAAATGCCCAGCCCAGCCAGCCTTTGCTCACTTTCTGTGCGTCGCTAGCTACATTCGCAGCAGCTTGATCTAATGACCCACCGACCGGGGATTGCGTTGAAGCATTTGCCCTCGCTTCCTGTACTGCCTGGGTGACCCCTAGATTCTGCCCGGCCTCCTGCTCTCGCTTGAGTTCAAGTACAGTTTTCTTCCTCTGCTCTTTCAATTCCTTATCTTCCTTCCATTCACCGTGTAGGAACCACAGCAATTTTTTCCCAACGCCTCTTTCGGCCTTTTTCCTTTCCATGGCCTCTTCCTCTTCCCGAATGCCCTCGACTAACGCCGACTGCGCCGGTGTTGCGATTCCTTGTAGGACTGCCGACCGTGCCAGCTCTAGAATCCTGGCTTGCTCTTTTTCTTGTTGTTCATAGAATATTGCACGTTTCCGGCGGTTGTAAACGATCATGTCTCCTATTGAAAACACGGCCAGGACACCAACGCAGCCTACAACACGTTAGAGAAATGGTAGTTGTACAATTTTGTAACAGCAGATTTACGCCAAAGAGAACATTGTGGAATTGAAACAGCGTACCCGTAGCGAATATTATCCCATACACAGTAAACCTATGCGCCGCATCCGCTGCCATTCTTCCGTAGAAGTATGCCATATCCCACTTTGTCACTTGTGCCATCTTCGCTCTATTGGCCGCCTCTCGCAAACGCTTAACTTTCTGTTGGGGTGTTTCATTTTTCGGAGCCGGGTCTGCAAATTGGAGAGTTGTGGATCGACCGCCGGGTTTGGTATGTGCCCACACTCCTGTTGATGTGAAGCGGGTGGCATCTTTGGCAGATTTCCCACCAGCCATTATGGAATTGTGGATTAGAGAGGGGGGGAGCGGAGGGGGGAGGGGCGGACGTGGAGCAGGTCGACTGAGCAAAAGTTGAAGATGCGGAGAATGCCGCCGTCAGCATGAGGGAGCTGCCGGGTCGGGCATTCTTTTCTCCAAGTCCGCTTCACTTCGTCTCATCTTCAACATTGTGACAGCTAAAGTCTATGGTCGCCACAGTCACCATTATATCTTGAACTCAGGGCTCACTTTGAGCCTGTTGGAAATCCCAGGAGTCGACTTTTGTGGAGGGTTCAAACAACCTTTGGCTGTGACCTTTCACGGGGTGCTTTTACCGCATTTCTTCCGCACAGAGAGGACGCCATGTACTTTGTACCAGCTTTTCATCGATGACCGCGCGGTTGAAGCTGGCTCCTTTCCCGCTTCTCTTTCGAGTTCTCGACACATTGCATTGACACCACATTGACACCACAAATCCTTGAAGTTGGATCAAGGATGGCGGCACCAGCCGGTGGAGCCAATCTAGAGGACATCCTAAGGACTCTAGCCAGTTTGACTTCGAACCAAAATACTACACAGCAGCCACAGCCTGTTGCTCACACGTCATCGTTTTCTACCTGGCCTGAACCTGCTTCTCAACAGCATGCAGTCAGCCAAGACATTGGATTCTACATCAATAGTACTTCGCTAGACCCGAGATTGAATGGCCGTCCCCTCCCCCAACAGTATGAAACCCCGAAACCCCGAGCGCCTATCATCAATCCTGCTACCATTATTGAGTGGAAGTTCGCCATCCGCTGCGTCACCAAGATTGGCCAACAGAATCCAGGTTTTGCCCAATCCATTCAAAAGGCATGTTTACACACAATTATTTCTCATTTGCCTGATACTGACTAGTCTGTGCAGCTGATCAAGAACCAAGAGCAAAGCGTCAAGGGCTGGTGTGTTTCCTCGTACTCAACAAAGCTATTTCATTAATGGAAAGTAGGGGCCTTGGCCGGGAGCGCCTGATCGAGGAGCAAACGAAAAAAAGGGAGAACGAGCAGACAAACAGGGCAGTCTTGTATGTGCCCTTTTCTTCAACCTACATCAGCCCTCTTGTTCTGACACTAGATTTTGCACTTCAGGTCTCTTCCAGGAATGCTTGATGGCGTTGCACCACTTCGTGTAAGTGCGCCACACCCATGTCAGAGCCATACTAATGAACATTAGACACCTGAGTGCGATCAAGAAGAGCTCGATCACTATGATCGCAAAGTTTATCGGGCCTATCAAGCGATGGTTACACACCACTCGAGTGAACTCAAACAACTCGGCGTTCCCTTCTTCGGCGTTAGGCCGGACCTGATTCTTCCGGATGGTGCCGACCCCAAGCCCGAGATGATCACCAAGAAAGAACTTTTGGCATTGCAGCGGAAGATGTTGAAGCACCTCAAGGACATGTACGGGGAGTAAAGTGTCCCGTCGGAACCTTTAAAGCACTAGTTAGAGTTAAGCATAAGTGGGTTGAATGGATAGTAAGCCTTTTACGAATATACCCCCATATTGGCGTGGGTGTAATATACTTATTTCCACCCTAGTGGCCATAGATTCAACTTGTGCTCAGGTTCTAATTCACTATCAACTCTAATTCAGAGTTTGTCAAAGAGGAATCTATATTAAGTTAATCAGATGTCATGACTAGAGACGACGAAGAGACAAGGGACAATCTACCGTTTCCTTGCTGTCATGATGGAGTTAGTCGGGTACGTATCTTTGGTTGTCTTCAATCCCACTACTAACTTGAACCTCAGGAACGGTTCTTTCGTATGCTTAAAAAATTGCTCAATGGTGAAGCTACAAGTTAATCCCTTTTCCACTACCTAACGTTTTTGCTCAGATAGTCTGGCATCAGTTCAGACACCGGGCCAGCAGATGGCGAGTCTCTTCGAAGATGTAGTCTAGAGACTACGAGGTATACGAATCTTATTTCATTAGTTATGGCGGTCTGCTCAACGCAACAGTCAGAGTACTTCAACCCTCCCCCGGCTTGCGCAGTGGGCGGGGTCGCTAATGTACAGGGGCCAAATATCGACACCATTGGAGCGGGAAGTCTTCCAAGTTACTCCAGCTCATCTTAGAACCAGCTCGCTGGCACCCTTGTGAACCGTGACATGAGGTTCACACACTCGGATACTGCAGCCGAGGCGACACCGTTCGGTGATAATAATCATAATCACCTCGATCCTTCACCCTCGTAATTTTCACCCATAGAGACCAGGCAGAAGCGAGCTCGTTGCCTGGCCGCACCGCTTGTTTGGCTCGAAATTTTGAGGCCCCATCACACCGCCGCCAAGACCCTAGCGTCAACACAAAAGGTCTCATTGCCACCCTCTGCTGTCCTTTTCTCCTCTACTACAACCCTCTTTTTCTCTCTGGTCACATACATTCCTTTAAAAACTCTTTTCTGTTTCCCTACGTTCCTTTAGTCGCACGACCGGTGGTCCCACCTCTCATTTCAATACTTCCTTTCTTCACAATTGTCACTTAGACGCAATGTGTTGCTCCAAGGTCGGCCTTGTTGCTCTGGCCCTAGCGCTGGGCTTCAGTGGTGGTGGTGGTGGTGGTGGCCATGGCCTGTTCGCACGTGCTGAAGAAGTTGATGGCGAGTTACCTGCTAGCCATAACTGTTATTATCCGCTCACGACGCTCTAGTGAAAGACTTGATGAGGTTCAATTATCCCACGGGCCCTGTGAACTGGAACACGTCCGGTAAGCAACACAACATCGATATCCTAGCATACGTTAACACTGCTTAGCTGCATCGACTCACGTGTCGTCTGTTTTAGTTACGGTCTCGTCGACCATCTTGTCAATGTCAACGGCCACAGACGCTATCCCAACTTCTTTCCATTTGACCGCAAATCCATCATCCTCTGCTAGCGGCTCTGTCATTCACCCCTCATATGGTGCGAGCAGCAGTCTTTCTACAGTTACAGATGCCATCCCAACCTCGTTCCTGGTTCCTACCAATATGTCATCCTCGGTCAGTGTTAATACTCACCCTTCTTACAACTTGGCGAGTAGTGGTGTCTCAGCCGTTACGGATGCCATTCCAACCTCGTTCGCCATTCTCACTGACAGCTCGACCTCCGTTGGCGTCTCTGTCACTTACCCAACCTACGGTGCGGCAAACAGTTCTCTGTTAACAACTACGGATGCGATTCCTACATCATTCCCATTGACTACCAATATCCCGTCCTTGGCCCGACTGAACAGTACTCATCCACCCTGTGGTGCAAAACCCAGCGCCCTTTCAACGGTTACAGATGTGGTTCCAACTTCAATGCCAATATCCGTCAATGCCTCTTCCGCTGTCAGTTCGATAACCTCCAGCTTCCATGCTCTTACATGGTCATTCCTATCATTCAACACATCTTCGAATATAGGAGTCGCGACTGGCAACGGTAGCACTATCTCAACTCCATATTGTAAGTATGAAGTTCGACGAATATAAGAATGTACCCATTTTGACGCTTCGCAGCAGCCATACCCTCAAAGACTTACCCAACAGTGCTCACCACCATGAACGGTACCACGGTGACTGAGACCAAGACTGTCTATAGCAAACCCAGCGACTCCTCGGTGATGCTTTCATTTACATCGAGCTCTTCTCATGTCACTACGATTAAACAGACGTCTACGTATGCCATCCATGTGAGTAAGACCATCGCGTCCGCGCCCTCCCATGCCCTGGCTTCGGCCTTGCCCACGCCTGTTCTGTCTTCGAAGTCGTCGGAGATAGCTATTCCCCAGGGTGTTTCATCGACTCCATCCGTAGTTGCGGCCCCTTCCCAGCCATCGCTCGATTCGTGCCCTATTATTTGCAAGCCCACTGTTTGTACCGATAATGTGGTGCTGCGAGGCACGCCGACTCTTCTGGTCTACCTGTGTTCCGGGACCAAGGCGCCGCACGGCGAGTCAACACCGGCTAGTGTCGCGATGGCAAGCAGCTCCTCGACTGTAGGCAGGTCGACAATGTGGTTTAGCTCTACGCCGATAGGTAGCTCGGAGATTGGATCTAGTTCCACGTTAGGAATCAGCTCTGCAATGCCAAGCAGCTCAAAGGTCCACTCAACCGTATTTGTTACTGTTACGGAAATCACGACTGTCACTCCCGTCTCGACGACCATCGCGACCCCGACGTCTATGGAACTCACGACAACCATCACTCACCACCTCACAAGCACGCTGTTTAAGACACACACTATCTTCCCCCATCCAACTTCAATTCCATCGGGAGTCTTCTGGACTGGCTTCCCTAGCGGTTATTTTCCCACGCACCCTGCCGGACTCTCTGGTACTTACTCTGTCAATTCTGCTAGGATCGCTGCACGCAATGTTCTCACCGTCACCGTGACGGCTCCGCCGTCGACCGTTTTTGAGAACATCACAGCGACGCCTACTCATCCCGTATCGGTTAGTACCGACAACGTTATGGGTCCGAGCGTCACTGTGACGCAGAATATGAAGAAGGGGGATGCCGCGGAGATTGCCGAAGTCTCTGTCATAGCCTTCTGCATGGTGATTCTGGCTGCTGTGCTTCTTCTCTGACTCCTTCACATTTCTTTCCGTTCCAAAAGATGATGCCTGGTCATGTACGGTAGCTTCTCAGCTCTGGATAGGGAGGCGCATCATGGTGATTCCTAGGTGGGCGGTTTCAAAAGGGTTCTTTCTTCTTAACTGCATGAGGAACGAATGGTCTGAGTTCTCTGGTTCGTTCGTTGTTTTTCTTCCATAGCTTCCTTAATCAGGAATGAATGGTCCCTTCGTCAGTCCATGGCAAGGATGAGTGTACAAACTTCAAAACAACTGGTTCACTCTAGACTTCAAGTAGCATGAAAGCGCCTCCGTCTTCGCTGGGCTCCCACGACCTCGTACGGCATATTATCACATAATGAACGTGGGAGATAGCTAAAGTGCGGCCTATCTGCTAACCCTCTTGCTAGAATGGGAATAAGTATTAGCTAAATGCAAATTTCTGCGCTGAATTACTTGTCATGTTCCTTCTTAGGAGACAAGATGTAGTACAGGCAACACCCTCTAAGCCAAAACAGGTACAGCCCCAACGCAAGCATCGGCCTTCACCCCTTCGTACGAGCTTGCTCGGCATCATGCAAGCTGTCAAATTTACAACCGCGAGCCGAGCCACACAAATCTCCAAAATCCCAACATCCCAATCCCCCGGCCTCAAAACCACAAACACCGAAGCTTTTCGGTCTTCAATCGTAGCCACTCGATATGACAAACCCCTTCCTAACGCATCTGAGTCTCGGTCAAGCCTCGGATCAAAACTGGACGTCGAGGTTTCTTCTCTGCACCTAGCTAGTGCCGTATCCGCATGGACAACGTTCAGTGGCCCGGTCTGATTAATTTACTGAGACTACGAGGAGAAGATACACAGCCTTGGAATACGCTGCGATATATCCAATTAAGCCATCACCTTTTACCTTGCCGATCTAGGGCCTTCTGTTCGCGCAAACCGACAGAGATCTAGCACACATTTGAAGAGAATATGGGTTCATGAGTAGCGCTTCTTTTCCATGGCAGTGAGGTATAGGGCGCAATTCGGACTCGCAAGCCTGAAGAGCGATCATCGGGACTCGCTGATGCTATTAAATACTATATCGTGCTCGCTCCCTCTCCTATCAATTGCTCATTTTTAGAGTCATGTCACGCTAAAAGTGTTGAGACTGGTGCGGTTGATGAAACGGGTGTGAGGCTAGGGAGCTAGGCCTGAAGGAGAAATCCTTCGGAGAGCGGAGTGGAGAGTGAAGTAACATAATGTGACCTCACAGAGGTATTTATTTGCGAGACACTTCAAGGTTTAATTCGAAGGTTTGCTTCCGAAAGGAGAAGTAGAAGAAGAGATCCTAGGCGTGCACTGAACTCAGCGCATATCGAGAGAGCAGCGATCGTTGCACGGGTATGTAGTATCTGCTCGCGTCATCAACATGGGGAAAGGAGAATCGTTGTCGTGGTCGCTGTCTGATGAGCCCAGCAATTGCTAAAACCGCCGGCCTCTTGTTTGAGGATGGGTGACTTCGATTCGTGGGATTATAATCGGCACATAATTATAATTGGCGTCGGTCCCGAAAAAGCAAAACAAGAAAGGTCTTTTATCCGGAATAAGTAGTTTGATACGGGATAGGCATGATTCCGTAACCAGGATTACTCATGTCTTTGTATGACTGATCCTCGCTATATTTGAATTGGGTGGGCAACGAGAGTACTAAATTTTGAACAAACTTATGGAAGTAGGGGCTGTTGCAGTGCATTGAAGATGGTGATGTTGTTATCCTTATCGGGCCCCTGGGAACAAGGTCTTGCATGCTCCGTACATTACATATTGCGAATCCCTACTGATTACTCACAGTGTATTGATTTAGATTTCCTCAAATAATAATCAAGACTTTCCCAAATGCAGTAGTGTGTGTGAATGTGAGTGGGTCTGACCAAACACTGGAATCCAGGAACGCCGGACTCCCGTGCATACTTGGACATGCAGACGTGCTGGCTTGGTGTTGGGGCTTTGTATTGAGCAAGGCGTTGTTTGAACCTTCGTTTTGATCATTAAGGTAACAAGATCAGGTATCAAGGGAAAATTTTCAACAGCTCTTTCGTGCGAGATGCGAGAGACGATGTGGCACCGATACCCCGACTTTCGCACGAATGAAGGCACACAGAGATCCGGGCATCCGTCTTCGCCTCCCGCGAGCGTTGAAGAGGCACGTATCTCCGTTAAGTGCGAAATACCGCCGCTCATTTACTCCAATGGCGAAACTGGGGTCTAAGTTTATGGGTAATAGCTTCGGTGGCAACGTGTATTGCGCGTTTCTAGAAGATGATGTGGTCACCTCAATCACATACAACACCACTTACAATTGGAGGTGCGTTAGTCTAATAGCTGACAGCCTTGGCACTTTGGTCTTGTTGTTTGAGTCCGATCTCATCAGCGGTCTCATCACAAAATTCCGCCATCTCCACATCTTTGATGCTGAGTCCTTTAGGTAATGTGTGGATCACTTACAGTGGCTTCATTGTAGAGATTGTCCCAAGGTGGGTGGTGCCGTTTAATGTTGCATTCCTAAGCCACTATGCTCATAGAGCACCAGGCTGCGCTGTAGGAAACGTGAACTAACGGGTGAGCCCATCCTCGAGGTTGCAACAGTCCATGCTGTGAGAGTTGAGACACGGTCTGCTAACTCAGAGGGTTGATTTTCTGAGAAGATGATCGATGGCGATCTGCCATGTGCTGTACGAAGACTTGATGTCGCATGAGAAGTTTATGTTCTGATGTTTCCGAACTGGGTGGATCGGGCAAACATTGGGATGGGAAGTTTGGGGGAGATTTACCCAGCACGATGAACGATCGAGGGGACCCTGGCGCAGCACTGATGCTCATTCGTTCTGGGGTACGGTGTATGCTGGACAGAGTTAAGTTCTGATGTAATCATAGAAGTCCGGTGAGAGAAGGGAGAGGCTTGCAGATCCGTCGTATTGCCTGCAGTTGGAAACACGTACTGGAGCGCCTGAGACTGGCGCATGTACCGACGAGGTATTGCAGAGTGTTGTGCCATTCTGTGGTTGGTGGCCATAGGTAGCATGATATTAACCCCATGAAGGGATGTTAGGGTGTGGTGAAGTGAAGTATGAAAACAGACCAAACGCTGCCAGGCTCAGCCAGCCATGCTCTTCAAGGACTTGATAAGAGATAAAGACGGAGGATTAAACGAAACCAATGGACAAAATTCAGGAGTGCGACGATTGGGTAGGATACTTGAAGTGCACAAAGGACGTTTGATGGTGCAGTCAGCCACAGGTCCGCCCTGCAGCAGATCCGCCCGAACTTAGGGCAAGCATGGATCGCATTACCGTCATACGGGGCACCGATTCGTCCGTATTTCTGTTTTGCTCTGCACTCTGTTGTTACGAGGCTGCTCTGACACATCTGGGAACATTTTGCGAGTTATTGTGCGGGACTCGATAAGATGTCCGTCAATCTGTCTACCGGCTGGCCTGCCAATAGCACCCGCTTAACCATGTCTCTAGCGGACGGCTTCCACTGCCGGGGCAATCGAAGAGCGCCTCCAGATATTCCAAATGCGATAGGGTGGGGATTACCTCATCGCGAGCTCCATACCCAATAGAGCAGAAGTGCCTTTATTGCGGGTTTCACGGAGGGTGCGGATCAGGAACTTGGGCATCCCGTAATCCCTCCTAAATATCTCCTAGGCTGGCTACGCGCTCCTTTGCGGCCGCACTACTCGACGATAAAGGACATTCACAACACAAAACGGGTACCTCGGAAGAGAGGTCGTGATTTGCTAGGGGCGGGATGCTCGTGTCAAGTACAGAGAAAGAACATTGGTAAGCAGGTCAGCTGGGCGCCAGGTACTGAGGAACGAGACTCAGTGAATGCAAAGCAGTACATAATCAAAACGACGCTGGCGCGCGCCGCCCTCTTGCCGAAGCCAGTAAATGGACACTATAAGCGGGACGCGATCAGGATTGTCGCAATTATTCATTGATACCGTTGAAGCACGCCTGGGTCGCCCGAGCGCGCGGTGACTGCAGTGATACGCCGTTTTTGTGAGGAGGGCTGGAAATCACCCGACAGCCGAGAGAGGCTTCCGCTCTATTTAAAAGCGCTCGCTCTCCCCCAAGCCTGACTCAGCTTTTACGAAGCACTCGCTCGACCTCGACCAACCCCCATCGCGAATCCAGGGTGAGTAGTCATCATCCGCACCTCTGCTTCAAAACCCAGTTGCTCGTGCGAACTGCGCTGCCCTGTCGTCTCCAGGCGTGTGAGCTGTCGCAGCCTCGCCCGCGCACATACAAGATGGCTGTGCTAATCGATGTCGCCAGGCACTCTTTCCTTGCCGGCTCGACCGCAGCTACCCATCCTGTCAGCGGCGCGACTTGCGACTTCCTCATCCACATTGCTCAATAATCGGACGCCACCGCGCGCACCTCTCCAGAATCGCGATCTCTAGCCCTGAAACTGCCCTCGGGCGCGAAGAACGACTGAAGCGGGCTCGGCGCTCCCAAGCTCGATTTGATGCCGCACGGGTTGCCAACACTGTACCCCTCCATTCGTACATATAACATGCAACAGCCGGCTCAGGTAAGCTGAGCTCCCCAGCCTGGTACTAGGAGGCGCTGTTCGCCTGCTGACTCTTCCCAGGAGCACAAGCCCACCATAGAGATGAGTTAGTCAACACGGTCCCGCGACTTCCATGTCATGGAATGCTGCATTACAGCTGATTACTAACCCCCATCGCGATCTAGGTTTAAGAGAACACCTCCTCGCCGCCGGTGCTGGCCAACCTGCTGCTCCCCAGCCTCTGCCCCAGCACTCACACCCCGGCGGCAGCCCTCACCAAGCAATTGACCCGGCCATTGCCGGCACCCCGTACCAGATGAGTGCAGGCGACGGTGGTGATGGGCATCTGAGTGAGGGCAGGAAAGGACGACGCGAGCTCTCCACGTCGAAGCGAGCTGCGCAGAACCGTGCCGCACAGGTATGCCAATCCCAATTAACTAACGTGGCACCTTACTAATCCGACCAGCGTGCCTTCCGCCAACGCAAAGAAGAGTACATCAAGCAGCTCAAGGACCAGGTAAAGGAGTTCGAGCAACTATGCGAGCTATACAAAACCCTCCAGACCGAGAACTACCAGTTGCGCGACTACATCATCAACCTACAGTCACGTCTGCTCGAGACGCAGGGCGAGATCCCACCGGCTCCAGCCGGTGTAGACCTCACGCGCTCCCATGGCGAACCCTCGAACCACCCAGTGCCCCAACCGCCTCAACAACCACAGCCAGCTGAGGCTCAACAACAGAGCCCAACCAACAACGGAGGTCTTTCGGAGCGACAAATTGGCGAGCTCCAAATGGCTGCCCAGGCAGCCGCGGCGGCGCAACATGGTCCGTCTGACAACAATGGCAAACATCACATATCAGATGACTCATTTGTTGCAGGTGAATACCCCAACAAGCACCAGAAAGTCGACGAGTCACCCGCTTCAGGTCAGCAACCTTCGCCAAGCTATCCCAATTACCAGCCAGTTCCAAATGCTTATAACTAGCAGGCGGTCAAGTCGGCGACGGCTCCTCTGGTTCGACAAATGGCTTATAAAGACCACAGGCTCCTCACCTGTATATCCCTCTTTTCGTCAGCGAACTTCAACAACACCCCAACAGCATCAATAGGACTGCTTAATTCATAATTCGGATCTGGGTGCATGCGATAAACCCTCCAGGCTGTCTTCTGGGGCCAAAAACTCTCAATTTGCTAGGACAGAGTGTTGTGTTTATTTTTCCTTGTTTACGATGTCATGCATGCTTTAGGCTCTACTGTTTCCCTATTTCTCTACCTTATTCCCCTAGGATTGCGTTATTCCGCAAGTACTGGCGTTCAAGGAGCAGCAAACATATCCCCTGTTTTCGACACTTTGTCACTTAGGCACATCAATGGTGGGAATTTTCTCTGTTCGGCGGAGGTCGTCCGTCACGGAATGGCCCAACTCAAGGTAGCAGAGTTAGAGGGATGCTGTACACATTATTTTTCTGATTCCCTGTCCTATCACAACACCCCCGTCTGCGAAATCTATATTGGTATGTGTACTTCTACAACTTGTTGCTATAGCACTCGTCAAATGGCAGCAATATCAAAGTTCTATTCTTGCATGTTTTTGGTCGAAACCTTCCCTGAGGAGCTGAGGACATTTTCAATCTCAGCCCTGTGATTAACAATCTTGATTATGCCGCAACGGAGCCCCGGCTCGCGTGCTCGGTACCATTTCTTGCGAGCTTTTTGTGCATGACTTGACTTGACCTAAATCAGTCACTTTATGCGATGAGTGCCAAGAAGGGTACTTTCTGACTCGGTTGGTTACCTGTTAGGTAATCGAGGATAGACTTTTATTCGTTAGGTAATTGTGATGATGACTGAGATGGACCGCGGATGATAAAGCCGCATTTTGGGTGAAAGGTTTTTGCGATTCAAGGGTAATTATGGACGGCCGGCTGATAAGGTTAAGGTTGTGAGATTGTGCTATTTTGGAGAGAAGAGTGGAATGAAACAGAGGAGTGTTGCTGCGGTTGAACCTAGCCGAGGCTGAAGGGGAGGAGCTGGAGGGGACTTAGGAAAGAGTTAAAGGGCTTCATATTCGGTCGTGCGGTATTGCCTTTGAGGATCTGTTCTAGATGCATGTATATTTCTGAATGTCTCAGAGTCTGTTTTTGAGACTGGGAATGCAATATGAAATCCATTTATAAACTCGATGTCTCTGATAGAACCACAGTGATGCGTCCTTGCGTATATTCTTCGGAAACCTAGGTTCAAGTTAGGGTCGGGTGTTGGCCTTTGGAAAAAAGAAATTTACATAAATAAAACAGGTCTCAATTTTGTTCTCGTTGTTCAGGAGGCTTCGCAGATCCTTTAATCTCCTAGAGATGAGTATCAACCACAGAGTTCATAAGATGTCTTCGACGGTGTGCGTGCTTACTTTAGGAAACCGCTGCCCTATGGAGAAAAGAGAGCGCAATAAATCTATGACAATTTCGGACTATCATATCCGTCTGAAGGAAGTTGGATCGATCTTGAGTCGTGCTTACATCCGTAAAATTCGCAAGATCTCTGTAATTCTTGCGTTTGAAGATGTATCTGAAGTAACTTCACTCATAGCTGATTGATGATGTGCTGAATTCACCAAATTTCCATTCGTGTCTGGCCGGAATGAAGCCCCTGGATGCTGGTAGGACTCCCTACAGTCTGTGTAGTTATTTGTGTCCACTGGGAGGCAAGTAGATTTAAATTAAGCATCTCAGGGACCTCTGGATCATCTTTCTCGGGATTTGTGTCGTAAAACGTGTTGCATTAGACAATGCGATCGATCACAGAACCCTATATGAATGTCTGCCTATCAAAGTGTTTAAGTAAATCTTTCGACCTTGTTCTCCAATCTGTCGATCCTCGCGTTCCTGCCCGGCGTAGGAAAACAATTCCATGCCGCGAGATACCTACCAACCTGGATGCGCAAAGGGATTGGAAATCGAGGCGGATGAATAAGCACGCGGTGGCGGGGGTTGAATCCCTTTGCATTAGTAAACTCGAACGGAGCTCCGCTGTCATTGTATCTGAGCATGTGGACTTTATCTGGAAAGGTTACTTAGGGGAATAGAAGAACAGAGATAGGACACTAAGTACTTGATATGGAGTTGGAATGGATGTGAAATCCCGCGGCCGTAACAATTGGCTAGAGAGGAGCTGTGAGTTACACGGCGCCCTTTCTGGGGAGAGTGGCGATATGAAAATATACTTAGATACGAAGCCACCCTACTTTTCAGGAAGCTAAGAGGGGAGCTGCGGGAGGAAGCTGACTTAGCTTAACATCAGAGAGACTGAACTGAAAAGAAGGATAAACAGTGAAAAGCCAGAGCCCCGGAAACCGATATCCTACATTTATTCCTCGATGTAACAATGGAAAAACGCCGATCCATCTATGCATATGCACCGAAGCCGCCGACTCATTATGCTTCCGGCTGAGCCCAGCAATACCAATCCAGATCCAACTTCATCCAAGAAAATACGTAGGACTCTCAAGATGACCATCTTGACTTGCCCCCTTCTTCCTTAGCCTTCTTCTCCGCCTCCATCCTCTTCACCTCCCTCACCACACCCCCACTAGCCTTCCACCAAACATCCGTCCCCCACCTAACCAACCTCTCTGCCGCACCCCTTGGGCTATCCACCGCAGGTCTCACATCTAGATAGAAAACCGGCTCACCAGTTGGCTCCGGATCCCCTTCATAATAATCAATCACATACCTCACCTCGTGACACCCCTCCGGCCCGCACCTCTGTATAAACCAATCGTGCCGATCAAACGGCGGACTTGTCGCAAACTTCGACGGCCACACCCAACCCAACCACTGCAAGATCTGACTCTTGGGTGTCATATCCCCCGGCCTTCCCGTAAACCGCAGAAGCTTTGGTGGCGGGACTTCACGATCCCGCCACCTTGTGTCTAGGATGTCTTCCTGACCGAGGTCTTGCGCTGCGTTTTCTTCCCCTCGCGCGCAGATCTTGTAGCCTTGGACAATACCGCGGGAAAATCGTTGTTCCCAGCCAATGATTTCGGCCCATGCGCCTTCGTTGAGGAAGTTGTGGACTAAGACCATGGATTCAACGTGCTCGGCGGGGGTGTCGGTGTAGCCTTTTCGCAGCATGGCGTTGTACATTTGCTGGGGGGATGGGTATTCCCAGAGCGAGCCGTCGCCCTTGGGAATTGTGCTGGTTTCGCGAGATACGGGTAGATCTTGAGACTGAGCCGAGGATCGAGAGTTTGGCAGTTCGAAAGGCATGTTATTCAGCGGGTTGAGGCGCGAGAGGAGACCCTGCTTCGGCGGAGATTGGAGAGCAGTGGCGGAGGTGTAGGCAGGTGATGGCGTATCAGGTGGGACATAGGGACAAGCACCTTGCGGGGTCGATGCATTTTCTGGGAGGCGAGAGGGAGGAGGCGTTGACTTTTCGTGCATCGGGCAGCCAGGCTGGAGGGTTGTTAGATGCACAATTTGATGTTGGAATGGATTATCATACTGGAGGCTCTACGCTTCCTCGAGGCATGCGATGCGGCGCGATCGGCGCGGAGGGCGCTGTTTCTGCCCAAAACCAACCCATTGCTAGATTTATTGTAGAACGTAGATGGAAAAAAAAGGAATGGGGGGTTTTAAAGGTGTGGATAGATGCGTGTGGCGGGGACTGTCGGGGGAAACGGAACAGAACTTTTTGAGGCACTCGGATATACCAGGATTGCTGCCGTCATAATCTCGCTGAACACTATTCTGATTGGCTGACCACCACCAAGGAAATAGCTCTCCGTATAAGTATGGATTGATGAATTGATATTGATTGTAGTCATAGTATCATGGTTTCGATGTCTTCTATTCTATGAATAGTTCAACGGTGATGCATTTGTGCCTTTTTCCGAAATCCCTCAAGCGCCTGCAGTGACCTTCGCTAGCTGGCCAGTGCCACGAGAACTGAAGATTGCCATTATCCCAAAGCTTCCATAGAAGAGGACCATAGGATATGCAACGAGACCTCTCATAGAAGTCATGCGACCTAGATATTACATTAGTATGGTTACTACAATGAACTGGGAAACTAGCAGACTCACCAACAATCGTGAACATCGAGCTGGAAGAATATGCACACCAAACGATCGCGAGGCTCGTCAGCAGGTACCCAAACAGACCATCCATGGGCACGGCGATTCCAATGATGGATGTGAGAACCAAAGGAAGTAGACAGTAACCCAGGACCGAAGCAGACCGTGGGAAGGTTAATGAGGACGAGAAGTGCGAGTTGGCATGTGGATGGTCTTGTGCTGCAGCTGCTTCTGCAGCAGTGAGGGGCGGGGACATAAGGGAGAGGATGATGTGGAGGGAGATGCTGCCTAATAGTGCAAGACCTGTACCGGGATGAGTTGTCGTTCAAATACGTAAAATGATGTCAACCTACCGTAGATGTATCCAAAATGGAGCTTGCCAGAGAGCTACTTGATATCAGCCTTGCATCAAAAGCTTCAATTTTGTGTATAAATACCAGCAATGATGTCCCAAATATGAGAAAGAACAGCACAGGACCTGCGAGATCGCTGTCATCCATGATGTGCTGGTCAATCCTACCGAACGGATTCAAGACCGCCAGAGTCTGCACTCCAGGTCAGCAAAAAAGCTCTTTGCTTTGTCCAAACCCTTGTCATTACGGACCTTCATCTTGATATGCCCAAAGTTAACACCCAGCTCTTCCACTACGACATTGTTAGCAAACAGGTCGATTACTCGTAGGACGTTCGCAACGAACGTAATGGGGGTTCTCCTTCATATCTATTCCTATTAGCATATATTCCACATCCTATATGCATCAATATACCCTTCTGTGCCAAACGCTGCTAGCCACCCTGTCCGTAACCCGGACGCACCAACGCCCATCTGCCCACTCACCCCCGGCGCCGAGAAGCCAGCGCCATATTGTGCAGGATACGGTTGTGTCTGCGGTGCGCCATAGTTTGCTTGGAAGGGCGTTGAGTGCCCAGAAACGGGCTGGTTCGAGAACGAAGAGGGATAGAACTGGAGATTTTGTGGGGCGCCGCCGTATGGGGGACTCTGTCCGTAGCCGTACTGAGCCATTGCGGCGAGGTAATTATCGCGGAGTTAGAATGAAGGCGGTATGAGTCGAGTGGGGGGTTGAGCGATGCCAGGTGGCTAGTCGAACGTGCGTTGTGGAAGCCTAGTTACTTCTCTGTTGCGACTGAGATATTACGTCGGCGCGCCGTGCAAGGTTGTTACAAGTTTGGACTTGTGAAGTGAAGCGAAGCAAGGATAAAGGAGAGATACCCTACGACCGGGTAGATATGAGAAGAGTCACCTTTAGTGGCCGTCTAAGTCAAGCAATTTTGAAAGCGGTGGAGTGCTGTAGCTCCAAAATGTGTGCCACTTGTTTATTTCGGAGGTTCAGCTAATCCGCCGATCCTCAAACAGGTCACGTGTCATCATGGGGCTTCGACTTCGTACTTGTTATTCCACAGGGATGAAGTGAAATGATAAACCTTATTGTTTCCTTGTTCTTACGTATAATAAGACCTCACTGAACGAAATTAAGACAAGCACCAGGATGAGGAGGGTATCTTTGATTTAAAAAACCGCTATGAGCAGAGTGGTTGATAAACGCCAGGAAAAATTCATGACAGTCGTAAGCAAGCATTACCCCGAAACTCTCATTGCATCCCAATAAAGTTCTTTCCAAGCGCCTACCGCTGTGCTAATCTAAAAAACTAAGCTTCCTCACGTCTTACGTGCGGGAAGGTTCATCGCTCCATCGCTTCTTCAATACATCTCTACCGTACGCCGTGATGTGTAGTTGCACCAATCACACTGTGGACGAGGATTAGATAATGGTAGAAGCGAATAGCTTACGAATGTCCATACCCTTGTTGCTGAAGATGCGTCATTGTCTTCGACGCAATACTCATTCTGGCAGCTAACACATCGCCGGATATAGCGTTCTTTGCAACCGATGCACTGGACAATATTAGAACGGTGCTATCCTTAGAGACTTTAGATGTCATACCGTGTGGCCGCAACCAAAGCAATCACGTCGAACGCCGATGATCTATAATCCAGCCATGTCAGCCTATTTCTAAATCACATCCTAAGCACATACCTTGGCGCGCCAGGATTAGGTTTCCAGTGCTGTTATCCGATAATTGGGCTCCACGGCCAGTCATGGAGACTGGGTTCCGGAATCCAACTACCTCGTAACCGCCTCATGGGTAGGACCATTGCCTTTCGCGCGCCAAAGTGATTTCCTTTCATCCCCACATTCCGTTAGAACCTGCGCCGGCCATCATCTCGCCGACCGGGTAGTGATCAACGCAGAGACCCATATGTACCTTGATGGTTTGCTTTGGAATGATATGGCTGGTTCCATTGGTCTGGACACTTTCGATGAATTCTGTCTGCTGGAGTTCAGTGCGTTTGGCGATTGCAGACCCGGCGTAGCACTCTTCATCCCACCACTTGTGACAGCGCTCGCACCAACGGCCTTTCAAACACTCCTCGCATCGTGCGAATAGTGGAGGAGGCCTGGAGCCATCGGTGGTGTGTGGAGATTGAGCAGCTCGAATTGAGGCTGAATGGAGCGGCAGTGGGCTCAAGAGAGGGAATTCGGAAGATGGTGACTGTCCGTACATTGCAGGACCTTCTGGAGACGAATGGCAGGTCTCGCACCCAGATGGGCCTAACGCCACAGTAGCAATAGCAGGATTGAGATACGAGGCTGGGTTCGGAAGTCCGGTAGTTGGGCCCTCACTGATAAATGCTTTTGTCGGGTCATGCCGCGGTCCCCTGCAGAGAACAGCATCGAAGAAGATGATGCCTTCGCAAGCTTTGAGAGTCTCAGCCCATTCCATCGAGGGGCGTTTCGCAAGCATGCGCCCAGAACACCGATACCACTTGTCTTCCGTTCGCGCCAGTGCGGCGTTGAGTGCATCTGCTGATCTCTGGTTCCATTCGGCGCTAATTTGGGCTCCCTGAGAGTAAATGATCCCCTTGGGAGGGGATCTCATCGGGGGAGGCTTCTTCTTGCCAGGCGCGTCTTGGATGGGAGCAGGTTCGCGGGGGCCAAAGAGGTAAATACCCTTGATCCTCGGGGTACCCTCCGGCCGTGTGGGGCGCACCGCGAATCTCAACACCTGCCTGAGCTTCCTCTCGTTCAAGTTCCGAGCATCTCTAATAGAGAGGATGCGGACGTTGAACTTATCCTCGGCGATGATCTCCCGCACGAGGTCTGCAGGTACGCTCAAGCCATCCAGCACCATTGTATGCACGTTACGGAGCAGGCATCGTCGTTCAAGCTTCGAGAAAATGCCTCGGAGCGGGCCGGAATAGAACTCATCTTCGGTGAGGGATTCATCCATGCGCTCGGCGCGCCAACGAATACCGCCGGAATCGAGAGGCTCATAAGGCACGACTGCTGATTTGACAGTGGAGAGATCGAGGTAGCGGAAGACTTCGGGAGACTGATGCACGATGTAGTGAAACGCCTTTGAGGTGGCTGCCAGGGCATATATGGCAGAAACCGGTAGATAAGGCGCCGTCTGCCGTAGCACCAAAGTGTTGGAGAGCAAATCCGCTAGAGTAATCGGGAGAGGGTCGTCAGGAAGAATAAGAGGCCCCATGGCGGATGGAGGGAGGGGGGGGGGGAGAGAGGATTCCAGCCAGGAGATGAATGCGATGAGGTTAGGGTGGCTGCCACTTACCGGGCACGCTTTAAAGGAAGTGCGGATTACTAGGCCTGAGACTGGGACAGGGCACGTGCTCGTGGCTTTACCTGGAGGAAGGGATGTGTAAACAAAAAGAAAGGGAGACGCCGCGTTGAGACGTGTTGTGTGAGGATGCAGCAATTGTTGGCCTGGTTAATGTGTGGGATTGCTGGTCGCATCACTCTCGACCCACCAGTCCCTGTGGGAGATCGCCCGTGGGTTGGCAAGGGTCCATGACATCAAGGCGTGGCCAAGCGCCGCAGACGCAAGTGCAAATGAAGAGCCAAGGCGGTGTTTGCGGAGACCTGTCTCCTGAGTACGGATCTGGCCGCTTCATCGCTGCGGCCAAGGCGTTTTGAGGGCCTTGTCTCCATGGAGAAAGAAACAAGATGCGACAGTGATGCGTGCGAGGTTCCGTCCGGGAAGGCTGAAAGCGGGCAAGCGAGATCTGGGGACTGAGGCCTGTCGTGGGGGGGGGGGGAGCGTGGCATGCTGAGCCAGCCATTTGTGAATGACATTATGTACGCAATACCAAACGCCCACCACGCCAGGTCCGCATAGCAGCGACTTCGGATGAACTGATTATTTCACAAATGAAACCATGTAACGGATACGAAGCGTTCAATGCGGGGGCGGATGGGATTCACCGAATTCGCTGTCCGAGTAATACATCTTATCGATAAGAGACAGCACGTCACGCGCGTCCGTGCTAGGTTGGCGCCTGCCTGTTCGTGAAGCTTCGTGAAGCTTCGAGAAGAGCCGCAAAACAATATGTCAGCACATTTACTTTCACTCCCCGTGACGCCGAGTCTTTTCGATACCATTTTCTTGAGTGATTACCTGCGCGCCGTTGTGATACCCACTCTGCATTTTCGTCGTCGAAACACTCACGATGTCTTCCCCCGCAGACCCCGTTGAGTTGGCGTGGTCCGCGCAGTTCACGGTCGCGCCTGCGTCTCGGACCAGCCAGCTGTCTGGTGACAAGATTCTCCTTCCTCCATCGGCGTTAGAACAACTGCTTGCCGCTGCCCCGACCATAACGATAGACCCAGAGCGGCCCCATATTACCGCTTTCGATCCCTTCAACCCATACACCTTCTCCGCTGAGCGGCAAGCACGAGCGCACTTCCAAGACCGCCTGCAACAGTTGCCGCATCCCCTCACGTTTCGGTTAGTAAATCCGGACAATGGCAGAGTCGTGCATGCTGGAATTCGAGAATTCTCGGCCGAAGAGGGGGAGGTGGTGTTGAGCAGCTTCCTAAGGGAAACGCTAGGTCTGGAAGGCGCGTCTGCCGAATCGCCGCCCAATGGCGGTCCAGATGGTCAGGGCGACGCAACGGCCAATGGTGTGGATCGGCTCAGCGTAGACGGAGCGGCTCCGCCTAAGATCACTGTCCATGCGAAACAGCTCTCGAAAGGTACTTTTGCAAAGCTGCGTCCCCTCGAGGCAGGATACGATCCTGAGGACTGGAAGTCGTTGCTCGAGGAACAAATTCGGTCAAACTTTACAACATTGACAAATGGGGAGGTCCTTGTGGTCTATGGTGGTCGAGGGCAAGATGGCAAGCGAGAAGAGTTCCGGTTCCTGGTCGACGGCTTCAAGCCCGAGGGAGACGGGATTTGTGTGGTAGATACAGATCTTGAGGTTGATATCGAAGCACTGGATGAGGTGCAAGCCCGTGAGACCTTGAAGAAGATAGCAGCTAAGGCCCAGCGAGCGCCTGGTACGACGGAGGGAAGTTCAGCGGGGGGTAAAATGGACGTGTTCAAGGGTCAGGACGGACAGGTGCTCGAGGGAGAGTACGTTGATTATGAGCTCCGGTCGTGGGACAGATCGCAGGGTCTGGAAATTTCACTGAGCGGTGTGGATGAAGAGGGCGAGGTCGATATATTCGTGAGCCCCTTCTCACCACGGCAGCGAGCATGGCCGAGAGAGGACGAACACGTCTTTGCAGAGTTCTCATGTCGATACCCAAAGCGAATACGATTACAGCCCACAAATGTCGAGCTGGAAGACGCGGAAGCCATACGGGTCTCTGTACACGCCTATCCATCAGAAACTTCATCTGCTACCCCCAAGAAATACAGCCTCCGCGCCCTGATATTCGATCCGAGATCTCAACCTCTGTCAGACGACACGTCCCCCGCCGAAACCGCGCACAGCCCTGAAGACGTGCAATGCAAGAACTGCCACCAGTGGGTTCCCCTATCCTCACTCTTCCTCCACGAAAACTTCTGTCTCCGAAACAACATCCTCTGCTCTCATGGGTGCGGCCAAGTCTTCCAAAAGCGCTCCCAAGCCTTCCAAAACCACTGGCACTGTCCCCACGACACTTTCAACGGAAACACAGTCCTCAGCCACCGAAAGCATGATGCACTCTTTCATACCGCACACCTCTGTTCCACATGTGGTCTAGAGTTCCCTTCAATCCCTACACTATCGCATCACAAGACAACCACCTGCCCTGGAAAGCTAATCCTCTGCCGATTTTGCCACCTCCAAGTCCCACAAGATGGCGACCCCTCGGAAGCTCCAAACCCAGAACTCCTCCTCTCGGGCCTCACACCCCACGAACTTGCAGACGGTGCCCGAACAACAGAATGCCATCTCTGCAACAAGATAGTCCGCTTCCGAGACATGGACACGCATCTCCGCCACCACAATCTTGAGCGCCTTTCTCGCCCCTCGCCGCGCATCTGCCGCAATATCAATTGTGGTAGAACCCAAGACGGTGCGGACAAGCTCGGCGATACTCGCGCAGGAATACGCAAAGGCCAGGGTCCGGGAAACGAAGTCGGACTTTGTAGCGTGTGCTTCGGTCCGCTATACGTCTCTCTCTACGACCCCGAATGCAAAGCTCTCCGCCGCCGCATCGAACGCCGCTACTTTTCCCAACTACTCACCGGGTGCGGGAAACCCTGGTGTAAAAATGAGTTCTGTCGCACGGGCAAAAAGAACACGGGACAAGGCGATAAAGCCGTACCCACCAAAGACGCGATTCCCCTTGTAAAGCCATTTCTCCAGGAAATGGGTGGCGGGGTTTATACCACTCCGCTCCATTTCTGCACCGACGAAGCGAGTCAACATAGGAGAGGCTTTGCGGAGTTATTGAGTGCTGAGAAAGGCATTGATGGGAAGGGTGGATTTGCGATGGAGTGGTGTGTAGCCGCACTCGAAGCCGAGAATGGTGATCTAGGGAAAGCGAGGGATTGGCTGAAGGGCTGGGCTCCGGCGAGGAGTGAAGCCGGTTCTGGATAGATAGACTCATCTAATAGGGGGATATGATTTTGGATATTAGATGACAAAACAGGGATAGAAAGTGATACTCGTTTGCAGCGTATTTAGATTCTCCTTAATTCCAGCAAGAGGTCGAGCTGGTGCAAACTGATCTATCAGTCCTTCTTGGTAACTAGGCGCGAATATGCTGAAGGATGCTATCACTATGCCAAAATCTAAAATCTAAAATCCAGATACTTAAAGTTACTAAACTATCGAGGTATCTATGCCAAACTGTAGAATGGAAACGAGACTCGACTCATATTCTATAAAGACATTTTCCATTAATAGCCAAGCGCCTCACTGAGCAAGTATAATGGCTCTCCAATCTCAAAGCACCCAATGACCAAAAAGGACCAGATACGAGATCAACACCTCGCATTCCCCTAAACAACCTCGGTAGCATGATACCTCTCCCTATACGCATCCCTCTTTTCAACCTCACCCACAGGATCCCTCGCCACTGTCTCAATAATATCAACCTTCGGCTGCTCATCATTCATCTCAATCTTGCCCGGCCGCCTCGGTCTAATGCTCGTCTTCTGCAAGATCGGATAAAAGTACGCTGCCTTCTGCAACTTGTTTGTGCGCAGAGGCTCCTCTTCATGACTATCTGGATCGTGCAAAGCAATGGCGATGTCGTTGTACGTGTTCTCCGGGTCCCCAGATTGCTGCGCTGTCTCGTATGTGCGGATGTGGTCGTATTTGAAGCATTTTCGCGGCCGGCCTTCTTCGTCGGCGCCGATGTCGAAGGGGATTGTGGATTCGTTGTCGGGATCGTTAGTTGTGAAGTTGCGTTTGATGCCCCAGACTTTCTCTCTGTCAGGGGGAAGGAAGAATTCGAATTGGTAGCGTGGAAGCGGGGACGGTGCTGTCGGGTCTTGTTTGTGCGCTTCGTATTCTTGGCGATAGAGCTCTTGGTCTTCGACTGTTTGGCCGACAGGACGGAGCAGTCCGACATCCAGACGATCGTCATAGGCGGAGTCGTTGACAGGCGGTGCCATGAATTTGTATAACATGAAAGAGCCTGTGTCGGGAATGGCATCCCAGTCGGGGACGAGAGGGTAGCTGTCTACGATATGTAGGCCAGTCTTGCTAGGATGTTTGGGGTTCTTCCACGCCTGCTTCTCTTCTGGTGAAATTTCTGCGCCTCGTAGCTGGGCAGAGGTTTCTGGGCCCGTGTATGCGTCAGAGGGATATGCAAGGTTCCAGCCTTTGATAATGTGCTTGATAATGTGTGTGGGATTGTCCTCCGAGGTCTCCCCCCTTCTTCGCTTTCCTCGCACACGCATTGTATTCGAGGAGTTGCTAGACTCAAAGCGCGAGCTGCTCGTCGTCATAGACGTGATATACTCGGTTCGGCGCAAGAAGGAGACTCCAGCAGACGATGCAGTCGGTTTGCCCAGCGCATTTGGTGGGCGCAGTAAGGCTCGATCCTGAGGGTGCAACTGTGGGTATGGCGCTGGTTGAATCGCTACACCATGTAAGCTCCTGAAAGAAACCTCAAGCTGTTGTCGAATGCTACATACTTGATTCATTTCCGTCAAAGACGCCCGGTAGACCAACCAGGTCAATGGGCATTCCTAACTCCGCATCCGCTTCTATATTTAATGACTGCTCTCGCGCAAGTCTTGACGCGAAGCCCGCTGAGGTGTATTGACCGCTAGAGAGGCCGGTATTCGGGATATCGAGGAGCTTGGGAGGGCATGGCGGTGGAGGTAGCGCGTTCGAATATCGAATGCGCGCAATGTAATCTTGATGGTACGTTGGTCTACCTGAGGAGGTCATGATGGCTGGTTTCGAAGAATTTGGATCGTGGGAGGGTGAAGGTTCTTTGAACGAAAAGAGTTCCAGTTGAAAGTCGAAAGTGAAGCTTGGAACGCGCCAAGTGTTTGCGGGAAAACGAATCGCCTTCACCAGCTCGGACTAAGCGGTGCTCTCACTTACGTTGAATTGCGACCTTGGAGTCTCAAAGGAGTTTATTTAAGAATTGCGTTAGTAGAAATGACCATCCTCATATATATTTCACTGAAGTGCTCTAACACAGATGTTCGGTATGCCATGCCCAAGAAGGTTCACTTTACCCTGCCCTTCCTCCACCTAACCACTGTCGTACTTAGAATCCCCACTATGAGAAGGCGCTGGCTACCACGGAAACATGCACTTATGAACAAGTATCCTGGCTCCGAGCTTTTCGTACTCATCCTGATTGACCCAGCTGTCATTGCCGCTTGGAGACAGCCTCCCAAAAACGCTTCCACCTTTCCACGCCACAACCTGCGGGTCAAACTCCCTTGGTGGAGGCCCGACTAATATCTCCTTCCCATAGAAAGGCCTCAACTCCCTAAGCCGAGTCTCGAGGAAAGTAAGAAGCGCAGGTGTCTTACTGCCGCCTCCGACAAGCATGATCCCTCCAAACAAATCTCGAAGCTTGCGGTCATCACCTCGGGCGCCCTGCGAAAGGCTTTCTAGAATGGCATGGTCCAAAGGCATGATCGGTACAACTTTGTCGCGCTCTTCGGCTTGCTTCGTTTTTTCTAGGACCGGGTCACGGAAGATCAAAGCCTGGTCAGAATCTCCTACGGGGGTGTCTCGGTCCGGATTTGGGGTACCCTCCGGCCCTGGTGATCCTGCTACAGATGATCGAGGCGTAAGTTCAGCCTCGTCTTTCAGGCGGCTCAGAAGATTGAATTGCTGTGAGCGGTTTGGCGTCGAATTGAGGGCAATAGAATTGGACGATGAATCCTGTGTGCTATTTACGGAGGTAGATTTTCCTCCCACTGCTTCAATGACAGCTAATTGAGCGGATGATATAGGGTCGTTTGGGGATCCGTCATAAAGGTCAACAGAGCGAGGTATGACCTTCCTTCGGCCCTCTAACTTGCTAGATTGGTCGAAAATTGAGGGTTTAAACAGACCCTGCACAATGGTTAATAATGACGACAGGCTTGCGGAGGGTCATCTTACCATGACCGAGAGCATAGTCTCATCGTAGGTCTTGAAATGATAAAGTCTTGTATCCTGTCCCGAAGCCCGTAAGTGGAACTCTGCCGGCTTTACGGTAACATCAGCCTCGTCCATGGAGCAGTACTTCTGCTTCAGCTCTTCCGCCAGCAAAAAGTCGTACCGGCGTTTCAGGTTTATCTCCGCGTACGGAAAGTGATCGTAGAGCATCATCTTGATGAAGGTTTCCGACACGTCCGCTCCACCGATTTTAATATTGATGCGTGACTCCTCAATGCAAAGACCTTCGTCAACGCAGCATATCGACGTCTTCTGAGCTCCAATATCGACAATGCAAGAAATTGAATACCCCGCGCCAAAAGTAGCTGAAAGGCTCTCTTGCTGTAGACACACTTTGCCTACCCCTAGATCCCGAATCAAGATGTCCAGCATCATTTCCACATATTTACGCTCATAAAGGTCAGGTATCAGGAAGACACACTTGTAGTTGGCCAGATCCTTTAGCCTCGTGATTCCAAGCTCCCGTTTGAAAGCCTCCTCGTAAATCTTAGAAATGTCGTGGTAGATTTGATTTCGATCACGGTAGTCTTTCTCGTTGAGGGCGCCATTTCGTATGGGCCAGAACAACTTGTATCGAGGATTTGATGCCTCGGGTATTCGAAGCGCCGCTTGCCCAGTTAAAAATTCGGGTGCCTGCTTTGGATTCGGCGGCAATTCCGTCCACTCGATCCTATTCACGTCGTTGTGTTCCGAAATCTCTTCGTGAGGAGTGCGTCGATTGAAGTTGATAACTAGCTCCTTGGAATTTGGAAGGACTCTGCGCTTGTTGTGACGCATCCTGGTCCGCAATTCCGAGCACATCGCTTGATATTGATTGGCAAACTAGACACACTGTTAGTTTCTTGCTAAGCGCGAGCCATACTGTAAGTGGGAGGTCACGTACATCTTCACCAAACCACTTCTCCGGATATGCAGATGCAGGAACCACTCCGTCGACCTTTAGGCGTTTTGGGCTAGGCTCTCCCCCGTCCTCCTCTGCTTCGTTCTCCTTCCATTTTCGTGCGATAGCCATTGGAACGGTCTTGGGTAAGGCATCGGTACCCAAACCTATCCTCAGATTCTGGCTGCCAGGGTGTAGGATAATGAGCTTTGAGAGGTACGCTTCTTTCGTCGCAACTGAAGCTGTGGTCTCTTCCGCCACACCCTCTTCATTGACGGCCACGAGTCCTTGTGCTTGGACTCCTAGCGCTAGTGCGCGATCTTTATCTCTCGCTTCTTGGATCATGCGATTTCGGGCTTCTTCCTCCTGGGTTCGGAAGGCGAGATATTGATCTTCGCGCTTCATGAACTCTCTATTATGGGATTAGATAGATTTCTGGTCAAGAATGCCACGTTACGTACGTGTAGTAGTTTTTCTGGTTGATCGGGGCAACCTGCGGCCAGGATGTGGTTTCCATGTTGTTGTCCGTCCGCTCGAGACCTACATGCCATATCAATAGAGCTCAGCTTAAGTGGATTCCGCATTCTTACCTTCCTCTCTCATCAGAGCCCTCCCCGATTTCTTCCCAACCATTGTGACGGACGGTGAACCTTCAACAGAAGAGTCTTTCACTTGGGAGTGTTTACTGCCAGCTCTGCCAGATCTACCAAAAGGCCCTACACGTCCTTCTTTGTGGTCTTCTCTGCCAGCACCCCCGAAGTAGCAAGAATATTTATCTTCGTTGCCTCTTTCCGCGAGTAGAGCCCCTGGCTACCCGCTACCTAAAGACCCCGATTTCCCTTGTTCTCAGTCTTCAAGGTCTGTTATGCCTAAGTTGATGCCGGCTTCGGCTTGGTATAGCCTTGCAAATGCCCAACGTCTCTCGAACAAAAGCGGTCGTCGTCAAACAAAGTGAGCGTCAAGTCGCAATCGAGGACGGATCTACTTTGTGTCGTTAGGTCAGAGCGCTTTGCCCTAGCTCAAGACAGTGGGTTTTCCGAATTCGGTGGCTGTCAAGGTCGAAATGCTGCGCAGAATCGGGAAGGGACGAGGGTAAGGCTCCTTGACGGTTTTTCGGTTGTTAGGGTAAAATGTACCGGCGTGGACAGGTGCGCTGGTTTCTTGGGTGGTGTGTGTGCCTCGTTGCTGACACAAATTATCGTGGGGTGACCATGGGAATCGTACGAAGCGCCGTTGGGATCATCAATGTGACTGTCAGGGTTGAGAGTGGAGAGGTGGTGCTTGCAGATGCTTCCGTTATTGTTCTTGAACAGATGGCCAGCTCCCCTACGATTGGTCCGCGGCGCCATGTTCGGCAACGGAACGATATCCACCCCAACCCACATTTGACAAAGTGGCAGTGGATGTAAAAGCCACTTCATTCTCTATAGCATAGCAAATATATTTCCTTTGCGTGAGTTTGGGTGGTAGTATAAACATTCATGGTTCAGGAGGAGTAATGGCTATGGTGGCTTTTGATTGGATGGACAGCATAGAACATAGTTACGGCAAGGTCTACCTGTTAAGATTCTTTCTGAAATCAGGAAGAACTTCAAGAGGATGCAAGGTTCTGTCCTAATTTACAAATAGCCCCTCCCATGTACGATATTAGATGAAAGTATGTGATGGTTTCCACATCACGTGATTTTGAGATTGTCAAGCAGAACATCACCCTAAGTGACGGAGCACGATGTGCGATACCAGTACTAAAAGTTCTATATTACCCAAGATGAATGTTTATCAATGCAATGCACTCCAATGATCATCACGCAAGTACATACGAAAGCAAGCCTCAATCACCAGACTCTCGTGTTAGGCCACAGCCTGAAAACCCGTGGAAGTTATATCCGTTCGGGAGATGTCTCATATCCGGCATCTCCAGATAAGATCTTGTCAGATTTGGTGTGTTATGGTCGCTATACACAGCATCAATGCTGTTGATTTGCCCTGCACTTCCAAACCACAGTGGGTCGGCATTCCACTCACCACTAGCCGTAGCGTTTGGTGAAGGAGTTTCTCCAACCTGCTCTGGAGACCGGCCCTCGTAAGCCTCGGATTCAGATTGCTCATACATGATTGAGTGTCCTTGAGACGCGTTGTCTGAATGGATTTGTGGCGCGGAAGACGGCACGCTCATCATTCTGTGTCGGTGTCGATTCAAGATGAACTCCGGGTTTGGCTTCTCAGGTATTGCCTTGACCAAGACACCGGTAGATGTTGCAAGCATGCTGATTGCTCGCTCAAGGAAATCGGCAGACTTTGACGACAACCGCAGGGTCCAACGATATTCGTCAAGTTTTGCTTTATACAGATCTGCCTCTTCTTTGTCTTGTGCTGTTGCCCATAGCAAAGATGTGAATGTTCCAATCAGAGCAAAGCAATACTTCGAGGCTGAATACCAGAAGGATTGAAGGTGTTCAGGACGAAGGCTCTTCACAAACTCCATTGCCGATTTGAGGCGGGCATTGGCGGCTTGACGGCAGATTCCTCTGAGTGATGGGTCGTCGACCGAAGAAAGGGAGCGAATGATCTGGCGATGAAGCGTTATTCCAACGGCATAATAGCCCAGGTGGAGATATCCTAGGATAATTATGAGCCTACCTTTCAGACACAAGGGATACTAAATATACCTGTTGAAGATAACTTTCTCATAGTAATGTCCTCCATCCTCAGAGAAGGTGGCAGATTGTCGAACCAGTGTTTGAGGGACGACTGTATCGGGTTTGCTTTTTCAAGCAACCAACGTACACCTTCCTGTGCACGTTGCCTAAACTCTTCCTCAGTCTTCAGAGTGTAGAAATTTGACAATATGGAACCAAGAATCTCAGTAAGCTGTATCATTTCGCAGAAAAGTGCGCGACCTTTCTCGACTTCGGTACTACCGTCTTCGTTGTCTTCATCGGCCGCATTCTCGGGGAAATCGTCTTCATGAAGCGGTTGGACAGCCCAATCCGAAGCTATTATGTGTGATGGCCGACCATGCACAAGAGCTCCCCACTTGTCCTGCATGAAAAGAGCCCACGCCAGTCGTTTCCGCAGTCCCCGCTCCCAGGATGGAATCCTCCAGCTTGAACAATCCAGATGGAGGCCAAGATCCTGCCCGATTCCCACTAGCTGTGTAGTTAAAGCCCAGGAGTCGCCTTCTGGCCGCTGAAGTAAAAGAAGGCCAGCTTGAATCGTCGAGAGTTTTGGTCGGTGTATTATGTCGTTCATCGTTTTGAAAGCCAACTTCTCCAGCCGTGGCACGTCGGGTTTTGGGAGCAAAGCCAGCTCACTGCTATACGTCCACCAGTTCAAAGCTAGGATGTAGACTGCAGCAAGTAGTGGCGGAGAGAATTCCCGATGCGTCCGCTGGTATTTTTCCAGAAAAACCCTCTTGTGCAAGATGGGAAAGCTGGGATGCACAATCCGGAAATATAAGTGTATCAAGGCTTGACCATGAGGAGCGACTAAGGTCTCGATTGCATCCAGGTCTAGGATCTCATCTTCATGGTTTCTCGTACCGTCGTCCGGAGACAAAACAAAAGCAGTGTCGAGAGCATTAACCTTTCGTAGAGCTGAAAGGCCAACCGGCACTTCCTCTTTGTTATGGTAGTCGTTAAGCTCCAGGAGTAGTTGTTCATATTGGGATGTCGAGCCTATTAGGCGGCTATGTCGGTGATTTTGCAATCCCAGCGTCTTCTTTAGAAGGGAGGGTCCTTTCAGATTGGCGTAGTTGTCGACTGGTTGGTCTTGACGAATCTTCGGGGCATCTGCAGGCGAATATCCCGGAACCCAAAGCTTTTCCTGTGTTGGAGGTGGAGCGCGGCGCGGAGCCTCCCCTTTCGAGTTGTGCTCTTCTTCACTCAAAGATGCCGCCTTCCGTTTCCTTGGCTGGGGATCTTCCAGAAAGGTACACTCTTGGCGATGAAATCGACACAAGACGCAAGGAGGGGCGCCGTCCACTATCTCGCATCGCGATTTCCTGCGCCGGCACGAATCACAGGGGCGGCGGGACCTTGTTTTACTCGCCCCTGTAGCATCATTCGGGGCCGTATAAAAGTCGTTTGGAGAGATTGATTGAGTAGGACTGAAGTTCATCATTTCATTTGAGCTCTGTTATTCTGATTAGCTCCATAATATTACTATCCTTAAAGGAAGAAGGAGAAGAGCATGGATGGAACTGAGGTGAATGTGGAAAGTTCCATGTGAAAGTAGCAGCAAGCCATTCAGCCAGAATGAGGCTTCAAAAAGCAAGTGACCGGGCACGTCAGGGGGCTACCATGTGTCACCAAGCACTTGGGCGTGCGCCTATTCTAAAGAAAATATTTCGCGTCTCCAATGACATGCGGATAGGATGATCGCTGTTTAGGAGGGTTTACAGAAGAGGGTGGAAGGTAATTATCCTTGTGAGGAACTTGTGTGTGTTTAATGATTCCCTTCTTCTGCTAGATTCTAGCCAAAATTGACAACGGGGAAGTGTATTCGTTAAGACTTCATGTTGAGCTCAAGGCTCGATAAAGTAACGCATACAAGAAGGTGGCCACTTACCTATTGCACGGAACCTGGTGATCTCGGGAGTGAAGATCATACGAAGCCTGGCCCGATCTGGAATAGGCGTGTCATGCTCAAACTGGTCTGCGTGGCGGTATCGGCAAGCTATAGGAGACGGTCGAATGATCTCGCTGGAGTGTGCCAAAAGCGGTGTTGAAGCGTCAAATTTTCACAGGGAACAGGGCACTGATGAGGAATGTATTTGAAGAAGAATTGCAAACAAGGCGGAGCTTTAATGTGTATCCAGCCCCGTGGTGCTGGAAATCTTTGGCTGGCTCGGTGATGTGGGGTGGGGAATAAGATACAAGCCAGATACGGAGGGAAGAGACCGGAGGCATTTGTGCAGGCCGGCCTTGGACATGGAGAAAAAACAGCGTGGTGGTGTCTTGAGGTAAAGATAAGATGTTGAATGACTGGACCAATCATCCAACTACATTAGCGAAAATTACATCAGCCACACTGCTAATAGTAACATCTGACCAGCCTCTCGCCTGAGCCCTCATCCACCAGAAAGGTTACTGGACAGGGTTTAACTAAACAATAGTGGTCATTACAATCCCATAAGTCCTTACTAGACAACTCCTTAGCGTTAAACTTATTCCCCGTCGCATTCCTTCATTTAAACTTAGTCAGTCATGTTATTTACGCGGTAGTGTACGGCATCTCAAACCATAGTCGCAATCTCCTTCTCCTTCGTGACATAGCCATCCTTGGAATTAGAATTGGAATCGGTGTCCTCTCCTTTAACGACAGGGGTTGTCTCTTCACTGGTCTTTGGTGGATACGCAGCCTCTTCGACGAGGGATTCGGTCGGGACAGAGATGTAGGTGCAGATAACATAATGCACCAGGAAGGAAAGCGTGAATCCAAAAATCCAGGCAAAAGTATAAATCTTCCAGGCGCCTCCCACATTAAGAGTGTTCTCGATGGATTTAGCGAATCCTGGCATAAGCGGGGCGAAGCCGATTATGAAAGAGGCGTATGCACGCCAGTTAACGCCATGTTCATACCAGTAGATACCGCGGTCGGTATAAAGCTGATCAACATCGAGTTTCCTCTTCTTGATGATGTAGTAGTCGCAGACCATTGTTCCAGCAAGAGGACCCATGAGGCAAGAGTAACCGGAGAGGAATGCAAGAAGTCCAGAGGCGTTCTTGATGATATTCCATGGTGTTGAGATTATACAGAAAAGGGAGATGAAGCAAGTTGCCCGAAAGATGTTGATGTACTTGGGCGCCATTCCCGTGATGTCGTTGGAGAATGGATACGTTCCAGCGGCGATCTGGTTGCCAATTGTTGCCAGGATGAAGCTGGCCGCGGTGAAAAACTTAGCAGCTCTGCTATCGAACTTCGCGATGACCAAAGGCATGTACCATTGGAATTCGCCCCACAATACCGAGTGAGCACTGGTGACAAAAATAGGAGTGAGGGCACCCAGCGTTCCTTTGCAAATTTAGCCAGAGAGTTAAAACAATTCACAGACAAACGTACCAATAATCGGAAGCGCCATAAATTGGTGACCGCCTGCGAGATTGTTCTTCGAAAATCGTCCGAAGTCAGGCATATTGACAGCAAGGGAGCTGAAAAGACCAATCATGACATTCAGACCCGTCAAGGCCGAGTAGGCGGTGTTCATATACGTAGAAGTGAGTTCAACCTTGCCGGTAACAAGTGGTCCGCCACTATCATCTCATCAGCATGTATGTTGCCGAGCCAGATTTAAGAACTTACCCCTTAGTGACAATGACGGCCCATAGGAACAAAGCTAGGAAAGTCGGGGGCACGACTACACCTTTGACCCAGAACAAGATTCGAAGCTTTTGGATAGGCATAAGAGCAAGCCCTGTCTGCATGAACCAATAAAGAAACACGCAAAGCAAGCCGGCGGCTGAGACTATATTAGACCAATTCTTCAGGGTTTTGCAGCAGACAGCATACAATCAATACCCGCGCTTTCGGGAAGATGGTTTGGAAAGCTTATGAAACTAGGCCAAATGGCTTCAAGGCAGCGCTGGAGGAAGTTTCCAGCTTGGACGGTAAGGATCGCAGTCCACATAAGAGCGACAAATGCTAATATTCGTATGAGTTTATGTCATTCTAATGGTTGTGGGAAACGATACCTCGAATACAGATAGCAGGAAACGACCCGTACATCCCGAAAACGGATCGAACAATGACAGGGAACGGGACATGGTAGGTAGAACCTATTACTTGATTAATGTCCCCTTCGAGGGAAACGCTAAGGATCTTTGGAGAACCCAGTTTGACGCACCCATCTTGCCTGTCAAAGTAATCACCACACTACAGATGAGGAATCCAAAGAAAACAATGGGGATTGTCTCTCTAGCAGTGAAGCCCAAGCTCATCACACTAGAAACCGTAGCCGCGAGAGGAGGGGCGAGCATATCAGAGCACCCTGATCCAGTAATTAGACACCATATCATTGAACTCTTTAGAGATTGAAGGAATTGCTTACAATATGCCCAGTAGTCGATGCCGCCCCATGTCCTTTCTGCAGGAGGAATCGGGTCAAGGTCTAATTACAAGTTAGCGGTTCCAAGACAGGTCGGTGTTAGGTAGTACAGCAAGTTATCAATTAACATAGAATATGATTAGGGTGGACTTAATCCGCTCAACCCCTTGCTGGAATCGAGGAGAATGTCAATGGGATAAAAAACATATCCTGAAATGCCCGATTGTCATGTTCTCCATTACATGGCGAGATGTAGTAGCAGAAATCTTACCCTTGTTGGACCATCGAGAGCCATACTTTCCACTCTCAAACGGTACCCTCAACCGGAAGTGAGGAGAAAGCCTGGATTTGAGAACAGACATGGTTCGACTGGGTAAAGACTTTGCCCAGAATCCAGAAGAAGCAAGGCCGAGCAAAAAAGACAAGTTCAACCAAGGGTTGAATTGCTCGATGGAATGAACATTGGTTTACCTGGGTCCCTTGCAGCTACATATACTCACGCATATTGAGCATACTGTCTCAAGTCATGTATGGAGTTGAAGCATTAGATATCTTTAAAAACAGAAGATAGGGGCCTACGGCGCCGCCTTAGCGCCGAGTCGAGTCCGTCTGGCTCTTGATATGCAAACACCTGTAGTGAGTCGCCTGCACTACCTGGCTCTCGACATGCACAAACCTGGTGCAGTTCCATCGAATAGCGTTCAGGGCTAAGCGAATGTGGCGAAATTTTCGTGGGGTAGGGCTTGAGCTGGAAAGCTGGTCGGAAGAGAATTGGTGTGGCCCGTGTGGAAGAGTGTTGATGTCAGACTGTCAGTTGCACGTGAGACAGCGCCATTCGATGAATTCATCCTAGTGCAGAAGCGCCCCAGATAAAGACCCTAAACCCCCTCAGTTTACCCTCCGGCTACGGGCGGCGGCCGGAGGCCAGCTGCAGCAGCAACGCGGGGGAGTTTTGATATCGTTGGAGCTTTATCTGATAATTGTATCAAGCTCGTGTCGGCGAACAGTCGCTGCTGGGGTTTCAGTCTTTCCCATTATTTTCAGTCGTCACAGCTGCGAGTCAAACCCTCCTCCATCATCCAGAGTCTATCATCTTTGTACCTATTTTAGAAACTCTTGTACTCGTTGCTAATATGTCTTCGACTAAAGATGTCCTTTCAGTCCTATCAATCGACGCGAAGCCATACATATATTCCTTTCCCCTTCAACATACCGCACTCCTCGTGATTGATATGCAAAGAGACTTCTTGCTCGCAAAAGGCTTCGGGGAGATTCAAGGAGGTAATTTGGAGGCCGTCCAGGCTTCGATTACTCCTACCAGGAAGCTACTTGAGGCATGTAGAGGTGCTGGGATGACTATTGTACACACTCGTGAGGGCCACGTTCCCGACTTGTCGGACTGTCCGTCCTCGAAGCTTGTCAGACAAGCTGCTACTCCCAACAATACACAGCACAACCTCATCATTGGCGATAAGGGTGAGCTCGGACGACTTCTTGTGCGGGGAGAGTACGGTCATGACATTATTGATGAATTGAAACCGCTTCCTGGAGAGGTTGTGATTGACAAACCTGGAAAGGGCTCCTTCTGGAATACGGCCATCTTGCACAAACTAAAAGCTCGAGCAATTACCCACCTCATTGTCTCTGGTGTCACGACAGAGTGCTGCTTTGCAACTTCCATCCGAGAAGCTAATGACCGTGGATTCGAATGCTGTGAGTTCCAACGACCTAACTGGCATGCCAAATCGCTGACAGCCTGTAGGTGGTATCGTGGAGGCTACAAGCGGTTACAACGACAGCAATTTCAAGCAATGCAGTCTTGACATGATCCATTGGTCTCAAGGTCTCTTCGGCTTTGTCGCCAACCTCCAACCCCTCCTGGATGCCCTCACACCTCTTGGAATCCAAAGCGTCACCGGCAGTTCCACTCCTCCACAAACACCCCCAGACTTTGATGGCAACCTTACAATTTCCAGTCTCCAAAAAGCATTCAAGAACGGCCTTTCTCCAGTTACAGTTATCGAGGCGCTCTACAACAAAATCGAAGCCTACCATAGGGTCGATCCTGCCGTATGGATCTATCTCGAGTCTCGAGAGAACGCACTTGATGCCGCAAAAGCCCTCACAGTCAAGTACTCTGATAGAAGCGCCCTTCCACCCCTTTTCGGGGTTCCATTCAGTGTCAAAGATAGTATCGATATTACAGGCTTGCCTACCACAACTGCCTGTCCACCACTCACCCATGTCCCTTCAGCTTCTGCCGTCGTCTACGACAAATGTCTCGCTGAAGGTGCCCTTTTCATCGGCAAGACCAACCTAGACCAATTAGCAACTGGCCTTACAGGCTGCCGCAGCCCTTACGGTATTCCCCACTCTGTCTTCCACAAAGACTACATCAGCGGCGGTTCCAGCAGCGGCAACGCCGTGAGCGTAGGCGCAAACCTCGTTTCCTTCTCACTTGCAACTGACACCGCGGGCTCCGGTCGCGTTCCGCCCGGATTCAATGGAGTCGTAGGCTACAAACCTACACGAGGCACGATTTCATTCCGTGGTGTAACGCCCGCTTGTCTGTCCTTGGATTGCATAGCACTCACCACGCACACCATTTCAGACGCAAGATCTCTCTGGCAGATCCTTGAGGAATACGATCCCCTAGACCAGTATTCCAAACCCGTCATTTCCTTTGAACGACACATCAACTCCATCGGCCCACAAGCCCGAGCCTTCAAATTCGGGATCCCACCCCAAAAAGCCCTTTCTCTGTGTTCCTTCCCACATCGCCGCAAATTCAATGAAACCGTCGCCACGCTGCAAAAACTCGGGGGTGTGCTCACACCTATTGACTGGTCACCCTTTCAAAACGCCGGAAAGCTTCTTTACGACGGGACATTTGTTTCAGAGCGGCTCGCCTCATTACCAGACGACTGGCTAGGCAAAAGCCGCTCATTACTACACCCAGTTATTGTGCAATTAATGGATGCTGTTGTTGAACGGCAAAGCACCGCCGTGCAAGCATATCGCGATCTCCAGGCCAAAGCAATCTACACCCGACAAGCCGAACAAGTGTTCTCGTACTCAGCGACTGGGATTGATGTCCTCGTTGTGCCTACTGCGCCTACACATTGGAAGATATCGGAAGTGCTTGCAGATCCGATTAAGAAGAATAGCCATCTCGGCGAGTTCACGCATTGTGGGAATGTGCTCGATTTGTGCGGGGTTGCTGTTCCTGCGGGTACTTACCCTGTCAAAGAGCTCAGTGGGAATGAGGCTGATGAAGGTGAACTCCCTTTCAGTGTGACTTTCCTTAGCGGGTCGAGGATGGATGCGGAGATGTTGGAGATAGCGAGGAGGTTTGAGGAGAGTATGAAGGAGAATGCTTGCTAGCATTTAGGTATTTATTTGGCCAAGCATTGGGAAGGAGCTCGATGACATGACGTTGCCTTTTGTTTCTGGTCGATACTTCCATGAATTTGTTTGACAGCCACGAGTGATCATCCCTAGCAAAGCGACCAGTATAGTTAAGCGTATTTCTTTATTGATGCATATTGAACGAGCTGTCTATCTATTTTAGTAATGATGTAAATAGCATTCCATTTAACTTTCAGTGCACATTAGAGAAGGCGCGACAATCACAACACGCCTGTTGCGCGCACTCTCCACCTTACATATACGTGAACTACTGTGCAACGTTAGTGGGACTGAATTGATTATTCTAACATCTTGCTAGGATCAGGGAGAACATAAACGGGATGCATACATCTGTTCAAGATCACCCCACTCCCCTGTCATGTTCTACGTTAGTACAATGCAGAAGAAACACTACATGGGTGGACTAAGATGAATGGAAGGCGGAGAGCGACTAGGGTTTTTAAAGAACGTATCTATTGCAGGTGACAGAGTAATTCCAGAGACTCGTGCCGCATAATCACATCCCATCCCAAGTATTCGCTCCCGAACGAGTTTCCACCTATTGCATCGCAGAAACAACTTATCCTCCACACTTTTCAATTCAATAACCACCAACCTGAAAAAGGCTTCCTTTTTGACAACCTCTCTCCCCAACCAATACAACACTCACATCCAAACTCAAACTCACAAGCCCTAATCAAAGAATAGAATGTGCTTCATAACTATGTCATATGCCATTATCACAAAAAGTGAAAAGCTGTTCTTTCAATGGTGTGATGAGGGTGTGCAGTAGGGTTTCGAACTCGAACCAACAAGGGAAAAAAAACGCCGTGTAGCTCCGCTGCCCGCCTAACCCCCACCCACCAACCCGGCTATCAATCCACTTCAGCAGACCATCTACTTAGCATCATAACATCTAGCAAGGAAAGAGAGGATCGTAAGTAGGAAGACGAGACCAAAGAGCTCAAAAGCCGTGCCAAAGTATCATCTGTAGCATACCTTCTGCACTCCATTCCCATTCATCCTTTCCGGCAAAGTCGGAACTTCCCGTGCTAGGTCCAGGTCTTTCTGCGAATCCGCCTCCGCCTCCGACGCTGAAATCAATGTCACCGATGCATCCAGATTCGAATCCCTGTACTCCCCCGTAAACCCGTGGTATATGGGAGTGAGTATATAGGCAACCACGTTACCGAGTTTTCTTAACTTCCGTCGCCCACCCCTCAATCCCATCTCCTTTACTCCCAACCGGAATATTGAGCTTAACATCATCCATGCCTTTCGTCGCATCCAAAAACTCATGGCCTGTCATTCCTCCCGCGTTCGCCCTATCCACAGGTAACAACTCCAACATTGGCAACAAGAACCCGGCAATCCTCTTCGCGTCCTCGACAGGGAAATGATATTTCTCGTGCAGGACATCCGGAAGTGCCCAGTGACGTAGACGGTGAATATTGCGGAGCTCGCCCTTTCGGTTGAAAATTTCCTGTGACCATTTACCGGACATGCAGAGCGATTTGGGGAATGTGCCGAGGAGCTCGATGATCTGTGCGATGTGGTCGTCGTCCTTGCCGTATTTGGTACCTGATTGGGGATCGAAGAGGTAGTCCCCGGTGATGAGTTCGAAGACCTGATTGGAATTAGTCCTTGAACATGGTTCAGAGGGCGGGGCGCAACGAATTCATACCATTGCAGCCATACTCCAAACATCAGTACTAGCACCCCACTTGCTGCCCAGAATGACCTCCGGGGACCTGTACTGCCTAGTCTGGATATCATTGGTGAAGTGATGCCCAACCCAACAGGCATTCCCAAGATCTGCAATCTTGACTGAGATCGTTTCGACGGCGAGGGAGGCATCTTCAGCCATTTTGTCTGGCGAGGCATTGGTATTTGAGGAGGCACTGGATTTATCGAGGCTGATGCCGGAGACTTCTTTCGTCAAGAGGTCACTACAACATAGAGGTGAGCCGAAATGAAGGGGATCACAAAGGGTGCACGGCTTACGCAGTCTTTTCTCGCTGCTTCTGGACATCTTCGTCGGTCGTAGGCTGCTTAATACCGAGTCGTTCTGCCATTGACAGGCCGGATGACGGTGAAGAAGTGCCTAGAGCACCACTCATTACAACACCGTCTTTCGGAGGTGGAGCTAGCCCAGCTATGGGGGATTCTTTACCTGTACTCTCACTCATGATCTTGTTTAGACTCTGGGTGCTGCCGGGGAAGTTTGCGAGATCGGAATGGCTGAAGCTGGCGTTAAGGGGACTCGGCAACGGCTGGCTGCCGGTAATCAACGTCCTCCGTCTCCGCCGGCCATTCCTGTTGTTATCATCCTCGCCCTTCTTCTTAGGTTCGTCATGGACGTATGTTTTGACGATTTGCTCGACGTCTCCAATCTCAATGAGGACGTTCTCAGGCTTGAGGTCGGTGTGGATGATGCCGCATTCCCGATGCAGGTAGTCGAGGCCGAGTAATACTTGTTTCGTGATCTGTTTGACCAGAGGCATGGGAATCCCCCGATGATTCCATCGCTTTATTAACCCCAGTAGATTTTCTCCGAGCACCTCAAACACCATACATACATGGACGCCGTTGGGGCCTTTATGGTTGAAGGAATCGAGAAGACTGACGACGTGCTGGCGGCCCGGATGGTCTTTATTCGCATCGACAACCTTCTTGAGGAGCTTGATCTCGTCGAGGGCGGTTTCGGTGTAGTGTGCAGCGGATCTGACTACCTTGAGGGCGACGTGCTTCTGGGTGATGTTGTCTCTGGAGAGCCAGACGGTGGAGAAGTGACCCCACCCGAGCTTGCGCACGACCGTGTACTTGCCGTCCTTATACTCCTCTCCAACAGAGACCGGATGGTAGCCGCCCTTACAGTAGTCCTCCGAGTCCTCTTCGTCGGCCGTGTTCTCTGCTTCGTCGACCGACGAGGACGAAGACGAGGGCGAGTGGCTTAATTGGTTTGTGTACGAGACTTTGTGGTGTGAGAGGGGGGATGCCGTGTTTTGCACGCTGCGCGCCGCCATGGTCAGTTCGAGGGCGTCAGTGCTGGAGGTTGTGACAGCACAGAGGGGTAGTGTAAAGGCAAGGGGACGGGGGAACGTACGTGAAATGAAAACTGCTCGCAGAGGCAGGTGAAGCGTCCTGGCTCTTCTGCTGCTCGGTGGTGATAATGGGCTTCAGGTCCTGCCCCTTCCGCCGCTTCTTGCCGCTGTTCCCGTTCGCTGCCTGCGCGACCTGCTTCGCCTTGTTGATGGCCGCCTTTTTGATATCAGTGCCATTCATCATGGGCGACTTCCCCGCCACCGGCGACGAGACCGCCGGACTGCGAAAGCGACGAGGGTGTGCTACTAGGAGAGAGGGCGATCAGGAGATCGGGACGCGTCGGGCTGCGCTCATGGGACTTCGAGAAGGATAGCAATCAAGGGACTGTGAAGGCAAGGCCAGCGCTCGCGGCCGTGGTAGCAAGATGCGACGATTTCTCAATTGCTGGTGATCGGCTTAGCCGCTCGTCTCGTCTGGCCTATCCTGGCACGGACTCCCCTGATTGGCTCTGGTGGTCGTGTTTGTTCGACTGTGCTCTTGGACTCGTTGCTGCGTTGGGGGGCGGCTCTGGGCGGGGATCAGGCCGCGGTTTGTTCGATTGTTGCGGGAGGCGCGGGCAGACACTCGGTGCAAGATGCAAGACACTGAAGACGCCGGGGTTGCGAAGCTGGCGGGCGCTGAGATCCTGCTCGGAGGCGGTAAGCTGCTGCTACCAAGCTGGCCAACTCCAGCCAACAGTGGCAGACTATGATGCAACAGCCAGGACGTGAAACGACGAGGGCAGCGCCCGCCCCGCCAGTCTTTGGCTCTTTTCTTCCACCAGCAGCACGCCGTAAACTGCTTAGGGATGGAATTATTCACCGCGGCGTTGGCACTGGGTAGGCCCCCCTGCCATTCCCGCTGATTCAAAGCATAATGCTCGCTCATGATTTGGGCACCAGTGGCCTTGGAACCCTGGAATCGCATTCGGTGATAGTGCTAAAAACCAGATCGTCACCCAATGTGTCGCTCAGTCAATTCATCTGCACGACAATCTCACTGCAGGCTGTGCCCTCTGCTGGGAAAGTAAGCCATCTACTTCATCATAAACAGCTTCCCACAACATGAACTCATCAAATCTAGATGCCATTGCGCATTCGCTAATCCGATCCACACAGGTCCAAAAATATCCATACATTCCTGATCCTCCATGTGTCCTATAATACAGTAGCAATATATGCGGCTGGAATTGTCTCGACCCATTGAACCGACTCTGCACGCAATCAATCTCATATGCTTAACCTAGGGGTTTCCGAACGTCTCACACTGTGAAACCGCACCTAGCTCCAACAAAGACTGACATAGGGTGCTTGACCATCATCTTTGCACTACCGTCCACCTGTGTATTAAACATTTTGATAAACCCAGCACCGACCGCTTTGAGAATGCAAATCAGGGTAGACGAAATATTTGACCACAGTATGAAAGGGGACAGAAAACGCTTTCAGCAAGAGAGGTCGTAACTCGACAGGATTGACATGGCCTACCTGGCGGAGACCGCTGCCATCCATTTCTGTTCGTCTTTCCTGTTCACAGTTAGTAGTTGCTTTGAGATGGGTATGGTATGTACGCACTTGTCGAAGTGAAGAAGCATGCCGAGTACTGGGATCAACTGTTGTTGATATTTCTTGTCTCTTTGTTCGAGGAACTGCAAGAGGACATTCTTTAGATACACGTAGTCCACGCTGCCAGAGGCTCCGGCTTCTCCACTCTGGCCAGAGGGTGCCCGAGACTTTGGCGCAGGAGAAGCGAGTCGAGATCGCGAAGGGGACGATTCGAGTGACGTTCTTGAAGACTCCACATTGGTGTCGAGAACTCGTGTTTTGGCCGCTTGAATCGCCCGAAGCTCTTCCGACATTGACTGTTCATTGTTAGTGCTTCACAAATCTAAATTCGTGGCATTTCTCACCTTGCTAGACTTCTGAAGCTTTTCTAGCCGGCCCTGTGTCTCGTCGAACGCACGGCGGAGGTCGGCTTTCTCTTTCTCCAAGTCTCGCACTTGCCTTTCGCTATCGTCTAAGGCATCTCGAAGTTGGCCCATGGCCAATTTGACCTCAGCAACTTCTTCATTGGCTTGGATGGCGCGACGCTCCGAATCATCCTTCTGTCTACGTAACTCTTTTTCAGCTGACGCAAGGTCGTCCTTCTCGTCGACCGCTCGTGTAACAGCACGCTCTGCGTCACGAATCTTTTGTTTCAGCTCCTCGAGCTCCCGGACGCGCCGTCGACCAAAAGTGCTTGCTTGCTCTTCCGCTCGTTCCCTCTCTTCAATAGCTAGATCTAGCCTTTCCTGTATTTCCCTTACTCTTGAGTCGGCTCTTCCTTGAGCATCTGCGAGTAGTCTCCTCATCGTTTCCGCCTCTCGGCTTCGCTCGCTCAGGAGTCGGTGCGCATCAGCAAGTTCCTCCTCCAAACTTTCACTTCGTGCGCGTACCTCTTTCATTTGAGTTCCCATCTCTTGCGTCTGATCTTGCATGCTGTTCATGAGATCTTGTGCGCTCGCGTACTGGGCGGATTTGAGATGAATCTCGTCCCTTAAACTCTCAGCCTCGCGCTTTAGTTTGGAGACCTCCTGTTCTAGGTCCTGAATAGAATTGCGAGAGTACTTGAGATCACCTTGCACCTTTGTAAGATCTTTCGAAAGTCTATCGCAACTCTCATTGGCATCGTTGCGGTCACTCTCGGACCTTTGAAGATCTTTCTGGATTTTTCTGTTTGTCTCCTCAAGGGCAAGTCTTTGGGTAGTCTCCTGTTTTATCTTTTCATGGAGGGTCCGTATGTCACTGTCCTTGTCGGATACCTGTGATCGATGGGTCGCAATTTCGGACTTGAGGTCTTTCTCTCGGGCCTCCAAATGCCGTAGCTCTGCTGATTTTGCTGTAAGTTCATCTTTGGTTCTTCGCAGTTCAACAGCTTCGTTACGCAAGGAGATTAGTTCCGGCTGCGCCTTCTGGAGAATCTCTCGCATATCAGTGAGGTCCTTGAACCTCGATGCTGCAAGCTGTTGGGCGACAGAAAGGTCTGTCTGCAGAGAGTCGGCTTTGGATTTCAAGTCTTCGAATTCCGCCGTCAAAGTCTCTCCGACTTGTTCCGAGTCTTCATGAGCGGCTTTCCCAGTATGGAGGTCTGTGACCTCTTTTTCCAGAGTAGCGAGGCTTTCCTGCAGTGCCGATTTCTCAGCTTGAAGCTCTTTGATCTTGTCCTTGGCCTCTACGTGCTCCTGTCCAACATGGATCAGATCATCCCTGAGACTCTCGATTTCTTCCTTCAAGTCGTCTTGATCCTTCAGTTTCTTTCGGAGAGACTCCATCGATGTTTCTTTTTCAGCAAGCTCGCCCTCCATTCTCTCGATAGCTGCAACCTTTGTCTCCATTTCATTATTGAGCTGAGAAATTGTTCTCTGTGCCTCCTCTAATTGAGGAGAGAACTCGGTATTGCGGGGACTGAGGGGCCCGTTGACACTACCCGCCTCGCTTGAATTTGCTTCCGGTGTGGCATCTGCAACTTTTCCGCCTTTCTTTCGGCTCCGATTCTTCCTCTTTTTAGAAGCCGCGGATTCTCCGGCATTTGTATTGGCGACTGGAGCTTCAGGCTCCGGAGATGCTGTGGATTGGCTCGGTCTTTTCGCATTCGCTGACTCAAGTTCTTTTGTGGCTTGATCGAGGTTGGCCAAAGCCTTGTCCCTCTTCGATTCCGCATTCTTCAATTGCTCGCGTAGATTGTTGACCAATCCATTGAGTGTTTCATTCCGCTTCTCGCTTCTAGCTTGGATCTCGCGAAGCTGGGAAAGGTCCGCTTCGAGCTTTTCAACCTGGCTTCGGAGGGTATCCTGTTCATGGTCCTCAAGAAGTTCTTCCCCACGTGTAGCATGCATTTCCTCCAACTCCTTCAGTGCCGTTTCCAGTTTCTCTCTCATTTCAGTAATCGTTTTTTCATGGCGCTTGCCAACCTCTTTTTGCTCAGTAAAGTCTGATTCCGCAGTACCGAGCTTAGACTTCAAGTCATCGATTATAGCGTCAAGACTTTTCTGGCGCTCATTGGCTTCCTTCTGAGAGCGCTCGTGGGTGTCTTTGACCACATGAAGGCTATTCGTTGCTGCCTCTAAATTCTTCATAAACGATTCTGCAGATTCTTCGGCCACAGATAGCTCATTCTTTAAAGATTTGTTTTCTTCTTCCAATTTGCCTACTTTCTCCTCGCTGTTTTGGAGTTGAGACTGGAGCCTTGGGAGCTCGCTATCGTACGAGAAGAACTCTTCGGTGTCTTCAGTGACTTCCGTCTCCTTCGAGATCTTTGTGGGGGAGAATGCAGTAACTGATTCGGTCTGGGAGGTGGAATCATCCTGAGGCATGTCGTGGCCAGTTGCTACTTGCCCTCGTAATTTCTCCACCTCCTCTAAAGCATTCTGAGCCATTTTCTGAGACTCTCCGAGTTTCTTGTTGAGCTCGTCCCGTTCTTTCGACACTCGTTTGAGTTCTTCCATGAGCATGTCACCTTTGACATTTAGCTGTCCGAGGTATTCTACAAATGCAGCAGGCTCGGTTATGGAAGTCAAGGGAGTATTTTCGCGTAGGGAGGCTTCGAATACTTCGATCGCGCTTACTCTTGCGTGGGCAATGCGGTAAGAACGAAGCAACTCTGTGACGAACGTTAGGTAAGCAGGCTAGAGATAGGAAGGAGCACCCACCAGAATACTTGGGTTCAAGTTTCTCGAGTTTTCGTAGTCGAGCTTGTACTTCTGGAGGTATTTCAGGCTGTGGAGCCGCCTTCTCTCCCTCTATGACTGACGCGCCATTGTCGTTCATGGATGTTCCAGTGGCTAGCGAGGATTCAAAGGTGTCTGCCTTCTCTTTTGGGCGAGGCGTTCCTGCTCGACTAGGCTCATCCTCTTCTCCTATAACAAACTCGGGGTCAAACTCTGAGGGATCGGGGCCCTTTCCGGTCGGCGCTGCCTTGCCGCTAGTGTCCGCATCCTTCGCTCGTGCTGGTCGTTTTGAGGGAGACAGATTTCGGGAGCTCGATCGCCTAGGGGTTGAGCCTGACCGCGAGCGCGATGGCTGGACAGAAGCTCGCTGTTTAGCTTGCTCCTCTGCTATTCGGGCGTCAAGAGCGCCTTTGATGCGCTTTGGTATCCCCTGTCAGCAATGTAAACTGATTGTATGGGGGAAGGAGAAGTACCTGAAAGCCTTGAAACATGTTCACAGTATTTTATGCAATTTCAGATTAAGAATTGGCTTTGCGGGTATCTAGTGTGTTGCCATGGTCTACTGTGTAAGTGTCCACTTGCAACCAGTGACTATTCTGAGACGTTTCTAGGGACCACGCTAAGGGCGAGGCGCAGGGCGCAGGGATCTCCGGATACCGGAGAAACCCCGGCCCGACATATCTCGAAAATAATTTCTGTTTCGCGGCCTTGCTGCTACCTGCATCCCTCGACCCCCCCTCGAAAATGGCGTCAGTTCAGGTCTCTTTGCCTCTCCCAGTTCTTCCAGAAGGGTGGTCTGGTGAGAGGGATTTCAAGGCAATCGGACCCCTCAGTCATGCTACCGACCGAAACATCGAGCCGGTCGGCCCGCACTTCCTTGCCCATGCTCGAAGAGTGCGTTTGCTCCACAGTATCAGCCTCGTCGCCAGCTAACCATGCTTCCACTTGTAGAAGCGACATAAGCGCACATTCTCCGAAGATGATCGCATTCAAGCCCAGGTAAATGTCAAGAAAGTTGAGGACGATGACGCGGGCGAGATTAGCGAGTTGGAGGATCCCCTCATGTTGCAGCGAGAAGCCAAAGACTGGAAGGTGGGATTCTTTGAAATCGACCCTGAACCCAGATCGCTCACATTTTCTGCAGGGTCAAGACCACTACGCCGTGCTTGGAATTTCGAAATACCGATACAAGGCTACGGAGGACCAGATTAAGCGAGCTCACCGCAAGAAGGTGCTGAAACACCACCCCGATAAGAAGGCTGCTGCTGGGGAAGCCCAAGACGATCAATTCTTCAAGTGCATTCAAAAAGCCACCGAGGTCCTCTTGGACCCAGTTCGGCGACGACAGTTCGATTCGGTTGACGAAGGTGCCGACGTGGAGCCCCCGACTAAGAAAGAGACACAAAAAGGCAACTTCTATAAGCTGTGGGGCAAGGTTTTCGAGTCTGAGGGTCGTTTCTCCAAGGTCCAACCAGTTCCCAAGCTCGGGAACGAAAAGAGCACCAAAGAGGAAGTCGAGCATTTCTACAACTTTTGGTACAATTTCGACAGCTGGAGAACCTTTGAATACCTCGACGAGGATGTTCCAGATGACAACGAAAATCGTGATCAGAAACGTCACGTCGAACGGAAGAATCAGAATGCTCGCCGAAAGAAAAAGACCGAGGACACGGCCCGCCTAAGAAAGCTCGTAGATGACGCACTGGCTCTTGATGAACGTATTAAGAAGTTCCGGCAGGCGGAACATGCCCAGAAGAACAAGCGCCGACTAGAAAAGGAAGCCGAACAGAAACGTCTCGCGGAAGAGGCCGCCAAGCAAAAAGAGCTCGAGGCCCAAGCCAAGGCCCAAAAAGAGGCCGCAGAAAAGGCCGACAGAGCGGATGCGAAGAAGGCGAAGGAAGCGGCGAAGAACGCTGCGAAGAAGAACAAGAGAGTGGTGAGGGCCGCTGTTAAAGAAGCCAACTATTTCCACAGCGGTGGAGATGCTCCTCCCTCTCAGATCGATCAAGCGTTAAATGACGTCGATCACATCATCACGAAGATTGACAACGAGGAGCTGGCTGATTTGACTAGCAAACTAAGTGGCAAGAAGAATGCTGGCGAGATTACCCAGATCTTCAAGGATGAAGTGCAGCGGTTAGTTGGAGCAGGCAAACTGAAGGAGGGCGAAGCCAAGTCTCTTTCGTAGTAGTGCTTTTAGAGAGGTCCGGGTTTATTAGGTAGTTCTCTTAGGTTTAGATGGAGTAGGACAATTGGAGCTCTCACCAGGTTTGGTTTGATGCCAAGGGTTATGTTTTTGCTTGTGATTTCGATTTGGCAGTGTTCACAGTTCTTTTCAAGGTTCCACAGTCCATTTCATGCTGCAAGAGCTGTAGAACATGAACATTGCATTCCACTTGGCGTCATATAATAGCCGTCTTCCTGCATTTCCGCATGCGCTAGACCTGGATTCCAGTGGCGCACTTCCTTGGTCGGGTTCCCCACGAAGGCTGCCCAGTGTCCACCGCCCACCACCGTTGTTTGGCGGCGGTTTTGGTCGAGACAACCTTGTCATAGCAACCCACCCAGGCGCGACATGGCATCAAGCCAAGTCTGTGGTGCCCTAGATTTGGATGCAACTACGTTCAACGCCCATTACTACTTATACACTTCACGATTCCCTGCCAAGCACACAGTTTTCTTCCTTAACCCTCCCGTCGTCTACTCACCCTTCACGGCAATCACAGCAGCTCCCCCGCGCTAAGGCATATAGTCTACTAAGTACGACAGTACCTGCCGCCTGTGAGAGCGCACGTTAGGCGCAAGGATATCGCAAGCGGAAAAGGGTGCAATTGTATTCGTCTGTAGAGGGGCTCACCGGACGCCCTCGTGCCTCTAACTTGTCCAAAGACCAGGATGAGTATCTCCCCCACGTCGGCCGCACAACGAAACGGTTCATCACCAGTCCAAGCACCTGCATCTCGCCAGACGGTGAGCCCTCTGTCGCTGCCAGCGACTGGCGCAGAGACACAAGTTGCACGCCGCTCATCCATTCAATTCCTGCCGCATTCTAATGCTGCGTTCCCCAAAGGCAGCCCAAAGGCAGGCCGCGAGAAGCGCCGCTTATCCTCACCTCCACCTCCACCGTGAGTGATGACCTCTCCATCCTTTGCTACCCCTCCCAAACCCACCACTCCACCATCCCCCCTCCATCTTTTCGCGTTCATGCCTCACGACCTGATGCCTATGGCGAGTCATTATGTCGGAGTATGCCTCACAGATCGCGGGTGGCGCCCGGAGCGAGCAAGAGACTTAGTTACCTTCTCATGTTCCTCATAGATACCCAGGACTGTATAGACCACGCACTGACTAGAGCTGTACAGTGTCTTCCAATCCCGTGTCTCATTCGATACGTTCGACAAGCCTGCTGATTTCATCGAAGAGAATTCATTTACCCTGATAGCAAAGCACAAGGACTACGAATACACTAAACGATCGCGCACGTTTCTCTGTGGGTGCGATGACAACGAATACTCCGAATATGCCTTGCAGTGGCTCATTGATGAGCTTGTGGACGACGGCGATGAAATTGTTTGCTTGAGAGTTGTCGAGAAGGATTCCACACTTGCAGCAGACCCAAGTGTTGAGAAGAGACGTTATCGATCCGAGGCCGAAACTTTGATGAAGCAAATCCAGAACAAGAACCATGAGAATAAGGCCATCAACTTGATCTTAGAGTTTGCCGTTGGAAAGGTTAATATCGTGATTGACGAAATGGTAAACAAATCGATTTGTTCGTGTACGACTGTGGGCTAATACACCTACAGATCAATCTGTACGAGCCAGCCATCCTTGTCGTTGGAACCAGAGGACGAAGTCTTGGCGGTTTTCAAGGCCTCCTTCCCGGATCCGTTTCAAAATACTGTCTGCAGCACTCTCCTGTTCCTGTCATTGTTGTCCGTCCATCTTCCAAGCGCGACAAGTCAAGGACCAAGCGTGCCCAGGACCCTGCTCGGCATGCCTACAAGGACCTCCTAGAGAAGAGTGGTCCGCAGGGTGGCCACATCCTGAATTCTGGTCACCGCAACAGCAGCTTCATCGCAGAAGAGGAAACCCAGCCTGCTTCTGATGACGAAGCGGTAGCAGTAGCGGCAGCTATTGGGCTCAGACAAAATCTCGATGCTAGCCCGCTAACCCAGGTTGAAACAACACCAGCAGATGTTGAGCCCTTCTCTGCACGTGTTGCCGATACAGGTTTCGTATCCGCACTAGAGGAACTGCGAAGTCCTAGCGTTGTCATGAAAAGCCCTGAATTAGGCAACCTAGACAGTCCTGATATCAGCGACATAAGCAGCAGCGAGGAGGATGACCAAGGAGGAGTATCAACCACACAAGCCATAAAACCGAGTATCGCAATTGAGGGCACAGAGTCGACAATGCCTGCAATGGAAGTCGAGCCCGAGACAAAACCAGAAGAGCAATGGAACCCAACTACGGAATAGAAGTAACGCCCCCCTTCTTGTCTCACTTACCAGACGTTCTACACTTGCACAGCAGGGAAAATTAATGCTATTATTCTTCGTCAAAGATGACATGTTCGTGCTTCATTTTTAAGGGTGGAGACGGCTTGGCATCTGAAAAAGTCTGACCTTTCGCGACAAGAGTGTGGGGGCCCTACTGGCTGCGGGACCGGGCAGATTCAAACCCGAGAGATGGCGATAGATAGCATTATCAGAGTTCGCTCAGACCGGCAGACGAGCGACTAAATTCACGATATCATGGTCCATTGCTAATATTGCTATTTCTGTCCTGTGTTTTGCCCCACAATAAACCAATCCTTCCTGGCACTGGTCAAAGCTCTCTGATCTGACATGACGTCCAAAAGTGGCGGGGGTTGGAGGCTTGGCGACGTGTTGCGAAACGCTTTCCGCGTGTTCGTCCTCAGGAACAAGCATCCTTTTCCTCTCTCCCTTAGGCACTGACATGACCTTTCGAGCCGTCCATTCGCTGCGGAGTCGATGGGAGTTGCATCCACAACCAATAACGCTTGAACCGACGAGTCTATAAAGCAAATATTCCGAACCTGATCCTGTTCCGACATTCTCAGCCCTATGGTTCCTTCCGACGGCTGCGATGAATGTGTACCTGACTGGGTGGTCAAACGACGACCATCGACCTTAGCGTTCTCGGCGTTGCCTTTTGTTCTTACCTTTATCATTGTAGCCGTCGCTGTGTCCCATAAGCTCTTTCCTCTTCTGTCAGGCCCCACCCTACTTAAGGACCGCCGCGATGCAGGTTTACCGGCGGCATTCTCCCTGCGGGAGCGGCCCTCCATACACAACAACCTGCGGATTACGTCGCAGACTCTCGCCAGTGTCACATTCTCTACGAATATTGCCCTATCAGCAGTCCTAGTAGAGCTGATTCTGTGCGAAATATCGAACACAGTCAACCCAGCCACTCGCACACTCGCGCTGAAGATCACAGTCCCACTCCTCCTTTTCCTCCTCGTCATTGCAACGCCTGCGCTAGAAATACACTCAGTACTCGCAGGCGCGGGATGGGACTTTGGCGGCGGACAGCGAAGGATGGCGTGGATATTGGAGGCTGTAGGCTTGGTGATATGGCTGATTGGCTTTTGGTATCTCGGGAGGGCTCTCTTGGGGTCCTACCTCCATGAGGAGTCTTATATCCGCGATCACAGTATTTCAGAGGGGTGTCTGGAGAGAATTGGAATAATTGGAATAAGCTTGATGGCTTCTTTGGCTGGATTCGCTGCCGTCAGCTCTATGCGGCAGACTTTTGGGGCTAAATATCGCCCTGTAAGTCATAATCTCCAAGCAACCAAACCCGCACTAACCTCAGTAGGTAACCGAGTCAGACCTTTCTCGAAAACAGGCAGGCTTGGATGCCACTAACGATATGCTTCTGGCGAAGGAAAGCCGTCTGCGTGCTCTTCAACGCAAGCTTTCAGACACCCCACAGGAAAGCTTCATGACTCGTATCATGGGCAGCATTCGAGGAAATCCAGATATCCAAGAACGCAACACCCTTCAGCTCGAAATACAAGGGCTTGAGACCATGCGATCCTCCATTCAGAATTCTCTTATGGTCCTTCAAAATCGGCGTCAATCTCAAGTTCGCTCACATACCGCATATGGCCGCTTATTGAACGTGTTCTCTTTTATCTTTTCCCTCTATTGCTTTTATCGAATCGCCGCCACGACAGTCACAACCCTTCGCCGATTCTCATCACCAAATACCAGCTTCTCAAACAGCGACCCGATCAATAACTTCCTCGCTATCCTCGCAAAGCATTGGGATCCCACCTTGGATCGCGTGGCCTGGAGTCGGACAATCTCTTTCCTTCTGTCTGGGGTGATGCTTCTCTTGTCCTTCAACAGCGTTCTCCAAACTTTCCTCCTTTTTGCCCTGGTTCTTCCAAGTATACTCCAGCATGCTCGAGCAAATCTTGCCTTACTTATATCGCAAATATCGGCTACATATGTAATCAGCTCGGCTCTTCTTCTACGAAGTAATCTACCAACTGAGATGAAGAGTGCCATATCGGACGCCTTGGGTGCACCGCTTGAGCCTAGATTCACCGAAAGATGGTTTGAGGGATGGTTTCTTGCTGCGAGTGCATTGACCGTTCTTGGACTTTGGATTGGAAAAAGGATCAAAGGAGCTGGATGGGATGACGACGATGATTTAGGAGATTGTGACGTCGAAATGGGGAAAATGAGTTGAAGTTGATTGGCATTTTGATTGGAGTCATGTGGTCTTCAGATGGTCCCGGATATTGTATTATGGGGATTACCGCAGCATTGGGGGTATCGAGGACTCTGTATTAGTACACTGTATCGAATAATTGCATTTATTTCAGATCCGAGTAAAGTTCCCTCTCTACGGAGTATAGTGCATGTTGTTGGGTCTGAAGTCAATTAGGTAAAATTAAACAAGATTCCGCAAGTGTGTCAGCAAATCCATAAGCCATGCAAATGCATGTTACGAGGCAACTGGTATCACAATTGACGTAGATGCTGTGCATACATGCCCGATCAGGATGCCAAGGCCAGCCCTACAATGACGTCGTCGTGAGGCAAGAACTCTATGAAAAGCGCAGGGCATGGCGGAGCTGCTCATGTTCACCAACCTCATTAAAAGTTTTTGAGCTATCTGGTCCTCGAACTTAGTTCGTTTTCTTCTTCAGTATTAGTATCAATTAGCCAATAGACATTTTAGAACCTCTATATTCCAGCAAACAACCAACCAGTATGCCTCCTTCTCTACCCTTAGCCCTTACCCAACTACCTCTCCCTCTATGACCTATACCTAGCCTCAAACCTAACAGCTCAAAGCCCCACGCAAACACAACCACCAACATGTCCGCGCCAAACGCCGGCCGTCAATCCCCAGGCCCAGAAAGCCAAACCGGGGCCCAGCAGCAAGACCCGGTAGCTATGAATCCGAACGAGCAAGGGGGCGCTCCCTCTCAGTCGCACGCGAAAGAAGCAAGCGATGACCAGAAGGCAAATCTTGCAAGCAACCCGACGCACCCGCTTGCGAAGCATTCTGAGGAGACGACTAGTAAGAAATAGACTCGTGAATGGCGGATGGCGGGTTTCCTTTTGTAGTGTGGCATGAGAGGGTTTGTTATTCTGGGGAAGTTAAATGCGCAGTGTCTTTGCCTGAGAGGAAAGAGGAGGATTCAAAACTGAGGAATGAATGGTAACAGGATTTGACGTCGTCCTGAGCATTTACTTCCTGTAGTTAACTATGTACGTGATTGCTTGTCAGACCACTCCCATAGATATTATGCATTCGAGTTTTGCTATAAATCCGCCGCTGTCCTTCAACATGCACTACCAGTATTATCATAATATCTTTATTGTGGCTTTTTATTGACGTTCCGTGATGCGTTGCTTTTCTCAATTCCCCATGTATTTCGCCCCACCAATCACACCTCCCCCAACACCATAACCACGGATCATATCCGTTTCTAGCTATTTTCCGCTTGTCCCCACTTTATGAAGAATTTGACCCCTCTTTACTACGCGAAAATTCTTGTATTCGGACAGGAGGAGCACTCTTATTTCATACAAGGTTTTATTGCCACTATTATTTACTAAATAATTAACAATTTCTACACATCTGGTTAAGGGCACTTGGTCTAGGGGTATGATATTCGCTTCGCATATGTCAATGTGTATTTGTGAATGGTCGTGGGTTCAATTCCCACAGTGTCCACGTTTTTCGGGTTTTTTTGGAATATTTTTGGGCCATTGTTCGAGGTGTGTGCGAGTAAAGAGGTGGTCTTTCTTGCTGCTCTGTTCATGATGAACCTCCTCAACCTTCCCCGCTCAAGAAACTCGACGCCCCCCTTCTTAATCGATATAACGTCGATCTCAGAATATTTTCAACATGGCAAGCTCCCTGCCCTTCTCTCAACTTAAGCGGGCTGAACTCTTCTGACCCCTGCTCCAATTAACATAATCACTGTGTATACTATGTTCTAACTACGCGCACGACATCTACGGCTGCCCCTACAACTTCGGCGCAGCTGCGGTGTCTGGAAAGGCCCCATCACTGGTCTCGCAGTCGGCCGCATGTGCATTACACGCGGCGGTTGGGCTAAATTAGTCAGCTGCTTGAATTGCAACTCCCTCACGGGCATCAACCTTCAGTTACTAAAGACTTAGATTATTCTATAGAGTACTGGTATCCGATCAGGACGCTTCACTCACCTGCTGGAATCCTGACTCATCTATGTGCGTTCCTGTTGAGGGCGTGCCGTTGCTGTCATTTCTTTGGTCGGTACCGGGGAATTGGCCGTCTGTAAACAAGGCTGGGACGGCTTCAGTTACCAATACAACGGGATTCGTTTCTTCTTCGGCCACCTTATTTGGTACTACGGCCTCTACGGATCCTTTGACACCGGCGACTACCTCTAACAATAGCCCCTCCCAAACCAGCAGTATTTTAGCTCACTCTCACCCCATGGAGGGAATCCATAAATTAGTTCTTAATGTTGCCTTCCATACAGGGGGTGGGCCGTGGCTCTATGCAAGATCTTTTGACAGTGATTGAGGATAAGGGCGTGGAAGAGGTAGATAGAAAATCAGAAAAGTAGCTTTGGCTCATAACACGTCGTGCCGCATCCGGGAAATCTAAAGAAGCAATTCAGAAGGTGGTGAATGGACGCAGGAGAACGCTCTAGAAATTAAGCCCGCTGTTGGCCTGAGTGCTCACAATACGGTATGCCCCATCCAAACTGCCCAATGCAGCATTGATGCCTTCGGTGCATCTTAAAGGATATTGCCAAGGTCAAGTGCATGGAGCCCCTTCTTAGCCTCCTTTAGGTACAGCCTTTAAGAAGTCTTTTGTGCAGATATCTATGGCAGGCTCTGGCAATCCCCTTATGCATTAAACTAGCAAGTGAATGAAACGATCTTGTACCGGTAGTCATGTCATTGGTACTGGCCCTCCTCCCGGATACGCTTTTCTTTCTCCGCGCGAGCTCGATCTGTAGTGCGCTTATTTTAGGTCCATAGTTTCTGTGTGTCTGTTTGCTTTCAGCATTTCATTATAGCAAGGTGGTGCTTCATTTACACAGGCATATTTGGCATGATCAGACCGAGGACAAAGCTCGGCCATCTCGCACTCTTTTTGCCATCCTTACACTCCTTTTTACTACCCGTACACCCCTTCTAGAGTGTATTTCTAGAACCGGACCATAAAAGCTTGCTCTGTGACACGGATCGCCTTGGTCAATACTGGTTCAGTGTTGCACAGGGCAGAGAGTTTGATCTAGAGGCAGCTATCCTGAAGCCAGCGAGCACTAGGGGATGCCGGGCATCTTTAAAAGCCTTCCTCGGGCCTACTAGAGCGCCGAGATCCTTCCGACAAAATTCTGCATGTACAGTCATACTCTTGCGCATTCAGCTGACGCCAGTGATAGGGCTTTTAGCAAAGGCTATGAGTGCGGCGAAGTTGTTCTGCTTCTTGTCACCTAGCGTAGAGAGGGTAATGTATGACAGAAATTTGCTTATTGTTAACGCTCTTCGTAATTCTAGTAATAGGTTGGATGAATAGAATACTACTCCAGCCACGTTCCAAGTTATGCGGTAACTTACCGTAGCTATGTAGGGAGCCCTTAGCTGTGGCCAATCCATTTCTATTTATTTCTGTTAGTTTGCGGTAGCTGGATTCCCTTACTGATCAGTGCGAACAACCAAACCGCTACCAACAATAGCTACAGAGGTTATATGTGCAAACTAAGTTGCATCCAGGGGATTACGCGGCTCAACAAGTCCAAGGTAGGCACCAGAACGAAAATTCTCCTTACCTATAGTATCAAATCTCTTCGTATTACTGGGGTCGGAAGATCGTCACGGGAAAGATGCCATTAAACATTCGCAAGGGTTATTGTGAGGATTTTCGCGACCAATAAGTTACCTCCACATTTCTCTAGGTTATTTTCTATCGGGCTAGTTAAGCTTAAATGAGTTATTGCTATAGTGGTGTAGATTGGAGAAGCGCAGACGAATACAAACACGTTAACGAGGTTCATCTGGTACAATAGCGTACTATCACAAACCCGTGCTTCAGTCCTCTCTGGCAGATGGATCAAGCTCGGCATGTTATCACATGAAATAGAATATAAGGTATGTAAAGTTTACTCGTTAAACCTCTTTCTTGAATCAAGTAGAGAGTCTGACTAAGTACAATGCCTGTCCTGAATTAGCCCACCCTCATATTCCACGTTACATGGCAAGAGCCAGTACTATTCCAGTCCACACATGAATACAAATCCTAAGACAGTCAAAGCCTCTCCCTTCCCAAAGATGTAACATATGATTCCAACCCTACCATCCCGCCCCTTCCACGTCACTCTCACGCCACAAACCCGTCTCAGCCGTGTATGACATTCGACGTCGACCCGAATCCCGTCAACGAATCAAAAGCCCCTGCACTTTCCCATACAACCGATTTGACGTATGATTTGGCAGGCCTTCTGCCTCGTATGTTCTGATTCGGAATCTGACCCCGCACGAGAATCGGCTATAATAATGGTGACGTCAAGAGGCAATGCGATTTGAATTGAATTTTGGAATTTTGGGCTGTGGCGTTGCTCGGTTTGGGAGTTACCAGGGAGGTAGGCGAGTAGAGTGGAAGGTTGTTGAGAAGATTTGAAAGAGCTTTATGTATTTGTAAACGAGGATGTGCAGCACCTTCTTGTGTAACGTGGGATATTAAATCCTGTCCTAAATTCACCCCACTGTCATGTTCCTCGATCAGTAATAAGACGTAGTAGTGGGGAAGCTGGCGTGGCTGATATTAGAGGTGCTATGGGGGTTTGAAATGGATTTGGATCATTAATTGTATCGGGAAGATGGGTAATTGGAAGTGTGGAAACTAATTTTTGTTGCAATAGGGAGTGGGGAGTCGTGGATAATTGTACATGGATAGAAGATAATGAAGCGTGATACTAAAATTGTGAAGAAGTCTAGGAGCTGTCTAGATATTTACCGGGTTCATATACTCTCTGTATGCCACAGAACCTTGACACTCAGATCTTTTAGCCTGATAATGGCGCAGGCGACGTCTTCGTACGAGATTCCAGATCGAGAGCTGAGCTGCGGTCACTTTGTTAGTAAATGATTGTCCAAAAGTAGGGAGGGAATTGAGAATGAACTAAAGGTAAGATGGTGGGGAATAGACTGCAAGACACGTGCACTCTCTGTAGATTGTGTACTCATATGAATAGAAGCATACCTCGTCTTCCCCATCCCCATCTTCATCACTGCCGTTACCCTCCTCAGCTATAACCCCACCAAGTTGATCATTACTATACTCAAAGCTCCCATGAACCAACAACTTTGCAACCCTTTTCTTTTCTTCTTCTTCTACTTCTTCTTGTTCATCATCACCAACATCGTCCGCTTCAGTACCCACCGCCACATCGCTCTCCTTGTGCCAATCCTTCCTCACCAACACTACTCTCCTCAACTCATACAAGCCGCCCGCCTCTCGACTCTTGATGAGCTGCCACAGGACATCGAAAGCTTTCTCTTTCGACCAAGTCCTAACCCACAACTCTTTCAGCGCACCCGGTAGCAAGTCATCAAGATCCTCTGGATCAAAATCCGGCCAATCTAGCTCCAACTTCTGAATCGATGATCCCTGGAGAAATTCTTGGAGTGCCTCGAGAGGCTCGACGTCTGGTGTATGTAACAGCCGGATCGAGAGTCTGATGAGCGTGGTGTTGTGTGCGAAGTGGAGGGATGAGAGAATCTGGGGAGTGAAATACAATCCAGTCGGTGACGCGGGTTGTATATTTTCGGTAATGTGGAATGAGGTCAGAGCGTTGATAGATTGTAATACGTCTGCAGTGAAGGACTGATGGCTGGATGTGAAGCTACGGTGAACATAATCGGCTGGTGTGAGGAGAGCGTGGAGGGAGGCGAGTGATAAATCCGTGAGCTGGTGTAGACTGGATAGGATTTCCGCGGTCTTAGTGGGTGGAGTTGAAGAAAACCCATCAAAAGACAGATATCGGAGCTCCTCAAGCGGGGTGAGGAACGATAGGGTCTGATGATGGAAGTTCCCCCTCAAGGTCAAGTGCCAGAGACTAGGGAAGAGCGAGCCCAGATGCCCTAGGAATGTAGTCAGAAACCCGTGGTATAAGAAAGACTGACAGTCTGGAAGGGCCTTGATAGTCAGCGTCTTCAAGTGTGGCAATTTCTTTAGAACTCGATACAGCTTCTCCAACTCTTGTTCATAAAGCTCCCATGTCAAAAGCCGAGGCTTAGAGTCACCGTGTGGCTTGATAGGTATCGTGAGCAGCGGCGAAAGATTGACATCTTCAAGTCCGAGGGTTACTTCGGTGACGTAGTGAAGGTGCTTCCCTGGCACCTTCATGAGCCATTCCCACAAGGCTGACTGGTTCCGGAAGGATAGCGGACGTTGGAATAGGAACTTGTGGGCCTCGTTGTAAATATCGTGACAAGCAATTAAAAGCCCTGGCCCTTGCGAAGGGTTGGCTAGTACTTCTTTGTAGATTTGTTCGCGCAGTTCGAGGGGGAGGGAGAGGATGGTGGTAGAATCATCCTTGCTGGCCATAGGCGCGCTGAGAGACGTGGAGTTGCTGGAAAACTAGAAATAATACCTCTGTTATGCTAACTAAAGTGAGGCCTGTAAACCATCCAAGACAACGAGATCGAGTTTGGTGGGGGGGAATGAAGAATGGGTGTGTTACAAGAAGAAGCTAGGCTGCAGGTTGATCTCAAACTAGTGATAGTGAAAGGTTTGAAGTCGCCATTCGTTTCTCTCTGCTTGAAGTGGGGGAGGGACAAAAGGATCGGGACAAGGGTGAGTGAAGGATCACTCAGGCATTGGTCCCAGGCGGTCGGTGTGAGTGATGGGGCTCGGCGTCGACGCCTGATACGCGGACCATCGTCGTGCCTTTAAAGACCTGTCGATGGGCAGAGCATTCCTTATGCGTACCTAAACTCTGTCATGGCTTTGTTCTGCAGTATTTACTCGGTAGTGGGAAATATAGGGAGTTAATGCTCTTGAAACTAGGCACCATTTGGTCGGTGTATGTCCCACTACCAAATACTAGCTGTAGTAATTACCATGTAATCTCTCTTGCTTCCCCAATCTGCGAGGATCTTAGCGTGCCTCAATGCCGCCTTGATTACACTACCACACCTTCACTCTCATCAGTCTGACCACCGCTCTAACCATTTCTAGTGTGGACAGTGGTAGCTCTACTAGATGGTAGGGATCCAGACAATGTAGTCCAATCACTACCAGTGTGGCAAGGAGTCCAAGGTGGGTGTGATATCGCGGGATCTTGCCTAAATTTGGAATTGGTAGTGACAAGGTGCATCTTTCACACGTGGGAAATGCGAAGAAGCAAAACATTGCCACAAAACAAGCTTTCGGGATGCTCAAACAACAGTAATGTTCCCTGCTAATCAAGACCCGCAACAGACACGCGAGACGTGAACACAAATACCCAAAGGTGTTTGAACATTAGAATTGGTAATACAGACGAAAAAGTGCTACGTGCTCACCAATAGGCAATGCGATTTGTGAATCCGGATCCATGTGTAGGGCTGGCTTGAGCATCAACAACCCAGGTTGATTTGAGCAGAGCTTGTCACTGCAAAGCTGCACTTTGAGCGAGTGATCGTACGATCCATCAGACCATTTCGCCTCAGACTCCCAGCCCTTGACGCAGCCTGGGGCGGCTCCGTCCCTGATATAAGTTTGTTTTTTACGTCCAGGTGGATCGAGACAAATCGAAAAGAGCAGGGCTGGGGCCTGTAAGCAAATTTTTGCATGCGACTCGCTTGTGGGGGAGGACACTTTCAAGTTTCATGAGACTTCGACTGTTCTACGATCGATCGACTAGCCACGTGGTACCTGCTTCAGCCTCCTTGGGCTGGCTGAATGACGGAGGAGTTGATGTTGGGATTACAGGATCTAAGGGAGGTCACGTCCGGGAAGGGGTAAGCGAGGGGCGAAAAGTTTGTGTCCAGCAAGATTGGTATTGGCCAGGTCTCAAATGGACTCTTCACCACTGGCTAAGGCGCAACAAGCTCTTGGAAGCGATGTGGCTTTGGGAGCCGAGTAACCGCAAGGGGAAGCTGTCAATACTGAGGATTAGAAGGAGATATGGGGTCCTGCAAGCCATCTTGTTCCTAAAAGGTGGAGAGTGGCTTGACAGGGAGAAAAGGTTCAAGGATATCGCCATCGCCTGGAAGATGGAAGTCGGCGGCAGCTGGCAGATGGTGAGAGATGCAGCGAGGTGCGATGGGGCATGCATGGGTCAAGTCCCATGCCGAGCTCGCTTCTCGAAGCTTGGCTTTCCAAGGTTCTTCCAATTTGGCCCGGGCGCCGGATACTGAATCCAGACCCTTTTTTAGCAACCTACCGAACATCCTCGAAACTAAACAGTAAATCCCACCCCATCTTTCTTCCGGTGCGTATTCCACACTTCCCTTTGGCAGCAAAACACAACCATGCTTGATAATCGCCTCCATGAGCCGATGACTGCAGGTGCCGGGGTGGATGGCATCAATGTTCTAAATGCCATAGGGTCTGGATTGAGCAATTGACACATTTCTGCATTCAAAAACCAAAGTTCTGTACCACAGTGGTGGACATAGCCCTGCCCGGACATGCACGCCGGGCTTGAGAATCCGATGGGACGGCACACTAGCCCGGTTGTTTCCTTGATGCTGCACGCGAACGTTCAGCCGTCCACAGCTATGTGGAGTTGTGCGAATGGTGCTCTGCTAACTTTCGGAACTGTTCGTCGCCTCGCGAAAAGACGGTTAGGGTGGAATCAATCCGTTAAATTGCTTGCTGAAACGAAGTGGATCCCCCAAAGGGTGCAAAGTCTTGTCCTCAATTACCTTGTCATGTTCGACGTGAGGTAGCACGATGCAGGGTGTGGGGCAATTCTAAATTTGTCGGAGGGTTCAATACCTAAGCCCAGCCAAAACTAGAATTGAAGAACGAGAATGAACTTACTAAAACCTGATCAGTGAGATCCTGTCAGACTCCCGTGTGTTCTACCATAGGTGGCAGCGTGCTGTAGCTTCCTATCTCATATGGCACTAGGCCAGACCTATTTGGAATTGATCGGTGATGAACCTCACTCTGCAAATCTTGATATCAGTCATATGCAAAATTTGAAACCGAATTATTGACCCGCTCTGCTCTAATGACGTCCAAGAAACAACCCTAGGAAACTGAAGCATTAGAAGTACATGTACATGTAAATGCTCCTGCTGACACCAGAGAAACTCGGCTTTTGATACATAGTCAAGCATTACAAATGTCCCAATGGCCCTCACAAAGCATGCAGCCATCTTGAAAGAAAGAGGATAGCGTAAATCAGAAGGGTGGGTGAAGCAGAAATTCATGAATCTTCAAGCCACAACGCCAGCCGCAACTACACCCGTAGCAGCTTAGCGGCGTAGTTGACTATCAACTCTTCAGTGGGGAACGACATTTCCTCGAGCTTCTGGGCATACGGCGTCGGCACCTCGGCACCAGTGACACGGACAGGAGGAGCGTCTAGGTAATCGAAGGTGTACTCGCAGGTGAGGGCTATGAGCTCCGCACCCACTCCAAAGGATGGAAACCCCGACTCGACTGCCATCATGTGGCCAGTCTTCTTGACCGACTTGACGATGGCTCCGACGTCGAGGGGCTTTATTGATCGGAGATTGATAACTTCAGCCTCAACGCCGTACCGCCTCTTCAATTCTTCGGCAGCAACGAGTGATTGCCCGACGCAGCGAGATAGGGTTACTATCGTGAGGTCTTTTCCAGGGCGTTCAATCTTGGCTTTGCCAAACTAGACGCATGTCAGAAAACGTGTCCTGGATTGCACAGAATTCGAAGGGGCAATACAGGAAGAACAAAATCATCCTTCTGAGCGGCTTCGCTCATTGGAAATGAAAGACCGTATAGTAGTCTGCGAACATGTTAGAATTGGGGGGCACACAGCTATCTGGAATCCTCATACTCGTTCTCCAAAACGACGACAGGATTGGGGTCGCGAATCGCGGCTTTCATTAATCCCTTCGCATCTTCTGAGCTGTAGGGAGATACCACCTTAAGCCCGGGGATGCTGCCATACCACGCAGTGTAATCCTGCGAGTGCTGGGCAGCGACGCCAGCGGCGAAACCATTCGGACCACGGAAAGTGATGTTGCAGGGTTGGATACCACCAGACATGTAGTGAGTCTTCGCCGCAGAGTTGATGATCTGGTCGATTGCTTGCATAGCGAAGTTGAACGTCATGAACTCGCACTGTAATTCGATTAGATACTCGGTTACTTCCTGGAGAACGAGTAGCATACAATCGGGTGCAGTCCAGCCAATGCAGCACCAACGGTGAGACCAGCAAATCCGGATTCGGTAATGGGACTGTCAATGACTCTCCTGTCGCCAAAGCGATCGAGCAAACCTTTCGTGACCTTGTATCTGTGGAAGCTTAGGTTAACATAGTCCTGCCATTTGCCTCACAATTGAGAGCTCGCAGTCGGGGGGAGTCAGAACTACGTCTCTGGCATCAAAGTCGTAGAATTTCTCCCAAAGAATCTAATTGAGTAGGTAAAAGGTATAACTTACGCTCCGTTGTACTGTGCGACCTCCTCTCCCAGCACGAAGACCTTGTCGTTCATCTCCATCTCCTCGGCCATGGCCTCGTTCAGCGCATCTCGCACTGTCATCTCCTTGGCGTTGCTGGCCGCGGCATATCCCCTACTCCTCGCAAATGACGGAATTGCAGCAGTTGTTCGGAAAGTAGGTCGGAGGGCGGGAGCTGGCCGCGAAGCTGACAACACACGAGTAGCAGGTCGAAAGAACCTGGAAGCAGTCATTGCTAGGGAGATGTAGGGGATAGATGTCGAGGGGAGGGAGAACCACAAGGTGGATAATGGCCGGTGAAGGAGAGATGGAGGTGATGGTGCTGGATGAGATTTCTCTAAGAGTTGCTGGATCCCCGAACCGATCCCCGACAAATGTTGAGTTGAGCCCAAGCTCCCGTCTTGGCGCGAGGGCCGTGTGGAACCGACAGCACCCTCAACAGCCCAGCATGCAATAACACACTTTAGAGATCATGTGATTATATTTATTATATCAGGAGCTCAACTAACCAGTTCCGCATTGCTGAAGTATACCACAGCCCAGACTGATTCTACCCTAGCCTTCACGAGGGCAATTGGGTCACCTGGAGTCGGAATTTAAATGCTGTGTAAACAATCAAACTCCATGTCGCCACGCTTTAGGGCGGAGGGCTGGTGAATTCTAAACAATATCATTAAACTTATAGGGATCTCCTCATTGTATCGAGGTCGAATTATTATGTGTATGTTCCGCTCCCAAACCCCTTGTAATCATCATGACATTGCCCCTTTTCGTGCTGCTCGCAACACCAGGGTATTACTTCTTCTGACACCGTGTCAGCCCAAAATGTCGTAAATGCCCAAGTTCTAATAGGCGGAGCTCCACCATGGCCGGAACTGAATGCTCCCCATAAAAGACGTCCCTAGAACTCAACTCAGGACGGAAGGCCGTCATGCATGTAGCAGTCTATCGAAGTGAAGAGAAATGAAAACCAAAAAAGTTGCGGGACAAGACCAACTATGCGTTCATAGGCTTCCGTCCCACCATCAGGTACATTGGGGTGAACAACTTCTCGCGACCACCTGCCACAAGGCAATCTGCTGCAACAGCCAGACTGTCTGCGGTCTTTTGAGTTCCCTTGGGCGCCACGCCGATTAGTTCCAAGGCACCGACGAACTTGTGTACGAGAGCACGACCAATCTTAGTCATGCGAATGACGGTAGGAATGTCGTAGATGCTGCCGATATTCCTCAGGTCACCAGCAAGCGGCCAATACCACGGCATGGGATCATCCCTCTCAGCCAGATCCTCGTGGTGAATCATTTCGAAGCCGGCGGCCTTCATGGCGGCAAGGGCCACCTCGACCTTCTCCATATTGGAAATACCATCGCCCTGCTCGATTCCAAGCCGGATTTCTCTGTGATGAGGGTTCTCGTTGTCATAGCTGTCGGTCATGAGCCACTCATAAACACCAAAGACACCACCAGGCTTGAGAACACGGAAAATTTGACTGTAAATTCCCTCAAGCGAAGGTGCGTGAACGGTTGCTTCGATAGCATAGACAGCGTCGAAGGAGTTGTCAGGGAAGGACATTTGCTAGTGAAAAAACTCGAGTTAGCGTTTGTTTGCTTCCTACAGGGGAATTCCACATACCATGAAATCTCCCTTAGTGAACTTCAATTTATGTGATAGGCCCTCTTTCTGTGCGTATCGTGTGGCACGCTCAATTTGGTAGTCGTTGTTGTTCAATCCAATAACATTGGCACCCGAGAACTTGACCATTTCTCGTGCAGGTCCCCCAACACCACATCCGACGTCCAGGACGCGCATGTCGTCCCGGAGACCCATCATGTGCGCAAGATAATGCTCATGACGGGCAATTGCTTGGTAGAAAGGTTCACCATAAGCAAAACGGCAGAAGTGGAAGCTCTGGCCCCAGCCATACTCGTATAGATCGGTAGCAAGATTGTAGTAACTACGCAAAGGGGGAAATGTTAGGAACCATTAAGACATAGTGGAGCGAGAGGAGCGCGTACTGCCTCGTTAAAGTTGCATATTCGTCTCGACGAGCCTAGTAATGGTCAATTGCGGCCCAACGAACAGTGGCATTACAATGGTCGCATACCTTCCGAGTTTCCTCAGTTTCCTCTCCAGCAGCTTTGTTATCCCAGTGCTTAAAATACTCATCCACAGCAGCCTGCTGGGCAGCCCTGTCCTTCCTCAGCATGGCGGCCATGCCTCCTTGGGCCTGAGATGATTTGCCATGCATGGCCCTGTTGAAGGCTGCATCGCGGGCGTGGTCTTCTTGCTCAAGTGCGATTGGTGACATTTGGGAAACTTTGTGACCACGTTCAGGGTAAAGTATGTAGAGACACGCAAACTTGAAAGGAGAGAGGGGGAAGAAAGAGGTCAATTGAGGAGAAAGGGAGGGAATTAATAGGAAGCGAAAGTAGCGGTCGAGGAAATATGGCCAAAGACTGGAGGTGCTAGGATGGACCCCTATCAACTTAATCGTACCAACGGCCTTGTCATTGGCCATGGATCGTACCTGGACGCTTGCCATTGGCCCTGTTTTCCTAGTGGCAAATCCGCGTCTGAGCTCGGTCTGCAGTTTATCCGCCACCCGAGACGCTCGCACGTGATAGGAAAAGGAAACATGGATGATGTGTGAATGCCAAATTGAGAATCCAACTTTGCCGCTTCGATCTTACCTTTGCCCATAAGAGCCCCCGCCTCCACACCTACCTCCGTATCTCTCCGTCCAATAAACAACCTATCTACGCAGCCTACGACTGACACTTCCACCGCAACTATGCCGCCCCAAATCAAACAAGATCTGAACAGGTCCGGCTGGGAAACTACCGACTTCCCCTCGGTCTGCGAACGATGTCTGCCAGACAATCCCTATGTGCAGATGTTGAAGGAGGACTACGGAGCGGAGTGCAAGATCTGCACGCGACCATTCACGGTGTTTCGCTGGAAGGCTGATCGCACAGCACGACAAAAGAAGACCAGCATCTGCCTGACATGCGCGCGCTTAAAGAATTGTTGTCAGTCCTGCATGCTCGACCTCTCCTTTGGTTTACCCATCGTTATCCGAGATGCGGCTCTGAAGATGGTGGCCCCTGGTCCAAAGAGCGATATCAATCGCCAATACTATGCACAAGAGCACGAGAGGGAGATTGAGGAAGGCAGAGGCGCAGTGGAGGCAGCGTACGAGAATACGGATGAAAAGGCGCGGGACCTTTTGAAGCGACTGGCAAACAGCGAACCCTACTACAAGAAGCAGCGGAGGTTAGAGGCTGCTGAGGGCGAAGAGAGACAGAAGGCTCTTCCAACACCTGAAGGAGCTTGTAGTGCTGATGCAGGAGGGCGTGCTCCCGGCCCTATCAGGACTAGAGATTCCCGAGGTGCCTTCAGCGGACGGGGTGGTCCTCGGCCAGGACGTGGGGGTCGTCTCCCTCTCGCACAAGCGCCTCCGAATCCGCAGGACTGGCACCCTCCACGCGATCCGGATATAACATCGCTCTTCCTCACCGGTGTAGAAGACGATCTTCCCGAGAATGAACTCCGCACCCACTTTAAGCAATATGGGCAGTTACGGTCCGTCGTCTGTTCCCACCGAGCACATGCTGCGTTTATAAACTACGTCAAGAGGAAGGATGCCGAGACCGCAGCAGAAGCATTGCAAGGTAAGGTAGTAATCAAGGGCTGCCCACTCCGCGTCACTTGGGGAAAGCCGAAACAATTGGACACCCTAGATCAGAATGAGAGGATGCAATATGCACAAGAAGGTAGAGCAGCTGTTGGTTCTGTTCGGCGCGCTATTGAAGCCGGTTCCGCTTCAAGAGCTTCCATTGAAGCCGCTCCGGCGAATGACCTGGATAGCCTTGCGGCGATTGCGCCGCCTCCAGGTGTGGATGACGAAGTTCGATATGCCAGTCTCGCCGGCAATTGAGCGAATATCATGGGTAGATATATGGCGTACCGGGCGGGCATTGGCGCAACTGCATTCATGGGTATCACGATTCCATTCAGCACTGTCAAAGTCAAGATGAACAGCATTTGGTTCCTGCCAATGTATTCCCCTTCCCTTTCTTGATATCCTCATTGTCTCCTCGCTCGATGTACTCATGTATCCGTAGCTCTGGGGGAGGCCATTAGTAAATGCAAACAACCTAGAGCCTCCGCGCTTAATTACTTACTGTATCTGCTTGTGTCGTTGTCCACAGCTTGTCCTTGAACTACGTTCTCCATGAGAATCTTAGCAACCTCCTCAGCATGTGTGATTTGCTTTGATAGCTCCTCGCTGCCCTCTGGCAGTCCGCGATTGTCCTCGAAGGTTTTGCGAGCCTGAGTGCGGGCAGCGAGAAATGTGCCGACATCTCCTAGAGAGGCTGTGAGCTTCCGATTTACCTTCGGAACCGAATTTATTACGACACACCTTGGAATGCGATGCGCGTCGACCGCAGTAAATGCCTGTAAGCTGCGAGCGCCATTTCCTGGGACCTTGAGTGTCGTATGAATTATCGCAGCTATAACCAGAGGAAGGTGGTAACTATGGCCAGTGGAAAGAAAGAAGTTTCGTTGACAGGGATGCTGCGGCTTCCCTGGAACGTGCTGATCACCTGCCGCGAGCTCTCACCGACGTCACGGAACAAACGCCTTCACTCCACCACCACAAATTATGCTGCACACTCTGTAAAAGACAACGCCAAAAGCCCCGGAGAGCCGACTCTCTGACCCCCGGCGTTATGGTATATTTTTGGCCTTGGAAGGTAAGGGTCCTCATAATCTGCTTAGGCTGAGGCCACGCGTCTGCTAATGAAAAACGTGGTAGTCGAGCGAGGACGCTGCCTCTTTCGAGAAGACACTTTCCACCCTAACCACCAAGATATCTAAGACTGCTGCGAGAAATGACGTGTTGCGACTCAGGTCACGGCGTGTCCGTGTTATGTGGACTCTCTACGCTGGATTTGCCTACATTCTCGCTGCACTGCTCTTAGTTTTCGTGACAGGATGGCGGGGTTGGGGCGTGGTTGAGGTATCGATCATATCTGGTGGACCTGTGGTGTAGGTTCATACCTCAGCAAAAGACTACCTTCGATAAATCCGTTAATGCTGCCTAGGATATACATCGTCCGCACCGCCATGACTACATACTACGACTACCGCATATCAAACACACAATCCTACCTCGAAACCCTCCATAAAGAACGAGAGGCCACAATAGAGAGGCTGAAGGCTGCCACCAAGTACAATTCGACCCAACAACTACTCGAGAAGTACGGGGCCTCCCCGAAGGCGAGGGAATCCCCCTCCCCGGCAGCACGAAGGAAGTCGCAAGGCCTTCAGAAATTCCCCCAGCCACAAGGGCCTCGTACTGGCATTACTCCACCCCCAACAGCAAACATCCCCCGACCTGGAAATCTTTCACCCCCAGGAAACCAGCGTCCGTCTACCCCTCAGAGACCTGCCACGGCCGGTGCTTCCCCACAAACTCCCTGGCCGGGCCAAGCTCTACTCCCACAGGAAGTTCCAAGCGCAGAATTCGCACCAAATGCATTTACCTCAGCAGAATTAACACGGCAATACTCATCGTCAACGGCAGCAACGTTCACCCAAACACATTGGTACGACAGAATTCTAGACGCCCTTCTCGGAGAAGATGAAGCACAGCCTAAAAACCGACTTGCCTTGATCTGTAGCGAATGCCGGCTCGTCAATGGCCAAGCACCACCCGGAACCCGAACGCTTGAAGATCTAGGTCGATGGCGATGTTGCGGGTGTGGAGCCTGGAATGGCAACGACAAGGTCCAGGAAAACATTGTAGCAGGCTTAGTTCAAAATTGGGAAGCGGAACGGAATACTAGAGAGAAAGAGCAGGGCGGAAGCACGGAAGGGGGAATTGATTCGGACAACAGGGAGACTGAAGATGATGGTGGGCTTGTGGTTGGCACTGACGAGGGATCTGGTGTCGATATCGCAGAGGAGTCGATTGAAGAGAGTGAGCCACCAGCAAGGTCTACGAGGAGTAAGGCCAAAGGCAAGGGGAGGAAGTAAAGTGTATTATTAGTGTGGTGATATGTCCCTAAAAACGATACCACAACCTTCTAACTGATAGTAATTCAAACAGTGTATTATTTAGTGTCTACACCTTTACTTTATCTCCTTTTGGTTAGGCATGCGAATTAATGAGTATTGTTATCGAAATCAAAGAAGTACCCAGCAAGTATCTGACATCTCTAGTTGTGCTCCCAATAGGTTGTTAGCCCATTTCAGGGATATAAAGGGTCTGTTTGCAAAAATCTTTCATTTCTATTACATATCACCACAATCCCACTTACTGGCATACAACAGAAAGTCAACCGCCCAATGCCCTGTTGTTACCCAGAACACAAATGGCCAAAGCTATTCATGCCTCCCCCATCTCAGGTCATGAATCTTACTACAGTTTTCTGCTAACCCCACAGCAGGAAACTCCCGGATCAAAACTCCTGTAGAGGAGATGATGCTAGGGTTTTAGAAGACATAGCCGGAGACCTATAGTGCGGGGAGACACCAGATCAGGGCGAAAACTAATGCTCAACAAATGGCCGGAGAGAGGAGTCCTGGCGGGATGGGGAAGATGGACGCAATCCATCTTCATAAACCGATTTCTCTAGTCCATCTGGTATTTAAGGGGTATGATACTACAATTAAACATTACGAAAAGATAGTTATTAAGTATAATTAAGCTATAATTCTTCTGAATTATGCTGGTAGGTTACTGCAGGCTTAGGGCTCTCTCTATGTTTAAGTTATTGTTATCTAGGAACTTAGGCTAGCTGCCTTCGCTAGGAGCTTGCTGTAACAGCACAGGCAAGACAACGGGTCTGAATACGGTATGAATCCACTTAGAGGCATATGGGAGTGCGTGGGGACTCAGAAACCCGGGAATGCTATTAATACCTATAGGCCTTGTACAAAGGATATTAGAAAACTACTAAGCTAGCTACAGGGGATAGGTGCAACTAATTAGGGGAATAGGGGTACAGCAGGGGCTAGGGCAGGGTTAGAGCAGATATAAGGACCCTTTAGATATTAGTGTTACAATCTTTACTTCGGAGAAATGGTGTCCGGAGTACACAGGGCCTGGAGGATGAGTAAGGTTTTGGGGAGGGGAGGAACTTAGACTGTCTGCAGGTGTACGGTCCGCTAAGCTGTAGTTATTAGTAAGGAGGGGTAGGCTAACTATAGTTTACCCTTTAACAGCAGTATAAAGTACTTAGGTTTGTTACGGTCTATGGTTGGACCGACGTAACTCCACCCGAAGTACTCCACAATCTAGCTAGATTGGGGCAGAGCTCGTTTACGGACCAACCGGAAGACGTGGAGGCAGCGCAGCTGCCTAGGATTACAGAAGAATGCATTGTCTAGTAGGAAAAAAGGCTAAGGAATAAAACAAGTCTAAGTAAGTTAGACAAGTTTGCTGTATAGTAAGCTTATCTAAACTTAAATAACTTGTTCTTAGCACTATTAGATATGTATATAATTCTAACCTTAAACAACTTTTAAGAGGTGTGTTTAATGTTTAGTTTATTTTTTATATAAACTAAGTAGCATTTTAGCTTTCTAAAGAGCTGTAACACTATCTATATATCTTATAACATATATACCTCTAATTCTGTCTAATAGGACTGTTTAACCTAGCTACTATACTGCTGCTATATACTGCTGCTATAGAGACAAACTATAATCTAGTTACTATAGTCTACTTTATTAGCCTATTAGCTATTACGTAGGACTGTACACCCTACTGTTAGCTCCTAGCCTCTGTTCTATTACTATAGGAATAACATTAACTTAAGTGCTTTTTAAAGCAAGAATTATAACATTAAACACTATACTGTTACAGTCTATAGTTAGACCGACGTAACTCCACCTAAAGTACTCTACAATCTAGCTAGGTTGGGGCAGGGCTTGTTTGCGGACTAATTAGAAGATGAGAAAGCAGCACAGCTGCCTGCAGTTATAGAGGAATGTACTGTCTAATAGGAGGGCAGGCTGCAAGTCTAACAAGTCTAACAAGCTAAGCAAGTTTGCTGTACTATAAACTTAGTAAACTTATCTAACTTATTCTTAGCACTATAAGACATGTATATAGTTTCTACCTTAAATAACCTTTAAAAAGTGTGTTTAATGTTTAGTTTATTTTTTTACATAGACTAAGTAGCATTCTAGCTTTCTAAAGAGCTGTAATACTATTTATATATCTTACACTATATATACCTCTAATTCTGTCTAACAGGACTGTTTAACCTAGCTACTATACTGCTGCTATAGGGACAAACTATAATCTAGTTACTCTACCCTACTCTATTAGCCTAATAGCTATTATGTAGGACTGTACACTTTGCTGTTAGCCCCTACACTCTGCTTTACCTTACTAGGAATAATATTAACCTAAGTGCTTTTATAAAGTAAGAATTATAACATTAAACACTAACGTACCTAACGGGCTGGCCGGCCACTTTTGCTAAGCCCCTACTAAAACTACCCTATTCTGGCGCAAAACAGCCCACTTTAGCCCTATATAGAGTAATACAACACAAGATATTATTTAGAGTCTACTTCTACTACTTTCTTACACATATGTAAGTTATACCTAGTCTAATTACACTACTTATATTGCCTTTAACTTAGCTTACCTTTTTTAGCGCACACCTATGTCTTTAGCTTCTTTCTATTACTACGCGCTTTAAACTCCTTTAAAGTAGTTAGACAAGCTTTATCCTTAACTATTAAGGTCTTTTCTGCCTAAATTTACTTTTTTTTATGTAATTTATGTTGCATAGCAGCCTTATTTACTACTTAAAGCTTTATAATCTCTTTTTACACTAACACTAGCTTATGTGTAATAATTACTACCCCTTTTAAAACTTTTTTAAAGGCCTTTACTATAGACATTAGTAAGCTATTTATATACTTCTAAATTTTTACTTTTATAAGCATTAATTACAACCTAAATTTAAAAGTATTACTTAAGGTTTATAACTACTAAAGCTTATTATTAATAAGTAGTAGTAGTAATAAAGTATGTAACTAGATATTAAAGGCTATTTTAACTTATTCTAGGTTAAATAGAACTAAACTAGCGCCTTAAAACCTTTTTTAAATATTACTAAAAGTAATTACTGCATTATAGGCGCGTATAAAGCATAGTAAAAACTTAAGTTTTATAATATAAGTAATCTAGTTATGTATAAGATCTTTAGCTTAGCACTTATACACTTTTTTTAAAAAAGTAAAACAACCTACATTAAAAATCTATAAAAGGTGTAATAAGTATAAAGGCATATAAATAGTAATAATCTTATTTTTCTTATAGTACTACTAAAAATTAAGTAAGTTATAGCTTTTATAGCTATTAATAATAAAAAGCTAATAAGCGCTTATAACTTTTTTTTATATACTTATTAAAGTGCTTTAACTACTGCAGCCTAAGCTTATTTATTATCTAGCTATTTTTAGAAACTGTAATAACTTAGTTTTAAAGCAGATTTTTTTTATACTAGGTAAAAAAGTAATAGTAGCCCTTAAAAATAATAAAAAGTAAAATAGCTTACTTTATTATATTAATGCCCTAGATAACTATTATCTACTTTTTATTACTTTACTATATTACTTTTAGCTATTTTTATCTCTTTAAAGCTATAATAACTACTTTAGTTAATATTTAGCCTATTATAAAGCCTAACTTATTAAAGTTATACATATCTTTATTCTAAATACTGTACTTAGCTTTTATATTAGCTACTAGGTAAAACTAGCTTTAAATAACCTCTAGATTTTTATAAAGTGCTTTTTTATAATTATACTTATAATTAAACTTTATTATAAACTTAAGGCAGTGCTTAACTTATATACTAGGCTAGTTTAAGCTAACCTAGCCTAGATTACACTCTGCGCGTAAGGAATTAGCTATATTAGCTATAGCTATAAGCTTAAAAGAAAATCTATATATAATAAGCTTAAGTATATACTTAACAACTACTTTTTTTAAGCTTAGTTAGATTCTTTAATTTAGGCTAGTATTCTACTTTTAAAGGCTGTCTAGCGCGTTAATTACTTAGTGTTATATAAGAGATATTATAAATAGCTGCAGCGTGTTGTAAAAAGAGTTTTAAGTCTTATTTAAAAGCCTAAAAAGTAAGCTATATCTAACATTCTTTAGAAAATTTAATCTAGTGTTGTTGTTAAGGCATTATGTAGATAGGTAGAGTGTGGTAGGGGCTTAGCAAAAGTGGCTAGCTAACCTGTGTGGCCGGCTAACCTGTTAGGTACGTTATACTTTTTAAAAAGTATAACTACTTAATATAACCTTAATTCTAACATAGCCTACGCAGCTTTATTAGGATTATAAGAAGTTCTAATAGCTAATAAAGAAGTCTTAGTAAAACAGATTAATAGTATCTAGAACAACATTAAAACACTTTAGTAGATTAGTAATAAAATTAATAAACTTATTAGTTTTTATAAAAAAGTAAAAAATCTACACTAAAAAGTAGCTAAATTTAATAACTAACTTACACTTTTAAATCTTTAAGCAGCTATAAGCTCTATAAACTAGATACATGCATTATAGGTAAAGCTAGCTAAACTTTAAAATATCTTAACTAAGAAAGTAAGTATTATAGCTAAAAAGACTTTATAACTAGCCTTTTTAAAGCCTTTTAGAGGATTGCCTAAAGACCTTTACCTTTTTTTTACTAGATGCTACCTCTACATGTAATATAATAAAAAAGCATTTTAAACTAATGCAGAAATAATATTCTAAATAAAACTATATTTAAAAAAACTTTTTATAATTTAGTTCTAACGTACTTTATAGGCAAGTTGCTTACACACCTAAGTTGCTTACTTTTGCTAAGACCCTACTACACTACTTTTTTTATACTAATGCATTTTTAATAACACTACTTAAACATGTTAAAAGAACATTAGATGCAGCTTATGCTTTAGGCTTTTAAATAAAACATAACACTTTTTAAGCAACACACTGTAGCTATTTATAGAGTTTTTTAAAAGATAATAAGCAACTAACGCACTAAATAACTTTTCTAAGCTAATTATATAGCTAACTTATAAAAGCTAGATAATAATAAAAAGTAGGTAATTATTTAGCACATACTTAAGCTAAATGTGTAAGGATTTCCCCCTTAGCTAGCAGCTATAGCTAATATAGCTAATTCTTTACATGCTAAGCATAATATAGGCTATATTAGCATAAACTAGCTTAATATATTTATTAAGTGTTACTTAAAGCTTAAAGTAAAGTTTAAGCATAAGTATAACTATAAAAAAGCTTTTTATAAAATTTTTATAGTAATTTAAAGCTAGTTTAACTTTATAAAAAATATTAAAGCTAAGTATAGTATCTAAGATAATAACATGTACAACTTTAATAAAATAAAGTTTATAATAAGCTAAATATCTACTAGAGCAGTTGTTATAAGTTTAGAGAAATAAGAATAGCTAAAAGTAGTCTAGCTAAGTAACTAGAAGTAGACAACAGCTATTTAAGGCATTAATGCTAAAAAGTAAGCTATTCTACTTTTTATTATTTTTTAGAGTAGTAACTACTTTTTAAACTAGTATAAGAAGAAAAATCTACTTTAGAATTAAGTTATTATAATCTCTAAGCGTAGCTAGACTACTAATTAGCTTAGTTTAGACTAGTTAAAGCACTTTAATGCGCATATAATAAAGTGTACTGTTAGTAGCTACTATCTACTAGTTATTAACAGCTATAAGAGCTATAACTTACTTTATTTTTAGTAATACTATAAGAATAATAAAATTATTACTATTTATATACTTTTTTACTTATTACACTTTTTATAGCTACTTAATGTAAGTTGTTTTACTTTTTTAAAAAAAGCATATAAGCGCTAAGCTAAAAACTTTATGTGTAACTAGATTACTTATATTATAAAAATAAAGTTCCTACTATGCTTTAAAGTAGCTTATAATGCTATAATTACTTTTAGTAATATCTAAAAAAGTTCTAAGGCGCTAGATTAGTTCCTTTTAACCTATAATAAGTTATAATAGGCCTTAATATAAAGTTACGCACTTTATTACTACTACTACTTATATATAATAAGCCCTAGCAGTTGTAAACCCTAAGTAATACTTTAAAACTTAAGTTATAATTAATGTGTATAAAAATAAAAATTTAGAAGCATATAAATAGTTTACTAACTTTTATAGTTAAAGTGTTTAAAAAGGTTTTAAAAAGAGTAGTAATAATTACGCATAAGCTAGTATTAGTATAATAGAAAATTACTAAGCTTTAAGTAGCTAATAAAGCTACTACATAACATAAATTACATAAAAAAAAGTAAATTAAAGTAGAAAAGACCTTAAT